TTTTTTTTTTTTTGTTTTTTTTTTTTTTTTTTTTTTGGGCGTTACCCTACTTTGGTTTGGTCATTTATATTTTTTTCCCTCACGCTTACCGGCCACAAATACCCCCCCCCCCCCCCCCCCCCCCCATAGATACGCTATACTTAGTAAATTAATTACACCTCTCAGCGCAAGGCAATATTATTATATTCAACATACTAGGTAAATACCTAAAAATTCCAGTCCCTTTACATACTTAACAATATACTTTACCCATATAAATCATCAAAAATTACAACTTCGCCCCACCCCTATCCTTCGCGCTATCCATCCTCTGACCCTCGTCATCCTGCTCCGCCACCGTCAAATCCGGCAGCGTCGCCGGCATTATGCGTCGCGGAGCGGAACCAGGGACGACAGAGTACTGCGAGAAATCTGTTACCCCCACGCTGCGCAAGTAGTCTTCATCGAGGAGTAGTTCGCCGTTTACAGACGATGCCGGCGCGCGGAGGATAGCGAGGACAGCGTCAGAGAAGATCGTCGCTTTACGCAGATCCTTCGCCGTCGACGGGTTCTCTCGCGTCATCTTCGCCGTCGCAGCAGACTCGATCGCGGCCGCGGGCCATAAACTCGTTATCGCCATCTCCGCTAACCCCTGTCTTTCGAAATCCATCGCGAGTCCTTTCGTCAACACGCTCATCCCTACCTTCCCCATCGCGTACGCGGTCTTGCCCCGGAAAAAACGGCTGTAGATTGGCGGGCTGACGACGATGATTCGCCCGTGCCGGGATTTGAGGTGTGGGAGAGTGGCTTGGATGACGCCGTAGAGACCTTCGGGGTTGACACGCTGCATTAGCTGGAATCGCTTCATTGGCGTGCTGGCGATTGAGGACCACCAGATTGCCCCGGAGTTGTAGATTAGCACGTCTAGACGGTTGTAGGTCTGATGGCTGTTAGTTTTGTGTCTTGGTGGGGGGGGGGGGGGGTGGGAAGGGATTTACCGAGATGGTTTTGCTAACCAACGCTTGCACGTTGGCGAAGTCCCGGACGTCGACCGGGACCGCCGTCGCTCGGCCTCCCGCTTCGACGATCTCCCGCTCGACTGTGCTGATGGTCGATTGCGCGGAGTTGGGGTCTGGCGGGAACGGCACGGTGGTCTTGGCGTTGCTTGTTAATTTTGCTGCGACGATGACTAAAAAGAGGCTTATTATAAGAGCGTGTATAAATGAGTATATGTGTAAACTTACCAGCATACCCATTCTTTGCTAAGTCGATAGCGATCTGCCTCCCGATGCCTCTTGAAGCACCGACTACAAGCGCGACCTTGGTATTGTCCGCCATTGCTACATTACTAGCTAGTTAACGGAGCTACACAAGATTGGGTTTGAAAATTACTCTAATTCAATGATATTATACAAAATAAAGAAAATAGAACTACATCTTTCTACTCATTATGAGTGGGATGTTCGGTTGAACTGATGAGATCACTAATCCCCTACCATGGCATTATAGGTACAAGATACAGTGATTATGTCAACTGTAGGAAAATATGGGTCCACGGGAGCAGCCGAGATGCCGAGGTTCATTTACAGACCCACCCTACCCCTATAATGGACTATATCTTCCGTCATAGTCGTCTAGACATGATACCGCACAAAGGAGGGAAACAGCTTCTACCGTTTGAAAAGTGATAGATCATATGCAGTTGGTTAAGGACTTATTATATACAAAACCTAAAAAAGGGGGTATTATCCATCGTGCCTCATTTCTAATCCAACTTCACTTCTCGTCGAACTCCAGCAATGCTCAAGGTTTATGTATGTACCTATACACCAGCACCCATCTCAGACATCGAACCAATGTCTGACACCTGTGTAGCACAGGAAAGTCCAGCTGTCATACGCAGGCGCCCGCTAAGGTGATCCCTTTAATACAGCCACGGCCCTACTCGGATGTGTCAGCTCTCGGCACTTACGAAGGGCAACTCTTCCCGGGCCGCGGGGACCCGGAAATGTAGGTGGGCAATGTCTTACCTGGGATGAACCGGTTTTCCTGCTCCCTGAGCGTCGGGATCTTGAGAACCTCGCTATGTATGGCGTTCATTGCCGCGAGGGCGTCGTCTGCGCCTACGACGAGTGATATGTTGATCTTGCTCGCGCCTTGGCTTATCAGGTAGATGCTGATCTTCTCTGATGCTAATGCCGACAATATCTCGTCTGGGGACTGTTAGCGATAACCATTTCTTTGTAGATGATTAGGGTATAGTTGGCAACTTACTGGATACGCCGACCATGTTTCGCATCTTGTGGCCGACTACTGTCACGATGGACATGTTGGGTGATATCCCAACCTGGCCAAATCGTTCGAGCTCCTCCTTAAGTCTCAATAGCGCGCTGGCATCATTTGGCGCTTGCACTGCTAAGCTAACGTGTCTCTCACTCGTGGCCACGAGGTCTGCCGGGATTTTATTCCGTTCGAGACGGTCAAACACCTGTGTCAGGAAACCCTGGGACTTGGTGTTTCGGTTGCAGACAACATTGATGAGGAGAATGTCATCTTTGACCGTCACCGCTGTCGGTTTTCTTCGTTCTTGCTCGGCTCCGTGGTACCCGTTCTTCAGCATAAAACTAGGTAGAGGGGCCAGTCGGGGAGACTGGGAACCATCATCATCCTCAGACGATGTACTTGCTGGGCTGATAGGGGTGGGATTGGTCGTTGATGGGTAGATAATAGTGCCATGCCCCATTGGTTTGAAGACGTTTTTCAAACGTAATGGTATGCAAGCGTCCCGGATTTGATCCATCGTCAATGGGTGGATTACCTTCAACAAAAATCAGTAAGCTTACCTAATCACGCATTAGAAAATTCTTTTACTCACCTCACTTCCGTAGTACGTCAACTCGGTGGCCTCTTCGTCTGTTACTGTCGATAACAATCGTGCTGACGGTACTTTCCTCGGGTCTGCTGTGAATATCCCGTCGACTTCTTTCCAGATCTGAAGTTCCTCGGCTCCCACCGCCACAGCGCACATAGCCGCGCAAAGATCGGAGTACCCCCTTCCTACTGTCTGGAGCAACGAGTCCGGCATTATGCCAAAGAAACCTGGGATTCTTAGTAACTATTACGTAGTCTCGGTATTCAGGAACCTGTCTCACCAGTCACAATAGGGATTGAGTTTCCGTACTCCCGTATTCGCCCACATATTTGGTCAGATAATACATGGTAGAATTTTGGGCCTAGCCTCTCGAGAGCAGCCACCTGGTCATGGATAGATCCGCCGAAAGCAGATGACACGATGTCGTCGAGAAAAAGTGGCCTCGCTGCCGTACCCTAGGCCGGGTTTAGTTCGCCTATTCAAACGAATGGTCTTGGCTTCGGGATTTGAGAACTTACCGTGCTTGTTAGACAAGCCGCAACAATCATGGAAGCAAGCTTCTCCCCTATGGAGATAACACGGTCTTTGGACCGCGGTGATAATTCTCCGACGATCTGAGATTAAGGTTAGCTTGTATTCCTGCGGGATAATGGTTCGATTCCGACTAACCTGCGCGGCCAGTAGGAATCTCTTCAGACCCTCGCACTCCTTCTTGACGCTAGACGCCGTATCATCGTAGATCTGCCCACGGATAGATACCCGTGCAGGGGAGTTCGCAAATGCGTCTAACACGCTCAAGTGCGTATCCTTGATCAAGTCGACTACTTCTATCAGCCGCTTTTGGGAGTCGACGCCTAGTTCGGCGTATGCTATGCATTGCAGCAACAAGCTCGTCGTCCCGCTCGCCTTCAGGGTCCCCGAGAAGGCCGAGCAGACAACGATGAGGTTGTTTGCCCCGGCGTACTGAGGGATGATACTAGTGCATATCGTATCTAACAGCTTTCCTAAGCTTGTGCCGCCGTATTTCTGTACCAGCCAGGGCTTGCTCGCCGTCGCAGTCACCATGATGTAAGAGATGGTAATTGTAACACCTCAAGATGTGAAAAAGGGGTTTCCGTGTATCCGAGAGGAAACGGCCGAAGATTTGAAGATGGGAGAAGAGTGTTGGTGAGGTGGTTTGAGTTGTTTCATACACGAGATCGAAAATTTAGCCAAGCTGGCCGACGTTGCTTTTTTTATGCTCCCCCTGAATTGGCCTTAGCTGCCTCTTTGGGTAGAAGCAAAGCCAGCCATCGCCAAGAAACCAACTCAGCCCGCCGTCGGCAACGGAGAGGGAAAGAGGGGCGGAATCGCAAAGCGTTAGCGAAGCTTGAATTCCACAACCAACCACAGGCCGCCGGGATTGCGTCAGTCGGGATAGTCTACCGCGATTTTCGAGCGAGGACTAAAACGAAAATAGAAAACATTCGGCGTGGGCCGACGACAACATCATAATCACTCTCCGGATTTAAAGAATTCGAGGCTAAGAAAAAAAAGAGGACGGCCGGAAGGGCGAAACCGAGGAAAGATAGGTAATCATAATCACCGAGGCTTTCGTGTAGCTAAGCTTGCCTGGGAATTAGGGCTTACCAGGTATATGCGAAGCCTACACCCACCGAGATAGGCGTGTACAAACATCTTACACACATCCCTTTCCCAGCCTGTACAGATACCTAGCCGCAAATACTGGGGAAAAGGGGAGAGGGTAGAGGGTAGAAAGCAGTGACAGTGCATAGTGGGAGGAGAAAAAGGGTTGCCCAAATCCCGACCCGGCATTTATGATAGGTTCCGTGCGTGATAAATACTATGCATCGAGCAGATCCTCCTTTCCCAAAGCGTGACCCCCCCTTTTCCCCGGACTTACTTGATGCGGTGCCTTGGTGTCGAAGGCGGCGTTTGAACAACCTACATTAAGGAATCGAACTAGTACGTATGGCGTATGGGACTAAAACCAGGATCAACGAACGGCCGTAGGGTTATCTGTAATGTCAGCTACGGTATCACGATGGGGCCTTTGCTTTTTTTTTTTGTTCGCCTCTCTTCCCACTTGCGGATCACGAGATTGGGGATGAGCGAGTTTGCTGCGATGGACATTTCGGGACCGGAAATCGCCGGGAATGGTGGCTTACACATGCTCTCCCGTTGTATCGAGGTAACTGGACTACGGCTCCAGTTAGTCGGTTTATTCGTAACCGTTGCAACGTAGGATGATCTAAGCACTCTATTTGCCCCGCGGGGGAAAAATATCGTCGATTTGATCGAGTGGAATGGTGAGAAGTACAGTACACAATTCCTGGCTTTTTCTCTCCCGCCCGGAGTTTTCTTTCCCCCTTCCAGGCGATTCTGTCAGCTTGGGCTTGCATCTCCCACACGTCGTACAGAATCACTTAGAAAGCTACATGCTACCCCCCTGACGCCGCAGAAGCCACCGATGCAAGTGGTTATTACATCAAGACGCTGGCTGGCATGTCGCTCATCAAACCTTGTACCTGCAAAAAAAGAAAAGGGCATATGTGGTGTAATATGACCAAAAATGGGTGATGCTACCTCAATCTCACCGTCCCCAAACGGCATCATACCCAAACGCATGTGTCTACCGTGACATTGTTCCTGTGGTAGATTGATTGATAGATTATTCAATAATAACCAAACCTACATAGAATATTGGCACTAAAACAACCCCGATCCCTCAAAACTCCCCCCGAAACCAGTAAATGAAAAGCGCTTGGGTATACAAATCGGTTTAGAAAACATGCCTCATGATACCTCTCCCTCCCTTGGCAATCACCACGCCTCCACCTCGCCCGTGAGACTAGCCCCTCCGGGCTGCGCGGTATGCTCGTCGACGGAATCGTCGAAAGCCGCGCTGCTGTAATACTGCGGGAAATCCTTCCTCAGCTTCCCCACGATCAACGTCGTAAGCTGCTCGAACTCGAGCAGGAACCCGTCGTGGCCATCTGATGACCGTAACATCGCGAGCGTAGCTTCCGGAAGACAGTTCGCCAACCGCTCCTGCTGCTCGGGGAGGAACAGCGCGTCCGTCTCAACGCTAACGACCAAAGCGCCCGCGGGAACCGCAGCCAGGACCTCGCGCAGCGCGGTGTCGTCGTGGTTGGAGACCGGTGTCGGGGTTCTCCCGAGCGTGACGTCGTGGGCGTCCATCTTGTTCGTGATATGCAGGTAGCAGTTCGCGTCGAAGCGCTGGATGAACTTCTGCCCCTGGTAATGTAGGTACCCCTGAGCGGAAAACGAAGGGTCGCGCCTCGCGGCCCAGCCCTTGCGATGCTCTCTAGCGTCGCCGGGCACGGTGTCAGCCGTAGGGACTTCGGTGCGAGGGAGGTCGAGAGGCGGTTCCGTTACGGCTCTCGGTTTTTGCTGTTGCTGGCGCGGCGGCTTGCGACCGAAGCGCTCGTCGAAGCTCATGCACGAGCGGTACGTGAGCATGGCCACCATGCGCGCGGCGGCCAGCCCGGCCGACGGCTGTCCCTCGGGACGCGGCGTATAGTAGCCGTCGTCGAACCTGGGGTCCGAGTAGATGCACTGACGCTGCGCCTCCGCCCAGGATATGCCCCAGGCGCTATGGTCGGCTGCGGTTGCGATTGGCAGGATGCTTCTGACAAATCCGGGAGCTGTGCATAGGGGCCACTCGAGGGTCGTCATCCCGCCCATCGAACCTCCGATTACGGCGGCCACGGATCGGACGCCTAAGGCATCGAGGACGTGCTTGTGTGCTCTGCGCGATATTATGTTAGTACTAAGATTTATTGTTTTGGGTATCTTGTCTATGTGGGTGTTCCAACATACCGTACATCGTCACGAACTGTTGTTTGTGGAAATTCGCTGGCGTATTGTCTTCCCGTCCGCGGATCAACGGTAAGAGGGGATGCGCTTCCGTAAGGTGACCCGAGGACGTTGGCGCAGAAAATGAAGAAATGCGCTGGGTCGAACGCCTTGCCGCGACCAAGAAGCGGACTCCACCAATCGCTGATATCGCTGCTGCCTGTAAGAGCGTGGCAGATTACCAAAACATTATCGCGAGCTTCATTGAGTCGTCCCCATGTCTTGTAGGCTATTGGGCAAGATTCTAGTACCTCGCCTGAGTCGAGGACAAGCTCTGGTATGACCGCGAATTTCTGCCCCTGAATGAGAGTTGCGTAGTAATTGTCAGGGTTTGGGTTGTGATCTAGAACTGCGGCATGTTAAAACATCTTCTAAGGTAAATTGGTTCTAGTCCACTTACGAGTAGCCATATCGTAATGATGTGGATGTTTGTTTGTAATTTGGCGAAATAGGCTGAATTGCGAAGATAAGACTGGCAAGTTTGAGCGAAGGGAGAAGCTATCTTAGAGCTATCTAGATAGCTACCTAAGTATGTATGTATGATTTCATATCATGGTTGTATATAGCTCGGTTTCGCACATTGCCGGTCATAACAAGAGTCCCGACTATCTGGCGAGCCAGATACATGTGTTACTCACCCCACACAAACACCGTCGCAATGGAAACTCCAGATTTGACCTTCCAGACCGAGAGCTAGGGGGAGCTAAGGAGACAGGGACTAGAAACTACGTATCTCCCACGTATCTCCATCGCCCACTCTGCCACTTTCTGCTGCTAGCACCGGTGTTCGGACTACTGCCCTGCGGACCGGGATTTGGTGCTTCGGGATCTGCGTCGTGTCGCAGAGTTGTATGCGCCGTCGTACGGCAGAATGTGGCTCGGCCCCACAATCATCTACGACTGGCCCCATCGACTAAGGACCATGATGACATTAAATGATTATCCACATGCATTGGTTGGCTTATAACCGTTATGCCTACATAATGGTAGTTCAGATACTATCGTATCGTGTATCTTGTACCATATGTAAGCAGCCATCGGCTGATACAGTAACCACGGCTCGTCCCGCATGCTCGTGCGTGATAGAGGCGTAAACCACATGGACCTTCGAGCCCAATAGGAAAATTTGAACATATCATGTTGGGAGGTCTTGTTACCCCTATCTTGAGGCGCATATAGACCGTTGCTTTGCAAGTCGGATTTTAACCTTTCGGATCCATCACCCTGGATACTGGAAACTGGAAACTGGAAACTGGATAATATGGCGACCACTCGCATCGTGAAAGTGGCAGCTGTGCAAGCTGCACCCGTCTCTTTTGACCTCGAGAAGAGTTTGGAGAAATTAACCAGATTAGTCGGTGAAGCAGCTAAGGGGGGAGCTGATCTTATCGTGTTCCCGTAAGTCTTTGCATAATCCGTCTACACCAATGCGATAAATTGACGCCAGTCCGCAGCGAAGCGTTCTTATCGGCTTACCCATGGCGATATGCGTTTGATGCCACCATCGGAGCACGAGAGCCTCGCGGTGAGAAAATTTTGTCTAGAGGCGGAAAGGTGTCAAATGATTAACGTCAAGTAGGGAGAGAATGGTACGCGAAATATTACGACTCCGCGGTTGCTGTACCATCTCCGGCAGTGGATACCATCTCGAAAGCAGCTAAGTCCCAACGCGTGTATATTCAGGTTGGTATCATTGAGAAAGATGGGGGCACGCTGTATTGTACCGCCTTGCTGGTTGGTCGAGACGGTTCCATATTGTTGAAGCATCGAAAAGTGAGTTTTAGTTGGCTTGTTATACGACTTCTTACCCAAGCTAAGCGTAGATCAAGTTGATACCCACAGCTGCGGAGCGTCTAGTATGGGGAAGGGGGGCGGGTGACGGCCTTGGAGTTGTCCAAACTGACATAGGCAAGATCGGTACATTGATCTGGTAGGCTTCCCTCGACCCCGTGAGGCTCTACTTTCTGAAAATATGCAGTTGGGAAAATTACATGCCCGCGGCGCGGATGGCACTCTACCAACAAGGAGTCGAGTAAGACGACATGACCACTTAGTGTGAAGGTAAGAATTCTGCTGACTCAACTTCCAACAGGATTTATCTAGCTCCCAACGCGGATGATTTGCCGTCATGGATCGCGTCGATGCAACATATCGCCAAGGAAGGACGATGCTTCGTTGTCTCGGTGAATTCGGTGTGTAAAGTTTCCGACTTTCCTGAGGACTACCCGCCATTTACTCCCGAACATCACGACCGGAAGCCGGACGGCTCGAGATGGGAGCCTGACGATATCGTAAACCGCGGAGGATCTTTCATCGTGGGTCCTCTTGGAATCCCATTGACAGAGCCAGTATGGGACAAGGAAGAGATAATCTTCTCCGATTTGAAATTGTCGGAAGTAACAGAGTCACGAGTGAGTTTTTCTTAAGTCCGAATCGTAATTCTGACCAACGAAACTGACAGATCATTCTTAGCTTGATTTCGACCCGGTTGGTAGCTACGCTCGTCCAGACGTATTGTAAGTTCCGCTCTCCCCCGAGAACAAAATTCGCGCGGGATAGGTCGTGGCGACTAACATGCCGACAGTACCCTGACGGTAAATACAAAACCCGGGACAAATGTAAGCTTCACGGGATAGGTTAGGCGTTGGGTTAGGACGTGATATTTTGGAATTTTCGCTGTTCCATCGATCGAGAGACACACGTGGTTCGATACACCGGACTGGGCATTCCGTAGTTAGGTAGATTATTCTGTAGCCCGTAGGATAAAACCACAAATGGAAAATACCCGGTTTGTACCCGCAGACCAGTAAGCCACTGTTAATTCTGCCCTAAAATGTGATTGCTCATCTTGACGTACGCACCGTACGCACCATGTTCCGGTGAAGGAGTTCTACGCATGTGAAACATATCCAATGGCCGAATGGCTCAAAGAGCCTCTCGGTTTCTTCGCAGACAAGCGAACCGAAAAGCCGGGTCGCCCAGCCTCGGTAACAATGATCAGCAAACGCCATTTTTGCGAATTTTCCATCGACAACCGCCGTTATCACATTTCACAAACATGCGGGGAACGCCGTCGCCTCACATATGTATGTGACCCTTGTACCTACTTCGATTGTATGTAGGTGGGAATATGGGGGGAGTATGATGGATGTCAACAACAAGCCAGGAGCTAGGGTTGTGGGTCTATCATACGACGACTAGGAAGCCATCGGGCTTTGCTGGTGTTACATTGCAGTCTGATAGTCAAAGTGGCCAACTGGATCCGGATGCCGGATATGGACGGCAAGGAGTACCTTATCTGATGTAGGCTGGCTGGAAGGTACCTCTGGCTGACGAGGGAGCTGCAGGGTGAGGGGGAGCATGTATGTATACTTCCGTAATCCGGACGCCATAAACCTCAAAGTGTTTGTCTCACATACATTTAAGGCCGAGCTGCTCTATAGTTGACATCTCTATATCAGTTCGAATCGCAAAGGGAATCCGAGTCCTCAACGCCTCGACGTCTCAACCTTTCGAAATTGTGTCGCCTATAGACAGTCAACAGTCTTTAACAATATTAGAACGCGTAACTGCTTTAACTGACCTTAATATGTCTCCTCCGGGGTCAATTAGCAATTTGGACTGGTATGACGCCATAGCTTCTCGATGAGGAAAGGAGAAGACGTATAGCTGACACGAGATAATACTATAGGGAACCCAGCTTCGACACCATTGCCGTACATGGCGGACAGGAGCCAGACCCAATCAACGGCTCGAGAGCAGTTCCCCTATACCAAACTGCCGCGTATAACTTTTCCGACGCGGCTGATGGCGCGAGCAAATTTGCTTGGTCCAGGGATGGATACGTCTATACGCGTATGGGTAATCCCACAAATACGGTCTTCGAAACTCGAATGGCTATGCTAGAGGGTGGTGTTGGTGCAGTAGCGACTGCGTCTGGCCACTCGGCGCAAGTGAGTTTTTGTTCGAATATGTCGCTAACGATTTTCGTATACTGACGAACAACTCCAGTTCATGGCCTTGACTCAATGTTGCGAGCCCGGTCACAATTTCATAAGCACCAGTTGGTGTAAGTCTCTGAACTCCAAAGATGCGCCTTTGACAACGTCATGCTGAATAACACGCGTTTGTAGTGTACGGCGGCAGTTTCAACCAATTCCGGGTATATCTCAGCAAATTCAAGATCAACGTCAAGTGGGTAATCGGAAACGATCCCGCCAAATTCGAAGAAGCAATTGATGACAACACACGGGCCATTTACATCGAGACAATCAGCAACCCCAAGCATAGCGTCCCAGATATTGCAGCCATTGCTGCTGTCGCGCATAAGCATGGCATCCCCTTAGTCGTCGACAACACGTTTGGCATGGGCGGGTACCTATGCCAACCAATCAAGCTTGGAGGTATGTAGCCTGCATACCCCTGACCCACTTCAACCAGATGGCCGTAAGCTGACTTGAGCCTCTAGCCGATATTGTCACACACTCGGCCACGAAGTGGATTGGTGGACACGGAACCAGCATGGGCGGCATCGTAATCGATGGCGGACATTTCGATTGGAGTGCATCAGGGAAATTCCCCGGTTTCACGGAACCGGCGGAGGGTTACCACGGCATGCGATTCTGGGAGACGTACGGACATAAGGCACTGGCGGCGAAGGTGAGAATGGACAGCATGCGTGATCTCGGTCCTTGCATGAGTCCATTCAACGCTTGGCTGTTCCTTCAAGGCCTTGAGACCCTACCACTCCGTGGTCAGAGGACGGTCGAGAACACACAGAAGCTCGCGGAGTGGCTCGAAAACCATCCTTGCGTTAACTGGGTATTATACCCCGGCTTGAAGTCGCATCAAGACTATGAGCTGGCAAAGAAAGTGATGCCAAAGGGAGCAGGTGGCGTCTTGACTTTTGGTGTGGTAAGTCTCTGCTGCAACGTATATAAAGCAATTATGCATAAATGCTGACGTTGGTTTTAGGCTGGACAAGTCGAGCAAGTCCGTGCCGTGGTCGACAATCTCAAAATGGCCAGCCACTTGGCGAATGTCGGAGACTGTAAAACCCTCATCATCCACCCCTGGGTTACGACGCACCAGCAGATGCCAGATGACGAGAAAATTAAGGGAGGCGTCACGCGTACGTATAACACCAGCTCCTATGATCGCACTCCGTATATGAGAAGATTTGGCTAACTTGACATCTTCTGACCAACAGCCGACCTCTTGCGTGTCAGCTTAGGCATCGAAGACTTCGAAGACATCAGACGAGACTTCGAGCAAGCCTTCAAGGCCGCTGGGCTTGAGAAGGCGGCCAAGAGCGGAATAGATCCCTTCCAGACTGCCGCCAACCTCGTGAGCGGAGGATTTATGGGCAAGCTTTCAACGGGTCCTCCGAGACCCGGCACAGATGGCACTATACAATCATAGATCGCATGGTCGATCAAGGAATGAGAAATATGTATTAGGTAACTTTGGAAGATATTGATACCAGGAGATTCGGGTGATACGTGAGATAGGTACAGGGCAAGAAGTGAATGAGATCGGCACTTGCATTCAGGTGCATTTATACATAACGGGGAGAAACGATCGCATATCGAGAGGGTATATTCTTAGGCAGCCAGTTACACAAAGTTCAACCAATTTCAAATCATTAAAATATCAGGTCGTGCCTCCTACCAGCATGCAATATGTACCTATGTATCTAGTGGGGCAAGAGCGGCTCGGTTATCTCATTAACCTCCAGGCTTGAACCTTGAACAAAACCGCTGACTAAGACTTGACTTGATTAGTATTCAATGCGACCCACATGTAAGTTGCCTAGGCACATGTCGGCTACCGTAGGTACTGTGTACATATCTTACTCCATCAATCCCTACTATTTCTTATTCCAAATCTCAACTGTTGATGATGATGATGCCATATTTGTAGGAATATAATGAAGTATATTACTGGCTAATCAATAATTCCAAGATACAAGTAAACAACTCTTCGTAATGGGCGGCCACATTGACTTATACATTGACCTCGGTACGATAACTCACCCCTATCCTCCCAGGATGATCTAACTCGGGAAGCATTCTAGCGTCGCTATACAGTTATATCGCGCTCATCCAAGTGCTCAAAACGCAAGATATTCTCAAGCAGCACTCTGTAGAAGTCGAGTCAGCTCACCTCATCTTATTAACACATAACCTGTTATATTCTCAAGATTATAACGACCCCCTAGTCCGTCGTATAAGCTGACTAACGGCCAAACACCAGGATCCACCCGGTTCTCCTAGGTGCCATCAACGCCGGCTCCGGTATGTCTCTCTGAAAAAAACTGCTATCATTTTTCCCTCGCATATAAGATGCCGTGTGGGAAGTCACATCAGACGAGAACCAATCATCGCCCAATTCAAGCCAGACCTGATATCTCCTCTACGCCCGGCACTCTATCCGAGACAGCAAACGAACGCCTCTTGTCTCAAGCCACAACGCCATTACCTCTTTTCCCGCCCATCCACCCCCGTTCTCCTGCCGCCCCTTCTCCCACACTCCTATAATCACTTCCACCTTCCCGCCTTCCCACCTTTCCGCTTTCCCGCCTCCCCGCCCCCTCTCACCCCCAACCCCCTAACCAGCTACCTAAATAACTAACCCCCACGCAAGGCAACAAACCGCCCTGGGTCCTCCCCGCCAAAGCCATCCACAGCGCCTACGACAGCTCGCGTTCCCTCCGCAGCGTCGGACTCGCCGACGTCTCTGCGCCAGGGGACCTGTTCGAAGCCGGGAAGACGCAGCTGCCCCTACGCGCACTCCACTACATCAAGACGCACCACCCCACCCCGGTCTACTACCGCGCATGGCGGCAGCTCTTCCACGTCTTCTGGACCGTGCACCGACCGCCTAACACGCCTGAGTTATTGCGCGAGGCGTTAAGTGCGGATGATGGGAAGGGGGGAAAGCGGTTATTCGCGGCTGCGGAGGTCGATGCGATTGTGGATGCCGCTGGGCAGGTTGAGTATAAGAATGTGCTCCGGCAGACGACTGAGACGGCGTTGAAGCGCGGCGCGTTTGGGACCCCGTGGTTGTGGGTTACCAATGCGGAAACGAAGGAGAGCGAGCCTTTCTTCGGTAGCGATAGGTGGCACCACGTGTATGAGTTTCTTGGGTTGCCGTACCAGGCGGTCGCGGTGTTGGCGCCCGGGGCGGAGAAGTCCAAGATTTAGGTTTATTAGGAAATTTCGATTCCTTTATTTGTCCGGGATGTGGTGTGAGGTACTCAAGCACATGATGGCATCGCAATCCTCAGTATTTGTCCGGCATTTGTATTAATCAATATATAAATATATAGGCTAGGTATATCGCGATTCTTTATCCAAATTCTTTAACCAAACGAAGCAAATGGGTATGATCTTTTGTATGTGCATATAATAGGTATATACTCTTTCGTTAAATAGTCGTAACTGCCGTAGCGTCGTAAGTTCTGTTGGTGAAAAGTCGTAAATGTGCAATCAAAAACATCGATCCTACTTACGAAGTTGATCAGCTGACTCAATCAATGTTGTCAGGACCACACGTGCTTCTCGCAGTATAAGATTTCCATCGAATGTCAGACCAATTCAAAGTCATCCAGGCTGGTATCTTTCCTGGCAAGTAGCCTCTCTCTTCTCGCCGACCCGTTCGGTGTAGGACTGGCTGCGTGGCCACCGGAATTCCATGTAGTGACTTTGTTGATTGTCTTCTTGCGCATAATGGCCAATATATCTTTCTCCATCCTGTCGATGCCCTTCTCGATCTCCACGTCCTCCTGCTCGTACCGTTTCTCGCGTTTCCGGTCCAGGTAGTACCAGAATAACAAGATAATGACAGTTAGCGGTACCGTGACAGCAAAATAAACCCAAAGCTTCTTTGAAACCGTTGCGCCATCGCCTGAAGTGTCATTAGAGCCCGAGCTACTAGAGCCCCCGTCGCTTGGGCCTAAGGAAATTAGTGTCCGAGGTTTTCCAAAATTCTCATTTTAAGGATTAGCATAAATTGGAAGACTTACCAACATTGAAATCGAAGAATGTCATGCTGAAGACAGAAGCCATGAACGTTCCAGGGAGAAATACAGCGCCGAGAAGAGACAACGTTTTCATAGCGGTGCCATCACGCTTGGTCGCGTGGGCTACTCTTCTCTGTTGGGAAGCGATCTCGAGGTTGAGCTTAGACTCTTTCTGGGCCATAATGTTATACAGCTACACATCATTTGTCAGTAGTCTAGCCATAAGACAATGTCAAATGTAACTCACGGCTTGCCGCTGTATGTGCAACCTTTCTAGCGTCGTATGAATATAGTGCTCCATCCCTGTAAGCTTTACTCTGTAGAAATCTAATCGTCCCATCATGGAGTCGTGCAAAGCCATAAGGGTTTTCGAATTCCTGCCATGTTCAGGGACATACTTCATGAAATTATCCATTGCTCCCTTGACTTCTTTGATAATTTCTTGGTAAGCCTGTGGCCGTTTCCATAGCACTTGAGAGTGACACTCCACAAGGTCTCGATTGATCCCGTCCACGTCAAAATCTGAATATGTTTCCCTCTCGTCGATCTCGTTACGCATAGTGATAGCATTTTCAAGACGTCTCAACCAGTCACGGGCATCACGTTGTCTCTTATCACCCTTGGCTGAGAGGTCGTGAGAAAGAATGATGATGGGGAGGAGAAGTGGGTGTCTAACTTCAGCACGGCAAGCAAGTAGTTGTTTGAGAGAGTTCACAATATCTGAAGACTCTGTACCCTTGACAAACCCTGAGGTGATGCCTGTCTTATACGAATACGAGAGCACTATAACAACAGCAGTTAGTGTTCATTACTTTGTATTGCCGGCCCAATGTTGACATATGCTTCCTCATAATTAAATTTGAAGTATGGCACGAAAGGGCTTCAGGAGCAAGGAGGAGATTCGAAGGGAGATGAACATACTAATTTCCCATCCTCGAGTTTTACCCTTCTTCCTCACATCAGATTTTCGAAAGATGATTTCTAAGCAGTGTTAGATTTTGAATAGAAGTTGAGATTCATATTTTGCTCGGACAACTACTTAGAGATGGGTTCTTTAAGGGGGGCGACTTACGTAGATGGCGATCATCTTCATTCTGATCGTGAGAACACCAGAAAAACGGACCAACAAGACTACTGCCCTCAATCGCCCGGAATGGAAGATGCCATGCCTAGACCGCCTAGTATCAGTAATTGCGTTTTTCGTAAAAATTCTCATGGTAGACCAAGTGACGAAGAGTACCTCAACGCATTAAAGGAGACGGTGAAACACGTGTAACTCGGGGGAATAAATATGGAAATATACATACTCTCACCATCAATTCATATGACTCCTTCTTCAATGATATGTAAAGCGGTGCAAATGTATTGACGTGGACAGCATCTTTTTGGACGCTGCATTTATGTCAGTTTCATCCTTAATCTAATGAATAACGCCTAGCTCTCACTCACATTAAACGAATGCCATCCTGTAACTTCACTCCCTCTGGTAATGGATCGGGGGAGAAGGTGCCCTATAACATAACAATTTGTCAGTAGACGAACGATCTAACCAATACCAGATTGGCTGATATGGGTATAGGTACTATATATACCCCGCAATACCCCAACGGAAATCCAGAGAAAGTAGACCTACAGTTTGACGGACGAAGTTATCAAAGTCATCATCCGTGAGCAAAGCATGTTCTTCACATGTGTCATACTCAGGGTCCTAAGGTAGTATTAGAGTTAGTAATGGCGTATGATTGTAAGTGGAATCCAGCTGGTCTCCATAGGGTAGGTAAGCCGTAAAAAAGGAAGTCTCATATGTGTACCGAGTAGTTGAAAATCTCCAAATAGCTGGTTTTCTCTTCCACGGAATTGCATTGTTCGAGATGTTGGCCAAAAATATAACTGTCCATATTGATATCGGTCAAGAGGTCCCCACTATCATCAAATGAAATCAGGGGAAGGCGAACATATATCGGATAATTATTCGAACACGGCAGATTCAAAACATGGTCGGCTAAGATCTCATATGACTTGTGACTTGCAGGCGATCGAGGCGCAGTCGTGAACTGTTCTGTTATCCAACAAGTTGCGGCGGGTCTTTTGAGGCGATGCTTGACCGAAAAGTCTTTTAAACGTGCAAGTTCTTGATCATGTTGGTAGATAGAAAAGAGGCCCCCAAAGTATCAGAAAGTAATTCGATAAAATAAGTACCTCCTAATTAAGCTAAAAGCTAATGGGAAATAAGAGAGGGGCGGGTAGACTAAGTTGAGTTAGAACTTGTGGAGACAAATGGAGAACCGAAACGGGATTGGGTGGAGAATATAGCAGTTATGGGTCGCGGCTCCCTCCCGAAAATCCGCCTGGTTTTGTAATTTCTATGTGTTGTACGAAGTATCTTTTAGCATTTGATATATGTACTTCGGCATATCACCGTTCGCCTAGTATGATGTCCTTCATCGTCCAAACGACGATGCGTGGCTCTTTCTTAAAGGCTGAGTTGGGGTGAAGGTAGAAGAGGTAAATAATCACAAGTTATAACACATACCCGTTAAATATTTTGATATTATCGACATAGTACTAGGAAGGTAATATTCACTGCGTACCTACCCAGTAGGTATAATCACAATTAGATTTGGTCAATATGAGATATTGACTTAAGACAGGTCTTATAATCAGGGCGTATGGCAAGGCGCAGCAAAGGTAAAAGGTGGGGGTTATGGGGGGAATATTCACATGAAATCGTCAAAAGAGCCTCATGCGGGTCCTACGTCGACGTGTCTACCACACCATCCATCCAACATATTACGACCGTTGGATGTCGCAATACCAAATGGCAAACCGTTTGTGGTATGTGAGGACGTGGTTCTTAGCAAAAACAAGATACTTATAACAAACATATAATACTTCCCTTTTTAAAATAGAGACGGAATGCTCACAACATTCAATGCTACCCAAACGGCATTGCGATCTAACCATAGTGTATGCTTGTAGAATTTTCCAAAGCTAGGTAGACATCTATGTTGATGAGTGTGCCTTGCTCTTTCGGCGCCGGGACGATTTCCTGATTGCTCAACCCGACGCCAGAATTCGACCCAATTCGCCGATCCTTCCAACCATGTACCGGATCATAAAATTTAGCACGATCTGCGTACTTCTAGGGGTCCTTATCACCACGTCCTTTTAGGACGTCTGTAAAAAATGCAAAGCTACCAATGTCGTATCTTCGCCTATCCAAATCTAACCCAGCTGTGATGGCCCAGATCTATGGATACAGCAAGGCGTACCTCTCCTAGTCGCGCTTGCGGGACGATTTGTCGACTTACTAGAAATCGGGGAAAAGGTAGCCGTGCCTATATACGTTAGTGCCACGAAATAGTATAGAGTTTTATTAACATACTCGTCATTTCCAGACTGGCCATATTTCTCCGTCTCTTCGGGATATCGGTCAAATTGGCTTGCGTCGCCGGCACCGGCCTTGACGGGAGGTGTGTATGGGGCATCGATATCTTTCCTTGATAACCTATCCCATGTGACTTCCTGGAACCACGGATGGTTCTTCACATCTTGCGACCCGCCAAACAGATTTCCCAGTCGTTTGGTCAGATCAGGAGTAATAAGAAGCTCGAGTAAATTCTGGGCGTCAGGGTGAACATATGCCGGATACTTCACCTTTCCTCTTAAGATATTTTCGTAAATCTTCATGGGTGAGCCGCCGTCCCAAAATGGTGTATAGCCGCAGAGCATCTCGTAGATTAAGATGCCTAGAGACCACCTATATCGAAATGATTGTGAGAACCCCAATTATTAGCCTATGCTATCGAGTTAGAACTTACCAGTCAACTGATTTGTTGTAACCCTTGTTGGAAACGACTTCTGGGGCTAGATAGTCCGGAGTTCCACACAATGTCCATGTCTTATCCGGAACTCTTTTCGCGAAGCCAAAATCTGTTATTTTGAGGTGTCCGTGACGGTCCAGCAGTAGATTTTCTGGTTTCAAATCTCTGTAAATGATATTTCTCGAATGCAAATATTCAAGTGCCAGAGTGACTTCCGCGGCATAGAATTTGGCGACCGGGTTTGGAAATCGCTGATGTGAGTTAGCATCATACACGTCCAAACTTAAGGTAACTCAGCTGATAACGCACGCCTGATTTCCTCAGCAGAGAGAATAATTCACCACCCTCAACAAAATCCATAACCATATACAAGTTCCTCGGGTCTTGGAAGGTACCCCACAACGTGATGAGGAACGGGTGTTTAACCTCCCCAAGCATCCGCCGCTCATCGTTGGTATGTTCGACTTGTTTCATCTTGACGACTTGGGCTTTCTTCAGGACCTTGATGGCGTAGAATCGTTGGTTGTGCTTCGATTGTACTAGATGAACGCGTCCGAAACTTCCCGTGCCAAGAGTACGGAGCAGATCAAAGTCGCCAAGCGAATATTTGCCCTTTGTCACCCTGACCTCCGCAGCTGCAGGTTGAATGTGTTGCGATTGGTGCGATTGGTGTTGCGACGGAGGTGCCGCGTGATGACCTACAATGCGTGTTAGTTATGGGGATACTAACCACAGCATATGTGACCCATACCGTCATTCTGTGGTAGGTTGATTAGGTTGTTGATACTCGGTAAATTTTGCGGTGTTCCGGCCTGCGCGGGGCTCGCGGTAGGCGGGAGCCCATACGCAGCAGTTGGGTAGACTGCCTGCGGATTCATTTGCGACCCCCCACCAGCAGAAGCTAGCGCTTCCTGACTATTCTTGGTTGTAGGTTGTGATTGAGAAGGTCTTGCGCTCGTGGCGGCTGTGCTATGAGTAGGTATGGTAGTGAGCGAATTCGACTCGAAAGTCCTTGCGGACGTCGGGGTGACCGGTGTAATCGGACTTGTAGGTTGGCTGGAGGAAGAAGGGTCAGGCTTCTCCTCCTTCGTCCGCTTCTTCTTCAGGAATCCTAACGTCGGCATATGATATGATGTCTAGGAAATTGAGGGACTAGACCCTCGAAAAGATTGACGAGTAAAGATATTCGTGCCACCGCAAAAGCCGACTCGGATAAGAGCAGGCCAGTAAATAGTATTGAATGGCGATGCGAATTACGTGGTCTGCAACTTCACGATTCTCGGTAGGTAGTAAATATGTGGCAGCTAGACGGTGTCTAGATATGTATCTAGGTAGGTATAGCGATAATAGGTGGAAAGAGGAATGGTTTGGATTTTGGTGATATACGACGCTCCTTCGTTGTGATATCGGAAGGAAGGTGATGGGCGCGGAAGGTTTTGAAAAGGCTGGAAGCAGTTGACCTAGATTATGAAAATGTGGCTTGAAGTTATCTGTTTTAGCAATAAGATAATCGATCCTTCCAAAGAGCCCAAATTCACTCTTTCCTAAAAGTCGAATAATGCGTTGCGCTCATACAAAGAGAGTTATATGCAGTTCGATCCAATTGAACCAATCAATTGAGTCACTTCAGCATTTGCGCTCAGGGCAGGTTCTTTTTTCTCCGATAAATTTCAACAAGGGAAATATGGTCGCAAGTCGATCTGACGAGGTGCGCTAGGTGTTTTGAAATTCGACGATCGTAGTCACGGAGTAACGAGGCGGCAAACTGTCTTGGTCTTCGTCGGGATTCGATTTAGGAATGTTTTGTGGTACAGCAGCAGGGTCTTCGACAACAAGAGCTCTTGAAGATTCGCAGCAAGAGGATACTTGGCTTTGGCTTTCCAAATGGATGTGGATGACGGCGAGACGAGCGGGGAGAGCTAGGAAAGGTATTGTACTGTGTAGGTAAGTTAAGACGTACTAGACCTAACCAGACCTAACCCAGGTAGGCAACGAATAAAACCTTAGGTACCTCGATATAGACGCTAAGATGTGCAGAGACAGGTGAGTTCGAGTAATGTAGGGGTCTTGGAAGATCATGTACCTTTCGATACCTACCTTACCTAGGTAGGTAAGGGAGATTGTCTAAAGATTCAAAGGCTATGGGCAAATATGACAAGTGTTACGTATGTAGATAGTAAAATACTAGTAGATAAATAGATATGTGACTATACACGTAAGAAAAAAAGGAGGAAGTAGCACCAGCCCTCATAGCCCTACTATTATCTCTCTTAAAGATAAAAGAGGTTGGGGGTTTAGTGGCTCATGTTGGAAGCCCCGAAGCTTGTGGGATTCTTTAGAACGAGGCGCTGGTCGAAGGCGAGGAGAAGGAGCACGTTAGACCATCGAGAGGATCGAAAAGGTGGGGTCTTCTCTTCCCTTTTCTTCCAGTGTCTTGCTTTTCTGCGCCAATCAACCCAATAACAAGCGGGGTTGGGAGGGTTGTCGATGATGATGAAGGCTGTGAGGGAAGCGCTGGATAACCACTGGCCAGAACCGTTTTTGAAGCTTAAGGAAAAAGCCGCATCTCTCCTAGTGACATTTCCGATGCCCTAGTAAAATACCTAGGTTGGCTGGTTGGGTTTTGGGTTGAATCTGAAGAAAATCTCATGTGGACATTACGTAGATCCTTTATAATTGTGGGTTAGAAACGCTGATGAAATATTGGAGGGTTCCATCATCATTCAAGATCGGAACTAGATAAGATCCTGAGGAGCATTGCTGGATAGCTTAGTTTTTATAAACGAGAATGTAATCTTACACCTCGCTCATTGCTCCTTTTTTTAGAAACATATCCTTGAAGGTAGCTCAGTGAGTGCTCGAGATTTCAAATTACATGATAGGTGTATTGTAAGATAGTCGATAATTTGTATGGTGGTATGAGTGGACGGCTAGATATTAGAGAGGGGTACTCCTTCCGCTAGTAACGTGCAGCGCAACGCACGGCGTGATCGTTTAGGTTTAGGTTAGCGGGCAGGCAAGTAGCAGACAGGCAGGTTAGCAGGTTAGGCTAGAAGGTACGTATTGTTGACGTGGGGTAAACAACATTGAACCTTGGGAATCCCGGGTCTATACACATGTATAAAAGCAGCCTCTACACCTACCTAAGTATTATCGAGCTACAATTTGAAGATCATCATTATGACGACGTCATACCTTTAATGGCATTGTTTAAGGCACTGAACAAGTAAAGAATACATAAAAAACGTAGGTATATTATCCCCACTCTATCGTATTTTCAGACGTAGGTATGTCAACATTTGTCTTCACGTGAAATTATGAGCTATCTACCTAATTAGCTAGCATTGACCCTCCCAGTATGTATTCGACCCATCCTAGCAAACTGCACTACAAACGCTGTTCATGCCGTGTGAAATTCGTACCATGATATATGTACTTCCGTCGGATGGAATCCGCCGGTGCCCATCCTTGCAGGCCTCGTACAATGACACGCAGTGCAACCCTATACAATCACTTGACTCATCAGGCAACCCAACTGAGTTGTTGCCGGAACCTTAGAGATAAGTAGTAACGGTCGCGGTGCGATCATTGTGATCATCGAATTACTAGGTGGCTTCCAATTGCAGAATTAAGTCGGTAAGCTGTCTATAATCGAGATTAATTACTTGCCTGCTCACTAGATAGGTATTGATTAACTGATATCCAAGATAACCTCTGCCGCCTAGGCCTTCAGGTACCTAATATGTTGGTATACATAGATGTAGGTCATAACCATGCTATACATATTCTGGTCTCGCTTTGACTAATAGTCGGATCTTCTGAATATATTGAGATTCGTAATTTCCTTTGCATTGATTTACTGCTCTTTAGTTTTTTACACTGCCATTCGACGCCTGCCAACCTCGTAAGACATGAAGAAACGGCGGGACTTCACAAGAAGACCACAGCTCCGAAATTTCATATGGTGTTGATATGTACGTCTGTACCGTCCTTGGCGTTACCCCCTAAGGCCTCCAACATCAGATACATATGATTTGCCCTTTAGAATCGGTGACTCCTCTTCTTATTTGCCCGGTATGCTGTGTAGCCTGCGTACGCGCCGCCGACAGCTAATCCAAAGATAATGAACTTGAAGAAAAACCAAGTCCAGCTGCCGCCAGTCTTGGGCTGCTGAGGCGACTTCGCGCTTCCCCTGCCAGGTGTAGGTTTACTAGCCGTACCGCCTGTCATATAAAGGTTCTTCGCGTCGATAGAAATGATATCGTGATTGTCGCTCAACTCGCCCGTCTCAGCGCTGAATCCGAGGTAAGTGACAGAGGGAATCGCCGGCGGCTCGCTCGTCTCGAAACACAGTTGCCAGTCATCTTCATTTTTATACTGCAGTTCCAACTTCAACGACTTATCCTGGAAGTAGGTGATCTTTAATTTAGTCGGAACATTTGCATTCCGAATGCCCCGAGCAGAACAGCCAGCAAACTCGGTATCCTTCCCGTCATTATCCTTGTTGTATGATGTCTTACCATCGCCAACCATTGCCATGACATACGGGAAAACTACACCGGGTCGATTGTTCTTGTAGGTATCAATGAAAATACCAAGACCTTCGAAATTGTCGGCATGTCCGAAGACCGGACCACTTTGTCCCCTTTCTTTCGTAAGCCACATTGCGAAGCCATCGCCATATAACTGATTTTTGCCATGAATCTTGAATTCCAGAGTGATTTCCCAATTCGTAGCAGTCAGGGGGACTCGAGAAAACAACCAGCCATTTTGCGACGGACGATCCGAGGTTAGCCGAATATATCTATATACAGTTATAAGTTGGAAAATTCGCTCTATGGTAATCAAGAATGGCGACATACGAGTCTGTTCGAACTATCGTATCGCCTCCAAAATCGTACCACCGACTTTGCATATCGGAGTCGAGATAAGGTTGCTTCAACGTATGGGTTCGGAGCTAAAAAGGGGGAATTGATCGTTCAGCAGAGGCCCCAGGAGGATACAATCCATATACACATAGTACTCACAGAAATAGTCCTAACATTTCCATCTTCGTCGCGACTCACGGCACCCCAAGCTGTAGCCGCCAGCCACAGGGCTGACAGCGCTGGAAACCACATGGCGAACCTCGACGTTTTTTAAAGGACGGGGAAGTGCGCGAAAAGGAGACGCGATGGAAATATGCGAATAGAAGCGAGTGGGAAACAAATTAGACTTTAAGGAAAAGTTAGTGTCGACCTGGTGAGGCGCAAAGAGCCCCTATTGCAATATGTTGGTCGTGTATGTAAGAAGATCGACGGTTTATACACGATGGATAGCTGGCCTCTCCTCAGCCATATGAAAAAATCCGGGGTCGATTTTAAGTGGCCAGCTTGTTCCATAGAGCTACCCCTGCCTAGCTTCTATTTCTCATGTACCCAAGTACTCAGGCAAGTCATCGATAATTCAGCCACATGCACCACCACAACTTTAATCTCTTGGAACTTGGAAGAGTCGATCCACCCATGCAAGTACCCACTTAGGTACAATTTTAGCACATAGGGATTTGTCCAATAAGCTTTGAAGATCACATGCTCTATTACCAATAAATTCATAATTTGGAATTCACAAGGGCTTAAGTGCACATGCCTTATCCCTGGAATTCCAAGCCGACGTCAGCGGCAGTCCAGAGTCCGGGATCTAATTCTAAGCTTTGACAAAATCGCCGCGCTCCTATCATTTACATAGTCCTTAAACTACTTCATTCATTTATTTCCATCACGAACCCGCTTCATGGGGGTATTCCTCAGGTATCCAGTATGATACAAATATCGAGCAGCCCGTCGCCGATACCCTCTGAGATATTTGCGCTCGTTGCGCTCATTGTTCTCTCCCTTACCGTTCTCCTGATTCTGCGACGTTACCTTCCACTGCGAACGACGCCAGCCTACCTGCTGGTACCCGTCTTCTTTGCGTTATGGCTACCTGCGACTATTGTACTACTTGTCCCGATTGATCTCGCATCTAATGCTAGTACCGACGATGAGACAACGAGAGGGATTTGGCTTCCTCCTAGGGCGCTACTTGTGTCGTGGAGGATTTCGTATTGGCTAACCTTCGTCCTAACCTGGTAATTATAGCCGCGCAACATTCGTAAATACCCTCAAACACGACTACTAACATCAGCTATCCTAGGTTCATACTCCCGATCCTTGCCGAATATTCCGACGCCGGTTATCGCGAGCCCAAGGACCGAATCCTCTATTCTTTACGTTCGAACGCCCAGTATTATGTGCTTGTATTCGGCTCCGGTGTGCTTGGGCTGATATATTTCTTCATATCTTACGGGCCTTCATTCATGTCCCTGAAGGGTTTGATTCTCGCACTTGCCTACTGCTGGGGGTTGGTTTTAGCTATTTACCTCATGGGTCACGGTCTTGTTGCTATTCCCCGAAATCTGTTTAGGAACTCGAGCGCTAGCCGCCGACTACGTCAACTCCAGAGCCATGCTCCTAAGTTATATGAAAAGATGGAAGATGCCGCTCTAAACCTAGAAGATTTAGAAGTTCAAGTATCGGAATTAAGCAAGCGCAAGACTGGAAGTGCCAGGGATTTCCAAGACTGGATTGAGGAACTATCGGATATTTGCAATATTCCGGAATCCCGACCAAGAAATGTTCTACCTAGGATAGACAACGACAGTCGCATAATCCCCACGGTTATCACCGAGAAGTATTTGGCAGACCTCACTCGCCAATTAACTCGTGCAAGACATACCAAGTCACGGTATATAGACGAATGGGACCGCTTACTACACGATGCTTCAAGGACGCAAGCAATCCTGGATTCCGCAGCCTCGAAGAAGCTTAACTTTGGCGCGAGCTCTCCAGGTTCCTCGTTCTGGGAGAAGACCACTGTCCTCACCCCCTATACACGGTACCTTCTTTACTGCCGCATCGTTCCCTATCTCTATGTGTTTCTTGGTGCCTTCCTTGCATTGGCTTCAGCATGCATCATATGGTCTGAGTTGGTAAAGGCAGCTCTACCCCAATTATCAGTCATCCGATTCACCGTGGTCCATCACTGGACTGGCGAGAGTGGTCGCGTTGGTTTCGCGGGCCAAGTCATCGCTGCACTTTGGATAATGTACATGTGCACAGCAGCTCTTCACTCCGTAACCGAAGTTAGAGTATGGCGTGGTCGCGCCTTGGTTCGGCGTAACACCGCTCACGAATCAGCATTTTGGTACGCGGGTCAAGTTGCAAGATTGACCGTCCCGCTATCTTACAATTTCGTCACATTCTTGTCTCCACAGATATACTCGGAGACGACCTTTTATGATATTCTTGGAAAATATGTCGACCTTACTCCGCTTGGGAAATGGTTCGACTACTTGTTCCCTGTTTTTGTTCTCATCCCCGTGTGCGCAACGCTATTTGGATTATACGGCAGAGTGAAGCGATTCTTTGGATTTGGCGATATTGTGGACGATGATGAAGAGAACCAGCCCAGTTACGGTACTGGCTCGTGGCGAGAGGGGAGAGATTTGATTGAACGCGAGTTGAATGGGACTTCGATTTCTCGAAGATTAGATGAAGCCGCATCTAGGTCTACGAACGGTCATGGCCGTGCCGCTCCTATTTTGACGATGCCCCCGGCTAGAAACGAGGGGTCAAGAACACCTTTCGCTACGTCGCCTTCATACCGAGACGAGCCAGTGGCGAGAACAGGGCAGTCCTCTCGACCAGACGCTCCTGACTCGGGGTCCGAGGAAGACAACTTCTTCACTAGCATCAGTCACCGATTCAAGAACACATTCGATACATTGGATACCCCGAAATGGATCCAGGATATCGGAGAGGGTATCAAGAAGCCCAAATGGATAGGCGGCAACGAAGATGGCGAAAGTAGTAACAGAGCAGGTCGGAGTGATTCAGACATAAGGCGGTGGTTTGGCGGTGATGGTAGGATAAGATTATGAGGGTATGCACTCTATCAGTACTTAATTAGTAAAACCAACTTCGATTCGGATGATTGTTATCTAGACCTTTTTACGTGAATACCACAGGTGGTCAACAACGCTCAAACTTAGAAGGACGACATGTCATAATGTGTTTACTCCATCCTTCCTTTCAATATCTTCATATGCTAATGTTTCTCTACAGAAAGGTTGTCAATCTATGGATGACTTATATTCAAGCCTTTCCAGTGAATGATCATAGCACCACCAAACAGAAGATACCAACAGCAAGAGTTGCCTATGATCTTATACACATTTTATACAGGTATCTCTAGCAAAGTGTTAACTGGCCAAAACGATGGCAAACTGAAGTCCATCCTACGAATGAACGGGGGTCCTCATCACAACTAAAGCTAAACTACAAACCCCAGGCAAGAAACCAGGCATTGCAAATCCATATAGCCCGCAACAACAGGCATAGGTCTAAACAACCTCAGTCAGTTCCATATGACAACCCAAACAACAAGCACATAGTTTGAACCTAAGTCAAACGACACCAGAAAACAAAACCTATCCAGTTTCCCTATCCCGTACAGAGTGATATATACCTAGGTACCTACTTGTGACACCGGACGGATACCTACCTACTCACCCCAACCCCAACCAACCGAACCATCAACCAATCCCCTATCCACCCAACCCCAAAACCCAAAGTCACAATGACCGACAAACTCAAGTCCTGCCTAACATGCGGGAAGCAGTTCTCGCCACGCAGCCTACAAGAGCACCTACAAAGCAGCCACCTCGGGACACAGTGTTTCTTCCCGGGCTTCCCCGTGCGTCTCGACAGCGAGAACGATCTCAAGATGTCCGAAGCGTTAATCCACGCGAACACCAATGAAGGAGGCGGCGCGGCGCAGAACCAGGCGACGAACGCAACGGTGTTCGTGTGCGCGTGGCCGGCGTGCAAGTTGGGCCAGGGCCACACGTACGACCGCCTGACGTCGCTGAAACGCCACCTCCGCACCCGCCAGCGCGACGAGTACTGCCGCAACCTGAACGATGCGCTTGCGCTCGCGCGCGTGCGGAGCCCGGCCCCGCCGGTGCCGGGGGTGCCGGCGTGGAGTAATCTGCACCTGCACCTCGCGCTTCTCAATGCGAAGTTTCAATGTCTGGAGATCCTCGTCACACCCTCGCCAGGGGAGGTAGTGAATCCGAATATATTGCACCGGATGCTGCAGGACATCCGACAGACGGATGTTGCGATGTGGGAGGCGCTGCGGTGCGTGCAGGTGGCGCCGGAGTGTTGGGGCCAGCTGGAGCTGGCGCGCGAGGAGTGGGAGAAGAAGTTTGCGGCGTGGTTCTGTGTCGATGATGTGGGTTCTGCGCGCTTTTATGAGTTGAGTGGTTTGCTGGCTCAGCTTACGCAAAGTATTGAGCATATTCAGACTTGCTGAGGCGTCTGTTGTTGTTTTGGGGTTTGCTGCTTTTGAGTTGAGAATGCTTTCTTACGTATTTCCTTCTTGAGGCTACTTTGGATTTGCTGGTTGTATCATCTCTTGGTGGTTGCGCTCGTTTTGCCACTTTCTTTTATCTAGGTACTATCATCACATTACTAGGTACATTCGTGTAGACCAAGACAAAACATGGATACGGAGGATGAATACTGTGGGTGTGATTTATGGCGTTGAGGGCCACGACTATGGCTTTGGCGTATGGCTGATCTAAGTAGCCAAATCAATTGCGAATATTTTACCGTATCGACACTGATAGCCGTAGCATGAAGCTTGTTACGTGAAGTGCAATAGTAATGCGCCCTAAAGAACCTGACCACCCCCCACACAGCTTAATCATTATGCGCGACGAGAATAATCTCAGTAAAACTTTTGAAAAACCATAGGTAGATTACTTTTAATTAAGCAATTAGAAACGTGTCACCGAAGACTTAATTACATCCATATTACACGTAATAACGACAACAGCTTAGTAGTCGTCGTTGTTGTTGCGGCCGAATCCACTAGCACCGTCGCGCTTCTCACGACCCCTTTCTTCAATGCGGTCGCTTCCAAGAGCTGAGCCGACCTCTGTGATCGAATTAGTAATTTTTTCAAGAATCTCAATGGAAATGTGTGCAATGAAGATTTGGAGAAGACCAAGATGAAGAATAGGGGTAAGACTCACTCTCTAGCACCTTGCCGGCAAGGCTATCTCCCTTGTTGCTGGAACCGTAGGAGTCGTTGTTGCTAGACCCATACGAATCATTCTTCGATCCATAAGAGTTAGAAGAGCCGTAAGAGTTGCTGTTGTCGTTCGAGCCATAGCTGTTAGAATTGCTAGATCCGTAGGAATCGTTGTTGCTAGAACCATAGCCGCCGGAGCCCTTGTTCTGGTTCGATGACCCGTAAGAGTCGTTGTCGTTGTTGTTTTTACGGTTGTTGGAGGAGCCATAGCTACTGTCGTCATTGCGGGACGAGCCGTAGGAGTTGTCATTGTCTCGGCGGTTGTTGCTAGACCCGTAGCTATCGCTGTTGTCGTTGGATCCATACGAGTTGCTGTTGTTGTTTCGGCCAGAGTTGCTTGAACCATAGCTATCATTGTTGCTTGAGCCATAGCTGTCGGTCTTACTCGAGCCATACGAATCATTCTTGCTTGAGCCATATGAGTCGTTTTTTCTTGAACCGTACGAGTCGTTGTTGCTGGAGCCATATGAATCATTGTTGTTCTTAGACCCGTAAGAGTCAGTGTTGCTCTTGGAACCGTAGCTGTTGTCATTGTCGCGGCTGGAACCGTATGAGTTATCGTTGTCTCGACGAGACGAGCCATATGAGTTATCATTGTCGTTGTTTCGGGAGGACCCGTATGAGTTGCCCGAGCCGTAGCTGTTGTCGCCACCACCGTAGCTTGACTAACCCGATTTCATGTCAGACACCACCTGTAGCAATGGATTGAGTATACATACGTTGTTGCTGTCGTTGTAAGACATTGTGATTGTATGTGAGTTTGATTAGATGTAGATTTAAGTGATCTGAGTAGGTTGTATGGGTAGGACTCTGGGGATAGACACAAGATAGAAATATCTACGGTAGACAAAGCCGAGAGAGGGGTAATTATATAGAACAAACACAGGCTAAGACATTGGAGGCCCTCGAAGAGCAAGCTCCCTTTACTCGGTTGAGGGGAGCTTTAGGAGGGAGCTCATCTTGGAGCTACGAGGTACGACGTCACCGAATACCTCTCAATAGATCAAAGAGCTATGGCTAGGTTCGGCGAAGGCGAAGGCGCCACGGTGGATCATTAGGCTATCCGGGTGTGCTCGGCGGGTTCAAAGCCAAGTACTATTTTCCCCAGCTGGGAGTTCCTGGTCTAAAGCCACCGATTTCAGCTCCTTGCATCCTTACTTCTGGAAAGCTGCATAATAAGGAGCAGGTTTGAAAAGAAGTCGACCAGTAGTATCAACGAACATACACACACGAGAAGTAGCTCAGCTAACTAAATAGATTCGTCATCTCTAGAGACATGGCGGCACATCATTAGGTAGTGGCGTATTCCGTGCAGCAATTCGTGACAAGATGTCCCGTTTCTTGTATATGCTAGATCGTGTGAGATTTTCTCAATATTTCCCTTTTGGGCAAGTTAGTTCATGGAACTACACACGTATTTGGCGTCCTCTCACCAAGCTCATTAGCTGAAATTACCGGAACTGGTCGATACTTGACCGCTGTCGGCAGGTCGGAGAAGCAAACATGGATAGACCCGTTGCGTCAATTTGGAACATGCTGTGCATAGGTAGTTGATGTAGTTGATGTAGCGGATACATGGTAGAATTCACTCTGGATCCTGATCTTCGTACAAAGCACGGCGCCAGCCCAAACGTCATAGATGATGTAGGGGTTCGTGATGTCGCTCAACTCCGGCTGGTGGGGGGCAGCTCAATAGATTCCTGACTATAAACAAGCTAAGCCGTGCTTGTGCCAAGAAAATCCAGGGGTATCGTCCCTGTTCAGATCGCGCAGGTTACCTGAAATTCGATGAGATCGGACCCATCAACTTCTATAGTCGGAATTCCTAATCGTATTCTGCTATGTGTCTGCGTGTATGAACTATGTATAGCTCATAAGGATTGAATTCATCGTATTATTACCCCGCTTACGTCAAAAGCAAAGGTAAGTCAGGATTAAGATTCAACCTTAGTATTCGGGAGACCGGGAAGAGGGGTGGAGCAAATTTTGCGTACGCAGACAGCCACCTGTAGAAGGCGCTGTCTTAGATGTCTTTAAACTGTCCACTTAAAATCCACTATAGCGTACACATGTTGCGCTAAGTAATCCTCTAATAAAGCCCTTCTCTCTTGCCGACATATGGTTGCCTAGAAGAGTTGGAGTACCGGATTATTACTTGGAGGTACCTATATGTACCTAGCAGTTGCTCATTTTCGAACCAAAACAGATAAACCATAGGTATCGTGTATTTCTGGTAAAGATATAAATCTTTTTCTCGAATGTCTATACGCATCTAATTAGAGAAGCTCCATCGTGTAACATAGAGCGCCCCGAATGTGTTCCTTACGACTCCGTGCCAGATGCTCCGTTCCGCGCTACACATAAATGCTTCCCAAGTATAACAAGTCTTTAATACCGGACCTTGCCGAGCGTTTCTCCTATATGCCCTAGAGCCTTGTTTGGACGACTCTCAAGGTGTGCATTTATAATGACTTGGTCTATAGGGGTATCAATCAATGCACATGCACCATTCGTACTTTGAGAGACCTCTCTCATGCAACAACACCCAGCACTAGCTCTCATACCGCTTATAGAGCAGGTAACAGCACACTATACCGTAGAGCTAGAAAAGATGACGATCGGAAGTCCGGTGCCACTGAGCTTCATTACATGCCGTCATGCGTCACGACAATGTTGCTTCAGCTCCACTAGCTCTGACGACACCATCGCCGTTTGTAGCAGGTACTGCGATAGATTTATTTCGAACTTTCTGGGTTAACGCTACTATCTCATTAAGCATAAGTTCCCGAGTACTACGAGTAAGCTCGTCGACATCCTCAGGTTTCAGCCCAACGGTAGAAATAGGGTCAAGAACTAGGAGATGTCAGTGTCGGTTGCGACTAAAAATTTAGTGGATGCAAATACCTTTCACCGGAATCTTCCCCGACTTAAATACAAGTCCCTTAATGTAGAGCACATGGGAGTAGTTTGCTGATACGACCGGGACGATTGGCACGCCAGCTTGGACGGCAAGATGAAAAGCACCCTTCTTGAAGGGTAAAAGGTCGGGTTCCTTCGAATAACTACGGGTGCCTTCGGGGAACATGTAGACGCTCTGTTTTCGCTCCTGTATCTCTTTGGCGGCACCAGCCATCGCGCCCCTCGCATCTTTCGAATTCTTTCTATCAATGAAGATTGTGCCACTCAAGGACATGAACCATCCCAGGAATGGTACATTCTTCAGCGCCTTCTTCGCAGTTACGCTGCAGTACTTGGGGAACATACACCCAAGCATGAGAACATCCAACTCAGTTTGATGGTTCCCGATAAATACGGCCGGTCGTACTGTCTCGAGGTATCGGTTGGGATCGATAATCTCGAAAGTAACACCGGTGGTGGCGGCCATGATATATTTGAATGCACGCGCCGTAGTCCACTGCGCGATCTGCTCGCGACCAAGTATTCTCAATATTATAGATGCTATGGCTCCATAGATGGCGCATATTATTAACGAGATATAGCCGGCGAGGGTTCGGGCTGCGAAGGCCGCTACGGGCACGACGGAGGAGAGCATGTATAAGGCGAGAACGAGGGTGGTATAACCCCCGATGAAGTAGGTTAGGATAGAGAAGAAGGACATGCTGTCCAAGACATCAGCGAGTAGTCGCAGATATAGGTCGGAGATTTTCGAAGTAGGTCAAGGGTCAAGGGTCAAGTTCTTATGAGGTCGGATGAACTATAGGGAGGACGTGCTGGAGGACGTGCTGGAGGATATGCTGAAGGAGGTGCCGAACGTGGTAGGTATCGGCTAATAAATTTGGTTGATATACACTTGTGACGGGAGCTAAGTCAGGTTGCGCTTGCGGATACGGTCACTTTCACAGTCACAGGACCATTCTTGTGCCATCCTCATATTGGAGCATATTGAAATATTGGAGCATTGGAAGTAGAGTAGACTTTGGCAGAATATTTCTAGGTGGCAGGTTTATTTCTCACCGACAACTAAAAAAAAAAGCCGTGATTTGTTGAGGGGGAATCGTACCTAGGTACATGCGCTAGTGAACTTTAACACGTCCACGGGTCCTAAAAATCCACTTGGCGCATGTGATTCAACCCCACAAACTCTTATCAGATAGACGATGCACTAAAAGAGTGCTTATATGCGAGGTACCTGAGCTTAATTCTCGCTCACCACAACAAAAGCTTGAATACTTCAAGGTTATTAACTGCCAATTCAATGCTTCTCATTATCATCATCTGTAGCAATCTGCAAATACAAAACAATAACGCTAATGGGCAATGTGCATGACGCTATGCGACACATCTCTCAAGCCTGACGGCTATGATTACTAGATTAAGTCGCCATCGCCATTGACATTGCCATTGACATTGCCATTGATATTGATATTGCCATTGCCATTGACATTGTCATTGGCATTGCCATCATCATCCTTCTTGGCAATAAATCCCCAACTCTTAAGTAGAGGCACGGCTGACTCGATTTGCCAATCCTGTAAGCAAACCTGAAACTCCTAGTTGGCCTCGTTTCCGCTCTGTCTAGGCACTACGCTTATTACTCCGCGACTGTCATTTATCCACGGTCTGCGTATGAATCTCGGTCTCCCGTCATTCCCACCGCACCCGGCACCAGGAATACCGAAAGGGAGATCCGCGCCATACCCAACATCGCACATTTTAGTGCTAGACTTGCTGCAAGTGATCGCGTCTTCCGCGAACTTTTGGATTTCCACAGGTTTCGTGAGGTTGGCCAGTGTGGTTATACGACGTCGAATGTACACATTGTCCAGTTTTTCCTTCGCCGCAAAGACAACCCGGGTAGCTTGTGCGAACCAGCGGATAGACTGCTCATGAAAGTAATCGTCTTCCCCTTCTGTCTCCATAATTTCATCGCCATTTCTAATATAACCAACACTGTTCGCCGACATATTGCCAAAATATGTATCGCCAAGGGATGGTTGTAACTGAGTGCGGGTATTTATATCGATATATAGTCTGACGTCTCTGTTTGGTGCATGTGCGCTGATTTGCCCTGCTCGAATAATCTCGACCCAGATCATGCCTACAAGACAATCAATTATTTTCACGGCGTCAGGAATAAGATTCCCGCGAAGGCAATGGATAATCTTAACACTCCATTGGAGAGCCCGCGCGGCACTCATTATGAAAATGTAGTTTGTGGGTTTGTCTTCGTATTCTGGTACCCCATTTACAATGATATCGCTAATGGACCATTCTGGAAAGTCGAACATTGTCGCGGCGGCGCCAGGGACAACATATTGAGAGAATTGAGCGGCACTAGGGCCGCCGTACACTAAGACGCCAGGAATGTATTAGTTAATCGTAGCATGAGTATTCTGATGATCGACCGAACACATACCTACCTCCCGAGTAAACACCTCAGGACTATGAATGCCCCAAGCAAGTTTTTCGAGGAAAAGGCCGACTGACCACTCATCCATGACAGAATGATGGAAGGAAAAGCAAAGAAATAGACCACCGCTTCCAAGGAAATTTGCCTGTAGCGTGAAAGCTGGTTGCCATATGGAAGGATCCGGAATCAGGGGCCCTCCGCAGAATTCTTCCTTTTTTAAATAACATACAGGCATATGTGCCCTGCACATGTTTTCGTAGTTACCAGCAAGGTCATCGAAACATTTGTGTGTGACTATCTCATTGATCCTTTGCCGGTCAATCGTATCGCTGTAACACAGTTGGAGTTTCTCGTTGGGTTCATCGGACAAAGCTTTCAGCTGTCCTGCAAGGAAGGGATAGAACCCAAGAGCATTTTCGGCACCCCGTTGAATGGCAGCGATCGCCTGGCGTATAGAGAGCTCTGAGCAGTCCGGAAAGTCGAAGATGTACAACCAACGAATATACTCTCGAGGTGCTGTATATTTTTAGCGATGAATTTGTATTGTAGGAAGTGAGGTTCAACAATACCAGATTGATCAACACATGTCAGAGGATATGTGTGAATTACACCTGAAGGGGGACTCAATTGTAGGCCAGGATTGGCTAGGGTATTTCCATTCATCATTTTCGATTATTGAATTGACTTAGAAGAAGGTGATCGGGAACAGTGAGAGTGACAGAGTATTAAGAAGATAACTGATCTTGATGATGCCGTATCCAATATTTCCAACAATACGACCAAACAATGTGCTTTTTTTAAAAAATCATCATAAATGGTATCCACGGATACTCAGTAAAGATGAGTCTCGGGCAGAGATACCATAAATCTAACTAAGCGGCAGCTATTTCCCTCACATCAACACCAATACGTCAATCAATGGGTAAGGGGGTTCACATATGGGAAATAACAACCCTCTGATAAAAGGATAAGTCGGAACTCATATTGGCAGGTGCTTCTAGTAATGATCATAAATAATTAGCACGAATTTGATAACATTGATCTCACTGGAACAAGAGGCAGCTTCATGCTTACCTAGGTAGGTATATGTATTACACCTTTGCCCGAGTTCCGAGGGTTATTGTGTCTCAACGAAACGTAGGTACCTACCTATACTGAGCTCCTAAAGCCAGCGCCCTAACCCTCAACCAACCAGTGACCACATCTAGTTACTAGGTAGATACTTACGTTGCAGCTGTAAGTTTGAGGCGGCGAAAAAACGTATTATACCTAACTTACTATCGGTAAACAGCGGAAAAATAAGATATATCTTTCCTAATCGTCATCCAACTAGCATTGTCATGCCTTACCTACTGCCTACCTAGGTACTCTAGCTGGCTGCCTCCCTGTATATTTGGCTCACCTAGCTCTACTTAAGTAAGCCTCGAATAAACCCCAGAAGTAAACTTCAGGGCAACTATAACCATCGCCAACCCACTATCTTAAAACCACATTTCATTCTTCATACTAGATAGCCAAAGGGACTGGTTCGGATATTCGTCTAAGACCATACACAGATATTCGTGCCAATCATCAGTCCAACCAGAGTTAGCAAATATAGCCGTTGAATATTCCCAGTAAGTTGGATACCAAGACGCAAATTCCCAGTCGATAATAAGTGGCGTGCCATCGGGCTGTACCAGGACATTCTTCCTCTGAAAGTCGTTATGGGTAAAGACAGGAGAGCCATTACCGCGAAGGACAGTCGGGAAGACATGCTGGTAATACTGAGCCTTATAGGCCATACGCTTGCCCGTTTCAAGAGAGTATGCTTGGATGATATAGTCGATTAGGTTGTCCTCAGTTGTAAGCGATGTCTTTATATCCTGGGTATTCTGTATTGTCGAAAACATATCGTCAAGTGGTGGTCCGCCGTCAATGTCGCCAAAGTAGCCCGGCGGCTGTAGTTGCCGGAGCTGATCGAAATAGGTTCGAAGGGTCAAGGCGATAGCGGTTTTGCGAGCCCTGTCTAAGCTGGCCCATGAGTCTAAAAGCGTCGTGCCCGGTACATATTGCATAAGTATATATGTGACAATGTGTTGCTCTTCTTGACATTGGTATATCGCGTAAACCTTGGAAATCGGCACAGTGGTAGACTTTGCTACATATAGCATATTATAGCCCTCGATAGGGTGGACATGAATGCCGAATTTGACGAGAAATCTTTGCTGTACCCGTAGGAGGCGACAGCCTGTAGACTCATGGACTACGGATTCAGAGCCATCAATATCGTTTGGGGTTGGTAGAGGATTGGGAAGGTTTTGGGACTGGTCTAAAAACAAGACATTGTATGGCTTTGCACTAGGCATAATGAATTTCACCTCAAGTGCCTACCTACCTAGTACCTAGAATGGATACCTGAAGGTTTTGGAAGAATGGCAAAGTGGGTCTAAGAGTGAGAATTTTAATTGGGAGAAGCTGGGTATCACGTGTGTAAACTGGAGAAGTCCCGATCTACACCTACAGTACCTAGGCTGCTAGGTACCGTCATCAATATTAGGTAATATGCAGAGATAACTCAGATCACAAAAAGTTTAAACAAAAGCTTGGCGAAGATGGGGAAGAATATCGGGGTTTGACTCGCTGTTCGTATAAAATCGGATTCGTTTCACTAAGGTCTCGGATAGTCGTCATATTATCGATTTGGCGTTACGGGCATTGCTGAACATCCCATTGAGACGGGCAGGACGGAAGGGAACATAAAAAATTGGTCGTAACCAGGCGGTGATCACTTCTAGGCTATAGACTAATAACGTACGATGCCGCACAGCCCGGGGGAGGATTAGTGGATTACGCGCAGTTATGGCACGTGGATGGTGAAACCAGTTCCTGTTTAGGTAAGAAAGCTCGCTCTAAACCAATGGGATAAATCGTATGTGAAAAATTACATCTCCGTATGGTTCTCTGCAGCGATAGAGACAGGCACCTAAGCGGGGCGAATGCGGGACCCCGAGGTCCCGAAGAGAAGAACACATTTTTATGCTATTATAGACAGTATATACTGTAATCATACACGGTAGATATTACTATACACCAGCACTCGCCTAGTCTTGTCACGTCGTATGGACTACGGGTTATGAGTTGGGAGCTAACTAGATTATTCTTTCACGCCTCTTACGTTAGCAGCCTTAACAGCGTTAGGTCCAATGATTTTTAACCCTTGTTTGTTTCGGTAGATTCTGTTTTCCAATCAAATCTCGTCAATCTGTCATCAAGTTTTGGGGGACTTTAAGGGACCACGTACCTGAATTATTACACATACCTAATATATCCATAAGAGGTAGGCATGTATGTATGTAGGAGGCAGTTAAACCAAATTAAAAGACAAATATAAAATCTTCTTATAAACTGAAAGAGATAAACCTACTTAATTATTTATTTTCAATGGTACCCCCAAACCCGATATGTATTGGCCATATGTTACTTATACATACCTATTAGTTCTAAGATGTTGAAAGTAAAAAAGAATCCCCAAAGCATGGCTTTATAGGTACCAGACTCGTATGTGACAAGATGTACCGTATCCTGCGCACCTTCTGCACCAACCGTTATACCCCACCATAACCTAGAACCTGGTAGGCAGCGGGTACAATAGACACCGCCCTAAAATATTTAGTACATAAATCGTATCCTCTCTACATACTTCTTCTTATTCACCCACCACAGAACCCTCTTTTTTCTTCCAAGTGTTTTGCCCCAATCAATTGGTAAAAAACAACTCTGGATTCTGGTTTTCCCAGTTGATCACCCCTCATCATGGACGCTGTCCTTCGTCAATCCAAGGCTATGTGCCCCTTCTTGAAGAAGGCCTCCCCCGCCACCCTCCGCGCTCTGTCCACCTCGACCCGTCCCCAAACTTCTCCATGCGGTGGCACCATCTCCAAGTTGCAGCTGCTCGGCCAGCGCTGCCCTGTCATGGGCAAGGCGCTGGCCATACAGTCTGCTAGAGGAGTTGGAAGGACTCCAATTGGTAGCGCTTCTACCGCTATGGCAGGGATTCGTCATCACTCCGCTTCGTCAAAGCCGGGTAGAGCTAGAATTCACACCAGCCGCTCTCACGAAGCCAGAGCTGTTGACACCTCTGTGTTTCCTCGCGAATCAGGTACGGGTGCTTCTTTGAACCAATTTTAAATCCAATGGCTCACAATTCCCTGTAGTGCAATTCCCACCAGCCGTTCACGCCAATCGCAAAGCCAATGCGCCTACTCGGGTTGGGGAGTCTCGTGGCGCAAATGCCAAATTCGATTACGATGGCTTCTATCAGGGGGAGCTTGACAAAAAACACAAGGATAAGTCGTATCGTTACTTCAACAACATCAATCGGTTAGCCAAGGAGTTTCCTCAGGCTCACGGGGCTAAGAGGGAGGAGCGAGTAACCGTGTGGTGCTCTAATGATTACCTGGGAATGGGCCGGAACTCTCAGGTTTTGCAACAGATGCACGAGACTTTAGATGAATATGGTGCTGGAGCAGGCGGGACGAGAAATATCTCCGGCCACAACAGACATGCAGTCGAACTCGAGGGAGCTATAGCAAAGCTGCACTCTAAAGAGGCAGCACTTGTCTTTAGTTCCTGCTACGTCGCTAACGATGCGACTCTTGCGACTCTCGGGAGCAAGCTACCGGAATGTGTCATTTTATCTGACAGTCTGAATCATGCGTCCATGATCCAGGGTATTCGCCATTCTGGAACCAAGAAGATTGTCTTCAAACATAATGACTTAGAAGACCTCGAAGCTAAACTGGCTTCTCTACCGCTCGATGTGCCTAAGATCATCGCATTTGAGTCCGTTTACAGCATGTGCGGTTCAATCGGACCGATCGAAGGGATATGTGATCTTGCCGATAAATATGGTGCTATCACATTTCTCGACGAAGTTCATGCAGTTGGCATGTATGGCCCGAGCGGCGCCGGTGTTGCTGAGCATCTTGATTTCGAGGCCCACCAACAGGGTAAACCCCAAGGAACTATTATGGATCGAATAGATATTATAACTGGAACTCTTGGCAAGGCGTATGGATGTGTCGGTGGTTACATTGCGGGAAGCGCGAAGCTTGTGGATATGATTCGGTCCCTTGCTCCAGGCTTCATTTTCACGACCTCTCTTCCGCCGGCTACTATGGCAGGCGCCACAGCTGCCATCGAATATCAGATGGATTATAATGGAGACAGAAGACTCCAACAACTCCATACGCGTGCTGTTAAAGAAGCATTAGATGCTAGGGACATCCCTGTCATCCCTAACCCTTCACATATCGTTCCGATTTTGGTCGGAAATGCTGAGCTTGCAAAGCAAGCCTCAGATATGTTGCTCAACGATTACCAAATTTACGTACAGTCTATTAACTACCCAACCGTACCAGTTGGTCAGGAGCGCTTAAGAATCACTCCGACCCCAGGTCACACCAAGGAATATCGTGATCAACTCGTCGACGCTGTCGATGAGATCTGGTCAAAGCTTGGTATCAAGCGAACCTCCGAGTGGGCGGCTGAGGGCGGTTTCATCGGTGTTGGTGAAGCCGGAGTCAACGTTCAGGATCCTCTGTGGACTGACGAACAACTTGGAATCGATCAGGAAGTCGCCAATGAAATCAAGAAGTCTAAGCCAGCCAATGGCTTCATGGAAACTCTTCTCGAACGCGAGAACCTGGCTAAGGCCGTGAGCACGACTGCCTAATCGTATTCTTAGTCTCATTGGAGACGGATACGCATCGCAAAAGGGGAGCTCATCGGACCTAAACCACGTTCTTTCGAGCGTAGCGGGAGATTTGGAAAGACTGCGATCTTCACATCTGATCTGATTCGAATTTTAACTCGTGCTGTGTGAACTACTTAGTCATACACAGCATTGTAGTGAATTATATAACTCGGCCCAATGGCATTTAAATAACAATACAGAATACAATCAGCGCCATCTCGACATTCGAATGGATAACGCTCATTGAACTTCAGATGCTTCATCAAGGACTTATCTAAATGTGAAATTTGGTGTGGATTTGCTCCGATTTATGACGGAAATCTGTCAGTTTGATGGTACTAATCCTCAATATTAACTCTAGGTGGATTATTAGTCTCAAACTTCCATGGTAGACATACAAGAAGATACCGTTACTAATATCAGGTACAAACGACTCAATTCCGATTAATGCATTTCGACGCATATCGACTCATTTTAAGCCATGCTTAGAATCGGCCGGCTCATAACCTTGGGAATCATCAAGGAAATCGGTCAGTAGCGGTTAGTCTTCACCAATGCCACTAATGACAGCAGTTCCATTTTTAAACATAAGGTCTCCCTTTCAGAAGACTAGAACCAAGCCCGTCGCGCGCGAAGACTTCTCAGTGGCTAAATACGTACGTAATTCGGCGAAGAGGATCTCCTCTCGACCATTTACCCGCTCTTGGGTTGGATATCGTTAATCTGAATAGTCTCACATACCCCACAACCAAGATGCGGAGGTGACATTCGCAGGGAGCTTAACATGACGACCGCATGGGCTTCGAAGCGAACCGGCTACTTCTCCATGTGTTGGAGATATCAAACGGCTGTCTACGGTACATTCAAATATTACCGCTAGAATACGGCAACGGTCTAGAACAAGACATGTCAATTAGTTTGGATCAGCCGGCAAATATCGATCATGCCGGTCTTTACCTCGTTTGGAGCCTTTGTGGCGGGTTTATAGACTAATAAAAAAGGGGAAGCCTTTCTATACTAGGTGTAGATTCTACCTACGAAACAGCTGTAAACATCGCTTCAGGACATCAAAATGAAGCTAACAGATCTGCTCGCCCTAGCTGGCGCTCTACCTCTCGTATCAGCTGTGCCATCATGGCTCCCAGTCAACCGACGTCAGGCCGGCCCGACAATTACGGTTGACTTGTCGAAGACGTATCAGACGATTGACGGGTTCGGCTGCAGCTTCGCTTTCCAGCGGGCTAACCTAATCACCAACATGTCTGACAAAATCAAGCAGCGCGAGCTCCTAGACTTACTCTTCAACACGACGTCTGGTGCCGGTCTGTCCATCATTCGCAACGGCATCGGGTCCAGCCCGGACAGCAGCTCCGACCACATGAACACGTTCGCGCCCAAGGACCCCGGTGGCCCGACGGCTACTCCTAACTATACCTGGGACGGCAAGGACTCCGGTCAACTATGGCTCTCTAAGGAGGCGTACGACGCGTACGGCGTGCGCCAGATCTACGGCGATGCTTGGAGCGCCCCTGGATACATGAAGACGAATGGTAACGAGGTCAACGGCGGCACGCTGTGCGGTGTTAGCGGGACGAATTGCCGGAGTGGCGATTGGAGGCAGGCGTATGCGGACTACTTGGTCCAATACGTCAAGTACTACGCCGAAGCTGGCGTCCCAGTTACTCGGTATGTTATCATTCTTTACATATAACAGGCAATGTGACTAGTAATCATTCAACTAACCTCCGCCCTAGAATCGGGTTTCTCAACGAACCCGAGTTCACCACGAGCTATGCATCGATGAACTCAAACGGAGCGCAAGCGGCCGACTTCATTAAGATCCTATACGCTACAATCGAGGCCGCGAACCTTACATCGCAGGTAGGTATCGGGTGCTGCGAGTCGGAGGGCTGGGGAAACCAAGTGAATATGGTCAACGCGATCAAGTCCGCCAACGCAGAGGGAATGCTCGCCATGGTTACATCCCATACTTATACAGGCGGGCCATCTGGTCCCATGAATACACGGTATGAATATAACCTCACCCCTTTGTGATGCCAATGCTAACATACTTATAGTACGTCGCATCTTCCCTTTCATTCTTTTGCTCCTACCTCCCGCTCCAACTCTCCAAGTAGAACTTAGTGTAAGTCCGCACACAATACTAACACAACCCCACAAAACAGGCGTCCCCGTCTGGCTCTCCGAGCAATGCGACCTACAAGGGCAATGGACATCAGCATGGTACCAAGGCGGCGGCGCAGGTGAAGGGCTCACCTGGGCCAACAACATCTACAACGCGCTCGTGAACTCCAACGTATCGGGGTACCTCTACTGGGAAGGAGTGCAATGGCCATCCCCCAACACAAACGAGAAGATGATCCGCGTGGACCAGCAATCGCCATACAACTACGAAGTCTCGAAACGGCTGTGGGCCTTCGCCAACTGGTCGCGCTTCGTGCGGCCCGGCGCTCTCCGCGTCGCGAGTAGCGGTGGCACCGGCGTCAAGAGCGCTGCTTTCAAGAATGTTGATGGGAGTATTGCGGTTGTGGTTATTAGCACGGGGGGCTCGGCGAGTAGTGTTAGTATTAAGGTCACTGGGGCTAATGCGACTGCGGCGACGGGCTGGGTCACTGATACCACCCATAACTGCGCGGCGATCAATGTTACGGTCGCTGATGGGACGATTAGCGGCAGCGTTGCTGCGCGGTCTATCACGACGTTCCATATCCCGGCACCGCCTGCGCCTCTGGCTGCTAAGAGCGAGGTAAGTAGGCGGGGTTGGCGGTTCGTATGAGTGCTGATGCACCGTGCTTGAGAGGTAGTTTAAAAGGGGTTATTTCGAGCAGTAGTATAAAACTAGGTATTTTACGAATAAAATGACCATCACATCTCAAAACACCTTATATCCGCGCAAGCAAGCTCCCCAAAACCGTCTTCGAGCTCTCACTAGTCTGCTTAACCAACGCCGCCATATCCCTGAACTCCGGAATCGCCGCGTCGCCCATACACTCGAACAGCCAGCTCTCGCTCGTCGTGACCGTAGCCCCGGCCTCCGTCAGCCGCGCCAGCGCAACCGGTATCTCCTCCGTGTTGCAGCTGCTCACCCCGTCCGCTAGCACGTACACCTTGTGTCCGCGCGCGAGCAGGTCGAGCGCCGTCTGCGTGACGCAGATGTGGCTCTCGATCCCCACGATCGCGACCTCGCGCTGCTCCGTGGCCTCCGGCGGCAGCACGATGGGGAAGTGCGCTTCGATTTCGGGGGCGCGAAGCATGCTGAAGGCTGTCTTGTCGACGTTGACTTCGGCGCCCGCGATTAGGTCTGTGAGCTCTGAGACTGTGGCCCCGAGCTTGGCTGCGTTTTGCGTTGTTACGTAGACGGATATCTTGAGGATCTGGGCTGCGCGGAGGATCTTTTGTGCTGTGAGGATGCTGGGGTTTGTGTTAGATAGGCTTAATTGCTGCTTGGGTGGCGTAGTTACATCTTGTCGAATTGCCAGATGCCCGTGCGGAACCTCTCTTGCATGTCGCAGATACTACGGAATTCTACGTGTTAATCTTACTCTCATTGCGCTAATAATATCGTCGATTCCTTTACTGACAGGATTGCCGGGCGTACTAGAAGCTGTTAGTTTCATCTCACTCTCATTCGTTCTCTCTAATCAATGTGAACGATGGCATAACTCACGGAAACGCCTTTGCGGACCAGATGACATGGTGGTGGTGCTGAAAGGCTTTTGACCGTATTGGTAACAGAAAGGAGTAATTGGACGTGTTCGAATCCCCCTGACGAACGTAGAGGTCGATGCTCTCATGAAACTCATTAAGATATCAATTTGTATGTGAGATGAGTTTACGACAAAGACAAAGAGGAAGATACCGAGCTTCAGGCGAGAATCAGTATGCTTTAGGTACCCTGGCAGCTGGTAGGCACTACGACTAGCGGATGCGGGGGATGGGGAAAAGCGGGAGCAAGAGCGGGAGCGGGGATACCAGTTTCAGCTGGTAGCTTATCGATATCCGAGGGGTCTCATTCATAACCTTGGAAGTGTTAACATTAAAATATAACCGTCTCAGTCTATCACACTTCTAGCTGCTGTATTTCCATGTATATCCAAATTCCAACATTCAAGATATTATGCTATCACCGACACCTTAGCCCTCTTTAACCAAGCGATATCCCCTCTAACCGTAGCTTTCCTCACGTTATGCAACTCATCAATAAACGCTGGGACGAAGGTTCCCGGACCCTTAACATCCTGCCTCTCCGCCGCAAGCTCCGCCGCAATGTTGTAGTACGCTATCCCAGCTATCACAGCACTGAGCTTATCATTCGGATGCGCGGCGACCATAGCAGATATCGTCGTGCCGAGGCAGCAGCCCGTGCCTGTCACCATGCCTAGGTACTCGTGGCCATTCTCAATCGCGAACACTGTTTCCCCGGCCGAGACTAGGTCTATCTTACCTGTCATCACGACGATGTGCTTGCGCAGCTTAGCCAGCTCCTTAATTGCGGACCCTAGCTTTTGTAGATCCTGGCCGTCGGACCCGCTGTCGACGCCTCTTTGCTGGATACTCGATCCTCCGGGAACGCAGGATAGGATCTCCGACTGATTGCCCTTGAGCACGTCGACATAGCCTCCGCCAAATATTGTCTTGACTGCTGATCTCCTAACTACAGTTGCGCCGGCACTACGCATTCCTGTTAATCTGTTTGATCATTCGAATTGATATCTATGGAATTTAGAGCACTTACCCAACGGGATCAAATACCACAGGAAGTCCGACATCATTATACGCCTTCAGCGCCTTCAGATAGTTCTCTAGCCCGTCCGGTGTAACCGTACCCATGTTAATGACCAGTGCACCGCCCAGCTTTGCTAAGTCCGGGGCTTCCTCGCCGTAATTCGCCATGATAGGGCTTGCACCAACACCCAGCGCGACATTCGCGGCGAAATTCTGTACAACAAGATTTGTCATATTGTGCGAAAGCGGCTTTTTGGCATGGACCGCCTTGATGATGTCTGGTACTAGGGCTAGTATCTCCTGAGGCGACCTCTTCTGCTGCCTGGGCGTCGCGAGCGCGTTGGCAAACGGTACTTTCCTCGTTTTTACTAGATTGGAGAGTCGTCTCGCAGCCCATTCCGGAGTCTCTGCAGCCATGATGGCGCTTACGATTGCCACGCCATCCAGTGACTTTCCGTTTGCTGTGCTCTGCCATACCACGCGCGCCACGTTAGATTCGTTGATGCCGCCGATACATACCGTTTTCACCGGCCACTTCTCGGTTTCGATTTTGAGTAGAATTTCTTGAAGACCTTCCACCCCTATAATACTCTTCGTATTCTCCTTTCTGTAGATTTGTTAGAGTTAATGGTATGCATTTGCTCCTTAGATTAAAGGTTCTCACGTAGGTGTCGCGAATACAGTTCCAATCCCCAGATAATCAGCACCTCCTTTTACCGCAGCCTCTACTTCGGCCACATTACTCACAGTAACGCCGATAATAGCGTCTTCTCCGAGGATCTTTCTAGCGGCAGGTAGGTCTATATTGTCAAATGGTCAACTTGAACTTCCCCTAACTCAATTCCAACTCGTTGTTTGAAAGGATTTCATATTATCACCAAAATAACCCGAGAAGTCCTACCTAAATCATCTTGTCCGATATGCACACCCTCGCATCCAACCGCGAGTGCAACATCCACGCGGTCGTTGATGAGGAGCGGGACTTTGTATCTCTGGGTGATCTCGTGTAGCTTCCGGGCCGTCGACACGAGCACACTCGTATCACTTGTCTTATCCCGGTATTGCACGATAGTGGCGTCTCCTTTTAAAGCCTCTTCGACGACCTGGCATAAGTCTCTGCCTCGAAGATACCTAGGCGACGAGTCTGTCACTAAGTATAACGTATAATCGACCTCGTGTTTCGACATCTTCTAACCGGTGGCGAGGCTTTTATGACGTCTGTGAATTGTGCAATTCCAAGTTCTCTACTTGTACATACCTTGTAGGACTTAGCTGCTAAGGTTAAAGCTTTAGCTTGTAAATAGCGGGGTTGATGGCGGGCTATTCCCGGATCCTATAGGCCGCTACCATCCTATCGGATCAACAGTTAAGCAGGTACAGCACTAAATAGGATATCCATGATGTAGGTAGCTCTTAACCTACGGGAACCTGGAAGCTTATAAGATGCAAGTCCAAACCTAGATTTCTTAGTAGGGCTAGGTGAAGATATCATGATTAATGTAATTTATTTGACTTGCTCTTTTATTCTTTTCTTTAATCATGTTTCTACCTACTGGTAAGTAGAATCATTGCGATCCTAGCAGAATATCAAAACGCGAACGCGACAATCCATCATCAAGTATGACCCCGTTTTCCTGTGCAGGAGTAGGCTTCCACTACTCAGCTGCTGCTGTCGGCGTTCTTGGCTTGCCCGACTGACTCATCCACGAGAAAGCCGAAGCACTACCGATGGGGTTCGACGATGTACGGGGAGTCCCAGATACGCTTCGACTCTCACGAGTAGCCCCGGTTGGCTTTGCCTCAGCGCTCCCGATTGGCATTCGCTTCGCATCCCACCGGAGTGCAGCGTTTCCGATACTGACACTGTCCGCGCCACCTTGACTCTTGCGTCGGAGCTCGCCATTGCTTCTGGGTGGTGGAGCCGGTTCGTAAGAAGCCCCCGTTCGAGCCGATGACGACGTCGACTTCATCGGCTTCAAAACCTTCATGTTCCGGCTCCCACGTCCAGCAGGCTGGTACCCACTCAATGGGGTGCTCTCCTTCAGCTCGTTGCCATTGATTGTAGGGCCATGGCGCCATGAATTCCAGATGCTTCCTGATGCCGAGGTTCGACGAACGCTATCGCCCGAAGCGTCGCTTGACTGGACTTGGGATCCCTTTACACTAGATTCCGAGGTACCGGCATCTTTGAACTGCCTCTCGCTTTCGCCGCCGCTCTCCGACACGGTACTTGTCGTAGTGGTAGCAGCTTGCTGACTCGCCTGTTCCGAAGATGGTGAGGTCAACGCTCGGACTTCATCGTCGTCACGCAACTCCTTTGTCTGAGGCCTATCCGATTGCACAGATACAGTGGTCTGTGGCTTGGCCTCGGTTAAGACGAATGGGCGGGCGGTGGCATTCAGCTTCGGCTTTTCGGGGAAGATTGCCATCGTACGGATGTGTTTAAACACTCCATTATCTTCGGGGCGTACAAAGGGAACGGATAGCTTCTCGCGCTCGCTGCCGTACAGAGTCATACGGTTTTGTGAAAACAGGACGTCAGCTGAATGTTCCCTCAATGTCTCGCTACCAATGAAGATGCGGATAGCCTTCCTAGCTTCGGCGTTGTCAGGTAAGTCCATTCCCACTACTTCAAACGTGCAAGTCAGGCTTGGCATCTGTGGCGCTGGACTCATCCCCCGAGAGCTTGGTTGAGAAACGGTAGCCTCCGTCAAGTAGACTGGTAAACGGATTCGATGCACGCCATCCAAATCACGGTGAATGTCGTCCACGAGATCTAATTCTTTAATTAACGAAAATTCGACAACCGACTTTTGGGATCCGGTGCAGACATCTGCGTAGAGGAGGGTATCATGCGCGAAATTAGCAGTAAGCCAGCAACGAATAATGGATGGCACCGAACCCAACACAAACAAACTCGGTGGTGGTTCCGGAGCGGTAATTGGAGACTCTTCGTCCTGACCGCCAGGTGTGAACGTTGTGTCTATGCCTAAGCTACTTCCGTGGCCAGAGGCAACAGAGTGATGAGAATGGATCGAATGTACCGAATGGCCAGCCGAACTATGTCTACCATCCGATTTATGAGACAATGAACGTTCCATCATGTTATGGTTACCAAGGCCGCTACCTGGTCTAATGGGACCAAAATCTCCCGAATGGCGACCGTTCTGCGCCCAGCTTGAGCCTTGGAGCGCACTCTCATCGAAGCGAACACTATTCGCCCTAGAAGCCGCGCCGCGTCTTGTGGGTTCATCTTCGGCATCCAGATGTAGACTACCGAGAAGGCTCTGGCCCTGCTCCTCAAAGTCGTCGAACATCTCGCTCGAGGGAATCTGGAGTGGTCCTAAACATAATCTGTTAGAACTTACCATGACTACAGAAAAGGGAGGATGATATCTAACCGTGCTGTGGCGTGCCACTTAGGGCACTGGGGAAAGGCGAGTTCCAGACCGACTTGATCGCGGCGTCGTCGGCCTGACGCTTCTCCAACCGAGAAATTCTTTCAGCATGGCTGTTCTGTATCATCTGTATCTGCTTGACGTCCATGTGGACAGTGTAGAGTTCGGGGAAGCGAGAATCCATGCCCACCCGGGTTAACAGCGCCACAATTCCAACAGGTAATTAATAGAGATGGTAAAATAAACAGCTAGGGTTAAGTCTGATTGAAGCAAAGATTAAGTTGGACAAGGAATCTGAAGCGTAGGTCGGAAATAACTGGGCAGAATGGTTCACGTCTAAGGGGCCTAGGAAGCCCACTTCTAGCATTGGATCGGGGCGCCGTGAAAAAATTGTAGCTCATCGACTTATGTATAGCTCCGAAGAACGGTGCTTCGCGGTGTAATCGTTTTCTCGTTTCAGCCGTTACGACTTCTATCCTTGATATATGAAAGATGAGGTCCACCACCACCTCCTCATCGCAAAGGACCAGATGGCCACCTAGCGAATCACCGTATAGGGGGCAGTGTTTCTCTTGCTCGAATCTAATATACGCTGATATTTATTGGGGTAACTGCTCAAGATCGAAACACGACGGCTTCCGGCGGATATTTGGAATGGATGAGGAGATGGCGAGACGACGGTATCGTGTAATCTCGATCAGGTATCCTTTTCGTGGGACGTTTCTGGGACGAATCTCTTCGCGGTTGAGAAGGGCGAGCGAATTCTCGTAGCACCAAGGCGGCTTCGGCGTAGCAACAATATATTACAATCACAAACTAAGGTTACACGCCAATTGAACGTTTTTCTCTTCAAATAGACGATGTTAGGTAGGCTTAGTCGGCGGTGGCGACTTAAGATCGAAGAGGATCTACGGGGTGGAGGAGGTCTTTTTTAGTAATCGAGGGTCGGCGTCAGAGAAGGCGACTTTGAGGGAAAGAAAGGGAGCACAGTTCGATCGGACTTCCAAGTTTCAGAACAACACACGAGAGGGATAGATTGGTATATTGGTGGGGGGTATAATGGAAGGATAACTATCAAGATAATTGGATTTTGGATTTGGCAAAAAGAGGAGCAAAGGAAGGTAGAGGTAGTGGGTGATTGAAGAATGATGTGTGTTATGTTTTTTCTGAGAAAAAGGGCGGATGGGTTGGTAGATATCGAGAATCGAGGTGAAGGTTGATTACGGTGCGGTCGTAGGTAACGTACCTCCTAGTATTCTCACAGAAAAAAAAGTAGTGGTCCCCAGGTCCCATAGGCTTACAGGCTCATAGGCTCATAGGCTCATAGGCAGGTCCCATAGGCAATTAGCAGTGGCCCGTTCACGTTCGCGGGCACTTCTCCACCATTGGATTCCTTCTAGCTGCTTAGCGTGCATCAGCTTCCAGTACGTACCACATTCTACACCTTGTACAGACCTTGTACCACACCGTTGATAGGCCTTTGTTACGTCCATAGGTATTTCCCTAATGCACTGACCAAGCGGCTTCCCACCGACTAGGCTGAGTGGTACATAGCGCAATAGCGACCCTAGCAGCCCTAGATAGGCCCTAGACTAGGAACGTAGGGAACGCCACAACAAGATCTCCGACTAAATTTGACCCAATGGATCTTGTTCAATTCTCCTAACGCAATATCCCGTATGCGTGCTTTATATTACGAGCAGTACGATGTGCTCAACCAAGCATTCTTAGGAGATAAGCTGGCATGTAACTTACCTGCTACATGTACCTATTCACGGACGTACAATTTGCATACCTAGGAACCTACAAGTACCTATTTTAGGCACCCAACCTTCTATCAACCTGTCGGTTCCGTCAGTTCAGTTTGACTCATACATCCAAGGATCTCATTACATTTGAGTAACCTATATGCAGGTTACTTACGACCTAGGTATGCTATAATAACAACCTTGGACCCCTGGACTACCTAAACTCCGATAGGCTCTTGTCTTGGACGATTAAAGTGTTCCGGGGTTTAACACACGCCACTCTGGAAACACCGTTTGTCCCTCTGGAAATGGACCAATATGCGGCTTGACAATATCAAAAAAGACCTTGTATGCCTCTCCACTCATGTGCAACCCGTCCGGTAAAAGCTGCTCTAAGGCACCTCGTTTGCCTTCAGGGTACCCCAAGGGAGGCCCGCCCGCATCAAAGTCTGTAGTCAAGGAGACTGCCTTGTCTAAGATTGCTTTCTGGAGATCGATAAGCACGATACCGGGGATCTCTGCCGCCACTTTTCGAGCTGTTTCAGAGAATGAGGCGCTGACAACCGCTTGCCGAACCGCTTGCGCGTGACCTGCAGCCAAGTCAAGCTCAGTAATTCGAATTTCGTCGATTGGTGGTGGTGTAACCAGCAGAATCTTAGGGTTATGAGCTTTTATACAATCGTGATTTAGGATCTTGGTTAAGTTATCCTTGTATTGATCGATTGGAACTCCCTGTGTATTTGTCGGGACGGGGAGGCACGCGTCATTTGCACCTAACAGCACCAGCTAAAACACGCCACAGTCAGCATTCACAAGCATGTCCATACTCAAACTGAGTAGCCACAGAACGAATGAGACCATAAGGCCGTCATGGTAATGCCATAACTTACAAGGTACTCTATCTTAGGATTCGACGGCGACGGCGGCAAGAATATCTGAGGAAGATATTCCAAAGCATTTTTGGTATTCCAGCCAGAGAATCCCCTGTTTACCACATCAAGGTATCGTATACAGTCTATAGGCCAGTTAGAGGCAAATATATCGTTGTCCCAAGGGTTATGTAGTCATACGGTCCTGCAAAGCACCCTGAAACGAGAAGCCATCTTGAACTGCGCTAGACTGCTGGAAGAGGGAATCTCCAAACAGGACTACCTGATTATACGGCTTCTATCTCATAAATTAGCTGCCGACTGAAATCAAACGGTATCTGATTCCCAAGAAAATAGTTCTTTGCATAGGTACTCTTACAGCCATGTTCTTAGATAAGGAAATCTCGTGGGGAGCAGTAGGCAAGCCAGGTTATCGGCAGTGGCTTGAGCTATGATGAAGTTGGAACGACCAGCGCACACAAACCTCTGAGCTACTGGATAAAACGAAACTAAAATAGTGGAAAGACTGGTGAGGGGACTCCGGCCACCCGTACACATGCATCCCTAGGTAGCTACAGGAAATAACTACGGCCCGATCAACTACTTACGGAAGTATTTCTACCGAATATGTTGGATCTGTAAAGGTACCCATCCAACCAATCAGAGACTAGGAGTATAGGGTTTTCACGATCGTCGACGCATAGTTGGCCTCGCAGCCTTGACAATCATATACCAAGCTAGGTACCTAGATATTCATATTCTAATTGCATTAACTATTTATTAAAGACTAAGAGACCTAAGAAGAAATCCTTTGATCCTGTCCTTTTCACTTCCTAGGTGCTATCGTGACGATAAGCATCTTGAATATGTCAAAGATCGAATATGTTGTATAACAATGCGGCTAGAATGGAATTTGATTATACGCATACAGTATAGATCGATCTGGAGCACCATGCCTCCTCCTTAATAGACCAAATATAGCTGTCCTATTATCGGCCCTGCAAGAGAATATCAAATTTTTACCAATGGAGGTTAAAGAGGATATTTCATTTAAAAACGGTGATCGCAAGTAACAGTTCAAAAAATCTCACCTGACTTTCGCATTTCAGGGGAGATTTCAGACATAAGAATTGATACAGAAAGTAACCCTGGTCTTGGTCACACGATCAAGAGAGGAAGCTGAATTGTGTCAGGTCCCATACATTGACAGCAGTACCAATTGATCGTATATCAAACACCCAATTGAAGTAGGTACAAAAGAGGATCGGCTCTTTCATACTACACATGTAGAAATCTTGAAGAATTGTTTGCTCTGTCCGTTCTAAACTAAAATAACAGGTCTATGAAGTACTAGGTACTCCGTAGATGTTAGCAATAATGGGGCTCACGTTATCTGCAATATGTGATTCGTTCAATCTCTTATCGGTAGACTCGTCCTAATGAAACTTTGCTCCCCGCTAAAATTTTGGGAGAAAAGTTCAATTGGTATCACGAATTGGAAGTCTCCAGTCCCCAGCTTTCAGCATAATACAAATCCAGACTTTCCAGGCGCATCTTCTCTAATGGAAATACGAGCGTCCTCACTACTACAGCCAATATGACGACAGCATTAGCTGCGCAACTCGCGCAGATTGCTGCGAGTTCGAAATCGACACTCGACGTTAAGGCGCAGAAAGCCGCCCATTCAAAGTCGTTAATCTTCGAACCACGAGTTGCGGCGTCGCAAAATTTCCAGACTCTTTATGGCATCTGTCACCAAGGATATGAAGAGTTGTGCCAATTAGATTCACGTTTCATATCCTTTGGCACAACTATATTCAGTGAACAGAGTCAGGATGAGGATCGAAGTCAAATGACGGCCGCAGAAAATGTAGAGCTTGACAAGAAGATAGACTCATTTCTTCACCTCGCCGGAGCGCGACTCAGACTCATGCCAACAATTAAGGCTATAGAATGGCTAATCAGGAGATTCAGGTATGATTTCCAAATGCAAAGTACGATATGTATATGTTGGGTCGTAGATCTAACCTTAAGTCAGAATTCACGAATACAACACGGCTATACTCATCTCGACCTTCCTACCATATCATACCATACCAGCCTTCACGACGCTTCTATCTATCTTGCCTAGCAAGATACCACAAGTATACAAGTTTTTAGATCCATACGTACGGTCCTTGACTCAACCGCCGAGATCTGTACTCGTCCACCAAGCGATACATCACTCCGATTTCCTCGCTACCCTCTCGACATACATATTAGACGCATGCAAGGCTCAGCAACACTACCCTGCCCTGATATCTTTCTGGGGTGGGATTATGACCGAAGCAGTGAACGGAATGCTAGATAGAATGCGATCCGGCCGCCGTAGCATCCAACGAAGCAATGACCAAGCTCTGCTACACCAGATAGGGCCCATTCTTAGTGACGCTCTAGTCATGAATAAGGTCCCTGGTTTGCAAATAGCATCATATATGGTTATATCTGTTTTCGTTGCGAAGGGCGACCTTGATGATACCGCCATCAGTGCCTTGATGGAACAACTCGTTGCCGGATGGACAGTTGAATCTCTCCGTCCTGGTCTTGTCTGCCTCTCGATTCTCGCGCAATATCGATCGGCAAAGCAAATGTCTAGGAAAGTAACGAAGGCACTCCTTAAAGTTCCAAACCTTTCCAACCTCCTTCCCGAGGTTGGGAGAGAGCATAACATTGCAAAGCTAGCGAATGGTCTATGCTTAGCCCTTGTAGATAGGGCTCACAAGAAAGGTGACATAAAAGGTTTACCGGTCGTCGAGTCGATCCTCTTGAGCTCGGTTATCAATAACCAGCAGACGGCTGTCATTTTCAAGAGCCTTTTGCTAGCAGCACACAAAGTCGACGACGATGTTGACCCACAAGGAGAAGTACGAAAGGCTCTAGCGTCTATAATTATCAGGCTGTCGCAGCTGGATACAGACGCCGGGAAAATATTCACCAAAGCAATCGACGAGACCGAAGTCGACGTGGATGCGCTAGAACTCAGACTCGGTACTGATCTCCGACCAAAGCTTCTCGCAACCCAACCCCAACAAGATATCCCAATGATAGATAATGATACGGCGCCTATGCTTGTCGAAAGTGTTGAATCCATTCTCCAGCGCGTAGCTTTATTATCGACCTCACCATCGGACTCATGTCTACGAGCTGCTTCTTCAGACATCTTCACCGACCTATGTTCCGTCTTCCTTTTCAGTGTTGCCGATCTGGATAATCTTAAGTCCTTCGACAAGCTCACGCCGCTACAACACGGTCAAGGAAACGAGACCCCATTTTATATAACGTTCTTGATGAGAATTTGGTGCGGGCCGTACCCGGCATTAGCCCGCGCGGCGGCTCTTGATATGGCAAAACAGCGCCTAAAAATTGACGACTGCAAAAGTATAGACTTCCAGGCCCTCTTACCGTACAGTCTCTCAGCATTAAATGACCCATCGAAAAGGGTACGTCGCGCTGCTGCGGATTTGATAGCTGTCCTCGAAAGTTCGTTCCAAGATTTAGAAAAGAAATCTGATAATCATGTCCGTTGGGCCAGCGATTCTTTATATGATAACGCTGAATCGTTGGTATGGATGAATGTGGACGTTTGTTACAAACTGCTGCATAATGTCGTCACACCTAGCCTCGAGGAATGTGTTTTAAATGCCGATCACGTTCTCGAGGTCTTACAAAGCGCATTAAACAGCAGTTCGAAATCTTCAGCCGATGATGATAAGGATAAGAAAAGCCACCTTTCTCATAGTACCCGACGATCCATCCTAACCTTTCTCGTTTCCCACGCAATCCATACTCCTCTCATCGCTCTGAAGATCCGTCTTCTCGCGGCATTAAACCAAGTCAAGGGTGTCTCAAGTACTACTCGTACTCAATTACTCCTACCGTTGCTCAAATGGTGGTCCTCCTTATCTTCCGACGATGCTACCCGTGTGTGTGCCCAAGAAAATGTCGGAGAGTCGGTCCTGGACCAAAGCATTGTCGACATAGTGCTTCCGAACGACAAAGATGGCCTAGAATTCCTATTAAGTATTATAGGAACCCAACAAGCTATTACGAGGCCTAATTTCCTTCACGTTATCTTCTCGCGAATTCAGGGCTTGTGGTCATCCATGAAAACAGACGCAAGGCATATGGTTGCTAGACAGATGCTTGAGCTGTCACAAAAGGATCAGTCTACTGACGGTGGCGTTGTCTCTAGCGAGGCTGCGAATCTTTTAAGAAATGTCGATCTTACGACGGACATTCTCTTATTCTTCCTAGAGTCTCTGCAGCCGGCAGCAAAGATGGCTACTGAACCACCATCGGGAAAACGTAGGAGAACCAGCTCTTCTGAAGCCCACCGAGGATTCGGAACACAACCAACTCCAGAATTAAGCACGATGCTCAGACAGGTCACATTCGTACTACAACTCGTCGAGGGATCTGACCCTGAAAATCACCCTGAGCTACTCAATGCCCTTTTCAATGCCCTCTCCGAGCTCCAACATTTCAGGGTATTAGTTGGTTCAGAACTCGGGTATCTTCAAAACCTCATCCTTCGAAGTTTGCTGGCTATGGTCCCCGCATACAAGAAAGACCGATCGTTGAAGATTGATAGTACAGGCGGACACGGGGATCTTCTTGTTAACTGCATTCAGAAATCGTCGAGTCCGTCGGTGCAAAACACAGCGCTTTTGCTTGTCGCAAGCTTAGCAAATGTTGCGCCGGACCTGGTACTCAACAGTGTGATGCCAATTTTTACACATATGGGAGGATCTGTGCTTCGCCAGAGCGATGACTATTCGGCCCACGTTATAAATCAAACGGTTAAAGAAGTCGTGCCGCCGCTCATTCAGTCGTTGCGAAAAGGGAAGATAAGTCCTCTAGCGGGAGCTTCCGAGCTTTTACTCAGTTTTGTAACCGCGTACGAGCACATACCATCGCATCGAAGACTTGGGTTATTTGTATCCCTAGTTGAGACCTTAGGTGCTGAGGAATTCTTGTTCGCACTTCTCGCAATGCTTACTAATATGTACGGCGCCACCGACCAAGTTTTGTCTTTCGCTACTGAAGTCTTTAACTACTTCAAAGTAGAGATTCAGCTTCAGTCGTTGATCAAGCTTCTCAATCTTATTGGCGACATCTTCCAACCAAGACCCAGTCTATCCTCGACCCTACTTGGCACCAATGAACAGAGTGATCGAGATCCCCAGAAAATCGGATTTCGCCAATTAACATTAGTTCCACATCTTTTATCTAGCCGAAAATTGACTACACAAATCGGCAAACTAACTGAACGGGACGATATGGAGGCTTCTAAAGTCCGAGAACTTTATTCCGGTCTATTAGAGGATCTCCTGGTTTTGGCAGATTCGCTAAAACAACAGAAGAGCCTGTATAACCTCTGTGGTGACGCGCTTTCGAAGCTTCTAAATCTCCTTTCAATCGGAGAGTTTATCAAGTCGGTCGAAACCCTTCTAGACCGACCCGATACTGTCCTACGACGAAAGGTCTTGCGGGCTGTTGAGGTCAGAATCGATGAGGAGAGCCAGGGAGATGCCAATTCTAGGGCAGCCCTGCTTGCATTCCTGCCACACTTGACAGCTATTATTAGAGTCTCCGAGGATACGGCTTACAAGCACCTGGCTGTAGGCTGCGTGGACAAGATCTCCGAAAAGTACGGAAAGAAGGATCCGGAGGCAGTGACTGCAGCTGCGGCAACGATTGCTAGCGACCAATGTTTGGGCCAAGATGACGATCAACTTCGCGTTATGGCGTTGCTCTGCCTAGCCTCCTTAGTAGATGTACTTCAGGATGGTATCATGCCAGTCCTCCCATCTGCTATCCCGAAGGCACTTTTGTACATTGCGGAAAGCATAAAAAGCGATACTTCGGGAGTTGAGCTTCACAATGCCGGCTACGCGTTTATGGCAGCACTCGCACAGCATCTGCCCTACATGCTTTCTGGGTCTTATCTGGAGAAACTTCTAGCAGTTTCAAGTGAATCTTCTAATGCCAATCTAGGCATCGAAGCCAATGATGCTAGATTACAATGTTTACGATTACTTGCCAAGCAGGTCGACGCTAAGACGCTATTCTCCGCCCTGGAACAAAACTGGGTCATAGCCATAGATTCCGGCTCCATCGTAAGTTGCTATCATAGGTTATACCAGTATGATAAGATAACTAACATTGATTCTAGGCCACGCGAGAATATCTTGACATCCTCGGCATTGCACTTGACAAAAATTCGAAGACAGATATCTCTAAGAATATTACAGCCTTATCGGCCATATTCCTTAACGCTTTCGATCTCCGTAGACTGAAGTGTTCCAGGGAGGATGCTAGCGAGGACTTCTCAAGGCAAATACATCGCATCGAAGAAGCGATGAACATAACCGCACTAAAAATGATCTACAAACTCAACGATGCAGCTTTCCGACCGATATTCTCACAGTTAATAGACTGGTCTGTATCCTTACCGAAGAAGGATACAGAAGGCAAAAACCTCAGACTTCTGAGCATATACGGCTTTTTACTATCCTTCTTCGGCGGCCTGAAGTCCATCGTCACCGGCTACGCATCCTACATTCTCGAAAGTGCCGTCGACATCCTCCAAACCAGCAATCCAAAGAGGCCTATAGAACAGGAGCTCTGGAAGAAGGTGCTAAACACCTTGGCGAAGTGTTTCGAGCATGACCAGGATGACTTCTGGCAGGCTCCGGCTCATTTCAGCGCAATTGCGCCCGCACTAGTCTCTCAGTTTTCCCATGCGGCCTCTATCAACCTGACAAACGAGCTCATTCCAGCTGTGGTAGAACTTGCAGCCGCGGCCGATTCGCAGGAACACCAGAAAGAACTCAACGGAGCGCTCCTAAAACACATGCGCTCGGAACAGGTGCCGGTCCGTCTCGCGGCCGTGAAATGCGAACAGGCCCTCACAACAAGGTTGGGCGAGGAGTGGCTGGCTATGTTGCCGGAAATGCTCCCGTACATCAGCGAATTGCAGGATGACGACGACGCGATGGTCGAGCGGGAAACTCATGTGTGGATTGTGGGGATTGAGGGGGTTCTGGGCGAGGACTTGGATTCTATGTTGCAATAGAGGGTGTAGAATATATAGGAATTAAATCGGAGTTGAGTACGGTAGTGCCCTTTACATGAGTTTTTTTTATAAGCCGGTACCTGTCGGCTGTGTGAGTCGGAAGCCGCCTGTTGGTATACTGCATTCGTTGTTGTGATAGCCTTCTTTGACTTTTAATAGATGTCCTTTTCTTATGGGATTATTCATTGAGTAACTCTCAAACCCCTTAAATTTTTCTACATTGATTATCAAGAAAAATGATAAACTGTAATTGAAACTTTATGCGGCAGCTAGCTGTAACTGCCATCTGAATTGACAGGATGGTGCACTAACCTTAGAAAATAGGGAAGGTACAGAGTATGGTGTGATTAGTGGCGTTTACACTGCATACACACCGTATTTTACTATCAAATCCCCTATAGGAATAAGGGACTTAGTGCTGACACCTTTCTAGTCCATCGAACAACAGCTTAACCACAGCTTAACAGCAGCTTAAATTTTGATCTTATATCTATATCATTAATACAGTAAAGTTTACACAAGGTAATCAAGCTTACATTAGAGCATTTGGAATAAGAAATTAAATGACATAATTCAGATTAATATGGAACCAAAATTTGAAGCTATTGTTGAGCTGTTGTTGAAAGGGAAGCGCTAAGTCCCTTATTCTTACAGGGGATTCTGCAGTAAAACACAGTGTATGAGCAGTGTAAACGCCACCAATCGCACCTCTGTCTCAGTTAAAAAAAATTGCCGGTTTAATAAATCACGCACCATACGAATTCATAATTCAATCAAGTCACAATCACGATCACATCAACGAGTTTACTAAACTTATAGTGCAACAGCAATATCAATTGGTATGTACCTAGGAAAGGCATTCCTTCGTACCGTCGTGAATACATGAATTGTCGAGTCCGTTTTTCCCATCCCGCGAAAATCAAATCAAAGTACAGCATCAAAGTACGAACAATGAAAGCAGAAATCTTGACCAATCCATCCCGATCCAACCGCGCCGTTTATGCCTGCGAGTGTGTGCGTGTGTATTCCAACTGTGTCAGGAAAGTGGAATTTTGGAGTTTTTGTTATTGTCGACTTGTAGGCTTAGAATAACTGCTGGTTGGAGAAGAAAATCTTTCTTCGGATGATGGTGGTTTTGGGTGGTTTACCAGAGGTTGACTGCCTGGAACAGGATGGCGACCATCACGACGCAGTGGGGAACGTGCGTGGTGAGACCACTGTCATCACCATCGGCGAAGCTGAGACGACCTGCAGATGAGGAAGCCGTTGTGCTGACGATCGAGGGAGTGTGTGTCATGGTAGGTTCCATAGACATCGTCATGGTAGTTCCGTTCATGATCATGGGCTCAGTGCTGTTAATCCCGGCAGGTCCAATGGGGAGATTCTCCGGTTGAGAGTTGTCAGTGCCGTTAAGGCTTGCAGTCGTGTTACCCATGGTGGTCATGTTGCCCATGTCGGTGCCGTTGGTCATGGGGGGCGTGAGACCAGTGCTGTTGATGGACATGGGGTGGAACACTGCCGTAGAAGTGCTGATGTCACTGACACTGTGAGGATGAAGACTACCAGTTGTGATCGTGGTAATGATAGTGCTGATGATAACACCAGGGCCGTCGAAAGATTCGGTCGATGTGACGGATGCGGTGGGTAGCACAGTAATGGTGTATCCCTCAGTTGAGTTGCAGGGGATTGTGACGATCGACGAGTTAGCACTGGAGCGCGAAGCAGTGATACCATCAACTCCACCGGTGGTGCGAATCAGAGTTCCATTGAGAGTCGCAGTACTGGTGATAGTAGTTCCTTGACCAGCTGTGGTAGTGGGATACATGGTGACGACTTCGGTTGTCTCGTTGCATGTGTGAGTAGATGTAAGACTTTCCGTAGTATCCTCAGTATATGTGATAGTCGTGCTATAACCAATGGAAACGGTCTTAGTGCTAACAAGCATAGACGACGAGGTTGAAACCGAAGAGCTGGTCGAAGTAGGCACACCCCAAACTGTGGAAATGACAGTTGTAGTCACAGTATCCGTCTCGTGTTCGCCACAGGGCTCGGTCGACGAGGTAGAGGTCGTAGTAGAGCTTCGAGGGAGGGTCACAGTAACAGTGTTGATGTTCAGACTGGTTACGGTATACACAGAGATGCTGTTGTCGATCTCGGTCTCGGTGACACTCTTGGTCATCTCGACAGTGTATACAGGGGTAACAGTCTCCGTCTCAGTGCTAGTAAACGTGTTAGAAGTGGCCGGTGTCGAAACAGGAACCGTCACAATCACGGTCTCGATAGAGGCTGCCGGGCTTGTGGACTGGCTTGAGGTTGTAGAACGACTAGCAGTCACGGCATCAGAACTGTATAATACTTGTTAGCTTTTGTCTTATCTAATGTTATACCCAGGAGTTATGTTACTTACCCAGCAGTAGAGAATATAGTCTCCGGAACACTTAAGGTGCAATTGTCGGATGAAGGAGACAAAGTCTCAGTGACCGTAGTGTAAATAGTGCTATGACCGATGATGGTGCTAACAGCCTCAGAAGATGAACTCGAACCCGCGATAGTGGACGTGGGAATAGTCGAATGAACCGAATGGCCAATAAAACTGGTAACCGAGACATGAGACGAGGTTGTGTTGTGAACAGAACCAGTTGCTGCATCGGTGCCACCTGTAGTCCAGAGAGGAATAGGAGAGAGAGTCACTGTAATGTTCACGGTCGTGGTGAAGGGAACAGTTGTCTCGGTGTCAACATCAGATGTGGCAGTAGTGTTACCAGAAGTGTGTCCATAAGTGTGTCCAGTTGAAGCACCACTAACGGGAACATAGTGAGTGATAGACACAGTAGAGTTGGGCCAAGAATGAGGACCGGGAACGAAAGGCGTAATAGTGACATCGACCTCAGAAGTGCTAGTGGCCACCTCAGTAATAGTCACATTGCTGCCAACAGTAACAATCTCCGTCTCGGAAGCAGTGGTATTGAAGACCTCAGTCTGGGTGCTTCCAGAGACAACGGTAGAAGCCTCAGTGATGTTAAGACCAGTGAAAGTGGTCTTAGCGACATCAGTCGAGATGGTGTCAGGAACAGTGGCAGAGACAGTGGCAGGGACAGTAGAGGTAACCGTGAGATGATGAGTGACGGTAGTATCCAAGTGAGAAGTAACGGAGGGAAGTCCAGTGATGGTAACAGTGGGGTGTTCACCATACGAATAAGCCTGACGGCCGACGATGTTGGACTTCAAACCAGAGTACTTCGGCATCAAGGAACCCAGCTTCAGCACACGGTACTCAGCTAAAAAAATAGTTAGACATAAACAAAATTTTAATGATTATAGAGATACTTCAGACACTTACCCGTGATTCCGACGCCGATAGCGAAGGCCATAAGCACCACCGCTAACCAGAAGAGCGCCGCGACCACGCGATTCTCTGTGAAGGCGGGTTAGTTATATCGCAGTAGTAGATAAGGAGAGATGGAATTTAACACTTACGAATGCGAGAGCGGGAAGCCTGATTCATGAGCTGAGCCTCCTGCATAAACTCGCGCTCCTGGCAATCCCAAAAACGATGGAGTAGTCCAGTAGTGTGATGATACTCAAATACTCTACGCGCCATCTCGACTATCTCGCGTTTCTTCTCGGTAGGAGAAAGGTACTCATCATTCTCAATATAACGGAGCTCCTCGTAAAAACCTTCAGGATCCTTGACTGTGACGAGGATGTCTCCAGGAGCAGCGCGCTCGAAAGACTCCATGAGGGAATCCTTGTCGTCAGAAGACTGGACACTTGCAGATGACATGATGTCAACGTGAGACCTGTGTTTTGTTAGGTATGGTTGTTCGAGTCTCTAGGTCCTTCTCTAAAAGAAGATGATGTAATGGGGGTATAGTAGATGTGATAGTGAATGCAAGATCACGAGGGGTTATAGGGTAAGAGGGCAAAAATGAATACTAGCTATCAATATTCTATGTGAAAATATTGAGCTTTGGTGTTGGTAATATAATAAAGGAATGATAGGATAAAATGTTGATGGTTGAAAAATATGGTGTAGGTTGAGGAGGTAGAATAGGTGAATGTTGGATGATAGATGTGAGAAAGGGTGATGGATGAGATTAGGTGATTGTCATGTTATGAATGGGAAACTGTATCGGATTTGAGGACATATGTAATAGGAAAAATAATCTGGGCAGGAGGCAAGATGATGGATATGTCTGGAAAAAATGTTTGGAAGAAATGCGTGGGAGGTCGACGATGGATTACTCATTTGCCAGTGTATCGTGGGGGAAATAATAGATGGAAAAAAATACTTACCAAGTGAATTGAATTGACTAAATGATCTTAATACGAACAGCGATGTCAGTGATGAATGTCTTGACGGAAGATGTATGCGAAAAGAATGTGCGAAGATGAACGAGCGTGTTGAAGTGGAAAGAATAATGTGGGTTGGGTTGAGTTGAGGACGAACGTTAGAAAAAAAAAAGATGGATGGGATGGAAAGGATATGGGCATCTACCGGCAGAAAAAAGGCGGTATTGTTCAGTAAGGTCGGGACGAGTGATGTTGTGTAGTAGGGTAGGAGAATAGGAGGGTCGGTAACGAGTGGTATTTTGTGACAGTAGGATGGATGAGGTGAATGAGCACATGCGGTGGTGGTGATATTATTTGGTAAAATTGACTCGGGAAGGGAAAGGCAAGAGAGTAGTATGGATGAATGGAATTTACATATTTACTTACCCTTTTGACGGACGTTGATGTCTTGCTTGTGTAACTAGTAGTTCAAGTTGAGTCGCGCAAGATGATCAGATGAAAGGTTGAAGGTCGTTGCGTTGAGGTACGATGTAGTGAAGAGAAGGTTTGGTTTGTGAAAGAGTGAAAAGTCGAAAAGGTAAAGAAGGTGAAGAGGTAAAGAAAAGAAGGTGCGTCAAATTACTGGTGAGGTTTAAATATCATCTACAATGGACTGTGGTGATTACGGCGGCAGGGGACGTGATTTGATTTTTCATCTGATATAAGGGTATCAAAATCAAATGTACCTATGTATTCCGTGCACACTACATACTAGGTACCTAAGATCCAATGAGGTTCAACGATAGAATTTGTACGTACCTGATTCGATAATGTATTTATTCTATTTCGTCCCGTCCTAATTCCCCCTTTCCACTTGCCAGTAACACCCATTTCGGGAACATGATAGTAACACTAGCAAACATGCTACCAGCAAACCCATTGGCTGGCTTATACAGCATAAGAATAAGATCTTATTTAAGTTGGTACTTAAATTGCCCCAGTATATGCGATATTTCCATGATTATAGAAGTTCAGGTGGAAAGCCTCCCAAACCTCCTAAGCATATAGAACAGTACGAGAGTACCAGCAAGAAGACGTATTATTAATATCTGAGTAATTGTTAGTGGCCAATTCTATTTTCGAATGAATTCAATCAGATGTAGTACTTGCCTATATATGTACTTAAATACCTAAAATCCCTACGATTTATTCGACCACTCCTAAAAGACCATAAATATTATGACTAAGCTTTTATGATCAAGTGCTTCAGGCCTTTTCAACGAGAGAAAAAAGATTAAAAAAAATAATCCAGTATGTATACATAAATCTAACCGATCATTCTAGGTATGGCGGGATCCTATTAATGGGATTAAAAGGGTATATAGATGTATATAGTTGGTGGTGCTGGGTGAAGTTCACGATATGAGGTTCAGGGATTGCTAAGAGCCTCAGGTACAAGTATGGCAGGTACACCTGCGGGTACGTAGCTACTTAAATACATTAGTACCTGGGTGGATCTGTGCGGAATATATACGTACCTAGAGCACATCCATGATGTTTAAAGATCTGTTGGTCAAAGCTTTAATTTAGTGCTTTTACTATCATTAATGTATACTTTTATGCAGGGCTTAGTACCTTTGTACCTTACATGGGTGCTAATGTCGCTCAATCCGGCATAGTGTCAGATGTAAATTTACAATCACACCCGGAGTGGGGCGCGAATTAATAGAGTACAGCAGAGAAGGCAGGGTGGACCAAGGAAGGAGGCAGGTATCTGGGTACTAGGTACGGGACGCCACACGCGACGCTGGAAATTGATTGATTGACCCTGCTGTAGAGACTGTCGCGTAACACCCCGAGAAAAAGAGAAAAGACCAGAAAACCATCTCATCGTCAAAAAAAGACCTCCCGGCATTTGTCCCACCAAATCTTCCTTTCTTCCGCATCCACTCAAGTTAACCCTTTCACAACCTATCTTAGGATTTGTCGTTTGTGTCTGGTCTAGTAATTGAATTTTACCCTTTATCGTTTCTAGTTGCGCGCCCGGGTCTATTATTCACAATTCCGTCTATTCGCCCCGCTTCCAAGGCAAGTCGAGGTCAGACGCCTCGAACTTTACCACGGAACAACAAAACCCGTGTTTAGTCGTATCCGCATACCCTCCGAATTCTATTAGATTGAAACACCGTTGATATCTCAACATGGCGCGTCGCAGGGACGAGGTCCCAGAAGAGGAGGATCAGGAGATGGAGGAAGAGCTTGTAACACTTCAATTCGACGAACCTCTATCATGGCGCGCCGGAAAGCCAATCGCAACCGGCGAGCTTCTTCGACGTCTCGAGAAGCTCTCTAAGGAATTAGTTGATATGGACCAAGAAACTGTCGATAAGGACTCCCTAACTCATGTCGCGAAAGAGCTTGCCTCTCCCAACTTGCTTGCCCATAGGGAAGCTGGAGTAAAAGCATTCACTGCAGCATGTTTAGTAGACATCTTGAAGCTATGCGCCCCAGAAGCACCTTTCACACCTAAACAACTTAAGGTTAGTTTTTATTAGCATGCCGTCTCTATCCCTTCTAAGCATGTTTATCCTAACTGCCACCTCTTACTTCAATTATAGGAGATATTCTCTCTCTTTGTCAAAACCATTCTCCCTGCCCTTTGGGACCCGAGTAACGCATACAACACACAACATAAATACGTCCTTACATCTCTTGCCGAAGTCAAGAGTATTCTTCTAATCAACGAGGTTACCAACGCGGAGGAACTTTTACTTCACCTATTCTCCTCCTTCTTCGATGGCATTTCTGGCTCCTCAAAGGCAGCGTCGGGAGAGCAGGTTGCCAAAGATGTCGAATTTCATATGACGGATATCTTGGTTACTCTAGTCGAAGAGAGTCCTTCGCTACCGCCCCCCGTCCTCGATGTCATCATGGCCCAATTTCTACGAGCAGCGCCCCCAGGAGGCCGTAAAGAGAAAGCCGATGCCAATGGGAAGCAAACGACTCTTCTACCCAAGGAGGAACCAGAGGCGTATGTGATGGCGAAGACTGTGTGCAATTCATGCCCAGAGAAAATGGCTCGTTATGTTGGCCAATATTTCAGTGAGGTGATTATGGACGTTTCTGGGAACAGTGGTCATGTCAATGGACATAGGGACGATAATGATTCGGATGATGACGATGGCACTACGGGTCCATCCGACTCGGAATTCAAGGAGTTGCGGAAGGCTCATCAGCTGCTAAGGGAACTTTGGAGAGCAGCACCCACAGTGTTACCGAATGTCATACCTCAGGTCGATGCTGAGCTCTCCGCCGACAACATACAGTTGCGTTTGCTGGCAACTGAGACGTTGGGTGATATGATAGCCGGTATCGGTGCCGCAGGACCGCCTCCTTCTCCGGAACTTGACCCGGCAGCATATCCACCTCTGAAGCTGAGCGATGAAATTCCAGATCATCCAGCAATGAGCATCCTTACTACTCCTATATCACCCCTATCCTTTACTCAGACACATTCTCAAGCATTCCATAATTTTGTTGGAAGGAAGAACGATAAGTCGCCTTTAATTCGTACAGCGTGGACAACAGCTGTAGGTTACATTGTTTCAACATCCGCGGGTGGTATCGGACTCAGCAGAGAAGATGAATCAGCATTCGTCAACGGCCTACGAGATAAGTTGAATGACAACGATGAAAAGGTTAGACTGGCGGCTGTCAAGGCCATTGAAACCTTTAGCTTTCGTGATATCGTCACCAAGCTAGCCGCTGTTGGTGGGGTGAATAAAGAAGGATCCGTCTTGTTCACCCTTGCAGACCGTTGTCGAGACAAAAGGCCATCTATCCGTGTCGAGGCCATGGCTCTCCTAGGAAAACTCTGGGCCGTAGGCAGTGGCGAGTTAGCTGCAGGACAAGAGTCGGTAATTTCTGCCTTAGCGGGCATCCCTTCCCGCATATTCAACACATTTTACGCCAACGATCCAGAACTGAACGTGCTACTAGAGCGTGTCGTGTTCGAATGTCTTATCCCCCTGTCCTTCCCCCCTCCTCCTAAGGCAAAGGGTTCTAAGCCGTCTAATGGCAATTCTCAATCACAGCCGGCTGTCGATCCTGGTTATGACCAAGACAGGATCCGCGCAGAAAGAATACTACTACTCGTAAGAGATCTAGACAACAATGCCAGGAGAGCATTCAATGCATTGCAGGCACGACAGCCCCAATTCTCGAAAGTATTTGAGAATTTGGTTCGTCAATGCGACGCTTTCAACGGAGGAAACCCTGAGGGAAATGCAGATAGGATCAATCAAAACCTCAAGAAGACGATCCAATACCTATGCCAATTCCTTCCCGACGCGGTCAAGGTTGAGGCAGATCTGCATAACTTTGCCAACTGGCATGACCGTCGTTGTTATCAACTCATCAGGTTCGTGGTCTCCGCAGAGAGCGATTTCAAGACGATGCATAGAGCTGTCAAAGAGTTTGTCAAAAGGATACAGGGCTCCCCAAAGCCTCACATGTTGGAGACCTTGTTACCTCTTATATATCGTTCTGCCTACATCGTGTTGAATAAGAGTCATCTCTCGACCTATATGGACTGTTCCAAGAGCGACAAAGACGGGCTTGGAGCCGCTGCACAGGAGATTACAACTGAAATCTCCCAAAACAATCCAGATCTGTTCAAGACGCATGTCGGACAGCTTTGCAAGGATTTGGTAGATGGTGCACCAACTGCGGATAAACCTAACGAGGCTGCCATGGTCGAGACGCTCAGAGCCTGCTCTTCTTATTCAAAGAAATATCCCAAGGAGCTTCCAGATGACCGCAAATTTACACAGGCACTGATAGGCTATTCTTTACATGGAGAGCCAGCCAAGGCTGCGAAATACGCTGTCAATGTCATGATGGCTAGAAAAGACGATAAAAGTATGGTATCGGCAACGGACCTATTGCAAAGGATTCTAAAAGGTTGGAACTACGAGTCGCCTCACTTCTTAACCAAGCTCGCAGCAATCAGCCAGCTCGAACTTCTAGCGTCCAAGGTGACCGCTGATGCCAATGAAAAAATTAACGAAACCACGTTGGAAGTTGTCTTATTCAAAGTTCGCACAGATGCTAAAGAGTCGGATCCAGAGTGGGTTGCCGATTCCGAGCTCGACGAAGAAGGCCAGGTGAAGTGCTGGGCACTTAAGCTAGTAATCAATCGACTCCGAGGCATGCAGGATCTAGAAGAGGCGAAGGAACTGGCTAAACCAGTATTCAAGTTACTGAGAAATATTTTGAAGCAATCAGGCGAACTATGCAAGATAAAGGACACGCCTAAATACCACAAAGCTCGCTTACGACTGCTTGCTGGGCAGCTCTTCCTGAAGCTTTGTACCTTGAAACACTTCGAAGAAATCTTCTCACACTCTGACTACAACCAGCTTGCCTTCCTTACGCAAGACCCAACCGCCATGGTTCGTCGACTTTTTGTCGAAAAACTCCAGAAATATCTGGTACAAAACAAGCTACGGCCCAGATTTTACACGATGATCTTTTTGACAGCGTTCGAACCAGATGTCTCCTTCAAGAATCAAGTCGAGACGTGGATACGATCTAGGGCGCGCTTCTTCCGAGATGCTAAGCAAAACGTCATGGAGGCAACGATGGGCAGGCTGATCTCCCTCCTAGCGCACCACCCAGACTATAGCACAGAAGTAGACGACTTGATAGACCATGCCAGATATCTGCTTTACTATATTAGCAACGTTACTACGGAAGCTAATTTCGGTATGATATTCAAGTATGCCGAACGTGTGAAGCAGACTAGGGATGGTATAACCCCAGCAGAGAGCGAAAGACTCTATGTAGTGAGCGATTTGGCCCAGAACCTCCTACGAAGATGGCAAGAGAAGAGGAACTGGATTTTCCAGGCATACGCCGGTAAGGTTGGCTTACCTATGGGATTGTATACGGCACTCCCTAGTCATGACGTGGCACAAGAGATTGCAGCGAAGCAGTATCTTCCGGAAGGGCTTGAGTCACAGTTGGATGATCTACTGAGATCCGTGGATAAGAAGAAGGTACAGCCATAAAACCCCACCCTACTCTATAAACATTTGTAGTTTGAATTAACGTGATTGGCTTCCAGAAACGCAGGACTGCCGACGAACGAGCCGAGGGGCAACCTGCCCAGAAGAAGGTCAGAACGACAGTGCCCAAAGCTTCCACGAAAGTGAAAACACCCAAGGCTGCAAAGGCTTCGAAGAGGCCTGCTGTCAAGCCAATGAAGACTTCGTCAAGATCCAAGAAGGCTTCTTCGTCCTCCCCAGCTCAGGATTCTGCAGATCGTAGACGTAGCGGTCGTTCTAAGAAGAACTCATCCTACATCGAACGAGACTCTTCAGAAGACGACGAGGATATGCTAGAGGGCGTAGCGGAGTGGGACTATTATGATGATGATGGTAACCGTATGCGAGAGGACGATGCCGACTCCTCAGAACTATCTGAACCTGAGGATGATCCCGCACCCGCAGACGAGAAGGATGAAGTAGAAGCGGAGGCGGAGGTGGAGGCGGAAGCAGAGGCACCTGAAGAAAGAGAAAGCGAGCTAAGCGATGTTGAGGAAGATGAGGAGGAAGAGGCACCAGCCCCCCCGGCATCTCCCCCTAAGTCAAATGGACGAAAACGTCGCGCGGCCACCTCTCCCCCGAAGGCGAAGACCCTACCTTCAAGACCTGCGGTTAAGCCAAGTGCGGCTAAGGGCAAATCTTCCGCTGCTAGCAAGGCAAAGACGAAGCCACCTCCAAAAGCACGAGCTGCTAGTACACGCTCTACTAGATCTAGACGTGCAGCGTTGGAGGATCAGGACGAGGACGGAAACTCGGAGTAAAATAGCAAGCCTGTAAGTCTGTCAGGCAAGTTCAACCAATTAGCTACATAGGATGGCGGAGACAAGTGCTACGTAAGGAGTAGGTACTAGGAGAGAACGTCTGGATTGCCAACACGCAATGTAGCATTTTTTTTCCTCGACGACTTTCCTCGCCAGGAGAGCAAGAATTAAGGGTTCCATGAAAGAAAGAAAGAAAGAAAGAAAGCTGGAATATGATAATGAAATCAGGGGTTGGTTCCGGAGGGGTTAGGGTGATTGTGGTGGACGAGGCTACTTGGTTCCTTTTCAAGGCTTTCTAAATCGCGTCATGTGTTTTGTTTTTAACTACCTACCCTATACTCCTTCTTATACCCTAGTCTCGTACCTGGAGAGAATACCAAAATTTCTTCACTATCGTGCATCATTTGGTGGTTTAGATTTGTCCGTGACTTGGAATTGAAATGCTCAGGAAATGGGAGTTAATTATCGGCCCATGATGAGCTATCTCAATTAATCACTCTGACACTTCGCCTCATGTGCTAATTCTACTGTATTGGACTGTGAGAGTAAATATCCCTTACTCTCCTTATATTGGCAATTCATACCTGCTGCACCTGTCATAATTGGTAGAAAATGCTTGTTGTGTAACACAGGGGATACTTTTCCTTACTGCATTCTGCCCTAGTGAAAAGGCCATTAATATCACATTTCTACGCACTTCATATCTCAGGTACCCAATAGGTAGGTAATTAAGTCGATTCTCGCAATTATCAAACCAATCCCATTCCGCGCGTACGGCAGGTGCTACTTTGACCCAGCACGAAAAGCATCCGCAAACGAACTCTACCTGACCTCTCTTTCTAGCAGTTTATGCAACCTGATCTTTTTTCCCCTCTTTGCAAACGAACCCGTATCCAAAACTCCATCCCGAGGGCCTCGCTATCTGTTTGGCGTCATTACCATCCGTCTAGGCTGAAAAATCAAATAAAGTATATCTCGATCCGGTACCCGCCTATTTCTCGACCGCGTGAACCATTAAATGTAGTGAACAGTGCCCTGTTTATGAACGGCCACTTTTAGATATGAGGGTAGTTATTCCCTTCTGCATGACCTGGGCTTATTTTCGAGCCTTGGCCTTGTCTCGGGCTTTCCAGTTGTCCCGCACGTTCTTGCTGTGGTTTTCTAGCTCGTCGCGGGTTACCGCGTCTTGGATGCTTTCGATCACACTGTTGACGACGGATATATGGTTGCCGTCTGATTTGTCGTCCCGGAAACGGTAGAATCGCCACCGCTTTTGGTTGTCCATATATACTTCTACCACACGATCGTCGAGCGGTTCTTCTAGCCCCTTGAGGATTTCCCATTCGTCATCCTCTAGATGGAGAGGAGCGAAGAAACCGTACTTGCCGTTGCCGTAGTTGGCGTGTAATTCTACGGGAGGCGTACTATCAAAATCGATAAAGGGTTCCGTGATACCCTCGGCCCGATCCTGCTCGTCTGGCTCGACTATGGGGAACTTCAACCTCCACTTGAAATCGACCGTGTTCTCCTCCGCGTCCTTCCACTTTAGAATATGCGGGTCAGTGCCTGGCTTGTATTCGCTGTGAAGGGCTGTGAAGATGAGCCCATCGTTATCGTGTTTTAGGTTTTTGATGACATCCTCGAAGATCATGCGAATGCCGTATGCCATTTGCATAGACTTGAGGTCGAGGAAGAAAGGCTGGAACTGTCTCTCCTCGGGGAAATCATCGAGCAGCTTCTTATACGGTTTGAAGACTTGCTCTTGAAAATAACCGAGGCGCTTGCTAAGCTCGCGTGACATTAACGATTGCCCATCCATGGCGAGACAGTCGAATACAAGATATCGAGGCTCCATGCGGCCATCACTATGGGCGTCCATAACCAACTCTCCATCTAATATAGTGCCTTTGTGGAAGGCTTGTAGGTTTCCCGGGAGAGGGAAGTGTAGTGAACCCTCGTCGATGTACCAGTAATCGTTTTTCCGATCGATGAAGTAGTGACATTCATTGTTACCTTCGTCGGCAGCTAGGTAGAGGAGATAGCGAATACCGTCCGACTTTTCGCAAACGTAGTAACTAGAGCAGGCTTATGTTAGTCCTAGGTCAAAGAAGCCAGGTGTACATCGAGTAGCAACAAAACTCCTTGGGACTTACTCATCTCTAAGGAGCTCATCAAGGTGCTTCCTCGTAAAACTAACGGGTTGCGCGCCTGGGAATGCGGTTGAATTTCGATGAAGAATGGAGGCAACTTCTTGTCGCAATACCATAGCCACCTCAGGAGGAGGCCGCCTACCTGGTTCATCGATGGATTGAATTGGCAACGTCATGTTGGGCAACAATAGATACAATGCTTTGTTAGAAGGTGGGACAAAAAAAGGTACTGCGCAAAGTGCAAATGATGGACGAGGCTGGTATTGGTTTGTTTAGAATGGGAATGAGATGCGACACGAGAAAAGTGTAGTTTAAAGAATTAACTGAAAGCACTTGGACAGAGGTGGTACAAGGAAGAGAGGTGATGCGCAATCGGTTGGAAGGTGCATAGGAACTTCATCGCATTAAAATGTCGTCTTCATCGGAAGTTGCTGTCGAAAACACACCCATCGCAAACCAGACTGAGGTATGCGCAACCTACGGCTTGTTCACAAGTTGTCTAGGACACGGTGGGAAAGCACGAGGCTACTAAAATCTAATGTCAGTCGCGCGCCTTCATAAACCTTATCGGCTGTTATCAGACGCTACCTGGGTAGTCCCTGCAGGAGCTTTTGATATGACTCCACTTTAACTTGCATAAAATCCACTTTACTGAATGTTGCCATCCATAATCAGTTTAGCCTATGCTTCAATTAGAGTGTCTAGGCTTAACTAGGAAAGGATAAAACAGCCTCTATTCGAGCTGCCGAACTGTACCAGGTACTTCTCCAGTCATGATAATACCTAGTATTTCATTTGTTGGTAATGGATATGAAGCTTTCTTCTGCGGCAAGTGAAGCATCTATCTGTAAAATATGAAGATTTGGTGATAACTAACTACATGGAAACCTTCTCCATACTATGTAGGTCGAGTATCGGAGAACTCGACAGATAAAGCATATTATATGGTGTTCGCAGCTGATATTGATACATACTCCACGCTTCCGTTCAAGCACGTTTTAACGGCTCCCCGTAACCGGCAAAAGACCAGCCGAGAAGCATATCTAGAAGTCCCTTAGACCAACGAAATATCATAACGCAGAACTCCGCACCATGTCTTATAGATACTTTGTATTCCGAAAATCTACTACCCCTTGTTCCTATTGAGGATGCTTATGGTCGGCTTGCTTCAATCTGCTCAGCCGACCTTGTTGCTGTTTTCTGACGCTATTCGAAGCTCGACTTTTTCTTTGTGCACCTTGTTCTTAAGATGTACTTCAAAGTTTGAGGCCGATATATCTGGGCCTGGCGTGTATAACTTGCCGGGGCAGTCGAGGCAGCGGATCCGGGGGAGGAAGTAAAACCGCACCTGTGGGGGAATCACTTCACCTGGTTGCGGGAGGGGAACCGGCATACCCGTGTTGCTGTCTACCGCGCTGTATCGCATAACACCTTCGAATCGGTCTTTCGAGTAGGCTGGTTCCTGTTTGAATTTATCCAACGCCTGGACGAGCCATGCGGGAGGTGGGGGCTATTTAGGTAGTGAGTATGAGTGCTGGTTCGCTAAAGGGTTAAGACCATCCTGCGAAGCCGTCGATCCAGACTATAGATCGTAGCGGCTTGAGGTGAATCTGAAGATCGAAGAGTTAGGGTGTTGGGGTGGGTGAGGAAAATGTCTTACGGGAACTGGGGGAGGAGCCCCGGCCATAGGAGCAGGAGCATCAACACGGCCGATCTGTCCTGGGGGTACACCGCTAGGAGGGGCGACGGTTACCGGAATTGCTGATGTCGAGATATTCGGAGTGGAAGGAGGAGGCATGCTATTCGACGCAGAAGCACTATGGGCACGAGCTGGGGGCTGAGATGGAGTTTGTGATCTGCCCGGTGTACCTTGTTTCAACTTAGGATCACGTAGTAATATTTTTCGTAGCCTGTCTTTATTTGATACCCTGAGAGTAACGTGGAGGTGCTGAGGTTCTTCGGTATCTTCCCTGGTTAGTTCACGCCCAAATCTCCTAGATGTCCGCGTTTCATGGTGGTGTATCGTGGCTTCGGGTGTTTCGGATCGGCCAATATTCGCCATTCGCTGTTGCGCTGCAGTCGCGGCGCCCCTCATACCTCTAGTTCTCGCCGTGCCAGCAAGTTGTGAGGCTGCAGGAGAGTCGGGGCCTGAATCGTCGCTTTCGTCTGATTCGGAAATCTCGCCGTCACGTGCGCCTGGTCCTCTCCTCCGGCCTGTGGCCCCCGGTGCACCAGCGACTCTTTTATAAAGTCTACTTTCCTCTACGCTAGTTGCTGCGCCGGGCAAGGTAGATGATACGACAAGCGTGCGGATTGTTCTCTGTCTCTCCTTTAGATCAGGCAGCGAGGGCCCGCCCCGTCTATTGATGGATCTCTTCTGTCTTCTTTGTTCTCTAGAGAATACCATCTCGTTTCTTTCTAAGTCTGCTTCGCTAAGCTCGTACAGGTACGGAGCATATTCCTTGGCTTGCTGTTGCGGCCTGAATACAGAAGGCAGAGGCGAGGGAAGGAAAGCCGAGACTAAGTCCGGATCCTCAATAGGTCTGCCGTCGAATGGGTGTCCAACGCTGTACAAACTCCGCGTAAAGAGTTGGGTTTGCTCTCGGATACAATGCGCAATAGCAGTAGTAAATTCCCCGGAGAGCGCGAGGTCCTTGGCCATGCTCGCAGCAAATTCTTCGGGCGAATTGAGAGGGTTGTTGATCTCCCATTCGAATTGATCTACCAAAGTATGTTGCCCAATGGTAATGTTCAACTTAACCAATATCCGCATCTCGTCATTCTTCCAAGCTGAATATGGCAGCTCGGGGTCTAAGGCATCTTCATCGGAGAATACGAAGGGGTAAAAGTCGTTGAACTGCTCGTGCATCTGTTGGATGACTTGGTCAAAGACCGGCTGTGCGGCAGGCGCCTTGAGTCCCATATCTTCGACCAAATGCGCGGCGAAGAGCTCGGCGCCTACAATCCTCTCATGGAGGTTCCACGTAAAGGTGTCGCGCAGTTTGATCTTGTCCCAGTCCACATCTAATCTAACAGGTATCAATTCCTCGTGTTGTTCGGCCTGTTGCTTCATGTCCTTTCTCTTCCATTTTAACGGTGGCGCTTGTCGTTTGCCGGGTCGGAGTCTGTTAGCTGGATATATCAATTGCGACGGTTGCCCCGTCTCAGTTCTTCCATTTCCATAGCCACTGTAGCCTTCGCCAAAAAGCCTACTCGGCGTGAACCAGGCTCTGTAGTCGTTACGCAAATATTTGTAGTCGTTGATCATCTTGAACTGGTACTTGTTATGCTCGTTTTGACGATCTTTATCACTAATCATCGCAGCGGAGTGTATATGATCTCGGACAATTGCTTGTCCTATCAAGATTTGTTTGAATGCATCTTTGTCGCGGGCTGACAGGGCGCCATTGTTTGAGTCGTCCGGCGCATCTGGCTTATGATTGGGGGTCGATGTTGATGAACGATCTGGTTTTGAGGTTGAAGAAACACCGGCGGCGCTGCTCGTCGAAGCGGGTTCTGCATCTTGTTGAGTGGCCATCACTAAATTGAAACCTCACATGGAGTGAGATATCCCGCAAAGCTTTGACAATGATAAGAGAAGACTTCTCAGTCCACCGAACCTTCACCCGTGCACTCCGTTTTCCCGTCTTCCGTGTGATTTTGAACCTCGTGTTGTACCTAAGACCTAAAATCGTAGATCGAATTGATAATCGTCGCCAGAGTATGAGTCGTTTAAGGAATGATTTCGGGCACGGATTAATAAATCAATGGCTGCGCGCGGTGGTAATAGTGTTGTTGTGGTGTGGTCGCGATGGATTCATTTGATGGGCGCTCAACTTTCAACTTTTTAGGAGCAGGAAGGTTTCGATCGTGGCTGATGAAGAGAAATCGCAAATGGGAGAAGGCTGGACACGCGACGGACCGCGATCAAATGAGTTAAAGGAACATTGATTTTTGCGTGCGATCCAGGCAAAACTAGAAGTACCTTGCTAGATTTGTTAGACTCTAGGCTTGCGTCCGTGCGTCAGGTTGCGTTTGCAACGAAAATGATGGTTTAATAAATATTTCCTCAATTCATTATTTTATGCATGATATGCAAATATGCAACTATCAAATACTCGCACAGTCAGGATTCCGTTTTCACCTTCCGTAGCAACAACGCAACGTACAGCGGTCGCCGGTCGGTCACTAACACACGGACCAAGCGGACCTGCAGCCCTGAACTGAATTTTAAAGTAAAGAACGTCACCAGTAATCTGCAATCTGCCAGCCGATGCTTGCCCCTCTCCCGTTCGCACAAAGCCCCGCAGCTTAGACGAAAATACGAAAATACCTTAACCTACCTCTCAGTTAGACCTCATTTACTCCCACTTTCTTACTTCACTTCATTACTACCTACCTAGGTATACATTAGACACCAACCTAATTCATTTTTAACGCCTTTAAGCCAGCGCGATATACCAGGTAGTCAATATGTCTGACGAAAAGGAGATTGGTTCGTCTATCAATTTCTATCCATTTTTTTGAGCAAAGCTTCCTGTGAACTACCCCGCTATTGGTTCTGTCCATTCCTCGACCGAGGGTCCTCGAGGTCCCGTCATCGACCTCACGAGACTCGAGAAACCCAAAAAGTAGCTAACGTGTGTGTATCCATTAGACTACTCGCTGGCGAATCCAGACACCCTCACCAAGTATAGGGTTGCCGCTACCATCTCCGAGAAGGTCCTCGCCGCAGTTTCTAAGCTATGCGTTGCCGGAGAGAAGATCGTCTCAATTTGCCAACAGGGAGACAAGCTCATCGAAGATGAAGTCTCCAAGGTTTACCGCACTACCAAGCTTAAGGGTAAGCAGGAAATTCAGTACTACCTTCTACACCTTCGAATGTTTGCTTATGTTGGACATGTACAGGTTTTTCTCACCCCACAACTGTTTCGCCCTCTTCGTACGTGACACCCTACACGCCCTTGTCATCCGACAACGCGGAAGCGAACATCGAGCTTCAGGCTGGTGAAGCTGTCAAAATCCAACTCGGTGCTCAGATAGATGGGTTTGGTTCCATTGTTTGTGACACGATCATTGTTCAACCTAAGGACCAAGCAGAGGATGCCATTACTGGTCGCACCGCCGACTTGCTACTCGCAACGTACTACGCCAACGAGCTTCTTATCAGACTCATGATCCCTCCTGGACTACTAGCGAGCGGGAGCGATGAGGAGAAAGCGAAGGCTGCCGCAGCCAAGCCCCCAACCCAGTCCAAGATTACCTCCCTTCTAGATAAGGTTGCCAAAAGCTACGAGTGCAATGTGGTAGAGAGCACAACCTCGTGGCTTTTTGACCGCAATGAGATTGAAGGCAAGAAGAAGATCGTTCTCGCCCCCGCAGAATCCACCAAGGGAGAGGGCTCGCCCGAGATTGGCGAAGTATGGGGTGTAGAGATGGGTATAAGTCTGGGTTCTGGCAAATGCAAGCAAATCGACCAGCGAGCCACTTTACTCCGCCGAACGAATAACACGTACATCTTGAAGTCGCAAACGGCACGTAAAACCCTTTCAACTATCCAAACCAAATTTGGCCATTTCCCCTTTAGCTTGAGACAGCTTGAAGAGGAGGGCGGCGACACCAAATACAAAGTCGGCGTGCTTGAAGGTACCCGTCAGGGCGTGATTCGACAATATGATCTAGTCGGCGACAAAGACGGCTCTCCCGTAGCGAGGCTATTAACTACACTCGGTATGTATCCAGTAACCCTCTTTAGCCCTTTCAGCCCTTCTCGTTACCCCCTGAAGCTAATGTAAAACAGCTATTACGAAGAACGGCATTTCGAAACTCGGAGCCCCACCTGCGTTGGATTTAAGCAAGGTCCAGTCAGACAAGAAGATTACTGATGAGGAAGTACTGAAAATATTAGAACAACCTCTTAGCAAAAATAAGGGAAAGAGCAAGAACAAGAAGAAGAAGAAGCCCGCCAAGAAGGCTGCCGGAGGAGATGCTGAAGGCGAGGACGAGAGCGACGAGGAGTAGGGTCATCAAATACTCTTGCCACTCCAATTCATTCAACGACACGCATTCTGCAAGTCTGCACTCACTGCCTTGGTCACGGCTACCGCAGCATAGGGTCGACGAATGGCGTGGGCTCTAGATTTCCACGTTCATCGACAGATATGGCTTTGCGTGTCTCTAAGGTCCAGCATTTTGACGGATGGTTCTTCTTCAATTTTACACGAGAGCTAGGTGCTGAAAAACGCACAATGGACCTCATGAATTGAGGGGAAATGGATTACTACAGTCTCGGCTTCTATGTGCTATTAGTTCCCATAGAAGGAAAAAAAATAAAAGAAAGAAAAAAAGGTTGAACCGAGATGAAGCAAGATGAACACAGTTATAAAATCCCGTATGCGGAAGCAAACAATTCCACAGTGAACAAGTACAGTGTTGAAGCTTTATACATTGATGCCACGCTGACTTCCCATGTGTAGTTGATGGATGTATTTATCTACCAACGCGTGGATGTCTACCTAGTGACATATGTTGATAAGTGTTATCGAGATTGCCTACCAGGTAGATAAGTGAGCACTGCCATTATTTCCATCAGCACTCACAGTCAGATTTATAATGGTGATGACGATGATGATGATGGTTTGGTGGCGGAATAGGTAAGGCAGGTAAGGCAAGTAAGGATGCAAAGTTGTGGGTTCGGGATTAAGAGACATATTGGTGCTCTCGCCTAGATACGTTAGATACGTTAGAGTGATGTGTGTGAGTCAGGATCCCAGGCTCCTACGTGGCGTGATGATCTTTGAGGCCGCAAATGGTAAAATGGACAACGGTAGAACGGGAAAGAGGGTAGATGCAGTAGGGAAGGTGGAAAGTGGGGAGGAGCCGGCCGAGTGTAGAAACGGAATACCCAAGGCTTCTTATATGAAAGGACATGTGATGAGTTGATGATTGATGATTGATGATTGAATCAGGTGGATGACTTTTTTTATTGTTACTATTGTTCCCCTTAAGCGCGGTTGACACGACACATAACCAATTCAGGGGGGGGATGTACACATTTCAGGGGAAGCCAGGCAAAAACTTGTTAAGATAAAAATGATTGGTAAAATAGACGTAATTGAAACTTTAAAAATGCATCATTCTTTCGAGAGTAATTGAGAAATTATTTTATACACAGTAAAAAGAGAGCAGAGAGTAGGAGCAAGGGGAAAAAAAGAGGTAATAAGCGTAGAGCCTGGACCTTTTTTTCGTTAGGGGGGGAAGGTACATTTTTCAGTAGCGTGTGTCTTGCCCCTGGTCATGGCGGAAGGCCGTCACCTCCGAATTTTTGGCGCAACTGGAATCTCACAATCCATAGACCCATACCACCCTTAATACCCTCCCTTCGCCCTACCGCGTAGGACAAACACCATCGGCGGAAAAAAGCGCGACGATATAGCCTCGCCGATTGATTACAGCACAAAGAAAAGTAGGTAGAAAATTGTCGAACTCGGAAGAACAAATGCTAATTTTTCTAACTAGCTGTACAATTGATTTGATACGGTGTCGCGCAGTGCTGAGTAAAAAATACGAAGGCAAAAGGGGTGCCGGGACCCCCCTCCCCTAATTTTTTTTTAAAAAAATTCAAACGCAGGAGAGAAGTGTCAAGCACTCTTGCCTTCTTTGCGTTCCGCACCGTACTCGACGAAGCCATGTCAACCAATAAATCCGCCCGATCGCGCTTCTCCAGTCCACTGCACCCGAACTCTCCCTCCAGCAACAATAGGGGAATGACGATGGAAGGGCAAAGATCATTTATGCAGAGATGGCTCGAACCCCCGATTCAGAACAAAGCGAGTTTTCAAGAGGCAGGATTGATAAGAGGCGGTGTTGTCGAGAATATGGCTCCTCTTGGTACTCTACCAAAGTCGGCCATGCACAAGAAATCCCCGGTGAATGGTGATGGATTACCGGCTCCTCCTCCGACCAGGACGCGTATTGTGCTGAAGAAGCCTTACGTGACTACGACACCGATGCCGCGTGAGAGCGTGCCTCGTATAAGAGAAGAGTCTGTAGATGAGGTCGAGAACGAGGTGGATGCGGCGCCATTGTCGCCTTTGTCACAACCTGTGGCACCTCCTGCGATGATGGATGATGGTGAAGACGAAGAATACGTGCCCAAGAAATCAAAGACACGCACATCTTCTGCTCATGTCACGCCTATCACTGTACCTAGCAGCACACGGCGACATTCAGCTAGGCGTCGAAGTGCGCGTCCAAGCCCAACTCCAGTTGTCGTCACGGTCCCTGCAATTTCCACGCCTGCCCAATCTTCACCTGTCCAGGCACCAGCCCCATCACCAAAGCCTCCTACATTTCGCGCGCCGGCTTCTACACTTGGTCGCGTGCCAGATAAAGAATTGGCGGATAAAGTTGTTGAGACCGCAGTTGATGAGGCACTTCGCCATTACCGCTACCCCACTGCATGGGCACTTCGTCTACTTTACGATGAAAATTCATCTGACCCCCATTTTGTTTCTATGATTGAGGACATCTTTCATCAACGCGCAGATGTAGAAACCATCAAGGAATTTAACAGGCTCGTGTCCGACAAGAAAAAGGGAGGAAAAAAGGACAACAAAGGTTGCTATTATTTTGAGCCGCCTTCGACTGGCAGCCGCTTCACTCCTCAGAAGCCCAAACCTGCACCTTACAGTGACCTAGTCAAAATGGATTTCAGTCATTTCCCAGATGAAACACTTAAGGGACATGTCAACAAGAAGGTCAAACTCGATCAGGATGCTATTATTGATGCTGCTACAATGACTCCTTCTAAGGTAAATGGCAACGGTACCGGAAATGGAAATGAGAATGAAAATGGAGTCAGCAGCCATAAAGGTCTCACAAACAGATCACCTCATAAGTCACCTAACAAGTCACCATCTAAGGGAAGAAAGACGCGTTCGGGATCAGTTAGCAGCTCTTCATCTCTATCTTCGGTCCCCGATGATGTTCCCGATGACTTCGAGGGTTTCATGGATCTAGTGGATGACGACCTGAGTGTCGCGCGTCCCATAGCTGCCGCAGCCGAAGCGAATAATGCGCAAATCCCGGCAGACTCAATCCAGCCAATCAGCGACCAGCAGAAGAAACCCGCCGCGAAAAAGAAGAATGGTGCATCTCCCAAGCACACTCCCTCCCAAAGTACCCGTCAACATCCTTCATCCCGTGATTCAAGTATGCCCGCTGTTGTTATCACCAACGGCACCTCTCATCTTCAGCACACACCTAAGCGTCAACAAACACCCGCTTTCAAGTTTACCAGCAAATTTGGTGACGCCGACCTTTCGGAGCCACTTGTTCAGAAAAAGCTGAACAACAAATTTGAGACTAGAAGTGCTACGGAGGATATCGTCGAGGAGAGTTTCATTCGAGAACCTCTTCTGGACGACAGTCTACCCTTCGAGCTGGCTGTGCCACCGCCACCTACCACCGAGCAATATCGCTCATCTCGGACGCCAGCTCTGAGTTCACGAGCTGCGAGAGCGGCCAAGCGCAACCATGATGAAATGGACGACTCCATCTCTCCGACTACCCAGTCATTCAGAGCCGCCGATCTGGAGGCATCTTCTGCACGCAACTCACGTGCTGCGACGCCGGCGTCCAATTTACGATCGAACAAGAAGCCTCGAGCAGGTTTACGCGTGAAGAATTCGTGAGTTTCTACCCTCTATCAATTTCCCCATCATCTATCTATCGTTTGTCGTGCTGCGTTGCGGCTATTTTCCCTCATAGCGTGGTCCGACCGAAACGCTGTGCTGTCACAAAGCAAGGCCCAGCCAAGTGGCGATGTGGCACCACATGATCTCACGTTGGGCCAAAACCAACCTCAGCACGGACATTCTCACTCTTGCCAGCTTGATATGTATACACGATTACTGCAAGGGAATATTCACTAACGAAAGCGCGCTCCCCATGACAGGCCGATGAAAAAGAAGGGTACTTCTGCGGGTATTCCTCGTAGTGCTGTTGATCGACCAAGCCCTATAGGCTTCGGACCTCCTCATCATCAGGTAAGCAGAACAAAAAAAAAGTCCATTCAATTATCCCCATCCCCTTACTAGAAATTCGCATTCCTCATCTGCGACGTATGTCGCGATGTGTTCTTGTGCGGAATTTTCCCCCACCATGAGCCGAGGGAGGCTTAGTTAGCCCTAATGCCTCAAAGGCGGGATTCAGGCGGCGGCGATTAGATCCTTCTTGTTCCCGCTTGGACCGAAACTCTACTACGTCCGCTATCTGCCATCCATTTTCTATGTTCATGCTGACGACATCCACTAGGACGATAACGACGACTCCTGCTACACGTGCGGGGGTAATGGTGAGCTGGTTTGCTGTGACGGATGCAATTATTCTTTCCACTTTCTATGCATCGACCCTCCTATGGACGAGGGTCATATGCCCGATGAGTGGTATTGTAATGAGTGCAAGCACTCATATACTCCGCCCTTCAGTGGCGAATATCAGGGCCCGTTCCGTTCTCTCTTCAGTCTTCTCGATAGAAAGAACACAAGAGCTTTCCGTCTTCCCGAGGATGTTCGAGAGCTTTTCGAGGATGTGCGAACAGGACCCGAAGGCGAATACGAAGAGGCTGTGCCTCCTAAGCCTAAGTAAGTATATATGGCCGCAATCTCTTCTATTCCTGTCTTACTAACACGCGCTATCTTTAGGACGACCAAGAAGGGTGTTGAGGAACCCTTCGATTTTTTCAAGGTCAAGAATGCGGATGGCCGCCCGGTGTTATGCTTCCGCTGCAACAAGGCAACCTCGGACAACCGACCCATAATCCCCTGCTCGGTACCGGTATGCGGACTCAACTGGCATCTTGAATGCCTAGATCCACCTCTAGCCGTTCCGCCGGTTCCTCGAACCTGGCGATGCCCTTGCCATGCTGAGGAGATGCTGGCTGAGCTTCCGGAAAGACTAGCCCCCGCACATCGGCACCGCAGGATCAAGAACGCTCCGATTATCGAGCACAGTTACAGCAGAGGAATGGCTAATGATGGCTACATCGAAATCGAGAACGACGATGATAGCGAGGACGATGCGCACGCTTGGCGAAAATACAAGGGCTTCGGCCAAACACATCGACTGTCTGCCAAAGGCGTCAAGTTGGACTTCATTTCTCGGTAAGATAGCCTCGTCAAATACGTAAGCTTCCGGTATATTAACCATTCAATAGTGTACAAGCAACGCGCAAGCGCAAATCCGCCCCGATCAGCCCGGTTAGCCCTACTCCTGCGGTCCAACCCAGAGTTCGGTCTCTGGAAGAGCAGCAAGCTGCCTTAAATCTCGCTCAGCTAGCGAGAAGTGATGGCATCAATTTACTACAACGAGCCATGATTGTACGTCAAACCACAGTTTTCGCGTGCATGTTTTGCGACTAACAGTATAAACAGTCTCAAGCTAGCCCGGATATCGTCTCTTTGATGGCAAGCGGGGATGCTAAGCGCATTGCCTCGGGCAGCCTAACTTCAGTTGATACTGTTTCCCTCCAAGCGATGCTCGCACAAGCCGAATCCTTACAGCAGGGTATTCGTCAGCTCCTAGGCAGCAGAAACATAACAAACGACGCAACGCTTAAAGCGACAAAAAAGGAGGCTTCTCTATCATTCAATAGCCCCATGAGCTATGACCCGATTGCATACAAAGATGGCAAGCAACGTACTGTTGCCAAAGGTGTCGCCACCAACCCTGACGTCGAGGGTAACAAGCTCACCAAGAACGAGTCTGCGATGCAGATCGACTAAGAAACCCTCATCCCTCCGATGCAAGCTTAGCGCATGTACCGCTGCCCTTGCCAATGTCTCCTACTTTATTCAGTCTCGGTTATGGTGGAGCTTGGTCCGTTCTAGATGCAGATCCACGGTTTCAAATTCTACAAGACGAGCACCGTGGAAATTACACTGTCACATCGACAGGTCTAACTACTATTAATTTTTCCTATTCCATTTGCGACATTACTACGAGTCGCCACCGCCTTTTTTCGATCCCGAAACTCCAGGACCGCCAATTTCCTTAATAAGCACCGGAGATTTGCCAATAGGCAAGAGGCGTTCGTCGACAACTTGAAGTTGTTGACATGTTCACGTCACCAATAAACTTGGTCAACTAAGGCGATTCCTTATTAGGCATGATCACAGGTCACAGTGCATCACGCTTATTCAGCCCTTTTCCAAGTATAGGAATGAAAAGGTTCCTGTATCTCGGTCTACCGCATTAATACTCTTAACAGAGAGAAGCATACGCGCATGCTGTGAGTTGAGATCAGGATCGGGCGATAATACTAGGACAGACAGGTCACGGTCTTTCAGACCGCAGGATTCACTTTTTAACCCCAATTCCATTCTCCATGTTCATATTTGCAATGGCCTATCTACATACATCTGGTCTTCTTTCGACGAGCCTCAAAGGCTTCCAGAAATTTTTCAGCCTCGGAGGAAGGGGAGTTCATGGCGTATGTTTTACAAGGTCCTACTTCAATCTATTCCGTTTCTTTTCTACCTTTTTTTTCTTCTCAATTTGCATCTTCTCTTTTACTATTCCCGTGGCCTGTCTGTCGGACAGTCGGACAGCATCAGGAGCAAGCAGACAAGCAGTGGTAGAGGAGAGAGAGAAGGTGAAGAGAGGAGAGAGAAACCGAAACCATGCGAGTGGTCCTCACGGCGGAATTTGCAGAATTTGGCGGATCGGCGTTTTATGCGAGGGGAACGGGAGAGAGAAAAAACTGGATCGCTTCAGAGCTACGCTTTACTTTTACCTACTACTATAGTCGCAAGCCTGTCCTATACTAGCAGTAGGAAAACGCAGATTTTTTTCCCCCGCCTATCTACTGTGCCTGCGTGCTTAAGTGCTTTTTGACTTACTAACTAGGTCGTAAATCGGTGCATGTCTTTGATCGCTCGTAACGAGGGTTTAGGGGGCGAGGAAAGGCAAACTAGGTGCTTAGGGTGGCAATGGATGTAGGTATCTAGGTGATGATGATGTACTACGGTATAGGTAACCAGCCACACGCCCCCAAGTCTCAAGGTCCCTCCCTCCCCCACTCCCGGCGTGCGCTCCGCGGCGACCTGAGCTGCTAAGCTACAATACAATACAACTGCTACCTACCTAGATTTCTATACGTCCCCCAGCTGACGTGGCTGCCGTGGAGTGGGTACCGCGTGTAGCGACCGCATCTTGTTTCGGGTAAGGGGGATCATCCCGGGGACGCGGCTCCTTCGGGTTGGGTAACCTTATTTTTTTTTCTTTCCTTTCCTTTCCTTTCCTTTGAGCCTTTTTCTTGGATGGGCTGATGGGTAGCTAGGTGTACCTAGGTTATCGCGGGTATGTGGCTTGGCTTTGTGCGTAGCTGAGGGGACCGGTGTAGATCTCGATGAGGGAGGAGCTGGGCGGCTGGGCGGCTGGTATTGCGGGTGTACAGGTAGGTAGGAAGGGAGGTAGGTATGTACGTGTATATCGGGGACGGTATAACTATAGGTAGGTTAGGCACTTGTTCGAAATTAGATGGGTTAGTGAGATAGGTGGATAGATAGTAGGTTGTTCAGGTAGCAAGATAGGTCAGATCATGTCTATCTGTCCTGCTTAAAGTACCTCAAGTCGCCTATAGTAGGTAACGAGCAAGAAGATACCTGTGACACAACAGCCTAAAATGCACAAGGGTCGGCTTAGGCTAGGGGCTCTATAATACCAATATCTTATATAATACTGAGTGTAGTCTCATCTTCGATACCTTCTCAACCTTTACCGAACAATTTCTCGCGATCTCCTTACGGGGCCTCACAAACAAAGGCTATTAGATAGGTATTTTGCCAACGGGAAACCCCGCCGACCCAAGTTTGCCATCAGGCGCCTTTGCCTTTGATGGCGTAAAGGATCTAGCCATATACAGCTCTGCCAGGAGAAAAAGCAAGAACAGGTAGGACGAGGGATTTAGCGAGGCTTATCCTACCGTATCGTCGGTGTTCGCAGAACCAGACCGAGCCGCAGATATAAAGCGAAAAGATACTAGGATCGACGTCTTACGCCGAGTCAGTGTTACAGAAGCGGTGACAATCTGCGACTACGAGGTCGGAGGGGAAAAAGGCGTCTCACCGCCATTCAAAACTCGGGTGTCACGAAAAAAGCAAGCATACTAGATGAAAACAAGCAATAGGCTAGGTAGTAAACTCATTCGTCTCTTAAGCATATTTTTCCTATCCATTTACTTCACTAATGATGTAGTTCGTTCTTCTCTCTGAAATTCGTAGCCGATGCGGATCCTCTCCCTTGCTTGTTGCCATGGGGCTGTCACGAGAGCTAAATTGAAAAACCAATACAAGCAAGTCTTTGATCGCAATAGAGCGTTTTGCAATAGAAAGTTCGACTTCTCCGCAGACATCATTTGTCCTATCCCACACCTGCTTCGTCAACCATATTTGCTTTCCTCTAAATCTTCCGGAAACTGCACCGAAGTTGGAAGAATGAAGAATTTGGGTAAACCTCAGTTAGTCCACGTGGAGCCCTGACTTTGTACATATAACAAACGTGGCGGAGTGGCCCTCCACCACGGATGCTTCCTCCAAGTGAAAAAGAAAAGTCCGTGAGGTAAAGCCGGCCGATCTCTCATTCATCATCTGCTGCTGCGGAATCGCGATTGGAGAAAGGCCACGTCTAAGAATCGTGTAAGGGGGGTACAGTATAATGAGAGTAACTGTACGGAGATCCAAGTACTGCCGGGGTGGTTTCCAGCCCTCCACAGCGTACCAGGCTGGGTCTCGACGGGTCGACCACAACTGCTTTTGCCACACAAACTTGTAAATATAAATCAAATATGTTAAGCCAACCAACTCCCATATCGGTACAGCCATGCAATTCGGTAAAGTAGATGCACGAAGATGTAGATACGCATCTAATCTCATGCGAAACAGTCACGATGACTCGTCAGATCATCTCTGAAGTCATTGGTCAGCATCATCGGAATTTATGGTCGAGGTGACCTTTTCCTTTGAGGGGGTTGACCTACGCGTCCGCGCCTGGCGTTGACCGGTTGCTCCTGCATGTAAGGCATGGCATTACCATACCCGTAACCTCCCATGTTCACTCCCATGTTGAAACCAGGAGGCGCATAACCGGCCGGAGCCCCGGGCGGCTGGATGGGGCTACCGTTTGCCGCGTTCTGGCCACGGTATTGATCCATCGAGGGGCTTCCATTGTTATAGCCTCCGAAGCCCGCTTGCATAGGAGGGAAATAGTTGTTCATTGGCGGAGTTCCACGTGGGAGCATGTTCTGCTGGTACTGCATCTGCTGGAGGTTTACTGGTGCCATCGATCCACTGGTTGCGTTATACATCGGGCCCTGTGGTCCGTACGAAGGGAACGCAGACATGCCGGGTTCCACGCTCTCGCTTCTAGGAGCAGGAAAGCCACCCATATCAAAATTCGAGCCTCCACTAGCGGGATTCAGGGGATTCAGGTATTGGTTGCCATATTGGGAATTCTGCTGCACGGCGTTGGCATTCGACTGGGCCTGGCGAGAAGAGGGTCGTTGTCGCTCGGCCGATGCGTTATTGCCCACAGAATGATCGCGAGATCCACCTCCTCCGCCACCGGTTCGAGTAGATAATCCAACCTCATCCATTAGACGCTTATAGCCTTGGTTAGGTTGCGCCTTGATGCGCACGAGGACACTTTTCACGTTCTCTACCACCTGGCCCCTGATGCTCTCGTCGAAGAACGGCGTCGTGAGGACCTTGAAGATCAGCGTAGCACCACAAGAGTGGTCGCTCAGAATAGCTTCCAAGATTTGATCTTTAGGGGTAAAGAAAAGAGCCTTAAGAATCGTGTCTCTTGCCTCTGGCTCAGACTTCTGGTTAATAACCTTCAGAACTGTAAGATAGGCAACTTTGTGTGTGCAGAGGTGGACAAGATAGGGGACAAGCTGAGGAGCCAGAACACTACGTCGCTGAGGGAAGGTGCATGTGTCCAAGAACCAAGTCAGCAGAAGGGCACCGTTGGCATTAGTAGCCAGCTGAACGCTGTGGAGAGCAATGGCAGCGGCGAGCATTCTTTGTTGGTCTTTAGTAGCGTGATGGCTTTCAAGACACGCTCGCATCGCTCGAGCACCATACCGACCTTGACCAACATCCCACATCTTGCTAAGCATAGTTTCGAAGATAAAATCGTTGAACGGAGCACCAAACTTGAGGCATCCTTGTAAAACATAGTTGCCATATTGGTCCAAGAATAGCGGGATAGTATACGCTCTCAGATGCTGAACAATCAAGGTCATCTGGTGAGGTGTCTTGCAAACGTCGATGATTTTTTGAGCTGCCCATGTTCCATTCTTGTGCACACCGATTTCAGCCATATGAGGAGCAATCTTGGCTAACATGAGATCCCGGATATTGTCTGAGCAGTGCTCGAACAACTTTTGAACAACGGTGTTACCCAGATAGTCTGAAGACAACTCGGCGATTTCGGAAAGCATCTCAGTTGCGATATGCTCGATTTCTCCCTGAGACAAACTTTGGTTGTCAATGCGCTTCCGGATATCTCTGAGCTTAGGTGCGTCATGTACCCTGGTATGCGTGGGCTCGCGAATCGGGGGAATCTCGTCAACAAAAGTAGTGAACTGAATAGCCTGCTGAAGGTTGTGGGAAATACGGTATGTGTCATCGTCAGTTGCACCGAAGGACTTCACGATTTGCAGAATGTCTCCAGTCATTTCACGTAGAGGTGGAATCACCGGCGCTGCGTTGGTCGTGTTTGCGGACATCGCATTATCTCCCGCAGGACCGGCAGTGCCAGGGGTAGTGCCATCCTGGCTCTTTGCAAATGGATCGGGACTGGGACTCGGGAACACTCCATCGTGGCCAGGTGTATTCGATGCCGAAGGTGGCTTGGCAAAGTTGATCCGGATAGGTCCAGCTCCAGGGAAGATCTCCTTACCGTTCATGCTCGCCTTGGCCGAAATAGCACTGTCAACCCTTTCGAAATTGACAAAGCCGCAGTTCTTGTGCGTCAACACTCTTGCGGATAGAATTGGACCATACGACTTGAACATTTCAGTTAGGGTTGACGTGGTGGTTGATGTTGGAATACTACCCAGCCACAAAGCACTCGTAGGACCCTCCAGACCGGCCTCTTCAGCCGTCAACAGACCGTTGTTCCGACTGTTTGACCTGCCTAGATTCATCTCGGCCATAGCTGTAGGGAGATCGTCAAATTCCTTCTCCTCCGGCAATCGGATTTCAGCGGCCGTGATCGAGCTATCAAGACGCGAGGGAGTAGGGTAGTAGTTACGCATTAACCTTGAACCTGCCCCTTGTAGCTCCAGAACACCAGCCGTTCGCGCACGGGGTCGAGTGGCTGATGCTTGAGAAGCAAATGCCTGCAGCCCCTGGACAGCTAGATTATGACTATGGATAGCAGCGTTAGTAGCGGCTAGCTGATCCTGGAGATGTGCAGCATATTGGCTCTCAATAGCCATACTATCATCATCATAGTCATCCTCCTCATCTGCGTACTTGTCTTTGTTGTTGACAGAATAAGACCGGAATCGGTTGGCTTGCTTAGTGAAGTCAGCAAAGCCAGGCAGATAAGGCGTGGCCAACTGAGCACGAGCTGGCTGCGGAGTCTCGGCCAGACCTAGATAATCAAGAGTTCTCATATGAACATCATTGTCTCCAGGCCCCTCCTTCGAAAACGCAGACTGAGCCGGCGAGCTTGGCCCATTCGATCCGATGCTTGCTATACTTGCAAGAGTATTACCCCTGTCACGACCAGTCGGGTTCCATGTACTAAATACCGAAGGACCGAAAGGCGAGCTATTCCCAGGCCCGTGGGAGAAGGGACTACGCTGCGGCATAGAGCCAGCTCGGAGCCTCGACAATAGGTTCGAAGATCGAGCCGAGTCTGGCGGGTCCAATCCCGGAGACGGTGACTTAAACGGGCTCTGGGACGGTGTCGGCCGGGTCGATTGTGAAGAAACCGAGGGAATATTAAGAAGACCATTTCCTATACCACCAGCAGGGAATCGGGAAGGGACAGTGCCTGCTCGCGCACGCCGAGTCGAAGGCATGGTGTCTGGAGTAGGCAATTGGGCGAAGTCGGGAAATCCATCGGTTGGGGACTCGGGAATATTCTCTCTCAAAGGCGTCGAGTTGCCACTAGTTGGCGGGCCACCCCAGGGGTTACCTGACAATCCAGGGACACCTTCTTGAGCTTGAATTTCTCTTGCTCTACATTCAAGCAATTTAGTTAGATGCGTCACAGATGAACTGAAGCTTCGATGGTGCCTTTGAGACTTACCTCTTGGAGAAGAGTCTATTTGAACCAGCAGCCTCGTGCGAAGGAGAACCAGCCCCGGAACGCGTGGTACCTGCCATCTTACCAGGCGGATTCAAGACACCAGACATGCCGAAGGGAGATCTAACGGAAGATGCGCCGGGCGAGTCAACCGGAGGTAGGTTAGCGGTTGGTGAAGTAGAACGACCGTTGGCTGATTTAGGGGGGTAGCCAATAGTCAAGTGTTCAGATCTAGAAGTTGACATTATCGATTATTCATCCGACCCTCATCAGGAGAAGCAATAATAAATGCCCTCCACGGATGATAGTTATTGGGCAGTTGTTTTTTTTTACTTCGTATACTATGAAGTAGTAGTAAATAGCTAACGAAGCCGAAAGAGTTCGGAATGACGCGATGTCACAATGTCAAGTCGGGCGGGCGACTTTTCTGTACTTCTCGTCCTATAGTAATTTCAACGACCAAAGCGACGGGGTTTAACCAGCCACACCAGCGATCGCTAGACGTGCTCGGTAGATTAAAGAGTCGCACACAAGGCCGTAGGAGAATGGTATCCTAAAGGAATGTGTGGTGGAAGTGTCGAATATAGTAATCCCACAAGTTGCTGTCTGTTTCTATTGCGGCTACTTTGGGTTATTACAAGGAGGCAAGCGACCGGGCTGCGAGCGAGGTCGAAGCGGTGTTGATTTGATAGAATATTGAAATAAAGGGTAGAATGTAGAAAAATACAAGGAATGTCGTAGACGAATTATTCCGAGGACGATGTCCGAGTCGAATTGGGACTGCGATAATGATTCTGACGAAGAACAGTTTTTTTTCGATTAGCCCTTCCCTTTTTTTTCCTTCCTAGACGAAAACCCCCTTGAAGAAGAATTGGTGGGAGGGAAGAAAAAAAGAACGGTCTTGTCGAGACGGAAAACAAGTTGACCAAACAGATCAGGATCAATATACAGGCTCCATTAAAGATCTACGTATGATCTAGAGGCGGGGGGAAATATGAAAGGACTTGAGCCTGGAGAAGGGCATAAAAAAAAGGGAAGAAGGTGGAAAGGTTGGAGAGAGGACTAGGTAGACAAGACTGTGTAGTGATTCTCAGGAGAGGTTCAAAGAAGAAGAACGGACGGGAACGAAAAGTACAGGGTACCGCTACTAGGTACTAATTGATTGGAGTGTCTGGCTGTCTGGCCGTTTGGGTGCGCAAAAAGTTGAAGTGCAGCAGGGAAGGTACTATGGGTTTTAGTGGGGGCGATGCTCTCTTTCCCTACCTCCATACCTACCAGTTAGACCAGTTTTGGTTACGAGTGCCCCGTATTCGATGTGTGCCTATTCTGTATTACATAAGTATTTTATAGTACTCTGCTTGTACCCAGCTTGGCATTCTACAGCAAAGATCCCTATTAGATCCATAGTGCGAATGACATAGCTGGTACCTCCAATATCCAAGTAAAGGACCAACAATTCGAAGGCACATGTGGGCTTTGAAACAATGAGATCGCCCTGATCAACTAGAGAACCCTCTCTTTTATTTTTTCTCCTCTCACTTTTTTTTTAGTCTCTTCATACGTACGTGTTACCTTTTTCGTGTTCATATTTTTTTTCTCTTTAATTCATCTTTTTTTCCTAATCATCAAATATTTGGTAGGTATGCAATGGAATAATTATATCGTGTGATACTAATAATTAAGACATTGATAAATGAATTGAACTTATAAATACACACATGGACCGACCCCAGGGTTTTTCTTCTTCTTCCGCAATATACGGTATATTCAGATATATTATATTCTTGATTAAACCACGCTAGGATTAATTGAGTTGCTTCATCAGGCGCTTCCACTTGTCCCTCTCTTTGGTTTTCTCGACACAGGGGTAACAGACGCATGATTGGAGAGAAGCGAGCTGTGGAAGAAATTTCAAAAACCAGGCCACTCTCCGTTTAAGCATCGATACCGATTTGGCAGTTTAGAAAGAGGGAAGAGCAAAAAACACATGTGTCCTGTGCAAGCATGTCCAAGCTTGTCGGAAAAGGCGCGGTAGTGCGCCCCAGTAAAGACCAAGTAGACGAAGTAGACGAGAATGACGACATCTCACCCAGACAACCAGAAAACCAAAGCTGCTCTATTCGGCATCATCCAATGTTATCAATGCTGTCGCATCGGATTCCACCTAGGAAAAAAAGAGACTGGATCCGACTTTACCTACGGCTTCTACGGTTCTGATCCTGTTTGGCAATCCGGCTTTTGTCAACGGTTCTCCCCACATTGCGCCTATCCAATCCACGTCGCTATCTTCATTCCATAGCTGCTTTAGTCGCTTTAGCCATGTCGGCCTCTTTTTTAGGGAAGCAACACGGATTATCCCAAGACCCTTCAGCACGTTCTGCACGTATCACGCAGGATGTGATACGGACACCCGAACCTGGCATGCAGCAATTAGAATCTCAGAACATTCAGAATACCTTACATAGTACTATTACTTTGGAACTCGAAATCGGCAAGCTATCCCAGGCCAAACCAGCATGTTGTTTAAAATCTGCCTCAAACTAGCAAGCCGTCAACATATGAGTGCTCAAAGCGGGACGAAGCATCTAGTGCTTTTCCTTTTTCGGAAGGAGAGTTGTGGCACGCTCCCTGACGTTGCATAGGAGAGGAAGCATCATGTAGATGAAGGGGGGACCGTCCTTCGAATCTGAGCCTTGCTACCTGGGCAGGTTGTAGAAATGCGACAAACAACAACGAACACCTAGTATCTATCTTGGTAGTGAGGACAAGACCCGGTTACACATTACCACTGAGGCATTCTTTATAGGTACCTACATACGTATACGTATAGGCATTCTATATGCCACATCTCACACCTCACTTACATATAATAGCCAAAGCAACGTGGCACTGCTACCTCAAAGTCGATCCGTAGAAAAGTTTGCTCAACTACGCTGTACAATGTCGAAGTTTATGCAGGCAGAATCTCATCGCGAGGCATACAAGCACCGAACAGGGTGTCATTATAGGCCGTCAGCACGTCGACGAATTCGGCTCGGCCGTCCAGTTATCACAGGTCAACCATACTATGCTGACTATGTAAGTCGATCTTTAAATTCAGGGGTAATCTACTAGATGTCTTAGCAATCGGCGGTTGTCTCGCATGTCTTAGATACATACATCATCAGTAGAACCATTCAACGTTCACAGTACATAATCGAGTACATACTGCTACTAATAGACTAATAGAATCGACTTAACCTTGTCAACAGCTGCAGCGTGATAATGTTTCCCCAGAGCTTCTAGTAACGACATTCCATCCCACAGTTCCCATCACTCTTAGTCCCGGTCTCATTGACTGGCATGGATGTCGCATTGTGGCTTGCGAGCTACCTAGATGGCCCTTCCACCACGGCACTACCGCCTTAAGATGCGCAGCTATTATTTCATGCTGGGGTCGTCAATGGGAGCCGAAGCTCCAATCAACGATCTAGATGGCTTCGGAGGGGGATCTGCCTATAAAATCTGAAACGTCGCTCCAAGTTTCCCTCCAATCCAACAGAAATCCTCACGAGACTCGATTGGGCCACCGGCAAGCCACCCTGCAGGCTTAACAACCCGACGCGAAACCTCTGAGACCACATTGGACGAAGGTCTAAATCTTGGCTTGGTGATTGATATCTTTCCACGTAAACTGTACCACCATGATAAGTTTTTTTTCCCATCTCATCTTGTCCGGTGGCCTCAACAAGAGATGAAAGGGTTATTCAGTCGCGTGAGCTTGTTCAGGGCTACCATAATAACCGCCCCTTTGCTTAAACATCGACCTCGTCGTAACCTCTTCGCCAAGCCCCTTACACGCGGACTTTCGTACTAGCCTCGCCTTATTATCCACCCGTTTCGAATCCAAGAAACGTGGTTTTTTTGTTTTAAAGCGTAGCTTAAATCCTATCGTCGTCTCTAAATGTCTTAGCGCAAAGTACGGACCGCCTCTTGGTATCTCGCCCCCCGATGTTAGGTCTATATTTAACTACAAAGGCTCATCGGCGAGCGGCAAAGAGCCCCCATTTCCACTTCTATATTTTGGATCATGCGAAATATATACAAAGGCTTTTTTTCCATTTTAGCTTTCGTCTCCAGTTTCACTTTTTCCCTGTCGCTCAGCTACGCCCTGCTGAACGGAACATGGTTACTTAATTCCCCTGCTTTTGATCGACGGTGCATGATGCCACCTCTTTAAGCTTCTATTTCTGTTTCGCTCCAACACACCATGCTAGGGATTGAAGATTCCCAATTGTCCTTCCTTGAATATGTACGAAGAAACATTTAGAGAAATTCGTTGACGATGATGATGCGAGTCTATAAACTATAGATTCCTTTTCAATGCTGATACATTGACAACGATACTGAAAGAAACCAAATATCGAGAAGCCTCTAAGCGACCCGGTATATTCGAATGACAGTACTTCCTAAAATGAGATTTGTCATCCGATCTTACTTCTAGGGACAAGGTCAGTCGTCATATCTTACGCCATCTTTTCGGCACACTCGCTTCGGCCGAGAACTCCTATCCCAAAATATACAACAATTGTCGAGCCACAACAACCCATCCAAGCAATAGGCATTAACGAGCATAATGCTATCCATGTTGGATAAACCCGAGTTCATTAATGTTATGTAAAGACTGTAGAATTCTATTCTTGAACCCCGTCTACGGTATTCGTCTAGAATCTTAAGTTACTACTTAAGAACTAGTTAACTTCAAATAAGTGTCACGCTAAAGTAGAAAGCTGCATAGCTAAGATGCATGTGTATAATATTTTAAATATAATCGGTAAAACTTGCCGCGTAGTACTTTATAGTGATAGAAGAATATGAGGAGTTGCCCACTAAAACCAGGGATGTTGATATCTTTGTAAACTGAACCTCTACAATAGAAGGTAGAAGTCGGGGTTGGAAATATTCGAAATGGCCTCCAACTAGGTACCTAACAGATGAATCTAAGATCAAGAAACTTCAAATATCTGCAAAAACAAGCCCTTAGATGGTAATATGATATCTAGCCTTAGCCAAACATAAAAAACCATAATTAATAGAACAACCAACTCAGTCATGATATTAATCCCATATTACCATCGAGAAGAATTAACCTGGAGTAAACAATTTTAGGCATTAACTACCACCAAGATCCAGTAGAAATGGGTATCAATTTCTCTAGCATACTCTCCTCCGCGAGACAACCTCGTCGATACTTAATACCTAATCCTATCTCATATACAATGCCCCTATCCACGGCTACATATCGTAAGTAAAGTCAACTAACCTATCAACAGCAACCTAACCCCGACTCTCAGCGAGTATTTGGGGTCTCCTATCCATCGTTCTAATCCCAAGCCAGGCTATACCACCAACAGCCACCGCATAGCCAGCATCATAAGCACCGCGAGCCCCCCTAGGACATTCTCAGAACATCCCCTACCGCCCCCTCATACCCTCATCTCCCATCCCCCATCCCCCATCCCGCATCACAAAGCCCACTCCCCCTTCTCATCCTCGGCCGTAATAAACGGCTCATCAATGCGCTTAATAGCATAATCGCTACACAGAATACTACACAGCAAGTTAGCCACATCCTCACACTCCCCATCCCATCTCACCACGGTTCAAAGAAAACTTACCAAGCAGAAGCGACCAAAGCATCCAACTCCGCAACCATAGCGTCCTTTCTCGCGCCACTGACCAGGCCCTTACTAATCTGCACCTGACACTCCTTAATGCGGCGACTCTTCCCCACACCCGCCTGCTCGAGGACCTTTCTCCCGAGACAATCGGAGTGGAACGCGTGCTGGCACGGGAAGACGAAGAACTGCCTACTAAGGAGCGGGAGCGCGCAAGCGTAGCATTTCTCGCCCGGCTCGACGATGGCGTACCTGTGATCGAGGCCCGCGATGTCGATCTTGATATTCGCGGCCGTCTGGGAGCTTTCGTCCATTTCCTTCTTGAGGCCGTCGATGTTGCGAGAGTAATCCTCGAGTGCGTCGCAGATCTCGTCTTTGAAGTCGTCGATTACCACGAAGTCTGGGAAGAACGGGATCAGGTCCTCGATCTTGAGCAGGTCGCACCGCTTTAGGAACTCGATCGCTGTCTTGATCCCGTTTGATTGCGAGATCACCTTTCGCGCTACTGCTAGCCATAGTTTCTTTCGGAGCACGGGGTTCGACATCGGTCGGTCTGCGATGATGGACGCGTATTCGACTTCGTTGTGGGAGAGGGCGAGGTCGACGGCTTGGACGTACTGTCCCATGTTTGTGTAGATGTGTACACATGAGAGGGTGCGCTTGTGTTGGATACATAGACGGAGCGCAAAATCGGGATCGAAATTAGGTTCTTCGCCTTGGGATTCTAGGTATGCGAGAAGTCCTGACTCGTCTTTCGAACTGTGGGATGCGTAGATAGAGACAAGAGTGTTGTGAACAGCCGCGTCTATGGAGTGAAGTTGATTGATAACAAATTGTAGGTATCGGACGGCTTGATTCTGTAGGAGCGTCCCAGTGAAGGTTCTATTATAATCGAGAAGAGCTGGTATGATTTTCCGTGGCTCTAGTTTGGGATGTCGCATTAATATCTCGACTAACTCATGTCCGACGTGCGTCATCAATACACTGCTGTACCGATAGAACACTTCCGGGTCTGTCTGCTTCTTGAGCACATTCAACGTATCCGTCCATCGTTCTCTCTGCACCCAATATGATAGAACGTAGTTGTAGTCGTTAATAGCGTTGGCAAAGAATAGGAGCTCGTCTTCCCGAGCATGACTGCTAATAACATCGTAAGTAGTCTTGCGGTCAAGATCAGATTTATGTTTATTGACGAAGTCGTGAAATTCATTTCGAACAGCATCGAGCTGTTGTCGTGACTGCTTCTTATTCTCGCTTTCGGTCGACTCTGCTTCCACGGTAATGGAGTCCTCGAGAGAATTAAGCTTTGCCATAAAAATCTCAACTAGCCACGCCGCTATCAGCATCCTCTGCATAATGGAGGACTTCTTATATGACGTGAGTTTTGTGACAAGGTATTTTCGTAGGGCATCATTTTGGCCATGGTCTATGAAAGAAAGCGCAACATCTTCAAATGGCTTGCTGCTTTTGCCATAAACACCAGCAGCTTCGACAAATAAGCCTTTCTCAACCAGATAATCGCCAGATGCCGTCGAAACCGCATCTTTTTGTGCTGAAGTATGAGCATATTGCATAGCCATGTCGAATTGTTGCCTCTGTAGCATGATTCGCCATATATCTCGATCCTCATCTCGGACAACGACCTCAAATATTTCCTGGGCGGTGAAAAGCCAAAATGTGTTTTTCTGCTGGTCAACGTAGACTCCTAAGGCTTTCTGCCCTTGTTCTAAGATTACTTGGTCGTATATGACTGACCCTGTGAGTCGATTTGTCGCTACAACGCGACCACCGACTAAACTGATAATGTGCCATTGCGTTAATGCGATCGCATCGATAAACTCGGAAGGCGCCTTCTTTCGCCCTGACGCCTCAGTCGAGACTACTTGGGATCTTGGCAGAAGCTTGGACTCAGCATACACCTTATTTCCAAGATCATTCACGGCCGCTGTTAGAAGCTTCCCATGGTAGACACCGTGGGAGGAAAGCCAGGCGAAGGCTCGTTCTGGGATCACGTCCTCGTAAGCATCAGCATCTGGGGAGTCTGGCGATATAGCTAGCATAGAAGGGGCAGTAGCTGAGCTCCGCGAAATCTCGTGGATAATCGGTTGTTCGGAATCGAATAATCTCGTATAGATCGAACCGCTTCCCTCGTGGGCGCTTCGACCAACCTTGCCGGCAAGGTGGAACAGGCGGCTTTGTGTGCTGATAACCACCCTCCTTACGTCAGTCTTTCCGCCCATATTATCAACCCATATTCCCGTGACTGGGCCATCTGGAAGTTTGTTGAGCGCCTTCAAGTATTTTTCCTCCTTCCTGTAGAACTCCGTCGAGGTTTCGATGAACGTCTCGTATATGTTTCCATCAGAGGCGCCTATCAGGATCTCGCGCGTCGTAGCTGTGGGCAGAGATGGATTCCAAGCTACAGACTCGACGGAGACGCCGCGTAACCTACTTAAAGGTCGTGGTTGGCGTGATTGTGTATGTAGGTAATAGTTCTCGCCGAGGGAGGTACATATGAGTAAATGGGAGGCAGTTGGGTCGAGGAACATGCGCCGGATGATGCCTACTTCGGAAACCCGCTTAGGAAGGTCGATGTCTACAGGCGGTCTCGGTTAGTGCTGTCCATTCAAAGACTAGACCTTACAAAGAGCTCACCGTCAATATCCTCGGGTCGGTTCAGGTCTATACGCAATATGCGCCCGTTAGATAAGGCTAATACGAGAACATTATTGGCAACCTGAGCCGCAACGAAGTCGGCGGCAATCGAGAATTGGAGCTGTACGGGCTCGACGTCAAAGATGGGCAAGGCACCGTCGTCGGTAAGATCGTAAACGCCGTTAGTGGCGACGAAGCCGTTTGATGTACCTAGCGACATCTTGAAATCTACTCGGTCATGTTGGGATTGTCAAGTTCGCGACAGGTCGCAAAACCGACTGTAGAATATCGTTGTTAAGCCAGAGAAAGAGTTACAAGGTTAGGTATTAGTCCGAAGGTTGTAGCTGGAGCCCATCAACGGGAAGCTACATTAGGTGGGTACCTACATATGTACAATTATGTAATAAACTTAGAACATGCCGTACCAAAGGGGCTATGCATGGGATAAGTTTATGTAAACGTGCATAAATAATGCAGTTCGATATTAACTTTCAGGAACTCAGGAATGTCACTGCATCTATGTAATAAATCGGATAATTATCGATTCTTTGATTCTTAATTATATCACTTAATCAATGCTAATGAAAATTAAAGAGCTCGCTACCTGCCTGTATGCAATATTTTGGGTACACTACAAATAGTAGTTGAAGCACAAATGACCTCGCGCTGACCCCGAACTTTCTACACACCCAAGAATTCATCTCCTGATTCTTGATCCTACAATAAAATAAAATAAAATAAAACCAAAGATCCCCTTAGGATCAAAGGGGCTTCGAGCTGTTACCACCCGAATGAGTTCTCCCATGCTTCCCCTGAGTGTTGATTATGATGCCCAGGTCGAAATCGTCCTGATCATCTGTCGAGACTCGGGTTCAAGGCACAGACATCATAGCTATTATTTATTATGATAGTTCTCATGATATGCCTCGAATCATTGTTCGATTGAAATTGGATATATGAGTTGAGGATCTGCCGATTATAGGACTGGTTTGCTGTTTACATCACAGAATCGGCTGCCGTCTGCCATGGCATATTTCCGCACAAAACATATCGATTTTGCTGATGAGAACAGCCCCGACTATTTTCATCGGATTTTCCGAGAAATTGATGTTGCTGCTGTCATTGAACCGCTTTCAACGAGTACTTCATTATTAGAACCCTGTTGACTCGGTAGTGCCCGACACTGTCTTTGTGCGAGTTGGGCGTGTTTGCTCCAAGCTAGAGGCAAAAGAAGTGCTCTGTGCGGCGCTTCTCATCTCGGATGGCATAGAAAGATATCCGCTTTCTCCATCTGTCGGTTGGCTTTCCTCCGCATCGGTAGTCTCCTCCAGCATCTCGATAAGCTTTTGCTGTATAAGCTGGCTGGGCTCGCGGGATGGCCCTCTGGACCACCGGGGAAGTAGACCTGGTTTCCTCCCTTTCAGTACCCGGACCTTGACGACAAAACTCTTTGATTTCTTAGGCCTCAGTGCCATCGCCATCATTTCCTGGCCGATTATATCGCAAGCTTGACGAACTTCCTCAGGCGCCCACCCCTTATATTTAGTTAAAAGTCTTAAACAGACCGACTCGGCCCCGTTTAGCATGGCCAGAAGCCAAAACTTCCCCGTTGAGCCATCGTCGGTTTTTAAGGGAATAGCATGCTCGGTCAATTGAACATCGACATAACCCGCATTAACCAGAAATCTAGGTTCCAGGTGAGCAACGCCGTGTGGCCTCCCATGCATGATAGAAGCTTCGACAAGATCGTTTGCCACCTTGCACACGATCGAATTGGGGTCGAAAAGAGAATGTAAATTGGACATTCCTTTATGGTCGTCAAAATCCAACACCTCGATCCATCCACCTGGTTTGATACAATCGAAGGCGTATCGGTAGATATTCTGCCAATCGGAAAACGACCCGGACAGATCTCGTAGGTGCACTAGGTCGTAGTGATTCGGCGGTCGTTCCCATTCTATCTCGGCGTCATCAATTTCCCAGAAAACATTCCGAGGAACGCGTCGTTCAAATATATTAGCAATATCGGTTCCCGTTACTTCGCAATCCGGATAAAGCTCAGCCATATCTATCGCCCATTCCCCAACTCCAGTCCCAATATCTAAGATATGGGTCGGCGCTTCTAAAGGTACGCTCGTTAATTCACCGTCGAACGTCTTCAGATAAACCTGATTAATTAACTGCAACCGGACTTGCTCATCGTCGTCGTTCGGCATATAATACGACCCGCAATATCGCCGTCCATGTTCCACGACATAGTTGAGGTCTAGTTCGTTAACTGATCGTGTCGAATCTCTGCTTATCATTAGAATTACCCATTACTCTATTAATAATCTCACGGTGAGCTTACAACGTGTCCTCTTCTAGCGTATCTTCATCAATCTCATACGGTTCCTCTATTCGATACGCCAACGGTGGAGCTGGGTAATGATTTGGGGAATAAACAGAGGCGGCATCCAAATTGCTGGTCGCTATCTCTTCGTGTGGCTCTACTATTCGACTATCCGGTTCCAGGCCGCTCGCCGTCCACGTGCTTAGGTAGTCACTAGAGAAATCCTCGGTAGAGACGTTGCTGTCCAATTCCGGCACAGCAAGCTCGGAAATTCCTACACTACGTGCACCACCGGTACTATGTGGACCGACAGATGAGTCCGTAACGCTAGTGGCTTGCGACGGCATGATATCAGCTGGCGCATCCGACCCCGATATCCCGGACTGTCGTCTTGCTTTTTTCCCTCTTTTCTTCTTCATCACAGTCGCATTAGAGGGTTCTAGGTTGATGTAGTATTAGTCTGATAGTTCCTTCTAGCTCCCGCGGAGAATCTCATATCGTGCCGGCGTCTCCGAAATTTCGAGTGGCTCGGCGACGGATTCGCAAGCGAGGGCGGCCCTGCGTTTATTTCGGCCTCGAAGAAAATTTGATAAGCTCGCGAAAGCTCCGTCGATGTTCTGTATTATTCAATGGAAAAGGTGTATTGTGGACTTCGTTCTTCGCGGATAATCGAATGTTGGATGCATTAGCGGGCGAGGTGTGACCGCGAAGCGCCCTTAATCCATGAAGCTAGTCATAAACGATCGAGAAACCGTTATTCTAGCTCCATATCGAATATAGAAATAGAAAATGGAGTCGGTTTGCTAATTAATTAGTGTAACGGGAGTGAGGGACTGGAATTGTTTAACAAGCTGGGGAAAAATGGGTTATGGGCCACGAGGGAAGCGGAGGACGGTGAAAGACGATTATGATAACGATTGGCTACCGAATTGATCATCGACCAGCTGCTGGAAACTGCCCAGGTGGTACTGGTGCAGTGGTGGTAGGTGGTTTGGGGGGTGTGGGCAAGGTGTTAGCCGGGTGCGACATTCGTAGGCCTCTTCCATCCACGATCCAATAAGCGGTCTACTTTGTACGGCAACGTGGAGTCCAAGCCAGGGGATGAGCCACATGTCATTGCCATCCCTAGCAATCCGCAAGCTTATCCCCATGTTGGCGGGACGCCCCCTATTCATTCGGTTACTCATACTACATGGTATGCAGTATATATGTAGGTAGGTAGACATTAAGTAGTATATATGCAGCCCTTCGACTTGGGCTACAACGCTGGAGTATCGCGCCTCAAAAAAACGAATGATTGGCATTGGCCGCCTCTGACGCCGATTAGGACCCAAGGGACTAAGCGTTCTTATTTTAATTGGACCCAAATAGGTGGAATTTCCGTTCCTGGGCGTCGACTTTTATTCAAAGCTCAGGGAGTCAGGGTACATGGTTCTTACTAGCATTTCCTTGCCTCATCCCGGCAGACGGTTAAGCCAGGGCTACTCTCGGCTTCGGACTCAACTCCGTGTGAGGACTGATAGCGTCGCATTTCTGAATGTTCTAGGGAACTCACGTGTAATAAAAGAGACTGTATTAGGGGCATCTTGCAGCGTACAAGTTTTCGACTCAACTGAAGACATCGAATGACTGTTTCAGGACGCAACACAACATGTTCCCGACAATTCGTGCGAAAAACTCGTGTTCCTCCACGTCGGATCCATTCCACTTTGATTAAGCGATAGATGCACTGCGACACTCCAGGAACTTTTTATGGCTCTTCAAGTGATCTCATTGGGAGCCTGACGAACCGAAGCCCCGGTCACGGCTGCAGCACGCTGGAAGCAACAGGCCGGCTCGGAGACCTAAGGCATGCATAATGCCCGGAATTCCTAAATATTTCCGGGTAATAGTCATATAAAACGTCGATATACTCATGAAATAGTAGGTGAATGTAACCTAAAGTCTATTTAGTTAACACCCCCAAAGAATCTTGACCGACACTTCTATAAGACCCGTGCATATTACAAGAATTGCGGCTCAGTATAGAGTAGGATTACCAAGATAGGTATACGCTTGAGAAAAAATCATGGTCTATTCGTTATTTGCCGATTAAGGTGAAATAGTGCTCCAGCATTTAGGTTGTCCTTATAGAAATAGGAACCTGTGCCACTTGCACTTCCCATGGTATCAATATCACAATGAGATCGTACTCTCCATTCCTCCCAAATCCGAGGCTTCGTCCGTATAAACGTGTCCCAACTCCATCAATGCATTCGTTCTTTAGAATAATGTCAGGGGTATAGGCGAGGATAATCCACTCCTACGTGGATATTGATGACCACTAATTAGGCGACTTTCGTTTCTTTGGCCGCTGAGGCTCATCGCATATCTCCTCTTTGTCAGATACAACTTCAGCCTCAACAACAATCGGAAAAGGGCTGAGGACTTTGCTAATATCACCCCACCATTCTTCACCGAAACGCTTATACCAATCGACGGTGATCTTCAAGCCATCAATAAAAGAAGTCTTTGGGTTCCAACCTAGGCGCCGTAGCTTAGTTGCATCAATAGCGTATCGGTGGTCGTTGAAAGGCCTATCATGTGTGTATTTTACCCACTTATTGAAATCCTCTTGACTTTTGTGAGGGATGTCCATCTCTGTCAGAAGCATCCTGCACAGCTCAATGTTGGAAATCTCATCATGAGATCCTACGTTGTAGACCTGACCAAGGTTACCCTTGTGTAAGATCGTATCAAACGCATCGGCCGCATCACCAGCATATAAATATCTTCGAGTAGGGCTCCCGTCGCCGTGGAGCACTGTTGGCCGCTGTCGATTCAACAAGCAGATAAATTTAGGAATTATTTCTGCTTCAAGATTAACGGGTTGCGCGCTGCTACTGCTCAGGGCGATGACTTACTCTCGGGAAACTGGTGTGGCCCGTATACATTATTGCTCCTGACAATTATGGCTGGAAGTTTGAAACTCTTCATATAAGAGTGTACCAGCATTTCGGCGGCAGCCTTGCTTGCAGCATATGGATTAGTTGGTGATAAGATGCTTGTTTCTAACAAGTCATCATCGTCATCCTTTACCTCGCCATACACCTCGTCGGTGGATACATGGATGAATCGCTTGACACCAATCTTTTTCGCACTCTCTAGCATGACGTGGGTGCCGTATACGTTCGTGTGAGTAAACCCATACGAGTTTCCAAAGCTCAAGTCGACATGCGATTGCGCTGCGAAATGAAAGATTGTGTCTATATTGAAGCGCTCCATGCAATCCAGCACTTCCGAGGGATTAGTAATGTCCCCATGGTAGAAAGTGAAGTTTCGCTTATCATTAAGCATACGAGTATTGTTCAACGAGGAACAATAATCCAACTTATCGAACGATACAATATTGTAGGCTTGTGGGTAAGTCAGGGTAAGATGGCGGACAAGCCAACATGCACTTTGAATATAGATCAGTTACCGCGACGGGCCATTTCGCAAATACCAAGTAGGTACTCACATGAAGCCGGCACCACCTGTAATCATGATGTTTTTCACATCTGACAGGGGTTCAAACTTGGTAGATCCAGTTAAGATAGGAGCCTGTTTCCATATCCCGTAGTCCTCGAAAAATCTAGGTTTCGTGACTTTAGTGCTTGCGGTTCCGTTCGTGGGTACGTTCGCGGCTACATATCCAACAATGTAAGCCAATTCGATCCACTTCGGTGACGTCGGCGGACAATACTTACAACGCACCCCATTGGTGCCATTTAGTTGTGGCGCTGTCATGTTGCGCCGAGGGGTGATTTCGGTATTTCGCCAATAGCTGGTGGCTTAGATGCTTTTAGAACTCATTTGATGAAGGGGGTGGTCGGATAGGTATTATGATATAGAATATGAATTTTCAGGAAAGATGATGTGTAATGAGGTCCATTGTTTTCTTCGCCTCGTACAAGAGCGTAGTAGGGTGGACAGATGTCCAGATGCGGATCTCCAGATCGGCCGTTGTGAGGCGCAAAATCGCTAACTCGCCAGCTCGACGCAAGACAGTCTCGAGCTTGTCCGACACATGAATTTAAGATTCCAGATTGAGACCAGGAATGTGGGATGTCAGATTAGAAATGACTAGATGACCAGATGAACAGATGACCGGATTATGTCTTATGGCCAATCTAGGATCCAGTGATTCAAAAATGCTGAAGAAGTACAGGACTGATAACAATTGAGTTCGCGGGTTTGTATGAAATTAAAAATGCCTAGATGCACTTGCGCTTCGGCTAAGGGATTGGTGTCAGGTACTAGATATTTGTATACTCGATAGAAGAAGGAACAACCCAGTAATGACCAGGTGATCGGGGAAGCTACGGATACAAACAACGGTTAATTGTCTACTAGGTAGTAGGCATCGGGTCGTTACACGAGTAGATTCCTGGAGTTTCAGCATCCGTTTATTTATATCTCAACATTAGCAGATTAGATCAATTTACGATGAACGGACCTATGGTACGCGTAGTCAACTTTTCAAGAGACTTTCTTAATCAAAGATTTCCAAGTTGGTATTAATCGGCAGAGATCGGCCGTGAGGTTAAGCAGGTACAAGGCCAAGTTTTGCAGCATATAGACCCACATATAACCCCTAGCTCATGTACAATTCCCAGACCCAGCAGACCCAGATCTACGTAACCTTTTACTAGCCACTAACCTTGCACCTAACACTAAGCTATGTCCATCTAACCATCTAAAACTTCAAAGACATATTACATACGACCTTTAACTTGACGACAATCTGCTATTCTTTGAGATCTATGGGGTAAGAGGGGGATATCGCAGTATGGTGTCAACTGATATCATCAATTGGCTTTATTCATATATCGTCAGCTTACCAATTAGGTACCTAGCACCAACCCCCCTAGCTCGTTCAATCTAGGTACATTGTCATATGTCATACTTGACTTCCGAGACTTGACACTCAGCATCAACAGAATAAGGCCCAGAAAACCTATAGTCTGCTGAAATTAGTCTAACAATTCAAATCATGATATTCTAGGGGTATAACGGGACACTAAAAACGAGTTCTTTCTTGTTTTCATGCTCGTATAACATGGTCCGGCAATTCCCTAACAGTTCAAGAAATCGGCGGTTTAGGATATCCTCTTTTACTTGAGGAAATATGCAAAGCTTGTCTCTGTAAGGAATATCATAGTTGATCAGTATGAACATGTAGAATTTAAGACGGCTGTTCGGCAACGATATCATCCCTGTTAAAACTATAACAACCAAAGGGAGTTGTCCAGAGCGATCCTTCTGGCATTACGTGTCAGCGCCAATGTAAGGCATACGATGTACGAGGCTCTTGGCAAGCATTTTCGTTTCTCCCATGGTAAAAAAAAAATATATCGTTATCATAAAGGTGGCTAGTGAGTAGTACGCCTCGGCGATTATGCGAGAATCTATATTGGTCGGATCTATCCGGTCTCGCTTGAAATCTAAGTCGTAGAGTTATTCTCTCAATTGAAGAGTTTTTGCTTACACTTAACTTGAGATGAAGAGATGACCAAGGCTGTTATCTGAAGCCTCGACGACGTCACATAAACCTATGAGAGTTCATTATGAGTCTAATCGTAACTCATGTAGATAAGGGAACAGATTTACTAATACCTTGAAGAATTCTAGTATTGCGTTAGAACATATCGGCTTTAAATTTCGTATGTTATAAGGTAAGCTACCTAATGATAACTCCAAACGAAATATTACTGCCTACATGTAAATATTATTTCCTTCAGGCCACTTACCATGTACCTGAAGTACACGCACAAGTTTTGAAATATGTGCTAATTGTACATTGCCACACACCTAGCTTCTACTGATATAGGGGTGCATGAGTGGCTTCTCAGATATGCCGGTACCTAGCCCAGGCACGTCATCGAGATACTAGTTTAGTTTGTAAAATGTAGAAGAGGCGATAGGTGATGGTGGCGGTAGTTATGTACGCCATCAAGATAATTACGACGAACTATTTTTGCTAAACCAAGCACTAGATGTTTTAGAGAGAGACATGGTCTCAAAAGCTTGTGGTCGAACTTCAATTGCACATGTTGAAGTCTCAATTGAAGACTTTGCAGTTGAACTATAATATGTGCAGTTTAGAATTCATTTGTACGATGGTACCTACTTAAATCGAGAAGCGAATCGACCTTGCCGCGCTGAGACTTACATCAGTAATACCGAATTGTCAACTAATCCCTGTTAAACGGTTTGCTATGGTGTGGTCAGGACCCGCCTATTAAGCTGCCAATCCCGCATTTCGCACCCTGTAATTCAAAACGACAGTGGACTCGGTTGTTCGGCAACCCCTGTAACGCGATACTTAAACAGATTCAAGCTGTCTTTTACTTCTCAGCTTCCAGCTTCCTTTCGGCTTCCATCGCGGCCAGTGAAAACTCGTTTCTCTTACCTAATGTGTAACTTCACGTTTATATAAACTAAATCAGCTAGATCAACTTCAACTCCCGTTCTAGGCTGACGGTCGGCTAAAATAGCAGCAAATACGACGTCTTGTACGGCATTCCGCCCTCCGGGTTACGTCTGGTATAATCACTTTCCCTATATGGAACTTCTCCATCCCCGTTCTATTCTAGAATCCACCCATCGCCGTTAATCTCGGACGTTCTTTATTTCTAAAAAAGAGAAGAAAAGAAGGAATCCTACCGCCTCAAATCCTCCGTCCATGATCGAGTCTCCTTATCTTTCCCTGATGCGAAAAATTACTCATTGTAAACGGCGGAAATTTGGGTGGCTCCCGTCACATGCCTTTCGAAGCTTGGCATGGCATCTTTGAGTGGTCGTCCTAGGCGGTTTTCATCTAGCGATTCGCCATTCCCTGAACTTCATGTTGAAAATGGCCGATTTAGTAATTTCGACGGTATAGATGGTCGTGGCTCTCGAGATACTGCAGTGGACGATGATGATATTAAAGACGCCGAAGCAGGCGAAAAGTTATTAGAAAAGTTGACCGGAAATCAGACTATTCGGAACTCCCCCAAAAACAGCATTGGCTGGGCCGGACTTTGGATAGCAGTTAACACTCTAGCTACGATAGGCATTGTATGTTTCCTCGTTTGTCTATCTCGATTTCGCAAGAGCAATTAATAACCAAAATTATATAGGTCTTTACAAACAAGGCCATCTTCTCTGATCCCTCGTTAAAGCTTGCGCAGTTAACATTTGCCGCCTTCCATTTTTTCATGACATGGCTATTCCTATTCACATTGTCACGGCCTCGGTTCGCTTTCTTTAGCACTCGCCGTATTCCTCTTCGAGAGATCATTCCTCTTTCTGTTGCCATGTCACTTAATGTTATTCTCCCGAATCTGTCCTTGGCTTTCTCGACCGTCACTTTCTATCAAGTTGCAAGGATCTTGCTTACCCCAACTGTTGCGACTATGGACTTCGTCTTATACAAATCCATATTACCTCGTAACGCACTCGTGGCTCTTATTCCCGCTTGCTTGGGGGTTGGTATGGTTTCCTACTATGACTCGCTCCCTACAAAAGATGCCAGCGTCAAAACTACATCGGGCTTAGGTGTGGTATTTGCCTTTAGCGGTATATTCGCCTCATCACTATACACAGTTTGGATCAAAAGTTACCAGCGAAAGCTACAGGTGTCGAGCATGCAGCTACTTTTCAACCAAGCTCCTGTCTCAGCATTTCTTCTACTTTACGCCATTCCTTTTGTTGACATGTTTCCCACGTGGACCGAAGTGCCTGCCAGCCGGTGGTTCATGATCTTAATGGTAAGCCACAAAACACCCACCCAGGCATTCACATAGGTACCTACGTTGACACCTAACGTTACGCAGTCTGGCATATTCGCATCTTTGATCAACCTATCACAGTTCTTTATCGTTGGCCATACAGGTCCAGTTTCTAGTACAGTTGTCGGGCATCTAAAGACTTGTCTCATCGTGGCACTTGGCTGGGCTACATCTGGTAGATCAGTCGGTGACAAGTCAATCATAGGTGTCTTTATCGCAATAGGGGGAATCATCACGTAAGTTGATACGATCCTTTCGGAGTCGTCTGGATTTTCGAATTAATAGGTTTTAGATATTCAATCGTCATGCTTCGGCATGCAACTCGGAGTCATGGGAGGGGTCTGTGATTTTTTTTTGGGAGGTTTTGCATTTTCAGGAGTTGGAAAATATCTATCTAGGCACATTCGGGTAAAGGAACCTCGTGATCGTTTTTGGATAGGGATAACCCGGTGGCTTCATGGTTCCAGGCGTTACGGATATGCTACAAATAGCTATGGTCTACGTACCATTATTGGATTGCGATCATTAGGATACCTGGTATTTCGAGGTAGGCTATAAGCAACTCAAGCTTGTGATATTTATCATAATTACATTCACATATTGGATTGTACCAACCTAGGTGTTGACTGAATGGGCCTCTTGTAGGTCTGCGGGACCCAACCACGTTCCTCATATTGCGATTGTATAGAATGAGGTGGCTTGCTATGATAATTTTCAAATACAGATCAGTATCATCAGTCTCTGTTCCGTCATTACCACATTTCCCGGTACCTAGGTATCTACTAAGGACTTTCACCTATGTATCTCTGAGATATGGAGCTGACTATTCCTAGCGAGACAGCTGAGTTCAGTGTGGGCGTATTGATCGTCTATCTGGACAGCAAATTTCCGGTGCCCCTAAAATAGAATGGGAGACACCCTACCCACCTAGTATTAATTAGTCCTGCTCTAGTCTCCGGTGGAAACGGCAGGAGAGTGCGGCATCCGAAGATCGATAGAATATCGCTAACAATAAGTTGCTAACCTTATATTATCAGACGTACGATGGGATCGCAGTCAAAAGGGGAAAAAATATTGGATTAAAAAATCAGTGTCGAATATTTCGTTGGAGTATCTTCTTCATGGCGATGCATGTAACACCGGTCACAATGAAAACAATTAAGAGATCAAAAATTGCACCCGCTACGATCCACGAGGGATAATAGAAGAGGGCTAGCTCCGCGTTGTGCAATGCAGGCCTTCCCCCTTGGATTTCCTATTTCTTGAGCCAGGATATCCCGAATAAGGTAAGTATGAAGACAAAAGAAGGAAGAAAAGAGGAAAAGCACAAGCAATTGGAGATGTTAAATGTGGTAGACCTGTCACGTGGTTGGCCGCGAAATCAGCACTGAGTGGAGCTCATAAATTGGAAAATGAACAGGTACGTACTGTAGTACATAGGTACCTCAGTACCTAGTACGTACTGTGTGCCTGCCAAGGAATTAATGATTGGTGGGGGTGATGACATAATTCTGCCAGAAGGTTTTACCGCTTTGAACTTTCTCACAATCACCCCACCAGTTTGGACTCTATTTAATCTCAGCTCTGCCTCTGGTTTTCTCTTCCTTTCTTCTTTTCTTCTCCAGCTCTCTTTGCCTTTTGGCTTAGATCAAGTGTAGTATCTGTTCTTTTCAGTTTAATCTCTGGAAGAGTCACATAGTGGCTCATCTTTGATTATTCTTATTTTTGTAACACGGGAGTCCATTCTCTGTGCTTGCACATGATGACTTCCATAGTGTCCCTGGTATTACACTGCCTCCAGGTGATGCGAACACCCATCTTTTCATTGTCTTCTCAGGTTGATTCTTGGGATACGAAGAAGGCTGCTACATGAATGTCATTGCATTCTATGATATTATTCTTAGCATATTTTGAGCTCTTTGCATGGTATCTATTCATCGCTTGGTCGCGTTTATAGATACTAAGGAGCCCAGCACAACACTGTCTGATATTGAATTAGAAATAGAATACAGATGTTTCGTAGGATTTCTCTGTCCATTATCGAGTACCTGTCTATCGATGCTCACCTGTGTCTAGCATAAAGTATGATGCTTATTAGTGTTCAATATCCTGAAAGGTAATGGGTATTTCATGGAGGGATAGTTTTATAACGGCGCCTCCACAAAGTGTATACAGCGTTCAATATCATGAATTCTTGAACATACCTAGTGAAAGGTATCGTAACTTCAGCACTGCCAATGACACGAATTTCTATCCATGCTTATTTCTTGGACGCCGCCGCTGCTAGAAGCTCATCCATCTCGGAGCTCGGCTTAGCGTATGTGTACGTATACGACAGACGCTAGCCGTATTTGGGTGTGTAGCTTCTCAGCTAAGGTGGAAAGTATGAATATTAGCGTGGTCCAAGTGCCTGATTGAAACATGACCTCACGGAGCAGCCACCACCAACAAGGCTCCCGCTTTCCGTACGCACAAGCTATTGACCTCCGACTTTCAATACCTAAACCCGAACCGCATACGTATCGTCCTTTCGTGATTTGTTACTTGATTCAAAGTATCTTCAAATACACGACGAACATTAGAAGATAACGCCAACGCATTTTAATTATTCGTCATAATTCACATTCTAGAAAACACCCATCGGCGTTCATTCAATTATTCTGTGGACAAGCTCATCGTAACCCCCCTCCCCCGCCTTGCCCGCCTTCTCGTCCCTCTCGATTTACACCCATCGTATCGTGCGTCGCAACACCTACCTAGTAGCGACCGAATGCGACTTGGATCACTTGGATCACTTGACATCCGTCGCCATTGATATCGCTCAAGCATTAGCTTTGTTCGGCGTGTTGCTGTGGACGCAACTGACTCACCATGTGGAACGACGAGGAAGACAATAATCCATACGGCACGAGTTTTGACCGTCGCGATTCTGTAACCTCATCGTCTGCGAACCCTACTTCCCCAGTATCCCACGACTGTAAGTTCTACCCAGCTCTTCTTCATCTTCCAGGACCAAGGAAAAATAATGTGGGAAAACATAGCGTTGGATGACTCTCTTGATGAGGCTGATCCCGACTGGGAACATGTAGACCAAGCCAATCGATTCGAGACCCCAAATACTCCGTCCACCACTAGTGAAGATGCGCCACCCATCACAAACTACGGTCGGCAACTGGCCGATCCAGAAAGTGATGAGGAATATGGAGCTCAATCTCGGAATCAGGCGACCCCACGAAGAAAAGCCGGTGGTTATGACAGCCGAATCGAACAGATTCTTTACGAAAGTCCTGAACTCCCTATAATTATTACTGACGCCGGAAAGAGCATGGAGAGTGGTGGTAAATACATTGTCTATACCATCAGGACAGGAGTAAGTTTTTATTTAACGCTTCGAGGTTATTATGCTAATATAAAATCCAGGACCTTGAAGTCCGGCGTCGATATTCCGAGTTTGCGTCGTTACGCGATGCGCTGACTAGACTTCACCCAACTCTCATTATCCCCCCCATTCCCGAGAAGCATACGATGGCGGATTACGCCGCCAACCCGACCAACGCGAAACAAGATCAACAGATTATTGATTTGCGAAAACGCATGTTAGCTGTCTTCCTAAATCGCTGCCGGCGGATGGAACAAGTTCGAGATGATGGAGTTCTATGGAGATTTCTCGATCCTAACGTTAGCTGGGTATGTCCACGGTAGTATCGTTCAAACTTGCTCTGGTATAAACTAATATGAATGTAGAATGAGGTCCTTCATTCGCATCCCATCTCATCTGTCCCCAAGTCTATTATGAAAGCGCCCCCGCTAGATACTGCTAACCCTTCACCGGCACATTCATATCTCCCGGTGCCTGCTACTTCTGCCAAACTGAAGACACCCGTGAACCCAACACCGGGCCCCGTTTTCGATAATTCTGGCACAGTCGCTTCTCAAATACTCCGTCGATTCCCCCCTGAAGCACATGATCTGAATGAGCAGGAACTGGATCCCTATTTCATCACTTTTGAAGCCTCGATCAAGGAACTAGAGCAAGCTTTAATGGGACCTATGGAGAAGGTTAATAGACGCACACTCAACCACCTAAGTGCTTTATCAGCCGACCTCTCGGACCTAGGCGCCAAGTTCAATGCTTTTGCATTATCTGAGCCATCGCCTTCCCTCGCCGCTGCGATCGAGCGAGTAGGCCAGGCAGCGGACTCATCATACATTGCAACGGAAGAGTTATCAAGCTCGCTAGGGGCTAGTTTTGCAGAACCTATGAGAGAGAGTGCACAGTTTGCCGGTGTGGTTCGCAGCGTGCTGCGATACAGGATTTTGAAAAGGGTCCAGCAAGAGATGGCAAACGACGAGCTTCTGAAGAAGAAGGCGCTTTTAGAACAGTTGGAGACCAGCGAAGCCGAGGCTAAGCGAATTGATCAATATCTCAGCAGTAGCCAGCAGATCGGAACAGGACATCAAGTTCACCCACCCCGAAGATCATCCAGCATGAAAGAAACCTATTCACAGCACCATAGAGAGGGCAGTGGAGAGGATACCGCTTCTGTAGATTCGGATTTTCCGTCCAACCATGGAGACGTCTCTTCGGCACCTTCGGCACGAGTGGGGGTTCCTGAGCGTTCAGCTTCTAACCCGAGCCATAAGAAGGCTCCTAGTAGCAATTCCATCACCGGTAGGATATTCGGACCAATCCGCCACGCAATTCAAGGTGTGGCCGACGTTGACCCGGAAAGAACCCGACGCGACGCCATTGGCAAAATACGGGAGAGCATCGAGCAACTTGAACAGGCTCAAGTAGCAGCGGCACAAGATGTGAGGGACGCAAGCGCAAGCATTTTGCAAGATCTGAAAAGATTTCAGAACGAGAAAGAAGATGACCTCAGGCGTTACATGGTAAGTCTACCCGGATTCCTTTCTGTAGTTTGACATTTCAGTTAATGATCATTACAAGCTTGCTTATGCCAAGAGCCAAATCGAGTGGGCGAAGAAGAACAAAGAGACATGGGAAGAGGCAAAAGCAGAGGTCGATAAGATCGATGAGACGTAGAGCGCTCGCAAATGGCAAGGTCCAGGATTGATGGGACGACTTGATCGCCGCCGCCGCCGCCGCCCTATTGCGGCAGAGGGTTGTACAGATGATGATTACGTTATTTTAGAACACTCGGAATGATTTCCCCCTTTCGGAATGGATAGTTAATGAGACGAACATGCCCGAAAATTTTATGAGAATCAGGTCGAATTTGGGGAAACTCACGGAATAAGGAGTCTGCGTAATGAGGTGAGACTTTGTATTATGGACCACTTGGTGCATTAGGACTACGAACTAGCAACAATACAACATTTATTTGATGTACCGGCACAACAATACTCGATTTACAGTTTTAAGTAATGGTAAGTAATTTCTAAACCCCAAACTCCGTGAGCGGTATCCTGCTATGCTGAAACTTGCCACAGTAGACCCCTAACCCACGTGTACCCTTATAATATACCTAGTATTCTCTAGGATGGATCGATTATGTTAGTACAGACACTGAGTAACGTTCTCCTTAGATTTAGTGAGCATTAAAATCCCGACGATAACGCCGTAGAGACCGAGTACCTCGGCGAAAATGAGGATTAAGACCATGCCGATATAGAGGCGTGGTTGTTGGCTGCTGGCTCTTACTGATTTAGATCTATTAGACTTGCACTCTGTTCAACTATAACAAACTTGCCAATGAGGTTGAGGGAAAGAAAGGGGGTTGGCTCTTGACAGACTAACCTCCGGCGTCTCCAACGATTCCGATGGCGAAGCCAGCGGCAAGGCCACTGAGCCCGACACTGATCCCTGCGCCTAACTGAAGGAAGCCCTGGTGCAAGGGCATTTTCTCTACTAGATCCTACACCAGAGTCAATAATTATTGCCTCCTCATGCATCTAAGGGACAATGATTTTGCAATAGGGGTCGGATGCCACTCACGCCCGAGATGATTACGCTGGCTACGAGCCCGTAGATAGATAGAATCTGGGCCATGATTGCACAGAGCCTGCATCATACGCGTTGCGGGCCGATGTCAGCATTGCTTTCCTACTCGCCTATAGACAGAAGACTTTAAGACCGACGGGGATATCCTCGTGGATGAGGGAATAGGATGTCGCGGTGGGTGACATACGTGTTCTGCATCAGCCGATCAGGGCGGATGACGCCCGAGGAGAATATAGCCCCGGCTGACTTGGCGGTCCCATAGGATGCGCCCAGAACTGTGAAGACTATCGACGCTGCGCAGCCCAGCGCCCCGAAGAAGGACTATGCATGCGCGCGAGGTTAGACGACATTAGGGCGGGCGATGATGTTCTACACGTACCGCGTATATTGGGCTGTATAGGTGATTACTAAGTCAGCATTTATAAGTTATCTAAGCACCTCCTTCATAGAGGCATCAGAAGCGCGAGAGACAGACCACCGCGGATCATAGGCCGCCTCGGCAAAGGCGGCATTCATCTCGGATAGGATCGCTTGTTGGGACATTGGCAAAACAACAAAAAACTTGGAAATGCGCAGCTCGGAAATACAGTAAGTGTGCTCAGGTGGGAATCTTATGAATTTAACGTGCTACGGACGCGCAAGTGATAGCTATCTTGTGGTAGATAGCGAAGGTCAGACAATCTCATCTCCCCTTTCCCAGCTGAGGGCCACGTCGGGCGTCTATCCATGTTATCGTGTAACGACTCATTCTACATCGTCGAGTTCTATTCGACAGCCGTCCGGTGATGATGTATTCGAATGAGGGGCTTGCAGGCAGAAGAATATTGCGTTGGCTGATTGGTTATTGGAAAAAGCCTCGAATCCTCAGGTGTGACTTGTAAGCGACTCGGGGAATGCTCACTTACATATACCCGTTGAAGATTTAGTGAAGCGAGACGAGGCTTCGCGGTGTGGCTGAAATAGATGTATCTTGTCAAACTGAGCTGTCATTTTTTTAGTGTCCTTGCACCTTCCACAGTACTAGGTCGGCACCGAATTACGTTAAGGTTTTCATAAAACGTTACGCATGTCAAAATGTGGTTTAGTCCGTGTCGAACCTACCGAGATTCTGGGCAAGAATTGATCGGGAAAGTGCTTCTCGTTGCAACACAGATCATGTTTGAAGTTGTATCTGCTTTCTTATCAATTCATCTTTCCTGATTCGACTCTTTAACCCGCCACCTCGTGGACGCGAGTATCCGGATTAGGAATCTTATCCATCTTACGCAGTCACTCAAAGAGCCTCAATCGGTCTAAACCTGGTCAACAAAGTGTCCATGAATTATATCCCCAATCTGAATCAGTCTAGAGATTGGTTCGTTTTATTTCGTGCTGACAAGATGAACTAGTGTCGTTACCCGTCTCTGTTATCTGGGTCTCTTTAGGTTACTCTACGTTAGAATAACCGCAATGGGGAAAAGTAGCCCTACGAGTCCACAAAATACTTTATCGCTAAACAAAGCCCAGGCGTTGCGAGCTATTTTGGGCTACGTTGAAACGCTGCTAATCGGGCGGCGTTGAAAAACCCGTGCTCAGTACTGTCTGATGTTTACTACGGATCCTAGTTCGAGATTTGATACAGCCAACCGTATCAGATCCTAAGATCTTGAACATCAATTTTGAAAAGGCGCTCGGCTTTGTTTGCAGCAAGTCATGCTACTAGGTACATTACTTGCTTGCGTCTGCAAGAAAGAGCTAAATAATATTAGTTCATCGAGCAACTCGCCCAGCCTTATTTCCTCAAATGACCCTTCAAAAGCCCCTGGCTTATTTAAGTGAGTGTCGAGGACGTTGATGGACGCGCGTCAACCTGCGCCAAGACCCCAAACCACGACGCTATGCGCGGACTCCCCACCACACACCCTCCCCTGTTTCTTCCAACGTGCCGAGGAGGCTCGAAGGCCAGCTCAGACCGTTCAGGGTCTTCCTCGATTTGAGAATCCTAGTTCATATGGATAGAGGACGTAACTTCGTAGGCCTACATAATATCTTGAGACTCAAAGTATCCCGGTTGGCGAAGCCGGAGTGGCTTAGATATCGAACTTATCGTCTCGTCACACTCGGCCAACAGATCCCCCGTCTTTCTTATTCTTACCACGCCAAGCAGCTGGATTGCTTCTTTCTCTTTCAAATAATATTATGTTTCCCCCCGCAGACATGAGCTGTTAATCCCGATTTTAGACTACCTAGTATTTTAATTCATCCCCAAATCTGTTCTTAGCCCCGGCTGGCCACGCACTACTGACGAATCCGTCCCACTGTACTGGATACATATTTTGCCTCCTTTACCGTCCTTACCGAGACAGTGTGCCATAAAGGTTGGGAATAACCCCGGAACTCACCGCTGGATATTTGCTTCGATGTTTTGGTTATAGCATAGCATCTTGTGTCGTTATCAACTGCTTTGGACAGGAGGAAGAAAGACATTTTGAGGATATCTCGACTTTATAACTACCACGCCAAGGCGGCTCCCACTTAACCCAATATGAAGACAACAACGACGGCACTTGCCCTAATAGCAAGTATATTAGCCGTACCGGCAGACGCACGTAATATACCAAGTAGTATCGGCCAACCTACAGTTGTAAGCTTGGCTACTCAACGAAAGACTATATCGAATCCAGTAAAACGGGATCGTTTACGGCGAAGAGATGGGACAGTTAAGGCTGAATTAGACAACGAGGTATGGCCTTGGTGTCTTAGCTTAAGAGAACCATCTGCTAAATCTCACAGGAAACATTGTATTTCGTCAATGGCACGTTAGGAACGCCAGCGCAGTCTATACGGATGCACTTAGATACCGGCAGCAGTGATCTTTGGGTTAACACAGCATCTTCGTCACTCTGTTCTAAATCGTCGAAGCCTTGTGCCTTTGCCGGAACATATGCCGCCAACTCGTCTTCTACTTACGGATATGTTGGGAGCTGGTTCAATATCTCCTATGTCGATGGCTCCGGGGCCACGGGCGACTATGTCACCGATACGATTACTATTGGGGGAACGACGTTAACTGATTTCCAATTTGGGATCGGGTACACGAGTAGCTCCGAACAAGGCATCCTTGGCATTGGCTACGCCGTCAACGAAGTACAGGTTGGGAGAGCAGGAAAGAAATCATACGAAAACTTGCCGATGAAGATGAAGTCAGCTGGTCAGATACAACGAAATGCTTACAGCTTATGGTTGAACGATCTCGATGCGAATACGGGCAGCATCCTATTTGGGGGGGTCGACACCGCGCAGTATACGGGAAGCCTCCAGACGCTACCAATCCAAGCGAACAACGGCGTCTACTCGGAATTTATGATCACATTGACTTCTTTGTCTGTGGGTAATTCAACCATCGCTGATAACCAGGCCCTCGCAGTCTTGCTTGATTCCGGTTCCTCACTCACCTACTTGCCTGATGAGATGGTTGAGGATATTTATGAGGCGGTCAATGCGCAATACGATTCGAGCGCAGGTGCGGCCTACGTCCCATGTTCCCTGGCTAACCAGAAGGCAACCGTGGATTTCGTGTTCTCAACCCCGAAGATATCGGTAGAAATGAACGAGCTTGTCCTCGACCTAATAACGGCAAATGGGCAGCGGCCTACATTCTCGAACGGTGTGACGGCTTGTCTATTCGGCATCTCCCCAGCCGGCTCGGGAACCAACGTGTTGGGCGACACCTTCCTTCGATCCGCTTATATCGTATACGACCTCGACAACAACGAGATCTCGCTTGCGTCGACGAACTTCAACACGACGGAATCCAATATCCAGGAAATCCCTAGTGGTACAGGGATCCCTAACGCTACTGCGGTATCCAACTCCGTGGCAGCAACGTCAGGCATTGTCAGAGGTACCGGCAATGGCAATGCCGGCCTGGGCGACAGCACATCCAACAGCGCTACGGGTAACGACGGCACTTTTTCGATGGCCGCTCTAATTGTGCCATTTGGAGTGTCTATATTGATCGCGATACTATAAATATTTTGAAGGAAATTGATACCCGTGTTGTTCCGATATGAACTGGGTTATTTGATGATATTTTAGCAAGCATTGCAAGGCGTTTGGGCTTGGGCTTGGGGTTTTGGGCTTATAAAAAGCCGCCACGACATAAAATACCGGTATAGATGACCGAGGAATAACGAGAGTATGGCATAGTTGTATGATATCCTCTACATGCTTCCGAAGCAGCGTTTGTCGGATCACATTGCATTCATAGCATTCACACATCGTTCGACGATGGGGCTTAGCGGGGAGCTGGGCGTTATATAAATTTGATATCAATTGAACATAACGTTTGTTTTGTCGACTATCTTGATCTATGCTGATTTTGTGCGTTGTCTTTGCTTTTCTGTGCCCTTATCAATTCATTGCAGACCGATAGGCTTGCCACATGTCTTACTATAGCGCGTGGCGTTGCCGGGATATCCGTCTACTCTTGCCGTCCAGCATGTCTTTAGTAACTGAGAAGGCTACTTCCTTACTCACTAGATACCTTCGCTATATTCACCTGTTGGAATAGCGTCCTATCACATCGGACGATATTCCCTAGGGTTACATTGATGCATACAGCACTACGTCGTCGGTTGACTTGCAGCCTCTTCCTTTTCCAAAGCCTGCATGGCCTGCGTTAGTCGCTCATGTAGTACTAATATTAGTAGCAATAGAGAGAATGTTATTGTGAGTTCCCAGATAATATCGATCAGCCCAGAGCCTAACCGCTCGCCCTTCTCGATTCGCAGTTCTTTAGGATGTGGAATCGGTGCCATTAGGATTGCTATTGGGAAAGGTGTGAAGGAAGTGTTGGTGTATTTTCTTGACTATTTTTTTTGGTTGCTATGTCCGGAGGAAGTATCAATGAAACCAGGTAAGTGGATGTAATATGCTTGAGTTGGGATGATCTTTGGACTGATAGTTGTTCGATTCTGTGTCTAGGGACTTGCCTGTGAAGGTTATAAACCACTATATGCGACGATATTCACTCGACCGATATCCTACGGGGGTTTAGTATTTATATAAGAAACAATGACTCCTACCCCGTAGTCAGAGAACAGAAGCAGGCTTGAGGTTGTAGATGGTTCCATGAAAAAGAACCGAATAAGGAGACCCAAGAACCACCTAGAATTGATAAACATTTCCTATAATATGGAATCTGAACGAACAAGAATGATCTTTTGGGTAGAACAGTTTCACTGACAACTAAGGCGTTTGAATCGCCTAAGAGTCAATATCAAACAAGGTATTTCTCAAATCCGGATCTCATTCTTGTCCAGAACCGCCTGACTGTCACCGAAAACACAATGTCCGGTATCTAAACGGTAATACTCCCTCCAATATCCCCTCGATTTCCATCCCGAGCTAACTTCCTTTTCACCCTAGAAACCCCCATTCTTGCCTCCTTCCCTCCGGCCTCCGTACCTTCCATACCCCCCTCCACACACACTTTCCCGCCGAACCGCTCCATGCCTGCTCTCAACACTGCCTTGAAGCAGGAACCTTCGGATCCTTCCCCAGCCCCCGGAGATACCTCTCGCAGTCGAACAGCCTACGCCGGTCGCCGTGCGCCGTCATGTACGCGTCGACCCAGCACAGCGGACACACGGCGTAGGCCTCGTTCGAGAAGGCGAGCCAGGGCCGCGCTTCGCGGGACGGAGTGGGCGCGTGGCAGGGGCAGGGGCAGACGATTATTGGCCACCTGGGTTTATGGGGTTGTGGTTAGTGTGGGAGGTTTTGTGGGTGTGGGGGGGGGATGGGGGATGGGATGGGGGTAGGGAAGGAAGGAGGGGAGGGGAGGGGAGGAGAGGGGGAGGAGGAAGAGTGTGCCTTACATGTCCCGCGGGTCCGGGTACGGGTTTAGGTACGGGACTGAGTCGGTGTCGGCGTCGGCGGAGGACGATGAATAGTATTGGATTTCTTGGTCTTGATCTTGGTCCTGTTCTTGTTCTTGTTCTTCGGGTTGTGGCTGTAACTGCTGCGTGGATGAATATGAAGGCGTGAAGGATGGGGATGTGGAGGTTGTGTAGGGGGTATACGGCGTATATGCTTCCGCCTCCGGGTCCGGGTCCGGGAAGGGCGGGTCGAACTGCGAGCCTAGGTCATCTCGGAGTACCGGTGATGGCGGGTATAGCATTCGCCATGCTTCCTGCTCTACGGCGGCGGTGGTGACGCTGGGCCCGGTAGAGCTGGGAGGGTGGGTAGTATTGATATCGTTATCACTACTGGCGGAAGTGGTGGCGGTGGTCTGCTGTTCGGTAGAAGACGTGCTTGTGGTTGCCGTTGCCTGATCCGACATCTTCCTAGATCGTATAGGTAGGACCTGGAATTCTGGAGTCGAAGTGAGAATGCCGAAAGGGTTAGAGGCGTGTAGCTTCTGCTCGTTCATTAGTAGGTGACGTCTACGTCCCATCGAAAAATAAGAAACAAGAGCTGGCCAGTGCTGCCGGCTAGATATATCGTGGATACTCGCTGCAATTACGTAGTTCACTAACCCTGACTAAAATCCAACGCGAGGAGAGAAAGAAATGGAAGCGGCGTTATTTGTTATAGGTTGTTTCGAAGAAATCATCGAAGGATAGCGAGGAGAGAGCTACGAGGTAGTTGTAAGTGAAGTTTTCTCCTACTTCCTTTCGTGACTCAGCCAAAGACTCGCAAGGCGAGGGTATTTCAGTAGCCACAAGAAGCATTGTGGAACGTGACGACAGTAGAAAAGCACAGGTTCGAACAGGAAGCTTGACACGAGGCTCGAGTCACGGGAGTCACGAGTAAGTGTTACCATAGGATAAAAGAATTCCACCTGTAGGGGGGTTATCTGAGGCATTGTGAATTAATATTTTAGAAGCAGAGCCTGCCTATGTTATTGCCTTGTGGGAGTTGTCGAGAATGGAGCCGCATCGAAGAAAACTGCATTAGTCCTAATGATGTTGCGACACGGGATGACGCAGAGTTAGCTTGGCCGTGTATACTAGCTATCTAGTTATACGGTCAGATCATGGGATATACTTAAGAATCCGGAGGGTCCCATGAAGAGGCTCTTGCTATCGAGCTTGATCTTGTACGGCATGGAAAGGTAGGCGGGATCTGCAGCCGACTCGGAATGAAAGCGAACATGAAAAGAACGCCGAGACCTCATAGTCCGTCGACGCTCTCCCCTATATTTATCATAGACTATGGCCTAATACCAGGCTATGTGACACTAGACAGAACACAGATTTATGAACGGGCTTGATAAATGAACGTTATATGTAACGATCGGGAATTGAGGCGGAAACACACATGTAATTCGGCGTGTTAATTTACTTATCATATGACTGCATGTTTCGTACGCGGGTTATAAATAGATTCCTGCTGTCGCAATCTCTGAGGAGTAGGAAAGTTGTCTTAGTGACGAAGAGATGTAGGTAAGCGAATATTTGGTACACTATTATTTATCGCGGAAGCCTGCAGTTCGAATCAAGCGGCTGTCGGGATAGCAGCTCGCATCATAATCATTCCCTCGGAGTATTAATACTGTATAGCTACATCAGTAAGATCATAAATCGTTCCCTTAATACTCGAAATCATCATCCACAGATGGACCCTTATTTTTCGTAACGCTTTCCTGCTTCCTGTACATCTCTGCTACCTGTCGACTACTCGTTGCCTCGTCTGGCTTCTTGTCATCTCTAAGCTTGATGAATCTCGGGAATCGCAAACTAATTCCCTTCTCACCGGATGGGTCGACGTTCTCCTTTATTCCTGCTTTATACCGTGGACTCAATGTCAAATCCGCGGTCTTCACTTCCCAAACGTAGCGAGGTTCGAACCAGACGTCTGGTTGATGCTGCCCACCTGACGAGTGCGCATAAAATGGTTTGGCGCGGTCGATAACGATCTCAGAGAGCTGCTTGTGAAGTTCTTCGAGGACCTGTTCCGAAAAGCCGGTACCGATATTGCAGATTGTTTCGTAAGACTCAGACGCCGCGTTATAGCATGCGAGAAGGAAAGCACCATAAACAGAGGTACGCTTGCCTTTGCCGTGGTAGGCGCCAAGCACTACAAGGTCAAGTGAGTCGCCAATTCCTGACAGGTAGTCTTTCTTGATCTGTTTTGCTGTTAGTAACAAGTATCGTTTAGACCTAATGAAGTTCTTACCTTGAGCCAATTGCGACTTCGTTTGCTAGGCTCGTACCCACTTTCCGAGCCGTCAAGCATCTTGACCATCAATCCCTCACAGGAGGCCTTGACACTCTCGTCTAGGAATGTTTGAATCTCTTCGAGCTCTCTACCATCCATATGAGTCGCAAAAGAAAACTCGCCTTCTACCGGTTGGAAGGTATTGTGAAGCAATTCGCGACGGTCTCGGAGTGACTTCTCGACCACTGGCTCCCCGTTCAAAAATAGCAAGTCAAAAGCAAACACACAGACTTTGACTTTCACCTCTTCCAGTTTGACGTCCTTCTTCTTTCTAGTCATCAATTGTTGAAAGGGAAGAACTTTCTTCTCATCAACATCCCATGCCACAGTCTCGCAGTCTAGCACGAAACTCTTGGTACCATCTTTGACCCAAGTGTCAAGCTTTGCAAGAATATCAGGATATTTCTTGGATAAATCCTCCGAATTTCTCGAGAAAATGGATGCAACCCCCTTGGCAACTTCCTTCGTAGCACCGGGAAGGGCGTCGATGTACTCGTCCGAGGAGTCCTTGGCGACATAGTGAATTTGTGCTCTCTCGCCATCGTACTTATACTCGCAAGTGAAGTTCTGGTTCTCGAAGCGATCCAATACTTCTGTGATCGCCTTTGTGGGCTTCGCAAGCATGGGCTTAAGAGGTACTCCTGGGCGGAGCTTGCAGGTCTCTTTCAACTTCATGATGCCATTCTTGACCATCGTCGGGATGATCACATCCCAGCTGGGGAGTTCGCTAAAACATGTTAGAGCTAGTCAGTCGACGATTCGATGTCACTAACCTGTAAACTGTCTTCAACATAGCTTCCGCTTCTTCTATCTCCTTGGTACTAGGTACTCCTCCTTTTTGATCCGCTTCGTGACATATTATAGCTTGTGCTATGGAGACAAGGACAGTCTTTTCTGCTAAGCCCAGTCTAAGCTTTCCCTCGAGAAATCGGATCAGGTACTTGGCCTCGCTCGGTCCACCCTTGTCCTTATGAATATCAACTTTACCGGTTGAGTGGGCGTCAGCAGCCGAAAGTAGCTTTTTAATTCCGTCCACTTTCCTACCCTGAGCACCGTTCCCAGACACAGTCGCGATGTCCATCAAACCTTTGTGGACACCTCTGATTGTCAATGGTTTGGGTTTGAACATAGTAGGTTGAGTTGATCTGCTCTTGACTGCAACAAGACCTAGATCGCCAATTTCTTTTTGATCTGCCTTTATTACTTGTAGACTGCGCCCCGTAGTCTCACCTATGGCCTTCATGATGAGTGATTCGCCAATGCCCAACTCGATACCGGCATAATCAGGGGCCAATTTGTTGATCATCAACAACACTGTCGGTAGGAAGTCGTCGGGGGTCAAACGTAATACTTGTCGGAGAAATGAAGCACAATACTCGGTGATTATGAGTCGTTTCGTCGTAAGTTCTATGAGGGAGAACGTTGTACATAATGCAGCGTAGGGCACTGGTGTGTTGGGTTTCCAGTCGGGATATGGGTCTTTTGTCTTGCTTTGAAGCTTGGTCTGTATTTTTTCTCGGGCTTTCGCTGCAACCTCTGGCTTTTCATCCTCGTCCTCTTCCTCATCCTTCTCTACCTCGGATGCAGACTCTGACGCTTCTTCCTTGATATCATCATCATCCTTCTTAGGGGAGGGAGTTGCCTTCTTCGCAGTGCTTGGTGATGTCTTTTTAGAAGGCTTCTTGGGTGTTTTCTTCTTAGGAGTGGTCTGTTTTTTAGGTTTTATCGGCTCTGCGTCTTCCATGACCTCATCTTCCTCATCTTCATCCTCGATTCGGGGACGGCTCTTTCGCTGCCTTTTTACGACAGGTGCTTCGTCCTCGAGTTCATCCTCGGGTTCTTCAACCTTGACCTTTGCTGTTGCTTTTTTCTTATCTTTAGGGGAAGGGGGCGAACGAGATCGCTTCTTCATGTCTTTCGGAGGATCTTCTTCTTCTTTCACATCGGCTTTAGACTTTGGTTTTGGTGAAGATGGTTCTTGTGCACTGGGGGAAGATTCCGGTTCATCATTCGTCTTCTTGGCCGACTTTGTACTGAACGATAGCTTCGTCTGCTGAGGAGCGGGTTTTGGACCATTTGGTTGACCGAAGAACTTCCTAAGATGATCGTTAGTAAAGTGTGAAGCACACGATGCAGCATGCAGCATGCAAGGAAGACCCACCCTAAGGTGGTTTGCGACGATTTCACATACCCCAAGGTAGATTGCTTGGGTGCCATCTTGAATAGTCTAGAAGACTTACTCGTCGCAATTTGGAAGAAAAGACGACGTGAAGCCAGATTGGCGAGACTTGTGTTTAGAGAAGAAATTAAGCACATAGGTAGATAGGTACTAGGTAGATTAATGTGGCTTCCTATAGGCATTCACGTGGTACAGGTTGGGGGTATCGTATCCTATCGGTTATCGCTCTGCCTGTCAATCCACCAAATTTCTTCGACGTGACGCGACTTCCTAAGATTAACCGCGTTAATGGAATAGTGACGCGAAAATGGCAGGCATCATACAGTGCATATGACATGTATCTCTTGAAAATACACACTGTACAAAAGTATAGCTTTATCGATAAGAATGTTGCCGTTCTACGTAGGTTGTGTCAAAAAAGCCAATCCTAAAATTTCACGGGTCTCGGACTTGGCTATGATAGAAATATGAAGGTTGCGCGTGCGTCGCTTAGTATACTCCGAAGGTCGCCATGCCTTGGGTCCCCGGCTTCCAGGTATTGTCTCCCGGTTTGGCGCCGTAACTATAGTACCGATGGCCTCTCGGAGCAGCAAATCGAGGACATAAGGAATGACATGAAAGACCGCCCATTTCAATGGACTCGGGACTATATGTCGCCTACTAATTCCACATTGCTCAACGTTGCTCTCGCCGATTTCATTCCGCAAGAATGTATATTCGGTACTATAAACACCAGGAGTATCATCGCAAATAAGCCCCTTCCGGAGGGCCACCATTTTGCATATTTCCCGCTCCAGAAGACCTCCTCGGAATTATGTCCTGACGGCACGGATCCGTTCCACAGCCCCGGCGATCCGTTTGTTCGGCGCATGTGGGCCGGCGGCTCCATCGATTTCACTGAGACTTTCCGGTTGAACTCGCGTTCCATCGATTGCAAGGAATGGATAGAGGATATCGCCTTCAAAGGCCCCGGGGGGCAGGAGAAGATATTCGCCACTATACGGCGTGAATACATGATGAGTGCTGATCGCAACGTTCCATTAGGCGTTTCTCAGGTGCCGAGGATAACGGAAAGAAGAAGCCTTGTCTTCATGCGCGGCCTTAGCAAAGAGCAAGCTCGCGAAAACCTAGCGAAGTCGGAGGAAGGAAGGGAAAGGATTGTCAAGTGTATGTGACCACCATCATCGCCCGTACTCTCTCAATTATTAGCCTACTATATTTATCACAGCTCGTAAGCCCCGTAGCCATGGCTGACATTCTAGCTTAGCTTCCCATGAGCCCGACTACTCGTTCACATTCACGCCAACGCCTAGACTCCTCTTCCAGTACAGCGCGTTGACATTCAACGCGCACTCGATCCACCTAGACCGAAATTACTGTCGAGAAGTAGAAGGTCACCGCGACTTACTAGTACACGGTCCTCTCACCCTCACCCTAATGCTCGCCGCAGTCAGATCACGAATTGGGAACCCTCTGATGAGAATCACCAAAATTGACTATCGAAACCTAGCTCCCCTCTATGTCAACGAACCTTTGCGCGTTTGTGTTAGGCTCATCCAGCAGGAAAATGCCGATGGCCCCGACCCTCGACAAGAGTGGGAGGTTTGGGTAGAGGATCGGGATGGAGGCCTCGCAGTACGAGGCACAGCTCAAGCTAAAACATTCGTACCTCGCAAACCGTTCAAGGCCATAAAATACTACACTGAAACCCTACCATAACGATCCTAGTGTATAACGATACCCCGATATAACGAACCTTTCTTCCGGATTTTTGAAATTTGTATGGGAAATAACGATAATTTTGCTATAACGAATTATCGTTAGCTTTTAGCTTAGTCACCACCAAAATCGTTATAAACAGGTTAAATTTCATGAAAATCCTTCCATTTTGGGAAGGAACTAAACCCTTTTTATATCATGATTACCCCACTTCGGTATAACATCGAACATTTCATGTCTGTGCGTTACGGGCTTTACCCCTTTAGGTAAAGATTTCTAAAAGTGGATACTTATTTTATAGCGATATTTTAATATAACGATTAGAATTCCATTTTTTTTTTCATATCGTTATAGTAGGGTTTCACTGTAGGTATGTCTTAAAAAAGGGAAAACCTAGACGGAAAAAATAAGTGCGGTTAGGCTTTGCGTCAAGAAAAGGCGGAAGCTACATTGTCCTTAGGGGAATGTTAATGTGTTAATGTAAATAAAACGAGGGATACATAGGTACCTAACGATCTTTATTACGATATTATGTCATGTTAGCGATTGTCCAGAAAATAAACTTTTAAGAATCGTTGGTGATTAGTGATTCGCATCTATATTTCCCTCGTCCACTATATAAACCTTTGTGATATATATAATTACAAAAGTTTGCATCTGCAAGAGAGAAGTGTTATAAGTAATCGTTCCAGTTCATTTGCTTCTCATTCATATATTCGGCACCTTGAATTCATTGCAACCGTGCTTCAAAATGCCGATCGTAAAACCGAAAATAACACAAGCCCGAATGTAGAAGCCAGCCCAGATTAGTTATCCATTGCCCCTTTCGCCTCGCCAATGCATCGTTATAAATCCCCATTTCCACTCATGCAGAGACTGTCAAAAGCCTCTTGCCACTATCCGCCAAATAGAAATTTCCGTAAACTCATCCCTGGAACTGGAGGTTTGACACGTTTCCCATGGCCACAGCATGGCTGCCTATAAAAGAGATTTGTGACACTACGAACAGTAGCCACATATAATAAAGTGATCAACGTGGATCGCGTATAGCCGATTGTCGTTCAGGAGCACAACTTCGTTCGAGAATGAGGGTGACAAACAAAGCCCAACGACACACGCCATTCAAATTATTCCTAGTTTGGATGCCGGCAAGTCCATCTCCGTTGTTGTAAAGGGGTATCGAAAAAATGTCAGACTTAAAAGAAGAAAAAAATCTCTCCGCCTACCATCTAGGTAATAGGAGCCAAGAATGGACTCAGCATCAGCTCGTCCGCACTTGGTCGTAGATTGTGATCTATCTCGAAAGTCTGGCTCAAGAATGTCTGCGCCTCAATGCTAGCATTATCCGGAATAGTAGGTGCGGCTTTTCCACCACCGATCTTGAAGATGGCCTGTAGCTGGCTGCAGTCTGGGAAAGGATGGGTACCGGTCATCATTTCGACAACCAAGCAGCCGAGAGACCATATATCGGCCTTACGGGTATAGGAGGTCTGCTTGACCACTTCGGGAGCCATCCAGAATACTGAACCCTGGAGTGAAGGCCTGTGCTTGTTGTTGTTGGCACCACTGAGAATGTTAGAAGCCTCAAGCTTCTTGCTAATTCCAAAATCGGATATCTTGATTGTGCCCTTGTTGTCCACGAGGATATTGGCGCCCTTGATATCGCGATGGATAATGTCTCGGTTATGCAGGTACGAGAGTCCCTGCAGAATCTGCCTCACGAAACTGCGGACTAATGGCTCGGGAAGCGCACCATACGAGTTAAGCATGGTCTGAACAGAGCCACCAGGGACGTACTCTAGGAAAATGTTCAGGTGCTCCGCTGTGGAACTGCATCCAAGATATTGAACAATATTCGCGTGTCGAAGATCTCGCAACAGGCCGATTTCTCGCTTGAGAGCTTCGATCATGCTCTTCTTTCGCGCATCTGTGGCGCTATTTGCGCCGGGGGAGGGTGTCTCAACTTGCTTGACGGCAAGAAGCTCGCCAGTTACAGCATGAAGGGCCAAGTACACGCTACCAAACGATCCCTGGCCGATCAAGGCACCCTTCATCCACTTATTGTCATCCCACGATTCCCCAGCTAGGAAACTCTGGAGCTCCTCATCGGCATCCTCACCATCCTCGCTTAGAGCCTGGGTGATTTCTTTCAGGGAACCGGAGCCCTGAGTACTAGTTTCGTCGAAGTAGCTCTGGCGGGCGTGTCCTTCGGGGTCGGTGATGCTGATAGGATTGCTATCTGAGCTGCTGTCTGCAAACGAGACGTAGGACTTGCGGTTAGGCTCGATAGGTGACTCCTCCTGAAGGGTATCTAAGACGGATGAGGCAACAGAGTCGCGGAATCCGTGCGGCATTCTGCCCTGGATTTCACGAGCTCTGACCTTGGCCAGTTGGCCGCCGCTTAACCACGAATCCGCGATAGTTGGGATAGGTGGTGCATCTTGGATGCTTGATGCAAAGCTGAGGTTACTAGCAACACTAAGTCGGCTGTTCACCTTGCTCAAGCGAGTGGATCTACGCATGGATAAACGCGCAGTCCGATCTATATCTTCTCGAGGGTGATCGGGGAAGTAGGATGTAAGGTCGGAAGTAATCAATTCGCTAGGCGGCCTCAATCCACCAAACTGCCTAAGAAGTCCCTTACGCCTCGGAAAGGGTGGCTTGGTTTCATTGGAGGCGGGCCGTTCCAGATCCCGAGCGGCATTGTGAAGATTTCTCTCCCTATCTTGGAAAGATATCGGCGACAGCGGTTGCTGAAGTCCTTCATTCCAGCTCTCACCTAGCAACTTCTGGACCTTCAGTTGACTTCTCTTGTCTTGCACATTCTCGAGGGCACGTGCATGCGACTGTTGGGCTTCTTCCATGGCGATAGAGGCGGCTCGTTGCAGTTCGGCTTCTCCAGGTTCGCCAGAAGGTACCCTCCTAAGGATTAGACGATTTCTCTCCGGCCGCTTCTGATCCTTAACGATGCGCCATAGTTCAGTATCGCCGAGACGCCGAGATTGCTTAGGATCGGGGTCTACACCAGCTAATACCCAGAAACAATAATTGCGATCATGGTCCTCCCGCAAGGCAAACTTTCGTAGTGTTACTCGCATAACCTCTTCGCAATTGCTGCAGTCCGCGATTTTGACTACCTTCGTAACGCCGCCGGTGGAGATGACGCGAATGACGTCTTGACCCTGTGGTAAAGCAGCCATCAGCGAACCATCCTGACTCGAGGCATTTCTCGTGTGATTAATTACCAGGCGGCCCGTCATGGTAGGCGATCCAGGTCCTCGGCCGCTCGAGTTAGACGTATTGATCATGTACGGCTGAGCTTGTTGATACCGCTGTTGTCTAAGACCTCGTGCATCGGAATTGGGCAAAGGTGAAGTAGGTCGAGAACCAGGTCTTCCCATCTCGGACAAGGAGTTCATTGCCAGGCTTGACATGTCAATTTGCCGGGAATATCTTTTGTTCGCTGAGCCGAGGCCTCGACTACCGGAGTTAAAGGGTCGAGGTGAGCCAGTCGAGGAGGGAGTATATTGAGAATCTAAGCCTCCGAAAGAATCCTATAATCAAATGTCAGAAGACGTCCCCAACCAAACCATCGGATTATTGCTAAATCTCTTTCGAATGTAATCCAGCAATTACTTACCCGATTGCGTCTCTTTTGATTTGCGTACGCTTTCGTCCTGAGTTTCTTAATGCCGAGGAATAATCGAACCCGATCGCCAACCTTGTCGATGCCCATCTCCTTGAGGACCTCCTTGTCCATCTCTAATAAATTCTCGCCATTGACGTTATTCTTTCTAAATAACTTCTCATACTCGCCGCACTTGACACTTCTCAAATATTCGCATACTTGGTCCTCGGACCAGTTCTTAACGGCATCGGGGCCGTCGACGTCGGAAAATTCAGACTCGGTAGGGCTGGCGAAAACCTGGCCGGCGGCATGAACAGCCGGTGCTCGTCTCGTAGGAGCCATACTAGACGGCTGAGCACTAGAGACTAAAGTGGCATTCGTGGAGGCCAGCGAAGCCGGAAAAGACGACTTCGAAGCTAGCATTGCCATTGTGAATCTAGATGTTGAGTTATCGATTGTGGCTGGTTTTCCACTGTCAGGAACACATGGGAAAAGAATTGAACGGAGGGGATCGTATTAAAAAGAGGAGACGAGTATAATTTTTTTTTCTTTATTTCCCAACGCCTTGAATAATTTTTTCTTCTATCATCCGTTCCTTCTAGCGGGGATCGGACAAAGAGTAAATTACGCCAGCGAGCGGTGTCGAAACGGAAAAATAAATTAGGGAGGTTTCGCAAATCGCCAGAGTGTGTCGATGATAAAGAGTGTGGAGTTTGGAGTTGGGATTTGGCAGGATTGGGATTGGGGGATGGGATTCAATGTTAATTGCAGGAGAAGATTTACAGGTACATTCTGCCTAGTATCACTTGGTACCTTCCTTAGCCCTGAAAGCACATTTTACAGGCGACAGGTACCTGACTTTTCGCTGGTGTTGGTGTAACTTTAACTTTCAAGGGTCATTCTATCTTAGTTGCAGGCTGACTAGCCCCACCTCCTTAGAATAGCTTAAGTCGTGGATCGCCTACTACCCTATCCAAGTACCTTTCCTACCCACTTTCCTCTATTATACAGTATTTCATTTATTATATTCTCACCGTTGTTGAGGTGTAAATGTGCAGTAGCGTTCGGGTTCGGGGGTTTCACTTTGCGGCCACTACCAAGTAGGGGAGCATAAAATAAACTTTTTAACCACTTATAATACCACGGTATTCTTACTGTGTAGCACCAATCGTCTGGATGCATTTTCCCGATTATGATTGGCCGAGGAATAAACAAGAACGGCGGTAGCTGATGCTGCTGATGTTGAAAAGTTGAAACTCGACAAGGAGCGCACGGCCACTAGATCATAAAAAAAAAGTCCCGTCATCGACTCATCCACCTTGGTCCACCAACCCACTCTGCCCACTATCTCGCATTTAATCGCCCATCGGACGAGAGATTCATTTGATTCGACTGATTCGAGAACGATTCGTAGAGATACGTAATGTGCGAGAAACGGCACACACCGATACACCGTGGCAGAGCCTGGTCCCTCAGACGATGATCATTGCTCTCTGTTTCATTGCGCGTCTACCGCGACCATGTGATGCAAGCTGAAGATCAGAGGGAGAAGAAGAGAGAAGGATGAGAAAAAAAAAACAGCCTTGTCTCCCTTCACTACTCTGGAGTTTGTATCCCCATTCCCCAGTTACCACCAACATAACATACCTTGCCTACCTGGTACCTTGATTTTGCCATATGCCTCCCTCGGGACAATTATCACATAGTACTTCGCATAATAGTACATACACCTACTCTATTTTTTGGGCAACCTCCCCTATAATACCAAACCGGATATACAAATGTTGGTGTCCATGTGCGGGCAGCGGGCGGCTACTCGTCGACAATCACATTCCGCCCCCATTTAAGATCGCGGCGTGCGTACCCCTTTAAGCTACATCCGTATATCCAATTTCGAACCCGAGCAGCTACAGCGTGGACTGCCGTACGCTACAGTAGTCTACCGTATACTAGTCTGCTAGCATCAGTACATACATACCTAGGTAGGTATGTAGCATGTATCTGAGATCGTCTGGTTGTCCTAGTCGTTGAAGATCCATATGGATGGCTTTACACTATTCTTTAGGACCAGTGTTACAAATGGCTGGGTCCATGACGAGGACGCTACTAATAATACGACGAGATGTCGTCAACCGCAATCTTTAGAGTCGTTCGAAAAAAAGCTCGGCAGAGGAGCGGTGGTGAGCAAAGCTGAGGCAAGGTGTCAAAGGAGCCAGTAAACGGCGTCACCTTGATTGGATAGACATTGGGACTGCTGGATCTTTTCCGTTGTTATTCGCAACTGGCAGCCTGGGCTCAGTGGGCTGTCTGGGCTATCTGGGCATTCCCGAGTCACTCGGCCGCTTCAGCAAGTCATATCCCACCTGCGAGGTGGCATGTACAGGGGCTGACAAGGCAAGAGTGTATCCACAAGCGTGTATTTTAGGGGTCGATTGACAGGGGGCTAGGCTATGATCTCCAACCTGAAACCCTCCAAGTTTCGACCAGCCCGGATAAGATGGGTGCATTCGGGGCGTCAAGCGGACTTAGAGCCCTTTTGTATCCATCATAGCCTTCACTCTCGCCTCTTTTCTCGCCTCTTACCGACAGTATGGTTTACGTATGTAGGATTGTTCACATTGTCGCCGTTGCTATTTCTGAAGGGGTCATCTATTTCCCCTCTCACCCCCAGCATCTCGGCAAAGTTGCTTTACCGGCTTACGTACTTTATCTGCGAATGTATTTCTTTTTCTGAAGTACTTGTACCAAGGTAAGTACTGTAAGTATCTTGCATATCCCGAATCCAATGGGTCGTGATATGCACATTACTTGGCATACCTACAGTACCTAGTAACCTTTCCCCGCCTATTGGCTAGGGCGTCTCATCGATAAAACGTCGTTCTTAGGAGAGACTTCGCCACGATATATTGAGCATGACCATATATATTACCATCGTCGAGATCGGCTTTGATGATACCTGCGCCTTATGAATATCCTTAAAGCGTTCTGAACGTGACGAAGTCATGGGCGCGTCCTCTAACGCGATCCTTCTGACTTCATAGCATCGTCTCATTAAAAAATTAATGCTATGTGTATATGTAGTAGTAATATCCGTCTTACTAAGGAGATAACATCAGTTCGCGGACAGGGTTGATTCGCCGGCTTCAGCCCATCGCGATAGTGTTTCTCCGTGAGATCGGAGTCGCTCAGACGGATCATCGCCAGATGCTCAGCTCATTGGATCTTCCAGACGTGCATACCACGCCGAGCTTTCCCAGGCAAGGGGCTAATCCAACATTGAGGGACATTTAGGGATATTTAGGGATCTTTTTAGCGATCTGGAAGCTGTAATAGAAGTTTGCTAGCGTCGACCCGGGACCGAGAAACCAAAGGCTGCGAAGGTGGGATTAGAGGATCCTCATTGTCACGCCCGCATCTTTTTAGCACGCATCGAGTCGTATTATGCTGTTGTCCGGTCACCTTTTGCATGTTGCGGCTGCAAAGGCCTTGGCTGCTCCCGCGCTCGGTATCACAAGGCAATAACAAGCTCATTTAAATTGCATGGTACACCGCAACGAATCCCGAGATCCTCGAGGATTTTGGAGCTGGGGTTTTCGTCACGCTTGCTCGGCCTTGAACTTTCTACTGTAGGCTTTTTGTTAATATCAAGCATCTTCATGCTCTGCCGTGTTGTATCATACCAGCACCCATACTAGCATGTCAGGAGATTCACGACAACACAAAGCCCAAGATAGATCATAAAACACCAGGCGTCATGTTACGCGCTCAATGTCAAGGCAGTCTCATTAAATTCAGGCTCAGTGTGCCAAGCCCAGCAGCTTAGCTGGTTAGGTGGTCAAACATCTTGTTCGTCAATGTCGCAGCACTGGGCCAATTGACATTACAGAGGAGCTGCAGGCTTTTTGGAGAAAGGATTGTTTACTTTTAAAAGACAACACGTGTATGCACTGCCAGGCCACCCTGGATGCTTGGAGTGCATCAATAACATGGTAGTTCCCAGTTTGGTAGTGCTGGATTATGCCAGCCGTCGATCGTGAGGTTGACCGACTTTCGTCCAACTGAGCATTTGGCTGAGCCTTGAAACATGCTCAATGCTCAGCAATAACATCGAACTAAATAAACACTTTAAAAAATCTGTATGAGCTATACGAACTTGCACACGTGAGAGGCGCAAACACGTAACCCTCGATAAAGGGCTTCACGGTATCTTCCGAATAAAAGCCACGGTGCTCTTTATTATTTTCTACATTTCTCAAGGTCTGCGAGTTTTGTTAGGGCAGAGTTGGTTGGGTTCCAAGACTTACTTTCGCTTTCAGCTGTTACACAAAGAGGCTTGTAGATTTTAGTGCTGTATGTATGTCGTGTCCACCAGAGCTGACTGTGGATAATCTCCATTCTGTTAGATCTGGGGTCACTCCTACAGTAAGTCCGACGCTCGCTGGCTCGTAGCATTACGTATAAATCAGATTTTTCTTGATGGTAAAACATTACTATACTATAATACTTTGCGAGTGTCGAAAAAGTTTTATAGTCACTGTGAGCTAATACCAGTATTAACACAGTAGATGTAAATGTTTGCTATAGCAATAAATGCCACTGTGCCTTACATCAAAACATCAGATTATTAAAAGAAACAAGAGTGGCATTTGAAAGACAACTTGGAAGAATCACATGTGTCAATTCATCTAATTGATTTGCTTATGTAAGTACACGATATATCTACATATCTGCATAGATACATATGGAATTGCTGTTTTCGTGCAAAAATAAATAGAATACGTCATTTCATAAAACCTGAATAAACAGAGCTTGAATCCTATTGGACCAGATAATCTATCCAAACCGGATCATAGCATCATCGAGGCTGGAACAATGCATTAGCGGATAGTAGCGGGGCAGATCACTGCATAAAGTCTACTGTATAAATACTTAACGAGGGCTGATTAAGTAGCTTACGAGATACAGAATGCATGTAACGAGATGAAGATAAGATGTACCTTACCTTATCAGGCTTTTGTGTCCAGTTCCGGACCGAACCCAACCAACGCTAATGTTCACGCCATCGATTTCTTGAAAGCTGATCAAGATACGTTTTAGGAGCTTGCACGCATAGCTTCTGCATAGCTTCTACATAGTCTATCGCAAGTGTCTTTTCCGGAGGCCCTCATCGAGACCAATTCTTTTTTTCCCTCAGTATATTTGGTCCAATATGCTCTCTCGTGGACCTAAACCCGAGGGGACGATACCTCGCTGATTAAGGAGTGATTAGCTAAGCTCGCGAGCAATGTCGTATGTGGCGTGTTGAAATTCTTCTTATCAGCTATTCCGCAGGTCTCGCTATTTCCAAGTCCGGTTGCCAATCGTTAATCCCCCGGCTTGTTCGGGTTCATCACGTCCGCATTGGTGTTATGAGCTTACGATAACCCACTGCGGGTATCAAGAATTTTTAGACTTGTACGCCGTAATCAAGGTCAACATCGGGTCTCACAAGTTCGATCATGGATCTTAAAACTCACCGTCAGCCGATAGTTGAAGGAAAGGAAATCCAGATGTCTCAAAGACGCCCGTCTTTTTCAGCTATGAAAGCTTTGCGGTTGAGATCACTCAGTATCACTTCGCAAATCTCAAGCTCCTCCGAAACAGAGACTCACTCGCCCGTAGCAGTTCGTAAAAGAACATTGACTAAGAATCGTCCTTTTGAGACATTGAGGGAGGATTTGATTCGGAGGCCCTCTGGTTCTTCAACGGGGGACAATACCGAGCGGGGCTCTGTATCGACTAGACCTACGAGTCCTTCAGGCACTGGCAGTCAGTGCGCTAGCATTTTCGGTGATGCCTTGGTAATTCTCAAGTCCGGGCCTCTCCAACCGGAAACGTCTATCTTGAGGACTAAGAAAGAGTTCTTGGTGTTAACTCCCTTGGCTCTGGTCAAGTTCAAGAGTCGTTCTGCTGCAGTCGAACGATTCCCACAGATCTCGGTATCGAACAGCGGCACCGACACTCTTTCGCCTGTTGAATCGGTCAGCTCTCTGAGAGACCTTGGGGCAAGCGGGGAATTATTTGTCCCACTAGAGAAGATCGTCTCGGTTTTCAACAACGAGGGGACCCGTCCATCGTTCGGTATAGAAGTATGGTGGAGTGATCGAAAAGGGGCCACATTTACATGTCTCCAGTTAGACTTTAGCCTACCAGATGATCGCGACGATTGGTTAAAACAGATTCGGCATGCGATCAAGATACGGGCCAAGGCTTTCCCCGAAGAGTTAATTCCATCTGAAATAGAATCGGAGCTTAAGCGGCGAGTTCAACCTCAACACGAGCAGCATTGGGATGCCCAGATAGAAATATTTCCCGTCATACCTCGACGACCGTGTATGAGTCCGACAGCAAACTCCGGTGAAGTTAAGAAAGGTTGGCGAGATAAGTCGGCTTTCTATATAGTACTCACCCGAAAATTCTGTTATCTCGCCCAGTTTATGAAAAGTTCGACGGCCGAAAAATACAATCCTACCATGATACGGTTTGGGTTGGTGGGGTTGTCGAAAGTTAACGTAATTCTTAACGACGAGAGGTTCGATCTTGTTTTTCGGTAAGACAACCCTGAATTATCTTGTCGTATCTTATTGGTGTTGTGTCCTAGCCTCACTCCAGCTGTAACTTATAATGTGTTCTAACAAAAGTAGATTGCCCTTAGAAAACCCTACGAAACTAGAGCTTTCTAGCCGACATCATCGGAGCATTTCGTCAAAATTGTATAAGATGGACGCCTATATTAAACCTGCCTGGCCCCTCTGGACTCGCCGTGAAGTGTTCTTCATCGATGGTGAAGCACCGCAAATGCCTCTTCCTAATGGCGAAGATTACTGTGGTTTTAAAACGACTTTAGGAGCATTCATCGAAGGGTACTGCTGTGCTCCAGTGGATTGGATGGTACAATGGAAGAATGTGCGGCACGCTCCTCAATTTACTCTTCTTGCGCCGAAGGGACAGTCTAGCTATAACGCGTATCAGCTCTTAGCTGTCTTCCGTGCCTTACGCTTCAACGACTTTTTCAAGTCATTGTCATTCCGCGGCATTGACTTCTCCAGTCTTGCCGGCATTTTTGACAATACGACCCGACTCGAGTCTACAACATGGCTTTCCCGAACAGGTTCGTAGAACTTCACGCGTGGTAACCAAGTGTTTCGGGTTAACATTATTTAGGGAAACGTAGTCTTACTCGAGTTGAATTCGACCTCGTGGAAAACTCCTCCGTACTGTTCCAAGAAATTGTAGCTCTTCTACTTGGATCGGAGTCTATTCGACACATCGATCTTACCAACGTCCTTGCTAGAGAACCTACAGTTTCATTGGGAAATGGTCAGACCGCTCCGTCTCCGACAGGCCAAGTGTGCGAAATCGTACCCCCTATAGTACTTCTCTGGAAATCTCTACAAACTCGGTGCAATTCGATAAATATTAGTGGGAACCCCCTGGGCGTGCCCGACGTTGCAGGTCTCTGTAAGCTTGATATCATAACTACTAAGTACATATTCTAGCTCAGGTTTACTGACGACTATGCAGCCCGGGCTCTACAGAATAGACCTGATTTCCTGAAGAAAATTTCGATATCGCGATGTCACCTCGACGAGAACGCACTTGCGCTACTCTGGGAGGGCTTACATGAACAACGTTCGTCCATCGAAAATCTTGATGTATCACATAACTCGGGTCTTATAGAGGCATCCAAGGCCGCAGAAACCCTCGTCGACGCAAGTAGACTACGACGTCTAAATCTCGCATATGCAATTAAGGGAAACCTAAATGGCCCCCTATTCCGACCCTGGAGCGCGACATCAAACTTCGAGCCGTGGCATTTAGAAGAGTTAGATCTTTCGGGTTGGAAGGTAGGGTATTTTCAAGACACCTATGCTTCGGGAATTAATTAACGGAATACAATAGGTTAACTTCGATACTTTGTGCGGGATTATGAAGTTCATTGAGCTTGATGAGTCTCGCAGTTTGCGTCGTTTAGCCCTCACAAATTGCGGGATATCAGGAGAAATGGCAACTGGCCTCCTGTGTCGTCTTGGCGCAGGTCGGGACATGCATCTGTTGCTCAGCGATAATCCACTTGAACTTGGTTCGACCGACTGGATCGACTTAATCCACGGTAACGAAGCGCCGAGAATGCTACATCTCAATATGGTCCAGTTTCAGCACGAATCAAATTTCAACCGCCTCCTTAAGGCACTTGCTCATAACAAAACGATCGAGTTTTTGAGTATGATAGGAACTGGGCCTCCGGATCGAACGAGCCCCAAGACATTGGAGCTTCTATCTCGCTTTTTCGAACTGAATGATACCCTGCAATACCTAGACCTGTCCGGGTACAGTGGGAAACTAGAAGACAGCCATATGGGATGGGGGCTATCTGGAGCATTGGGTGGATTAAAGCAGAATATTACACTCCGCCAGCTTCGCGTTCGCAACCACGACATTGGCTCCGCAGAAGATGTGAGCGAGCTCTGCCGTGTCCTCGCTGTGAACAAGGGTCTTGCCATGTTCGATTGCCAGCAAAATAGTTTCAATCACCACCAATTCGCGAAACTCGTTCATGCCCTGAACTATAACCATCATATCATTTCTTTCCCCCTATCCGACACCGATCGACAATATGCGGTACAGAAAGAAGAGCGCTTGTTTCATAAACAGCAGGCTCAGCCCAACAAATCATTTCAAAGCAAAGTATTAAAAGCGGCAGAAGGTCGCTTGGATGGGTTGCTGAAGTGGGTGGAGGAATTTTGGAATGACGAAGCTGAGAAAGCACGCGAGATCCTGGGCAGAAATAGAAGCAATCCTGCAAACCACTCGCTCGGGTTCAGGTCAGAATACCTCGACGCTTGGGAAGATGAGAGTCTCCCTCCCTGGCTTTTCCCGACCTCCCCGGCCCGCGACAAAGGAAAGCAAACTTCCAATACAACTTAATAAACTCAAATAACGTTGGCCCATGTTCAGCCCTACGCACGGGTGTCTATGCTGACTCCATGTCACCGTGGAAGGAATCATTAAGATGACTTGGTTCCTAAATTAAAAAAATAAAGAAGGATTTTTACGACCTAATATACCTACCCAGAGGATAATTGTCGGATTTAGTATACAACGAAGGCCGACAAATTTCGTTGAACTTACATACGATATACGTCGTATTCTCTCCCCCTTGCACGGTTATCACTGATAGATTTATGGTTTAGCTGAAGAGGCGGCGTTTTAGATTATGAGAGATACCCAGCGAGACACGCGGAATTTGAATTTGCCTATATATATTGTTTGCTACTTACATTTTGCTCATTTACGAGGGCGTCGATTTATTTAACATATACTTCCATGAAATTATTGACGCTAGTTGAGAGGCGCAAACTGCAATCTCGCGACCTCAAATAACGTTGATGGAATCAAGAATTTGATGCGAGCTAACAGTCCCGATATATCCTGGTCGCTTTTCCCAGTGCTCTCGTAAGACGGGTTGGAGTTCTAATTAGGGCGGATGACGCGGATTATGTAGCCTTCCACCAGGCTGTATTCGGTTGCATTCCGAGTTTAGTCAGGCATCCATAATTGGTCTACGAGGCTGAGATAACCAGTCTACGCAGTGCGGTCGACTAGCTTTGACGTGGTAGGTAACATGAGGCTTGCTGGCTCATACGATACGTCCCTCATCCGATAGAAGAGGATCGTTCCGACTCTTAGATATCTAGGGACATCGAATAAGAGTCACCCACGATGTTCGGGAAACATAAGCCGGCTAATGACAAAAGTTCATTGCTTCTGTACTAAAACTAGGCGTGTTCATAATACTGGTTTGTTCCCGCATGACCAAAATGGGCTACCAAATTGCTGACGGATTTGGATCTTGACAATTGAGCGGCTTATGACTGATTTGTTAGCGGAGTCAAGTAGGTGAAGTTGAGAGAACCTTTGGTCCCTTACATCGGGGAAGAAATATTAGCTAATGATGAGCTATTCAAACTCACATCGGCGATTAATTTACAAACTAGCTATCTAGTTTCATACCATGTTCCCTAAACGCCGAACAATCTGTCATGTGAGGGCATACGGCTGTTTGAACTTCGAACCTCAAACCACCAACTACACACCTAACGGCAGTCTGACAGGACTGGGATTTGCATCCCTCACCGTACAGTCGGGCTCCTACCCCTTACCCGACCAACCTATCGACACGAACCGAACCAGACTCGACCCAAATTTCAAGCTCACCTCGCCTCACCTGCATACGTAAGATGGTAAGCAGGTAAGAGGGTTAGTCTGTTGGCCGAGTGGTGTAATGAAAAAGAACGAAATTTCACATGTCATTCGCTGTGCTTAGCGCGCTCACCTCCAGCTCACCTTGCATCTGACCTGACTTGAAACAAACAAGCACGCTTCCAAGGTTACCTAAGCAATTAAGGTAGACGGGTACACATTTACTATGCGTACCTACACATGTATATACGAACCCTAGTACGAAACACGAAGAAACTGAACTCGGACTCGGGCAGAACAAGGACCGACCCGAGCTTGCAAAGACGTCGGTGTGCGGGAAGGCAGTGACGTGATGCGATGGAGATCCATGGAAGCCTTTTCGCGACGGAACGCGAACACGTGTATAGCAGAGCTCCGCCCGCGCGCCCAGCTGCACCAACTTCTGCGTTCCGTGCGCGAGAGAGGGCGTGCGCCTCCCAGCAACAGCCGGGCGACGGGGGGGTGATTGGAGGATCGCGGCAGATTGAGCAATTACCTGGCAGCTCTAACCCACGAACAAGGCTGTGCCGTCAAACGCCGTCCTGCCCGTCGAGGTTCGGGGTTCAGGTAGTTAGTCAAGTTTAGTTCAAACAGCAACTCGGGCCAGCTGTCTGGGCAGTTATACTTAGTACACCTTCTAGCGGCACCCAATGCGAGGTTCATCTGGGTAGGATGACGGGGAAAGCCTTTCTTTCTCTCTTTCCCTTAGTCATTCTTTTGATAGACATCGTTCGGAGGCTTGGACCGAAGCTAACGGAGATACCCCAGAAACGAAACGGAACGAAACGAACTAAAGCGAAGAATGGGTGAGAAGGAAGGAAGAAACCGAAGAAAAAAGGGGAGCTCTTGGGCGAGGAGAGAGATGCGGGTAGGTACATACCGAATTTCGTATATGTAATTACACACCTACCCAATACACGAGCGCGCGCATGACGGATCTGCGCTACGCATGTACGTGTCCGTACCTGGTTTTCCGCGCCCTCGGTGGGGGCCGCTCGTATGGGTATGAGGTATTCGTGCATCTTTCTGAAGAAAGGCCGCCCCCAGCTAACCAGCACCTGGAATCCAAACTTCGAAAAAGCGGAACGAGAGAAGGAAAATATGGAAAAAGGTAGAAAAAATAGAAATAATTAGATATGCGCCCCGTGCCTGTCAGACCCTCTCTCTTCCGGGGTGCAGGACTTTCGGAAGTAAAGTACCTACACTACAGCTAACATCCATACCTACTAGGTACATATGTACATAGTGGAGGAATATGGGAGTTGCTGATAGTACATATGAAACTTTCCAACACCCCCGGTTTACCCGTTATAGAACATTCTAGCGTGGCCACGCTGGGTATTACCGTCCATAATTACCACCTAGCTCTGCTAAGCATTGCTACCACGTAGGAGGGTCTCCAGTATTTCAGGAACAGAAGAAATATTATGGATGAGTCAGACTAGACTGGCTGGGGATGTCCGAGATGTTGGTACCTGCATGAACGGGTACCACCACATATGTACCTACACGCATACAGACGTCGCAGCGACGATCACCATAGCTATAGATCACAAATGGTTGGTTAAATGTCAAAATCTGTACCCATACTATGCAGAACGAAGACTGTAGATTATTTGAATAAGTTTTGATTCGTGCTCATTGCTACGTATTATGTATTCTTCCCCTCACTCTCTCATATCGTACTCGTAATCCGTCGTCGTCTAACGTGGTATATCCGTCTTGTAAAACACCCGCCCCGTGAATCCATGGGGCCTCTCGAGAATCAGAGATAGTCTATCCGACACATGTCCCCATTAGATCCTCCTCATCTAATCCATAAATATGCGTCAGGCTTCAAACAAGCAACCAGTACCTGCTCTAAGAAGCTAGTCCATCGTGTCCCGCATGAACCACTAGGGTATAAAGAAATTCATCCTGTTGTTTTTTTCTCCCCTCTGAGCGCCGGTGTGCCGTAATAAGAATAGTTGTGAAGTGTACACATCGCAAAAAAAACTCCGTGCTTTTGAGATGCCTCGCCTAATATTCCGTTGGTGACAACGAGTGGTCCAGATTCTATAACCCATTCTATAAACCCCGTAGTAAAACACAAATAGAAAAAGGAAATGTGGAAATCGTGTGATGTGTCATATGTGTATTCGATTTAGATGAAGTTAGCCATCCACCCCATATCGCTGACTAGATCGTCTAACCCAGCGTCGATCCCCGGGCGGCCGAGAAGCCCGGGGCTCCCGAGAGACACACCACTGTCTAGTCTGGTGACTAATTCTGGAGAACCAAGCGCTGCCGGTGAGATGCGGCTTGCGTCTAAGTGCTTATCGTTTTGCGTCGCAGGCTGAGGTAGGCTATATCCAGTGATTGGAGAGTTAAGATGTTTTGGTATGGTACAGGCGCCCTCGCTGCTTCGGCGAGTTCCCTGGATCATGAAAGACTCTTCTTCGGTAGCGAAGATATCTTCGCTGTCATTGTCTGAGTCGTCAAAGAAAGAGAACTGATTGAGGTCGCGGGACTCGGGTGATGGGGCGGATACCGGAGAAACCGCGCTTGATGATGTTGTCGAATATGAGAAATGGGATCGAGGTACATCCAACCCAATGGTAGCCATCCTAGGTAAGGCACCGATAGGCTTTGGAGTGGTATCATCATCCTTCTTGGCATCCACAGGAATGACAATAGTGGTAGATTCGTTAGTCTCGGGTCTCATCGAAGACGATGATACGCTTCGCTGAAATGGCGAGGGCGAAAGTACCGTAAATGGTGCATTCTCGGATACAGCGGACGTCGCAAAATTGTCGTCGTCTTCGTTCTCCTCGATAATCTCATCTGGGATTAGTAGCCTTGGCGCCTGTTCCACCACAGCCGGCGATTGGGGTAGATCGTCAGATAGGAACCTTCGGAGAGATTCTGGCGACATATCACGAGACCGAATACTCCTCCCAGATGGCGTGGTGCTCCTTGGCTCGTCATAGCGCCTGCTTTGTCGACTTTCTTCACCATAGTGACTTTCAACTTCAGTTTCACTACCAGCATCGCTATCCTGGCTGCAACCCTTCTTCCGTCCCAAAAATCGTCGAGCAGCGCTAGTCCAGCTAGGCGCCGGTGAGAGAGAACGAGCTGATCGTTTGTGAACAAGTGACATTGCTGGCTGAGGTGAAGATCCGACGCGAAGGTCCGGAAGGCTGGGTACTGGAGGAGCCGGCCTTGGAGTCATGAATTTATCCTTAGGCTCCATGGTCCTATAATCAGTAATCCTGAGAGAATTCATTGATGCGCTTCGTATTCTTGATAGACGCTCCGAGGGAACGTCGAGAGTGTTGACAGTTTGGCCGGGAAGATAAGGGCATGCATTTGTCGTGGGCATGGAAGGGTCATATGTCTCGGTTGAACCATCCAATTCATACTTGAAGATATTAGCGAAAGATGAAATGTCTAGGACTCGAAATGATTTACTCACATAATAGTAATATGTCTGACCCATCTTTAATCCTCCACTTCGCTTTTGATCCGTGATTTGGTCACCGTCGCAGATGATGTTGTTGAAGGTATGGCAGCCTCGCCATTGGCTTCGAGCTCGTCTAGCGTCACGCTCCATAGTATGATATTTCGAGAAGTTGTCCCACGATCCAAGAAGTCTGACTGATGATATAGAGGGGTGGGTTTGACTGCGTACGTGGTAAGCTTCCTGGTCGAGATCAAGTTCCACAGGTGGGTAGGGCAGCCAGTGGATAATAAGTAAACGAAGAGGATGTGAAGCGTGAAGCGTGATGTGGTGACAACATATACATACATATGTCTACCAGCTCAGAGAGGCAATGGGTGACGAATGCAGGGGTGTGTGGAAATGAACCCACTAATACTCAGAGTACTTTTGGAATGGGAGCATGGATATGCAAGTGGATGCAAGCGGGCTAAGGTAACTAACTGGGTGACGGCTGTGGTGACTAAAGCGCTTGCTTTTTGGGACGATATGGGCATGGATCTGACAAGACCGACAGCAACAGTGGCTGGCTGCCTTCTCTCTCCATGCTATGATGCCTGACAATGATCCTCGCCTCCAACTAGGTTACGATGTATCCAGGGTATGTAAGCACTATGACAGGGCTGACAGGGAGGGCAACAGGGTGCGTGAAAATTCCACTCATCAGCCACTCTGCCACCGTTGTTTGTTGGCAGCTAAGGCCTTTAAGGTCTCTAGGTCCTTAGCAGCTCAGGCAATGTCTGACCTTTTCGCGTGGAACCCCTGCTCGGAGATGATGTGCTGGATTTGACAATCTTGGGATCCTAGTAGATCGGAAATTCTAGAATACCTGGCAATGAATGTTTTATGAGGTCTTATGCTGTAATACCTCAAAGTGCCGTTCCCGCTTAATCATTGAACGAATGTGGAAATACGCGGGTGCAGATTGCCGTACCGGTAGACAAAAAAGTACATAAAGCGAACGATATAGCGAGTGGGATGGCGGTATACGCGGAAAGCGACAGGGTCAAAAATCAAGTGAGAGCGCCAGGCTAGACAACTAGACGACTGGGTGGCAGGGGATATAAAAGAATGACGATATCGATATTGAATTGATCATTTAATATAAGAATAACTCACAGCATAAAAGTAAAGAGTGTCGTGGTGGGATCCATGATGAGTCGGAAAAGTCGTATTTTTTGACGCAAGAGGCGGGTTTCAACCGATATTATATGGCCGATCAATACGGCGACACGACGATACGGCGATACGGGAGCACAGAAACAATAGCTAGGGATATAATATAAATAAAAATAATTGCCGCCGCTTTCGTTCTCAACTTAGAACCATGGATCGATTTCTGTTCGCAATGTTTCGACAGACGCAGGAACGCAGCGTGCAATGCAACTCTTTTCGATCTTGCTTAGGCGGATCGAAGGAATTGACCAATAAGGATGGTGGATACTGGCTCACGGAAGCGCCGTAAATCGTGTTTGCACAGCGGGCGGCGCTTAAAACAGGACAATCCCAGATCAAGCGAGATTTAGGATCCAACGCTCTCAGGGTCTTAGGGTCTTTAAGGGTCCAAAGGTCGTGTATGAGAGAGGCCACTTCTCTCACGTCGTCGGTAGTAGCTATATGCGATTACAACGGTACCAATTTAGCGAATGGAGAGGAGAAGAGTTTGTAGCAGGTAGTTATAGAGGTAGTTATAAGGTAGATGAAGCTGAGCACCTCGGCTGTAAGTTGTAAGTTGTAAGAAGGAGGTGTCGGTGCTAGAAAGCTTCAGGCAAAGTCGGAAAATAGGAGGACCTGAAAGGCTGAAACCAGTGCACGATAATTTAGCTTTTAGCCCTTAGCTTGAGGCGTTATTCTAGACCTAAAACCGAGCAAAGTTGCGGGAGAGGCTGCATTGAGAGTAGATCAGACCTGATCTCCCTCTTTCGTCAACGGTGAATGCGCTGAATGTGGGTCTTGTTTGAGAAGAGGCCCAACAATAGTATCGTCCTAAGCTCTATTCGATCCAGATCCATGTTGTACGTCAATCTTTGGTTTAGTGTATTAGTATAGGTGAAGACAGGAATTCGGTCTGAACAAGACCACTAGAATATCCGAGAGGGATACAATCTGTATATTGGTATAATTGAGGGGGTTATTCAAGGGGGGGGAAGGGGAAATGACGACAGTTTGATGGGATAATGAAAAGCTGATCTTTAAAGGGCATTAGTTGTGCCGAAAAGGGAAAGGGGGATCCCTGAAACTCGATGCGATTGGTCAACTTAGAATAATAGGCTTATGTAGCTGAGTATTAGCACACGCATAGTAGGTACCAGAATCTGCTGAACGTCCGCATGCGACTTAGGTAGAGCGTACTATTGCATCAATTGATCTATTACACGCATCTAATCACACGCTCTGCTCTACCTATGTGGGTAGGTCTGTAAGTAATCCATAATGTGGATTACATATGTGAATATTCCCGAAATCGTACTACAGTTGTACTATCTCAGGAACATTACACCTTAAACAACCCGCATGCAAGTAATACCAAGGTGCTCCTCGACCATTGTTTTATTACACTACCTTAATCAGGTACCTATTTTGACAGATGTATTTATCATAACCGAATATTATCGAATTCAATCTGTGCAGATAGGGATATGCATGTTTCGGCATTCCGCATGTGGAGTCGGCGGCCGCTAACATGAACACGTTCTAACAGAAGTTCTAACAAAATTCGAACTTTTTTTTCCAACGAAGACTTTTTATTATGTAACAAGGGGCACTCAGCTATGTACCAGGAAGGAGCTTGCATGAAAAGCTACCTGGTACGCTTACTGGCGGTACTAGGCGGTGCTATGCAAATGGTACCTACCTACATGTGAGCTAAACCCTAATAGTCGTCCCATTTTCCATTTCTCCAGTTCCCAAGCTTGAGCTTACAACTTTCAAATAGACTTCTCCAATGAAGCTTGAACCTATCACATCCAATTCACGACATCAGACCAACTGGCTTTCAGACTAAAGTATGTTTCAGAATATCATACAATGAGCAAATGAAAGCCTCGTTCGCTTGATGTGTCAACGCCAGCATTGTTTACAGATATGTTCTTCTCATCTCATTGGCCTATCCGTTTGCATACGCCAACAAATACTACATACATATTGCTGCAATATAATGAAATGGTCACTAGATCTCGAATCAAATTGCTTTTTCTCTCAAGTACATTGCAGAGTTGAGGCAATCAGGGACAACCCGGCAAGATGAGACAATAAACCCAATCGGTAGTCAATCAAGTTCGGTTCGAGTCATCTCACAAATTGAAAGACGCGTTCTCACAATATCAATTTACCTGGATCTATTCGTTCATGACAAACGTTGAAGGAAAAGTAACGTCGACGAACTTCAACATAATTTCCATTTAGATTTCAATGTCGCACGCGTTCCTACCACGCTCCCTTCACGCGTAACACTTAAATCTTGGCGATATAACGACGAGAATGACATATATGCGGGTCCTCACAGGGGGGTCATGATTCGCCAGGTACACACATGAAGAATAATTACGGTGAGCCCGGGTTTTGGCATAAGGAATCAAGGGTCTTGTAAAGTGACAGCTGTGGCTTGCATCATGGCTTAAGCCAAAAGCTGAAATACCAGGTAAAAAGAATCCACAAGAAGAGCAAAAAGTCCAGCAAAGCTGAATCGTAGACTAGGAGAATTTTTGCTTGCTGTCTGACATAGCTTTCTTCAGAGGGCAGATGGTGGCAGAGCGGCCGGGTCGACATCACGATCTACATACTAAAGCCACCTCAGCTTGTGTGTAACCCTAGACAAGGCGCCGCTTCTGGAAGCTCGCTAAGCTTAGTGCCCCAAGTTGCTGGGCCAGCGGCGTGATGGTATTCGATCATATTCGACACATCATCAGACCTGATCCTAGTTTTACAAGATCCCGACGCTAGGACGATGGGTCTTCCCCAGGTACCACCGTCGGCGATTACCAGTTTGTGCCCTTTGTGGTCCTTTGTGGTCATTTGACACTATGAGACGATACCCATTCTCCGAAGGATGTCTCAGCTTCGCTAGTGTCAACATTGTTCTTCAAAACTCTGGAGCCAGCGAGATGGATCAACAATATGCTTCTTACCTACGCACTTGGCGCGGGGGGCATTCGTGTTGCCTAATTGTGAAAAAGCAAATATACGCCCACATATGTCATGATTCATTAACGCGAATGAGTCTTCGGCCCTCACTACGTCTTCCTGTCCCCGGGGAAACCATGCGAAGGTATTTCAAATCCTTTTGACCGCATCTTCGTGAGTCTGGCCCACACGCCCGGTCAACGCCAGACGCTGACGCGGTTGTAAACATTGCTTCTTCTAGAGGCATGTGGCGTCCTATCAACAGTGCGGTATTAATTCGGAATCTTGGGTCGGGAGAGATGCACTTTTGTTCCTCGCTGCCATCATGCAGGCACCATCCATCGTCTACGTCGCAGTCAGCATCGATCATAGCCAATAATCTGACATAAATCGATTTTAGCTGAAAAAGCAGCCCTGTCTTCAACCCACTCTCTACGTTGGGCTCCAGGAAAAAGACTCACTCAAGACTTTGCTCTCTTGTGCCCGAGCTCATATCGAAAGACGATATATCGAACTACGTTGTTTTCGTACCTAGCTTCTTACATACCTGGGTAGATATAAGCACTAAAGACAAAACGTTCTAGCTAGAGTTAACATATCTCACCTAGCTCTGGCTGGAGGATTTACCACTACGCTGGTTAAGCTCGATATTCCTACCATCAGCAACGGATATTGCGGATCTATGTCTCATTATCATTCATGCGTTCTCACAGACACGTAGGCGATGCTTATTCGGATGCGTTCTTCCGACACTTCGTCTCAAGTTTGCGAGCACTTCCTATGTATGCTATCGAGTATGATACCATCTTACCCGACGATCCGTACGGCTGAAGCTGCTAAGAATGTCTTGTCTGTCATGACGCAGAAGAGATCCTTCCTTTCCTCCGTTCTTACGCGGCCTCGGTTTTGAAGGCGTCGATGGCATCTAGCATTGATTCAATGGGAGGTAGGTGAGAAGCTCTACGCATACTTCGAAAAATTGGCATGATCCTGATGACGGTGAGATGATGGGTTACATGGTTCCTCGCATTCAACCTTGGGCGTGCTCGTAGTGTAATATCGCTATAGGGGATCCAGAGGGCAGAGAACTACGGGACATGAGTATGGCCGCCCAGCATTTCGTGTCGCCCCTGAACATTTTTTCTATCTTTACAGTATCTACTAGCTTGTGAGGCCGTAGTAATAGAAAGCTTCGAGACTTATCCATTGAGGCACTGCTCCTGTCATTGCTGTCTAGACGTTATTAATTCGTATAATAATAGATATCTGTTAACTCTGTGAACCCACGATAGAATTGAGCCACGCTGTAGTCCTGTATATGTATCTCCCTACTTTCTGACTTGGGTCGTTTGGATATGAAATAATAGTATCTACTCGAACTTGACTACGTGGATGATTACTGTAGCGTCTGGTATCAATGCTAGAGACGGACTCCTATTTTTGGAAGGATGTTATCACAAAACCCCCTAAGAATTTCATGTAAGCTAATCCAAGCTTGGAATGTACCACATGTCATATACAGGTATTTCCTCCTAATTCACATTAGAAGTCGTTATTGTCATTTGTTGTGTGGGTGTATTTGTAATCCTAATACTTAATTGAGATAATCTAGATGTTTTTCTATCGACATATTGACATCTAACACGGCCTATTGGTTGATTATACTACATGGTGATATTTATCACTTATTCACGCCTTCTCAGCCATTCTCGTACATATATAGTTCCCATGCACCTAATACAAGGACCTCAGGAGTTTTCTGACTAGTAATGTACCTAGGAAATCTCTTTTGGTGTTTTCTTAATGAAAGCTACGATCAAATTTATTCTATTCCTCTATACATGATATCGTGATCTGCCTTCTTCTACAGACCCAAAGGGGACAGATTATAACAGTACGGCTTTTGATTACCTAGTGCCGAGTACTAGGTAGGTAGCCAAGCTCTTAACCGGAAACTTCCACGATTAATATGATATAGAGTTGTGTCTCTTCTGCTCCAATGCTCTAGCTTGTCAGATTAAGCAGGGACGTACGCTCGACTCTTCTACTAGATCACCTTCTCACGTAGTTTCCTGTATCTAGTACTATATTTTTATACGTATCTACCTAGGTAGGTAAGTTACTTCTAAGAGACGTAGTTATCATGAGGGACATTGCAATTTGAGTACATCTCGAAAATATGTGAATCTGTGGATGGTGCACTCGTGTAGAGGGTTTCCTAAACAGAGTAACCGGTATGGATTGACTAAGTCTTGACCTTGTTGACTTCCACTCTTTGGGTATTCTATTGGTGTCGCCTATATGCATAATAGAAAAGGAGTGGTTCTTTTGGAACCCTCACCTTGATATAACTACCAGGTTACTTGCTAAGATGAGTTTATACTTAAGTTCGTGATCGTACTTGCTTCTGGTAGATAAGAGTGATGGTAGCTCGTCACTGTCTACGTAAAGAGGTCAAAGACTTGAATCCGACCTCGCGTTGATAATTTCTTGCTATATAACGGTCAATATTAGTAAACGTCTGGTGATCTTGCTTCTGGTTTATTACTGAAACCCATCGCAAGTTAAAGCGACTCGCTGCCCTTTGCTTCTCCTTTCGATCATCTCAATATTAGACGGTAATTATCTCCTGGAATTGATGTCGCCCGTATAAACGGCTCACTGCTCCGGGTGAATCGACAACGGTTAGTGGCTATTGTCTACACGTAAGAATACCTACTGACGGCCGTGTATATCTAAAAAGCTATACCTACATTTAGATGCTCATATCTGACATATCATTCAACTTTGCTCGGCTTGTATTATAGCGGCCCCATTCTGTACCTTAGACTTCCGAAGACAACCAAGATTGCATATGGTGAGATAGATCTACATCAACAACACTCCTATAAGCTTTCAATGACATATACCCCATATTGAACTCCTTAACGCATATCCAATAGCTATGTTCTCCATCAGGACAAGCTCTAACAAGCTAACCCATACGACACTAACCCATAGTGTGCAATGGCTAAAAAGCCGATCTCTCTAGACCAGAAACACCACCAGCACGAGAACACTCAAAGACAACACCACATCAACACACTAAGTGCACATCCCAGCCCTCGAACGACATCCACACCGCCAAACCCGCTCAAAAACCACGCGCCGCCACCCCACCTCCGGCCCCCTAACCGGCCCTCTCGCCTTCGGCACCGGCGGGCCCCGCGGACCCCGCAGCCGTCCGAACGCCCCGAAGACCGTCGCGCATTCGACACCGCGCTCACGCTTACGCCGCCCTAAAGCATATCATTCCAATACACCTATATCCAATTTCCGCGATCGAGAAACTATCGCGTTGTGTTCTTATCGCTGGAAAGAGCACAGGGCGGCGAGGAGAAGGACTACGGCCTGCGGGGGACGGAGGCGACGGTAAGGGGGCTTGAGCGGCGGGGAAGGCGGCGGGGGGTTTGAGAGAGGTTTTGTAGGGCTGTGTTCTAATAAGTAGGTACGACACGTAGGGCTGGGTGTTGTCGTCGAGCTCTGTATTCTCATGTATACACAATCACACAATCGCATAAATAGTAACCGATATATCGAAGGAGGCACATAATACGTAATGCGATGTGACGGACGTATAGCAGCGCACGCCGAATACTATACGCGGAATTACGGGCGGCGAGCACCTCGCCATTGCCTCGGTCGACCGAGCGAGGCTTGCGTATAGGGGAAAGTGAGACGGGATGAGTTCGAGCCGTGTTTACGGTATATGTCCTGGTGGCGTCTCTTTTCCATTCAGCTCCGTGCCACATCTTCACGTGGGGAGATTAGATGATATGCAGGTAAGCGCCTCGCCGTTTAGGTAGGTAACTATCTTCCTTTGAGTGCGAAGTAAGGGATGGCTGGTATTCTTGACGTTATATTTGGACAGGATGCGAGTTAATTAATAGATAATTGTTATGTAATTTGTCATTGTGACAAGGTTATCGATATATCCTATATGATGTTTGTTAATACACCAAGTTTGATTCAACCGAATGTGACGGATATGTTGAAATGGATACAAACAATACGTTCGTGACTTGTCACATAGCTTCCGAGATAATATAAGAGGCATATATCAAAAGCGAACGAGGTTGAGTGTTATTATTAATTACGAGGAGCTATGGCGAAGACCGTCCAGAGTCGAGGCCATGCATCCAGATTTTCCCGACATCCAATACTAACGCCATAGCTTTCCTCCACACCACTTGAATCGGCTCTTCGTTTACCGCATCAATCGTGTCGAGTAATATGTAGGATCTGGTTAATTCAAACACGTAAAGGTACGTTTGTTTTACAAGGCGTGATGTATGAAATCCAGCCCGATACCCTTAATAGCCCAGCCGAGCCAGAGTGGTAGACTCAAGAAGAAACGCCCATCCCAATGCTCCCCAATTGTATAGGTCTCATGTCACTTCAACCTTCAATCCAGAATACCCCGTCGCGCCTTAGGTAGTAAAAACAGTAAAAGTCCCTAGGATGATACAGCGAATGTATGCACCAAATCGGTGCGAGTGGGTGATGATAATTCGTTTATTGAGCTTTCTCAGACGCCTTCTTGGCTTCCGCTTCCAAGAATTCCTGGGCCCTGGTCCTGGATCGCTCATACTTCAGCGAAGTGTCACCGTGCCACATGGTTCCCAACAGCTTGTCCCAGAAGGTGAAGAAAGGCTGAGAGAAGTTCGTCTTGATACCCCAGCTCTGGTGATGGATATCATGGTAGGCTGCGTTGTTCGAGGTCATATGCTGAAGAGGGTCCCAAGGCAAGGCATATCCGCAATGGTCATCGACCGTCTTGATTGAAGACATGACCCAGAAAAAGATTCCTTGTCTGGGGGTCATGAAGGCAACCTTGTATGCGAGTCCGGCACCGGCTGTGTCGAGTAGGAAACCTTCGAACGGATGGTTGTACAAAGCTCCGTAAGCATACGGAACATAAAGTCGGTGATGTCTCGAGTGGAACGTAGCTATAAATCCATTAGTAACTGCTTTCTAGTACTACTAGTACGATTAAATGAGGTTAGGAGTACGAACTGTAGAGCCACTTATTCTGGTGCATTATGCGGTGAAGGAAATACTGCCAGGTATCGAGGACGGTAACGGCGAGGAATAATTGCAAGGCTGGAATGATACCCCAGTAGATGGCCTTGGCGACTAGAAGTTCCCAGGTGGCAAACGTAGGTACCGCAATTCCACCTGATCCGGCAAGCTCGGTCAGGAAGGGATAGTGTCCACCGGCGAGCACACCAGCTAGGAGCGGGTGAGAGACAGCCATATTCTTAGACATAGAGGCAGCATTAATTCCAATAATGTTTAACATGGCAGGAAGAGCTCTCTGCGATAGGCGCACTCTCGTAGCCCAAACAGCAACATCATACTCCTCCATGCCTGTATATTGCGGCGGGTCAGTCATGCCCAGAACGAAGGACATGACAGCCTGAATGACCTGCTGGAAGAGGACATCGCGCAGGACCTCGTATCGTGAGGCTTTATTGCGCTGGGCGATTTCGGCGGGTGTATGTAAGCGGTACTGCGGGAAGAGGTCTAAAGTGTCGATAACGTGGAAGAATATCGAGATAACCCAATACGCGAGAGTTGGCGCGATGATAGATAGATAGAAGTCGGGTAGCCATGAGATCAAGTCTGGTGCTACGGTGACACTATACGCCGGGAGCGGCGGGAGGTCCGTGGTGGACGTCATATTTGTAGCCATGACGGGGTGTTTGCCAGGCGCGAGATATATTAGATTGGTTGTATTATTAGAGTAAAGTTAAAAGAGAATTAAGGTAGTAATGGGTGAGAAAATGGTGGCGGGGAGAGTGGGAGAATGAAGGATCGTCGCGATGGAAAAGAAAGGAATGTGAAGTAGTTAGATAAGCTATTGAAGGTTTAAGTTCAAGGTTTGTAGGGAGGTGAATTATGTATGTATTTGAGGGATAGGACTGTAGGATAAAGTTTTGGCGCGTTCGAGTCGCAAATGCCAATTGGGTCCTCACCTGTGCTTAGTGGCAGCTAAGTGGTCCGTCATCATCTCATTGTCAGTGGATTTTTACCTTTTAAGTGGGACCCCCTTTTTATCAATTTATCAATTTTATCAATCTCGGCTGCCCGCTATCCGTCAATGTCCGAGATCACCTGTTTCTTCGCCGAATCGTCGGACTTCCTACGTACAAATACAATCGGTAATTTCGTATTTGTCGTACGGATCACGACCGAGGCGTCCGATTCAAGTTTGAAAATTCATAAATTTGAACCAAACAAATTGAAGGAGGCCTCGAACTGTGAAAGTTGATAATTGAATTTTATTTACTGTTTATTATGTTAAGGTTAAGCTCCCGAATTCCGAATACCTTGTATTAATACATTTTTAAGGCTACTAGGTAGATTTTAACTTTAACAGATCTGCATAATATATAATTTCTTTAAGTGATATAAAGCCGCGTAAGTTTAACATCGATAAACGTGAATGTTATTTATAAGTATATACGTTTTAAATTAACAAATAATTTAAGTGCTTAATTAAGTAAATTATTATTAAAATTATGTTTTTTTAAAACTCGTAAAAAATAAAATGTTTACTTACATGTAATAATTAAAATAAATGCATTAAAATGTACTTATAATAAACGAGTTATAATAAAATAATTTTCTAAATTTAAATTATAATATAAATTAAATTACGTAAATATCGTTTTTTTTTAAAAATTATTTTTTATTAAAATATTTTAAAATTAATTAATTAAAAGTTTATATTTATTACGGGTTATTTTTTTTAATATATATTTCGTTATTTTTTTTTTTAATTTTTTTAATTTTTTATTTTTATTTAATTTAATTTATATTATTTTTTAATTAATTAAACGTTTTTATTTTTATTAAAATATTTCGTAATATTAAATATATTTAATTAACGTTTAAATTAATTATTATAATTATATAAAATAATATATTTATTTATAAAACTTTTTTTAATTAAAATATTTTAAAATTTATTTTTAAAAATTAAATTAATAACCGTTAATTTTAATAAATTATAATTATTATACGATAATATTTATTAATTTATTAAAAATTCGATTTAATTAATTAATTAAAATATTAAAATTAATTAAACTTAATTTTAATTTACGATTAAATTCGAAATTTAATTACGTATTTTTTTAAAATTAATAATAATAAAACATTTTTCGAAAAAAAATAAGTTTTTTATTTTTTAAATTAATATAATTTAATTAAAACGTTTTTTTTAATTTTAATCGATTTAATTAAAATAAAAAAAATTATATTTATAATTATTAATAATTTTTTCGATTATTTAAAATTATTAATAATTTAATTAATTAATTAATTAAATCGTTATAATTTTAATAAAATAAAAATTTTAAAAAAATATAAATTTAATAAACTCGTTATTAATTAATCGAAAAAAAAAAAACTTTACGCGAAAAAAACGAATTATATATATAAACTTTTATTTTAAAATATATTTTAATTAATAAAAAAGTAATAAATTTTTTAATTATTTTTAAAAAAAAAATATATAAATTTAATAATTCGATAATAATTTATATTTAACTTTTTTAAATAAATAAAAATTTATTATTTTTTTAAACGATTAAATTAATAATAAAATCGTTATTAATTAATTAATTAAAATTTTTATTTTTAAAATTATTTTATAAAATTTAAATAAAAAAAAATTATTAATTTTTAACGATTATAAAAATTATTAATTAAAAAAGTTTATATTTAAAACTTTTAAAATTAAAATTTAATTTTTTTTTTCTCGTTTTATATTATTTATATTTTTTAATTTTTTAACGTAAATATTTTTAATTTATTAAAACGTAAATATTAAAAATTATTATAAATAAAAAACATTTATTTTTATTATATTAATTAAAATAAAAAATAAAAATTTTTATATTTATATTAAAAAATAAAAACGATAATTTTTACTTTTATTAATATTATTAAAATATAATTTAACGTTAAAATTTAATTATTAAATTAAAAAAAAAATTTTTAATTTTATTTTATATTATAAAAGTAATTTTTCGTTTAACCGTTTCCCGCGTTTTTTTTTAATTTGTTATTAACTTTTAAAACGTTATATTACGTAATTAAAATTATAAAAATAAATTATTTTAATATAATAAAAAGTTTAATAAAATAACGTTTTATTAAAAAAATAAAAAAACGTATTAATTTATAAATATTAAAATTAATTAAAAAATAAATTAAAATTAATTATTTAAAAAATTTAATAAAAAATTTAAAACCGGTTAAACGAATAAAAATAAACTTTAATTTAAATAATATTTTTATTTAAATTAAAAACGTTACACGTATTAAAAAAAACTTAAATTTATTTAAAATTAACGCGCGAATTTTATTAATTAATATAAATAATTTAATCGTAAAATAATAATTAAACTTAAATATAATATAATATTTTATTTATTTCTTTTAATATACCGCATTATACTTAAAATAAACTAATATATATCCACTTTTTATAAAAGGCAATTCTTAAAGGGGGGCAACACTCACGCGGTTTGACTTATGCAAATAAAATGGATACTGTCTTACATAATGTCGAGGTACCGTAGCGTGACACTGCGAACGGACCACCTTTGACCTATCGATTTTCCTAATGGAAAAAATACGGAGCAAAAAATTCTAGATCTGATCGAGGCACCAAACTAGGTTTAGCTCGGTCGCCCCTCCATCTGAAGTCTCCCACTTTCCTGCCCAAAAAATTGAGGGTCTCTCGTCCAGTGGAAAATCTGCCCCTCATTATCCGTCGCAAAAGCCGTCTTTCTTTTTTCCCACTACTCGATAATTTTCTATCAACAATCTTCGATAGTCGTCTCACCTTCTTCTTGTCTATCGTTCATCAGAAATCTCTACATCCACCGCCAACATGATTATTTTCAGAGTATGTTTATCAACACAATCATGCGTTATCACGAACCTCGTGAATATTATACTAAGAACCCCTCTTCTATAGGATGCCCTTACCGAGTCGAAGGACGAGCTCCTGTCCGACTCCTTTAAGCTGAAGGACATCGATGGAATCGCCTACGAAGCTGACTGTGCCATGATCGAGATCGACGCCGTCAACGTCGGTATGTTTATAATCTTTGGACTCCCAGGGCCATGTTTCCATTTAAGAAGAGTTTCAATGCTGACAGATTTGCGAAGACACTGGTGCCAACGCCTCTGCTGAGGAAGCCGACGATGGTCTCGAGGATTCCGCCCAGAAGGTCAACAACATCATCCACTCTTTCCGTCTCCAGCCCACAAGCTTCGACAAGTCCTCCTACTTGTCTTATCTCAAGGGTAAGATATACTTTCTCTTACTAAGCGAACATGAATAATAAAGGCTAAACACCGCGCGTTCAGGATACATGAAGAGACTCGCGAAGCACTTGAAGGACACCGGAAAATCCGATGAGGAGATCAAGGAGTTCCAGACCAAGGCTCAGGGATTCGCGAAGAAGATCGTTAGCAACTTCAAGGACTACGAATTCTACACCGGCGAGAGCATGGATGTTGACGGAATGTGAGTATCTCCTTTTCCACGTGCAATCAGGAATAAAGTGCATACTAACATATAAACCATAGGGTTGTCCTCCTCAACTACCGCGAGGATGGTGTCACTCCTTTCGTCACCATCTGGAAGCACGGTCTGGATGAGATGAAGGTTTAAAGGCCTAATTGCTAGGACGGAAAAACTTTTCATGAATGCTATACACGACTTGCACCACACCGACGACTTGATGCCCTCTTTTTTCTCTCTACGCCACGGAATGCGGAACTTAGGCTTATTCATGTAGATTCGTTCTCATACGAAATCTACCTGGCGCATTGTGCAGCCCATGCCTGAGTCCAGGAAAAAATACCAATTTATTGCCAGTACCTGGAAAGCTTTCAAAGCAGGTTCATTAAGTGACTTTAATGCGTGATTCTATCTTATGTTCTCGTACTCCGAGCGCCAGTAAACAATACACCCGCTCCTTCGATAATGTCTTTTATTTCACTGAAATCTCGGTCTCGTACCTATCGGGATAGGGGGTGGAGCCGGGGCACTCGTCTCATTGCCCATCATGGGCAACTGGGGCTTCTTCTTCGTTGGTGGAGGAGGGGGTGGCTTCTTTCCAGCAATGATTGAAATTTGACCAATTGGTGATGTCGATGCTTGGCCATTATGTCCATTATTTTCAAACATCCCGAATCGTTGTCCTAAACTATTTGCCGTCTTCATCCCGGATGCCACTTGTTCACCATGCCTCTGTTGAAAGTTGTGTGCTGTGCTAGCAGCCGCCTTTGCATCTGCAAACGACACAGACTTAGGGTCTTTCTTAAAATTTGCTGCCGTCTTCAACGCTGCCTGCTTCTCTGCCCAGCTCGTGCCCTTTGTTGGGACTGCCGGGGACGGGGCCGGTCCCGTTTCCTCGGCCGCAGCGGCAGGTTCTGGCTTGGGAGAACTACTGCCAAAACGAGAGAGGCGGTTCTGTAGGTTACTGAATCGTCCGCCGGATGTTTTCGTCGGCGATGAACCTCCGGATGGAGAATTGCTAGGCGAGCGGTTGGGAGGCGGTGGGGGCGCTTTTCCGATTCCTAGTCCCGGCACCGAAATCCCTGCGGCGCTGAGTCGGCTGATGGCTCCCTGGTTCAAGAAGCCGGGGGATTGGCGGCCGGCGGAAACAGGGCTTTGACTCTGGACGGGAGACGTGTTTCCACTTCGAGGCGGAAGTCGAGGGGGTAGCGAGGGTGGAACGCTCAGTCTTGTCAAAGACGGAGGAGGCGCTAGGGGGCTGCCTTTTCGTCCGGGAGGCGGTGGGAGATGTGATGTTGATAATCCGGTGGTATTCATTTGGTATGGCTTAGCTTCTACGGGAGATTCATCGTGTTGTTGGACACCGTGAGTTTGTTCGGCGTGTGGTTGATGTTGATGTTGCGGTGTAGCCCCAGATCCAACATGCTTCGGGGGAGGACCGAAAGACGATGGATCACGTAATGAGGTTATCGGCATGGCCGAGTGGTTACTAGAAGTAGGAGACGATGAATTGTCTCCTCGTCCGATAAGGCCTTTCTGTTGATTTTTTAGCATACGGGAAGCGGTAAATTAGAACACGCCTAGATAGACGAGATGCCTTTACCATTTGGTCCTTGAGCGAGGTCCCTTCCTTCTCAGGGTGCCAGCCATTCTTGACGATACCTTTCCAGTCCGACATCCTCGCGTTTCTCGATTGCCTATGAAAATAGACGGTGAACAAATGTGTACATGGTCACGATAGCTTGACATTTTGCTAACTGATTCGTAAGTGTTTCGTATACGAGGATACATAATAGTATGGGTCTGGCTTGTCTTGGTCAATTCGTATGACGTATGACGACGCCACAAATATAAAAAGGAGGTGACTGCCGTCCGGGCAGCTGCCGGGTAACTCGGACAGGGAGTCAGCCACAATGCCACAGCTGAGCGCCTCATTTAATTTCAGCGCGGGACCTTCCGTCTCTGCATAGATAGTGGGTCCGAGACTGTACAGAGTATGTACTTCGTACAGTCTACATTTTTCACCCCACCACCAAAACCAAATATTGACTTATCGATATTCAAATCGCGTCGCGTCACCGTTGTCGCCATTACATTAATTACCAATTACCACCAATTACCGAACTAAGTCCTTAGCATTTTGCGAACGACGGCGGTGGATGGGACAGCGAGATTAATGATGCGCCCATCATGACGTCCGCCAATTCAGATACCGAGCTTTTGACTGAGCATTTCGGATATCCACCTGTCGTCAGTATTCCATCTCCCGTCTCCCATCTTCTAGCGCAGAATATCAATCCGAAGCCGACCCATACTAACTCTCGCCTGGGATATCATAGAGTCTGATCGACGACATAATTAACAGCATAAACATCCTCGCCGAGCGCGCCCTAAACAGCGTCGAGCAGGGCCTCCTTAATGCACCCCCAGCAACCCTCGGCTTCAAGCCCCCCAAAGCAACCCGGGGCAACGGAGGCGATGCGCAGAAACAGGCAATCGACCCGGCCGAGGCGGCCAAGAACGAGGTAGAGTCAGGCACACACCAGCTCGAGACGCTTCTGTGCGCCAGCATCGACCGCAACTTCGACAAGTTCGAGATCTACGTGCTGCGCAACATCCTATGCGTGCGTCCCTTCGACGTGATGCACTGGATGCGACTATCCCACTACGACGGCCTAGACTTATCATCCATCACATCCACAAACTCCCAATCAAGTACGCCCATGTCCACAACCTCGATAGAGACATAGCTATGTCCCAATGAAAGGAGAACAAACCCGCTAACCAAACCCAGACACCCCAACCCTCGACACAATAAACCACCTCCGGCGCAAGCTCCGCGAAAGCATGCGTCTGAACGCCCTCCTAACCGCCGAGCGCGCCCGCAACGAGTCCCTTCTCAACGAGCTGCAATCCCTAATCGGGCTCTCGCCCCCCGTCAAAACCGAGAAGCCATCTCCGACACACCCCCAACCCCCACCCCCGACCAAAAGCCCCTTCGCCTTCCTCCACGACCGCGGGTCCCTCACAGACGGGGGCTCCGAAGCCCCGCTCAGCACCACCACCGCATTCACACTATCCCAAATGCAAGCCCTCCGCGCGCTCTCCGCTTCCCTGCGGAACCTGGCGCCGGATCTAGCACCACCACCACCTGATTCTACCAGCGACCCCGAAGCCATGGACGTCGACGACAACGGCGCTGCTAAGAGCAGCGAGCGGAAGACGTGGCGGCGCGAACGCTTGGAGTACGTCGAGGGCGCGACGAGGCGGTACCTGGAGAATGTAGAGGGACTGGAGCTGGGGAAGCATGGGGAGGTGCGGGATGGGGAGTGGCAGGGCGAAGGGCGCGGGCTTGCTAGAGACGAGGTCGGTGGTTTGGAGTCTGTTATTACACTGCTTGGTGGTGAGGCTGGGGGGAGTGGACCTGCGGGACCGTCGACGACGATGACAGGGGATCGGATGGATGAGTCGTGATGGAGACGCAGGCGTCCGTACATATGTATGGTTGTCTTGTGTGTCGTTTAGTTGCTTCTGCTGCTTGTTCCAATACCTAGGGGGGAAGGGAGAAGAGGGATGGAGTTTGGAGTTTCGTCTTGGAGTTGTGAGGGTTTTATATTTACACACATCTACCGTACCTCGTACAAATCGTGCAATGGGGAGTGATTGGATTCGTTCGTGGTTCATATTCTACATGGTATATACAGCCAGAATCTATATGCCGCTTCTTATGTTTGGATGTACATGTATCTATGCTCTACGGCCTGGAAGTTGATCCAGCTCTAAGAGTCCATGTGTCGCAGCCAGGCGCCAGAATATATGGTCCCATAATTCGACCTTTACCTCGCCGTTTTTATGTTTCTCTTCGTATATGCTTCTCGAGCTCTCGACAAAGTCTCTCGCTTCTTCTTCGAGGTTCTTTTGGATAAGAGCCAGCAGTATCTTCGATTGCGTGTTCAGCGGGGTGATGACGCCGGACCTCGCGAGCTTATAATAGTAATGGAGCGCCCTCTCGGGCAGGCCCGCCAAAGAGTATCCAAGAATGATGCGATCGTAGAAGACGACGTCGGCGTCATCGTAGTCGATAATACGACGACGCTGAAGTAAAGAATCGATGGCATTGATGTCTGCCGGGTCTTGTGAGAAGTAGTAATCGACAAGCATGGTGTAGATATGTTGTGTTAGTTCATAACCTCGGTTCCATAGATGTAAGAGGACATGTTGTACAGCACTCTTGGTCGTTGCGTCCCCCTGGAGCAGTTTATATATTATCTTGGCGTAGTTCTGTAGATTGACCTCCAGCCCAACCTTCTCCATACTTTCCAGAATGTTCGTCACCGCTCTGGCTTCGCCCTCCTGATCGTCCGGGTCGATTTGGGAGAAGGCCACGTCGATGAGGGTCGTGAATGTCGCCGCATCGGCGTTTATGCCACGCTCTTTCATCGTTTCAAAGAGTTTCCGTACGGCTGAGGTGCGCCCCTCCTGAATATAACGACGGAGTAAGGGGTTATATGTATAGATGTCGGGTTCAATACCTTGGTCGATGGCCCAATCTAACAAGTTTTCGGCTTCCGTGACTTGATTTTGAAGCAGGAGCCCTGAAAAAACAGCATTGACAGGCTCAATGGTTGGCTTGATAGCCTTAGAACTCTCGTCTTTTGAGCTCTCTTCCCATAGTTTTACCATCTCCCCTAAAGCCTCGATGGCGCCGAAAGTATCACCACACTCCACCAACCCAGAGATGCGAGTGGTCCATAACATCATATCCAGCTTCATTTCGGAAGCGATAAGTTTCGCCCATACATTCCTGATACCGTTAATATTGTGAGCCTTCTTACAACCATCGAGCATGACGTTCCAGGTCTTCAGAGTCGGCTTGATTCCGACAGAGCGTAGAGTTCTTAAAGCCTGTAATGCTTTTTCAGGTTGATTTAATGCCATCCGAGTGTAAATAAAAAGATCAAAGATATCGGGGTAATTTTTAAGGATCTTAGCTCTCGCCGGCGGGACGTTTGGGTCCGATGTCCCCGGCGGCGCCATAAGAAAGGTCGTCCACCTCCAGTCTACTTCCCTCGTATTCCGAGCTGGAATGGCGAGATGAAGGTGGTACGTAAGCGAACGTTCGTTGATATCTTCTCTATTATCTGGAGGCAATGCATCTCTGGATTCAGCTCCCACAGCAGAAGGGTCTATTACCCCAATTCTTTCTTTCAGATCTTGTTTAATCTTGGTCCATTGGGTCATAACATAATTCTCGAGAGCTGGAAAGCTCTGCGCGACATGGCTTCGTAGAGCAGTCTGACGGTAGTTTACATAGGTAATGAGGTAGCCAACCCTGGAGATAAGACGTGTGGCACGCCTCCTTAAAACTTGATTGGATCGTTGAGGATCGATTAGCAAGGCATGTGTAGCGATGGCGAGGATGGCTGTAGGTGGACCGATTTGATCCATGCGAAAATGCGGAAAAGCTTTGCTAAAAGCTTCAGGGAAATTTCCCTTTTCGGAAAACCTTTTTAAAGAATATTTGTCGAGTCTCGGAAACCAAAACCCTTCCAGGACCTCGTCCTCGGCATTCGCATGCGCGGCGCTTGGTAAGGATAAGACCTTCCAGCATTGAATTAGATCGTTGAGCATATCTTCTTGTGTGATAAGTCCATCCTCGTTAGCCGTCGAAGGATCCATTTCAACGAGTTCCTTCACCAGTGCCCCCACTATCCTATTCCATTTTCGAGGTTGAACTCCCGCAAACTTCGCGTTGTCTAGGAGTATCTCAGAAACTGCAGGTAGTTCGGGGGAACGCATTGCCTCTATTTTAGCATCGTACACATATTTCAACGTCCGTTCTAGTGTGGTGCGACAGGCTGTAGGTATCCTCATATTCAACTCCGAAAGTGTAGGGAGAATGACGGTTTTGAAATGATTCCACACCTTCACTGCCGATTCGCCTTTTATCACCATATGTTCCGATTCTCCCAAATCTTTAGCAATCTTGAAGAGAGCTACCTTCACCTCACTGTTCTTCGATGTGCCAGGTTTTAGTTCTTGGCCGAGGGCTTGCTGTTCGACGATCTGTTTGAATAATGCATCTACCTGTTGGTTCGGATTCCTCGTGGCCATCCTTTTCTTGGGGTGTTGGAATCTCTGGGCTGTGCGAGCCCATTTTATCTTCGCATCGTTAGCCTGATCAGTCATCGTGATCTTCCTGAACCCATATTCTTGTGACTGACGGGGAGGTGGCTTTCTAGAATTAATCCCCATTGCTATATTGATAAAATCTTCGGATGTCGAAGTAGGTTTTGTCGAATATTGCGATATTTGAAGTTGCCATGGGGAAGGATGCGCGCCGCCTTTAGCCGCTACTATGTGGCGACATAGTAGGCAGGCTGGCCTGGGGTCCTTCATAAATCTAGAGGACCGAACCAGTGTTGTGAGGCCGTAGAAATTGTGGAAGCAGTTCGGGATCAAGGTCGAGGTCACAAAGGATATAAGGTTGTCGGCAGTGGTTTATTAAAAAAATTACTATGGATACCGGGGTAGTTGACGTTGTCTTATCGATTACCTATGTGGGCGAAAGCGGTCCGGATCTTAACGCCGATACGCCGATTTAGGGAGCTTCAATCGTCACGGCTGTAACCCCACTATGCAAGTCAACCTCAATGTTAGAAGCGACATCTGAGAGCTTCAATGTTCAAACCTAGTACCTAAATGGTGTACATATGTGTAGGAAGGAACAGTTAACATAGACATAAACATAATTAAATACTCTAGGGTTTTCTCCAAACCTAATTGATCAGCATTTTTCTCTCTCTTATAATTGCAATCATACTCTGGCGCAGTCCGTAGCCCAGCTCCCGAAACAAAGCCTCCACGATTCTACCCAACCCACCTCAAAGCCCTCGCGAAATCCCGACCTTCACGATGACCTCCCTCGTCCCGCGCTCTCCCTACACCGACGATGAACTCAAAACCCTGTACCCACCGACCCTCGAGCTCCAACTCGTCCAAGTCCTCCTCCGACACGGCGAGCGATCCCCCGTATCCGCACGGTTCCAGAACGCCGGCCTACCAGCCTTCTGGCCATACTGCAGCGCAGTGCGACAAATGAAATCCGCCGTTCTCGACCGGCACCACAACCAATTCACAACGATGGAATGGAAGCGGCGTCTCGAAACCTTCGGATCGTCCGACGAGCCGGTACTAGCAGCCGGTCCTGCGGGCGAGCTCGACGGCGTTTGCGAGATGGGCATGCTGACGGACAAAGGGCGCGAGACGACCTTCGACCTCGGCACACGTCTGCGCGAGCTATACGTCGAGCGTCTCCGCTTCCTACCGCCCGTGCTGCTAGACGCCGAGGCCATGTACCTGCGCGCAACCCCGATCCCGCGCGCCCTCGACTCCGTGCAAGAGACCTTCACGGGGCTATACCCGGCACACACACGCGCCCCGGCCTTCCCCGCCCCCGCGATCCTGACCCGCGCGCCCGGCGATGAGACCCTCTTCCCCAATGACAGCAATTGTCGGAGGTTCGCGGCGCTGTCGCGGGCGTTTGCGCAGCGCGCGGCGGACCGCTGGAACGACACGGAGGAGATGGCGTATCTGACGCGGCTGTGGGGGAAGTGGATGCCCGAGGACGCCCCGCGTGTCGCTGTGGATTCCCGGCCGCGGCTTAGTGGTATTATGGATACCATTAACTCGACGCTGGCACACGGGCCTTCGACGCGACTGCCTAAGGAGTTCTACGATCCTAAGGGCCGTGAGATCATCGAGAAGATCGGCGTTGAGGAGTGGTTCGCTGGTTACAAGGAGAGCCGCGAGTACCGGGCGCTCGGCATCGGTGGGCTGTTGGGCGATGTTGTGGGTAGGATGGTCGGAAGTGCCGAGCGTTCAACCGCGGACGGCGGGTATGAGGTTGCGAAGAAGCTCGAGAGTAGTACCTTGAAGGAGGGTAAGGGTGCTACACCCGTCCGGTTCGGGCTGAGCGGATGCCACGATACAACGTTAGCCGCGGTTCTCGCCAGCCTAGGCGCATACGAAGGCAACAAGTGGCCGCCGTACACAAGCCACATCGCCATCGAGATGTTCCGAAAAGCAGGCGACCCCTCTCAACAAGGCAATCCAGCAGGAACCAAGTCCAGTTGGTTCGGGTCCTGGGGCTCCTCCACGAAGCCGGGAAACCCTCCCTCAGGCACCATTGGCCGTAAGCGGAGCGAGGAGCTGTCACCTGCGGAAAGAGCGAAATTGCAGGACTATTATGTGCGGCTACGGTTTAACGACGAGGTTGTTACGGTGCCAGGATGCCGGGCCCCGGGTAAGCATCTGGAAGGAGATGAGAGTTTCTGCACGCTGGTGAGTTTGGCTTCCCAGCCTATTTTCTTGAGTACAAATTCAATGGTAGGGGTTCGTTAGTATGTAAGAGGCAGCCCCGTTTCCATCGGGGTTAGACGACAGATATTCGTAAGCTGACAGCCATGACTATCTAACCTCGTAGGACGCATTCAAGGCTATCGTCGACAAGTTCGTCCCGAACAACTGGAGACAGGAGTGCAGAGCCAACATCAAGGGCCCTGTGTTCCCCTCTAAGCCCGAGCCGGCTGGCTATTAACGATATATGCTAAGTATAGGCGAAATAGTTGGGTGAGAACAAGCCATCCATAAATTTGGTGGGAGACCGGTGAGAAGAGATGGAGTACATATGCATGTTTTGTGGCTGCTCGTTGCTTTTTCATAGCGCCTGTGAGGAATAAGACCTGCATAGGTACCTGTACATTCACGATCGGGTGGCTGCTTATATGAGGTGAGGTTAAGTATTAGACAGGCCAGCATTAGTTCTCTAGCATTTACATCAATACAACATTAGATAACTCATGGAAATTTGGGTGTTTAATACAATGCCATTGTTCGCAAAGCCATTGTTCACATATGTAAGTGACAGTAAGAAAAGGGGCATGTGAATTTCCGTACCTACGTAGATATCCCAAAGCCACATTTAGTCCTCCAAGCGTCAAAGATCATGCATATACAAGACATGCACATTTCGGAACAGTTTAGGGCAGTTGTTATATTGCTTGTTATTACCCTCCCAACCCCGTCTAAGACTTCATATTCTATGTGATGACAGCAGAGAGCTGAGGACGCTAAGGATACCACTATGCCATTAACACCCTCAGGATTAAAATCGCCGTCAGCCACATCTCTTTCCATATCCATCTCTTCATGCCTCAACTATGACGGAACTGCGACCCACCCATCAAATCTGCTCTAGATCTCGTTTTCAGAGACAAAGCTCTTTCTTCCTAGCGCGTGTCCAACTTCTCAAAATTAGGTCTTGCGATTGATGTGGTCAACTGTTGACCAACATCCAGCCGGTGTTTTCTCTTGGTAGGTTCGTGACCGGGGAAATTGTTCAAGAGAGTTTATAAAGATCATACAGCAAGACACAACCATAGCCGTGGAAATCTGAATGAATAACGCCGAAGAAAATCAACGCAACGATTACAACATATTATTTTTCCCTAGTACTCGTCCCTAGAGTAGCTGTGCCACATCAATTGGCAACCTCCTCCTCAACCCAGCCGTTCAAGCCGCCTTGGATTGCAAGACCAAGTCCTGAACCCATGCCGCCGTAGCTGGCCTGGTACTGGTGACCTCGTCGTTCTCCCTCGGTAAGACCTCCAACGGCACTGACGGGGCTGTTGCCACCGTTCTCATAACCGGGTGCGAAAACTGGCAAGCTTACGGCACGGTTGTGCTGTCCTCGGGGGTTTCCAGGGGCGAGAAGGCCACCAATGGTTGGTGCGCCAGAGGCAGAACCATTCGCGTATCCGTTCGAGATACTTGCTGACTGTCCATGAGAAGAACCAGATCCTAGCTGAGGAACATCAACTGAAAGCTCATTCGGAGAGGATGCTGCGGTACCGAACAAGGCCGCCTGTTGAGAAGCTAGAATTTGCTGTTGCTGATGCTGGTGATGTTGTGCTTGCTGGGATACTTGGTTCAAGTACATGGTCAGGGGGTTGTTGCCATTAGCAAACATGCTTACGCTGTTAGCAGATTGAGGCGAGGTAGGGTTGGTCGGCGAACTACCACTTCCACTACCAACGGGAGGAGGTGAAGCTACACCCTCACCACGGGGAGACTGGGCTTGCTGCTGAAGCTGGCGAGGTTGATTTCCACATCGGTCCTTGCCAAAGTTGACCTTGAACTTCTTGTATTCATCCTTGCTCCTGACAGCCTCGATAGCCTTGATGGCGTTGGCAATGTTGGTAAAGTTGACGAATGCACAGCTCTTTTCACGTAGCGTGTTCACCAACTCAATTTCACCATACTCAGAAAAGTCTTGTCTCAACCTCTCTTCGGTCCAAGTCTCATCCAAGTTACCAATGTAGACGTTACGGGATGCGCCACCGCTAACGGCCAACGCAATGGCCGGCGGAAGAGCACCAGAGTGCTTTCCCCAACCAATCTTCAGACGGCGGTTGTGAATCATCAAGCCTTGTAAGTTACTCAAAGCATAAAAGGAAGCCGCTGCTGTAGGGTCGATGAACGTAACGAAACAAATATGCTTGTCGGGAATGTACCTAATATGGTGAAGCAAACCGCCACGTACAACATTACAAATTTCTTCAATTGTTGTCTCTGGGTGAATGTTACCAAGGTAAATGGTTCGGTTACCCAAGTTGTTGATGCCACCGGCGGTAGTTGCAACCGCAGCGGCCGCAACCGATTGCTGAGCGAGAGCACTGGAAATCACCTCGCGATCCTGGCCTGTTAACATGTGAGCATAACCGGGAGCAATACCAAGGTACTGGGCCGCGTTCTGCTGCTGCGTCTTTGAAACATACGCGCAACGGTCTTTACCGTAGTACACGCGACGAGGTGATTGCCACTTAGGCTCCTGTGGCAATTGCTGAACAGCCTTCATAGCATTGGCGATTGACAAGAAATGAACAAAGGCGATGTTCTTCTCTCGGACGATCTTGATTGTATCGATAGCACCGAACTTTCCTAGATCCTCACGTAGCTCGTCTTCAGGGAGATCTTCTGGCAAGTTTCCAAGGTAAACATTTCGAGATGCTCCAGATTGCTGAACAGCCAAGGCGACTGACGTAGGGACCTGGGAAGGTTTACCCCAACCGATCTTGATGTCTTGTCCCTTAATGCAGAGCTTCTTCAAGATAGCATCCGAGTGGAAGTGGGTGGCGGCATTTGCGTCAAGGAAAGAGATGAAGGCGCAGTTCTTATCGGGAAGTAACCGAACCGACTCGATCTGACCGCTCCTAACGTGACCAAGAATCTCTTCAGCGGAAGTGTCAGGGGGGATGTTGCCAAGGTAGACAGTCCTGCTAGTTCCAGTAACCATGCCAGGACTCATTGTTGGTGATTGAGGCTGCATCTGCATACCGTTCATGTTGTTGAACGAACCGTTAGGAGACTGCGGTTGGAAAAATTGCGGGGCACCGTAAGTAGAGGGAGACACGATCGATTGGTAAGTCTGAGGGGACATGTTCTGCTGAACAGGGCTCGTCATACCATTCTGCTGTTGCTGATTATGCTGCTGGCTGTGTTGGAAGGCGGACAAGTTCTGGAACTGAGGACTGTTGAAAGCAGCAGGGGTACCAGGTTGGAAGGGGCTACCGAGAAGCAACTGGGACGGAAGCAAAGGAGTGAACTGCATGTCGAAGCCAGTACCAGGGGTGGTCATGTCTTGTATGTTGTTCTGAACAGGGGGATTCAGCTGCTGTTGAGTGTTGATCGAAGGAATGTTGCCACGGCGCGGATGTCTGTCAGCAAAGCCAGAGATGTTGGAAGTGAAAGCACCGTGAGAGAAACCAGTATCGCTATTGGAAGGCTTGGACGTGTGACCATATCTTCCCCCTGAGTTGGCGGCAGGGCCAGTGGGGATGCCACCAGGTGCCGAAAGGTCCTGCATCCCGAGAAGATGAGGAGGGACAAGGCTGTCCCGCGAGACGTGTGATAGAACCGCCGTTTTGAAAGATTAGACGTGCCCCGAAATAGGCACGAGGGCAGAAGGCAGAAATAGGATCCGATAAAAGCACGGGATCCTAACGAAGCAAGTAACGTTGGCTATTATAAGAGCTGTTGACCGAGCAAAGTGGAAACGGAACAACTTGTGTATTTGTCCAAACAATAGTTTAGTTGAATGATAATGGGTATCTCTAGTTGAAGAAAGAGGTACCACCGAGTAAGATGGATATCAGTATATGCAGCAATAAGTCGGTGGTATCTCGTCAAGATTACGCGCAATAATCGAATCGGCCGTGGGGTTTGAAGAATATCGAATAGTACAACAGTCCGACTGTTATTTTACCTAGAGCTGGCCAGGATAAAAAAGCAAGGCGAGTGATGAGCTACTTCGACGAGCAAGTCTCCGTCCGGTATAATTGTACTTGTCCTTTGATCTGGGGTTGATGATCCGGCTACGTCGAACAAAGACGAGACGAATATTTATTCCTCCAAAGCGAGCGAACGGGTGATCTGCAAGAAACGAGTGTCGAGGAGTTATGGGTGGCTATGAAGCTAACAACAAAGCTTTTGTCGTCGATTTCTTATAAGGCTTGGACCTTGAAGATTCGCTACGGTTTAAGCTGGCGCAGACAGGATCGAATTGATGGATATACTAGCTGTCCCTGGGCGGAAAAAGGGAGGGAATCTTGGCGGTGAAAGTTTATAAAGAATATTAAGAAAGTATAGCGAATGAGCGTAGGTAATAAAATGCTAGAAAAGATCCCGGAGATTATGAAATCTTAGGGAGCTCTAGGAATGAGAGGGTAAAGAAGGATTGGATAGGTAAGATACAAGAGGTAGAATAAGGATGAAGAGGATAAGGAGTAGAGGTGAGGTAGGGGAAGAGAAAGAGAGAGACTAGACTACTCCGTTGAGAAGATGACTGGAAGAAAGGTACTGGAGGGAGGAAGTGAGAGAAGGAGAACGGAGCAAGGAAAAATGGAGGAAAATCATTGGACGAACTGGGTTGGTGCAGATTGCCAGAATGGCCAAAGCCAAAATGGGGGGCGCTAGTTTTAATGAACAGCCTGCAGCTGCTAAACCCATTTTGAACCGCTTCCAATCTTCCTACCAATGTTCCTGCCGTACCTACACCTACCATCCAGCAGTTGCATCCACTCTTTTTTTTTTTTTTGTTCTTTGTACATACAGTACATAGTACCATTTAGGTAACGCTCTTAAGGACAGGGGAAGGGATGGTCCCTAGACGGGAATACGTATAAAGTTAAGATGAGAGGTAACTGTGTCATACTAGCAGATATGTAAAGATACTCCTGTCATTAATGTTAATATTTCCTTTAAATTCAATCCCTCACGCGACTTATGCCCATTAGTTTCAGGACAGGGAGGTGCTAGGGGCAGGTTAGGGGCTGCTATTTTCATACGCGTGTGCACCATCTTATTAGTCTAACAGCTAACAATTAGAAAACGTGTGAATTTACATACGAAGCCAAGTCAATCCGATGTTAGTTTGACACAATTAACTATCATAGTTCGACCTTTCTAACAATCGCCTCACCGAATGTCAAGATTCAGCCTCATCTCAACGTTTCGTTTCTCATTAGGCTAGCTAATTGAGAGCATTCAGGTTGGAAGATTTAATGGGATAATGAGATATTGGGATATTGGATATTATTCGGTCCGCCCAGCATTGAAGCCCCATCCAATCCCCATGCTACGATATTTCCAATAACTTAACAACCACGGGAACCAATTTCAACCAATTGACAGCATTTCAAGATTTCAATTCTGAAAAATTGAATCCATTTCAGGGTCACCCAAATATCAAAGAGTTTCTAGAAGAATTGTTCCATCGTCGACGTGCGAAGCCGAACCCAAAGACTAGGGTTAGACAGGGTCTAGACACGAGTCTCAGATCATCGTCAAAAACGCTATGCATGTTGAGATCAGGGGAAGATGACAGCAGCAAATGCATGCAAACTCGGTCACCATATTATTATCTTTTCTGCCCGCATTCACCCCTTATTCAAAACGGATCATTCGTCATTCGCTCATATATAGAAAAAACGAGAATTACCAGATTTCAATATTCATTTTCTTCGTACGTATTCAAGTCAGCAACTCATTTTCCCAATTGGACAAGAACGACCTTGTACTGTAGCTGTTTAAAGATTGATGTTATTCTTGGCTCGCTAGGTCTCGTGGGGTCGGACCATAGGCGACCATCTCGATTTCGAATTCCTTCCTCCTGGGACGGGACCCGGGTCTAACCTTATCAATTCTCTTTTTGGACTTCTTCAACATTCATATCACACGTTGTCGTTCGTCGAAGGTACTAGGCTAACGTGACCTCGAGACGATTATTCTCCGCGTTCAGGGTCTCGTTAGGGTCTTGTAGCTCTGTACATAGCTCTGTAGCTTACCTGTGCGCCCATACGACATGAAACTCTGAAATGTCGTCGTATCATCGTCTAACCTCCCCGCATAGCCTCCTGCAATATTAGGCTTTTAACGGCCGGAGAAGAGACGTTGTGCCTTGCATTGCCATGCCTCATGTCTCATTAAGATAAGTACGGAAAGTGTACATAATAAATACAAGAAATAGGGATCGTAATTGTGCCAATTGCGATGCAAACAAATACCGCGCAATAAGAGTGAGGACGAATAATTGATATTGAACAGCATGGACATAATTCTTTCAATATGGCATCATCCGTTCTCATTTCCAATTTCGACAATTGCAATTGCTTGATTGCGCTCGAAATGCAAGCCAAGACAAAAGCCCCTATTTCCCAGCTAAAAATTCCCGATTGAAAAAAATAATGAGACCAAACTCTCACCTTCCCCACTCCGACCAAGGCGGTCCCTGCGGCGCGCTACGGCAAGGTACCCGAGGTGCGCAATATTAGCGCGAATCAAATGCAGTACGACCATGAAGATACGCCTCCTTTACTTGTACCTTTTGTACTTAAATGTGTACGAAGCGCATGGATATACATGAAATTAGTACATACAGGTACGAAATATCATTGATTGGGGGGATATTGAACATTAAGCACTGTTTAGTTTGATCCTTTACCGTGGTATGGATCTGGAATTGATCTTTGAACTTTCCATTTTTATCCCAAGCTCCTAAAAACTGACATCAGAAGATCGAACATCGTGTTGCTAATACCTCAATAATACGGAGAGGCTTCAGTCGTAATACCGTACTAATGGATACGTAGCAATTGGCTACATCACAGAGCTTTGATTGGTGGCGGCGGATTCGATTGACCTATGATCTGCAAGGATATGTCGAAATTTATTAGACAAAAAAAAGCCTTCTGTTCTACACGGCTGCACGGCCTACACTCTCTACATACCGCCAGTCGTATCCAATAATGTGATATGTGTAACTCCCAAATTTCGAGCAACTTCCTGTGCATATGCGGTGGGCATCTTCTTAAGACGCCGCCTCTATCCGGCAGACTTTATTTTTATCCTTTTCCACCTTACCCCAGCGGTTTGGGAGGTTACCAACGTCACCCGGAGGCTTACCCGGGCCAATCTTGCTGTGTACCAAAATAGGGTGAAATATACGTAATCCGATCTGAGATGAGAATTAAAGGAGCCTATTCGACTTCCCCCTCTGATGTCAGAGAGTAGGCAATTATGGTATATCTGATCGGATAGGTCCTAACATAATACTGTAAGTACCAAAAACAGATAACTTACGAGCGAGATCGTCTACTCCGGAGGCAAACCCAACATCGAACCCCTACATGACCAGCCACTCACAGGGTCATATACGATAACCTATGGTTTGCCTAGAAGAGTCGGTCACAAGGAAACCCTTTCAATCGGATGCCTTTCATATTGACGTGTCCTATGATGGACAGTCTATCCTGCAATACCTAGTCTCAGAAAGCAACGGCTCGATTTCCATAAGCTTGACCGCTTTCCCCAACGCCAATCACGTCCTGCTCCGGATCCACCTTATGCATCTTCCTTAGTTATTCCGACCTCAACGCCGGTAACCTCGGCCCTAACCCTAAAGAGCCAAGAGAAGATGCGAATTGATACCGCTCAGGGCTTGCATCGTCCCATGAAGCGGGGATACAAGCAAGTCGTGCGAACGGTGTGCTGGTTGGCAATCCAAGCAAGGAATCGTTCAAGTCCGAGACCGTATCCACCGTGAGGCGAGGTACCGTACCTACATATACAGTTAGTTTCTAACTGAAGTCATGCGTTTTTGAAGAATCAAACTCACTTTCGCTGGTCAGTGTACCAGTAGTAGTCCTTGGAATCGATGCCCTGCTTTTTATACGCTTCAAGCAATTCATCGTATCCTTCCATTCTCATACTGCCACCAACAATCTCGCCGACACCAGGCATCAAACAGTCCACACTCTCGGTCACACGTAAATCTGAAGGGTCCTTCTTCATGTAGAACGCCTTGATCTCTACCGGGAAATGCGTTAAAAAGATGGGTCGGTTGATGATGTCCGTCATCCGACGCTCAGCGGCCTCGGCGATATCGTCTCCGAATACGTGGGGGTTTCCCTCCTCGTTGGGTATAGGAGGATCTTGGGCGTTGAGCCAATCGATAGCATCGCTGTACTTCATGCGCAAAAATGGGCGAGAAGGCTTCTCGAAGGTAGGGTTAAGCTCCTTCAAGTGTGCAGCGATGGTGGGGTTAGCCAGAACGATGTCAATGACACGGCAGATAACCTCCTCAAGATGGTCTAGCAGATCGTTGAAGTCAATGTAATCCAGCTCGGCCTCGACGTGGGTGTACTCGGAAAGATGACGACGGGTCAAACTCTTCTCAGCACGGAACGATTTCTCAATACAGTAGACGTCTCCTAGACTGGGGATAACGGTCTCGAGATATAGTTGAGACGATTGAGTAAGGTATGCCATCTCATCATAGTAGGGCGCACTAAAGAGGGTAGCGCCACCTTCAACCTGGGTCTGGACCAGAGCAGGCGGCGAGACCTTGGTGAGTTGCAGATCTTCGTAGACCTTGGTGAATGCTCCCTCCACGGCTGCACGGATTTTCATGAGCGCAGAAGCGTTCTCACCTCGGAGGACCAGGTGTCGGTTGTCAAGCATCTGGGCGTCCCACTGGTTCTGCTGGGCAGATACCTTGTTGGTGATGGCATCCTCGTCACTTGGCGACGCACCTAGAACCTCATAATAATCGACATGTAGCTCTCGGTCATCGGGGGCTGTCTGTCCGGCAGGTACCTTGCGCATCTCACCATAAAGTGCGAGCGAAGTTCCTTGGGCAAAGGTTAGGGCATCGTAGGTCTTGGTCAGGTCACCAGCGGCCAAGATACATTGCAGCTGGCCATATCCGTCGACCAAAGTGATAAAGGTAGCCTGCTTCTGTACTCGTAACCGGTGAATTCGTCCGAATACCTTAACTCGTGTGCCTTTGTTATCGCCTTCTCCAAGCTCAATATCCTTACGGCTGATCTTGATCTTGAGAGGTTTCGGTAGTGACTCATCCTGTTTGATGACAATCTTTTTCGCAGCCTCGAGGGTTTGCTGCCTCTGCTTCTTAAGTTGTTCCTCGGCGGCGGCTGCAGCTTGCTGCTTCTGAACCTTCTTTTTATGAGCGTCAAGTGCTCCCTGAGCTTTCTTGACGGCGCTTTTGGCGGGCTCCTTCCATAAGAGTCGGACGGAGGGGTCTTCGTCGGTGCCAACAGGGCCAGTAACGGAGGCTCGAATTTGGTATTGAGGTGTGGGCTTCTCGAAGTGCTGGATGTAGGCATAGGCTAGCGACTTGTAGGGCTTGAACTCTGAACCATCAGCAGTTTCGTCATCTTTGCCTGCGTCAGTATCAATGAAGGACTTCTCGTCGTTCTTGACCCGTTGGGCCAATTCTTCAACAGCGGCCATGATTGCCCAATCTATGCAGAGCGATTATGATCGTAGTTGGAAAAGAAAGGATGGGAAACAAAGCAGAGGGCGAAGATTATGTAGCAAGTCGTGACTGCGAATCCGATAAGCTTCAAACTATTATATTCCAAATTAAAGTATATGGAATGTGGTGAAGTCTAAAGTGGTGGTTGATAAAATGGAAGGTGGGTTGGTGGGTTGGTGGGGTTAAAATTCCAATAGATCTTGGATCAGTTTTTGATAGCGGGGGAACTGGTTCATTCTAATAGCCCTGAAGGTAGGTAACTTTAACAACAACCATTTTGACTCATCCTTTTATTTACTCCTAATTGCCTACTCAATAGAACACTAATTATCCGGTGCGCTTCGTCCCGTCCTTTTTGAGTCACCCTCATTCTCCAATCAATTGGATTGATATTGGTTTCAGCGATTACCCCGTAAGATAAGGTCACCTAAATAGGTACCAAAGGCTGTGTGTAACCTGAAGCAACAGTTTCAAGGGTTGATCTTCCGGATTGAACGTTGCCAGGTAACAGATAAGCTACTTGGATATACTTTTTGTTGTTATGAGTTGTATAGCTTATCTATGTACACTAGAGTACTTGGATATGATTGCGCTGACCTGCGATGTCGGCACCGTATTAAAAAAGCAATATGACCTCAGCAAATATTGAATTTTTGGATATTGATGACACTCACAACATCTACGAATACAATAAAAGCAATCGGTATCCAATTGGATTAAAATCTTAATTAAGTTTAAAATCCAAAAAGACCGAGGAAAGATGAATCGCTGGTGATATTAACACCCGCGTTAGACATCCACCTCCTAGATGTATCGAGGAAGTCTCAATTGAAGACATAGTCATAGACCCCCAATGATCTCTTGATCCTTCCTATAAACTCACCATGGGTAAGTCAGAAGGCACTCCCCCTTTCCAGCCTGCGTCTTCCTACTACGCAGGACCTTTCCCTACAACTCCTCCCTCAAAACCTGCTGCTTAGCATCATCCGTCCTAATCTCCTCCGTCTTCCCCATCTCCCCCAACCCCCTCTTCACCATACTACTCAACACCTCAAAAACAACCTGCGCCGCCGCCAACGCCGTCTCCTCCCCAACACCCTGATACGCCGGCGCAACCTCCACCACATCCGCGCCCACAAGATTCAAGCCCTCAATGCCCCTCAAGATACGTATCAGCTCCCTCGTCGACCACCCACCGGGCTCCGGGGTCCCCGTGCCCGGCGCAAACGCCGGATCAAGCACATCGATATCGAGGCTCAAATACACCGGGTCCTCGGTCCCCAGCGTCTGCATAATACTCTCCACGACGCCCTTCGTGCCCAAATCATCCAAATCATCCGCACTAATCCGCAACCAATTCTGCGCATCATCATCCTCCCAATCCCCGGTCCCCGACAACCTCGTCCGTAGCCCCGCATGCACATTCGGCGCCGCGCTCGCGTTCGAAACTAACCCCTCGTTGCCCGCGAGCCAGAACATGCTGCCGTGCGTGAACTTGCTCTGCTCGCTCGTCCAGTAGCTCGGGTATTTCGCCGGGTGCCAGGTGTCCAGATGCGCATCGAAGTGCAGCACTCTTACGGGTCCGTAGAGCTCGTGTATTGCCCTCAAAGCCGGTAGCGCGAGGCTGTGGTCGCCGCCTAGAGTCACGAGCTTCGGCTTCGAGAGAAGCGGCGAGAGGGGCGCGCGCGACCCGAGCTCCGTGAAGGCGGCGGTCATTTGCTTCAGCGCGATGGCGTTGTCCACGGGCGTGATGGGGATGTCCCCGCAGTCGAGGATCCGCGCCCAGTTGTCGTAGGGGTTTATTCCGGCCCGCGGGTTGTACCCCCGGAATGAGGTCTGTCGCGCCGAGGCTGCGCGGATGGCGCGGGGTCCGAAGCGGGCGCCTGTGGAAGGTGAGTTTTAAGTGTGTCGATTCTTAGGTGTAGTTAAGGGGATGGTATAGAGTGAAATTGGTATATAAGGTAGGTAGGGTAGACTTACCAGGTCGGTAGCTCACCGCGGTGTCAAAAGGGGCGCCGATGATTGCGATGTCGAATCGCTCGCTCGGAGTCGTCAGACACTTATGATACGGAAGATGGGCGAAGGCGGAAATGCCCGTGTATCCCCACTATACACTCACAGTCAATAATTTGTATAATTTTATAGACGACATAATTATATAAAATTTAATGGTTCAATTATCTTAATGAAGTGAGAGAGTAGCTCATGTTTTCACGAGGAACCGTTGTCTCAAACCACTAGTTGGTATCGCAGAACGAGCTTGTTAAGAAGATGAGATACCTTACCTCAGCTCCCCATTTCCTCTCTAACTCGTCCAATTCCTCCTGACTCCATTCCCTAACCTCGCCGTGGCCGGCGCAAGCTCGGACGACGGCCGAGCCATAGCTCAACGCAAGGCAGACAAATAATCTCGGTCTCATTTCTCCCTTACAGCTGTGATACGAGGACCGGGCGTGCAGAAGTTGTTGGCAAACGTGATGTTGGATCGTAGATATCTTGGCGTGATCTGCCAGAGATTTCAAGAAATTGGTAAGAAAATAATCTACCTATTCTTACCCGTCCAATTCGACGAGTTTATGCTCAAGTCAGGACGAATAGATATGTAAAGATATATCTAATAAACCCGACAGGTATTACCTAAACGTCGTAGATAGATAGTCTATAACTACACCAGCGGTTCGAGCCGGAGCGGAGTACTTAGCTAGATAAGGACGTAGTTTCGGCGGCGCTCCGTGGTAGACTAGAGATTAAAAGGGCATAGATATCGGTTCGCCTCATGCCATTGGTAGCCGCGATTCCGTATGAAGCAAGTACAGGAACCCCCGACTCCGGCATAAGCTGCTCGCTCTTACCTCCAGGGCTTGTACACAAGATCTCCATATTCCCATGGCATTAGCACCTGCGTAATCGACTTGAAGCTCGGAAGGCGCGTGCATGTATTAGGAAAGAAGGATAGCGAGGATAAATAAGAAGACCCCACGCCCTATCAGATTATCATATGCGAGGTTACGAACATGGCGTTCTCTTATCGACCGTATTGAACTTCGAATTGCCATTCTGCCTTGCCGCCTCTTGTCCTCTGCAGCTTGGGCGCAGCTATGGCACCATCCCGATGTCTTGGACGATTGGTAGGAAGTGCACCAGAGCCGAGCCGGTGCAGTTATGTACCGATCTATACGAACGCCACTCTGATAGAGGGCTTACGAACTAGTCGATTCCTGGTTAACTCTGGTTACCCTGGGAAATCCGCAAATATTAGTCCGTTGTTTCGTCTCGCTATCGCCTCTAACCCTTATCCGACATCGACAACTTACGTACTTAGTACTAACTTTTTTTCGCAAGAAAGCCGTAGACTCGATCACAAGAAGATTGCTCAGGTACTGTACCTAAGGTATTTCTCCTCAAGGTCCAAATGATACCGAGGTAATTGCCTCACTTAGTTACTGGTCATGTATGTACCTAGCTAAGTATGCATCTGATATGCACGTTTACTGGGTAGAGGGCTGCAGTGAGGATCTATGGGTGCAGAGCAGCCTCGACAGAACCACTGGGATGAATAATCACATACCTACACACCTGCTGATACTCATGTGATGAAATGATTATGCATATATATAGAAGGGCAAAGACGAATGTCAAAATATGTTGCAATGTTGCACTGAGGCTATCCCCCTGCGTACGCCCAAGCAAGCTTTCCGTTACATTAGACCCTTTCGCAAGCCTGGAGCTGAATACGTGGAACCTCTGCCTGGGCTTGACCGAGACAACAGTTTGCTGCATTGCAGATGAAATTCGGGAATGTCGTCGGTAGAAGTCGGAATTCCTTTTTTTTTCTTTTCTTTTTTTCTCCGTCGGCACTGTTTTCCTATGTGGGCGGAATGAGGGTAAATGAAGTCTCGAAGGAAGAAAACAGAAAACAGAAAGCACACGAATATTGCAAGAGTGGAACTTGGGGAAGCGGAGGGAACATGATATGCTATAGGTTGGCACACGGGTACCTACTTGAATCTGAATACAGATCAGATTCACGTTCTATTAAAGGTAATCGGTAATCACAAGGTATCGTTGTATCAAGGATGGCGTAGACGATCAAATCAATTCAGATGCACTCCGATCGCCAAACAATCCTATCAAAGTCCTTCCTGCGTTCATGAATTTCCCCTCCAAACCCTGGCTGCTCGAAAGTAGTAAGAAAAAGAGAAAATCAGAATCAGGGTGAGTTGTAGTATGACAGTATGACTCGAAAGCTCTTGTCCAGAGAGAAAATATCGGTAGGAGTATCGCCCTTCACATTCATTTGTAGCTGAAAAACTCCTTCCTTTCCTATTCGCATCGTTGTTGTGAATCTGCCTTCCAAATATCTCCGGATTTCGAGAACTTTCTGGGACTGTAAAGAGGTATTCTTCCTAAAGGGTCGAGCTAGATCCGATGTCCTATCCATGGATTATGCAAAGGAGCATCTTGTTGTGTTCGCTTGTTCCAATGGTGCCTCATAAATTTGCGGTATGCTTCCGCGTAGTTGATTCATTCTGAATCCTATCCACTTGTGGTATCACAAGGTCAAACTTGATGTCTAAAAAATCGCCCATTACGAAATATGCAGATGTCGTGGAAAATGCCCAAGAAAGACATATCCTTATTCCTTCCAATCCTAAGGGGGATCCATTGTGGTAATCAAGGAACGAAGGCGATGTCTTTAATTCGACCCAAATGGCGGCATTACAGAATCAAGCACTTATGGGGCTTTTTCTTAGGTGCGGGAGGCTCTAAAGCTGCGACGATAGCCTAGAAATAGAACAGTTAATATATCGAATAGCCGGGGATCTGCAAAAGGAGCTACAAACCTCATCGAACACGTCCTTAAGCTTGTATTGGGTCAAAGCACTGCACTCTACGTATTTGACGGCGCCAAGTTCCTTAGCCATCCGCTCTCCGTCTTCTTTACGCACAGGTTGCATCTTCTGTTTCGCAAGCTTCTCTCGGACACTGGCATCGTCTCTCAAATCTGTCTGGGTGCCAACGATGAGGCAGGGTACGCCAGGACAATGGTGATGAACTTCGGGAAACCATTTCTCTCGGACGTTCTCGAAAGACGCAGGCGATGTGACACTGAAGCACACCAGGAAGACATCGGTTTGGGGATATGACAGAGGTCGCAAACGATCGTAATCTTCTTGACCGGCAGTATCGAACAAGCCAAGCGTGTAGGGTTCATCTCCTATCCTATAGTGGGGAGAACGTCAGCCCTGTTTCAGGTCGATATCCAGCCATAGTATGTATTCAATTGACCATTGGCCCTTAGGTTGACCGACACGGCGCCGTATTTCAAGCGTATCGATAATTGAGGATCTACACTCGGTTTGGAATTCGGAATTGCAATGTTGGACGACTTACATAACCGTGACGGCATAGTTGTCGAAGACCGTAGGGACGTATTCAGAAGGAAACTTGTTAGTTGTATAACTGATGAGAAGGCAAGTCTTGCCAACGGCACCGTCACCAACAACCACGCATCTGCAAGATAGGTAAGATATTAGCAATTCATCTTCCTACCACACTACCATCATAATGGGATTTGAAACATGGGTATTGGATGAGTAAGAAGGCAAATGACGCGTGATTTGCATCTTGGTAGCAACGTAAGATATATATGCATGAAACATCGAGGTTCGCAAACCTCGGAGACATGTCTGTGATACACTCGCGCGTTTTATCATTGGAATGTACGGACACCAAATGTTGTAATGGAAGATGTATACGAAGATGTAGATGTAGATGCAGATAGACGGCAATGGGGGGAAGGGAATAGGGAATACGAAGTACGGAATATGGAATAGGAAATAGATACTCACTTGATTGTAGCAACAACCATCTTGACTTGCTTAGCCCCGACGAGGGAGCAGGTGCGCTATGTTGATGTTCTCTCCGAATTAAGTAGCTGTCTTATCGCAAGTAAGCTTGGAAATTGTCGGTGGGTATCGGCCGTTCTGACTTGCAGCTTTAAAAAATAATAATAAAGGGTCGTCGAAGAAAAAAAACGAAGTCAGAGGGGTTAATGGGTCCTTGGTAGGATAAAACGATGTCTCTCAAGTCTAAATCCTTAGGTAGGCGACGGCGGTGAGGGAAAGACTAATAGAGACTTAACGAAGGAGAGGAAAAGGTGCAAAAAGGGTGCAATATTGATCACAAAGAGAATTGTAATGAGGAAGTCGAAAAAGTATCGGCGGAGGGACGAGACTACGAAAGAAGGAGTCGAGGATGACGGGACGGGACTTGGTTGGCGGTAGGGAAACGTAGAAACGACAAGGGACAAGAAAGCTCAACCTTGAACGAGATTGGCAGTGGCAGTGGCAGTTAACAAGGTGCAAGAAGACCCAGAAGGTGGTCGGTTGTTAGAGTGGTCAGTGAGATCAGTGGTCGCTGGTCACTGGTGGGAAGGTGGAAAGAAAGCTACTGCCACTGGTACTGAAATTGACCGGGGTTTGGTTCGGCAAGCGCAAGTCGCAAAGACGCAAGACGCTGGCGCTGTGTGATTTTTTTTTTATTCCCTGAGGCTTCGCCTACCATGTAGTATAACCTTGGGTCTTGGGCAAGCTTGGGGGAGGTGCTAGGTACTTGGGGATTCTGGGAATTGCAGGTGCAGACCGGGTGCAGACTTGGTGCAGACTGGGCTTGGGGTTTTTGATTTGGCCTGCACTTGCATTACTTTGACGCACCGGCGTTGGATAAAGGGGGTACGTACACTTATTATTGTACACTGGGCAGCGTACTATGCGTACAATACAGTTATTTCCATCCACTCTTAATTGAGCATTTGAACGGCCTAACTCTTTTTAGAGTGACTTGTAAATAACAGTATGATGCAAATAGACGATTTTAATGCTGCAGATATATCATCTCTTTAACTATCGTCACAACAATGCTGTCACCTATCATATTACACAATTAAAAAGGTTGAATTGGTCATATGTTCCATTCAACATTTGAACAAACTCTACTTCCCTAGTAGTAGGGAAAATACCTACATGAACAAAGAAAGAAAAAAAAAGAAAAAAAGAGCCACTCACAACTAAACTAACTGTACTAACTGTACAACACTTAACAATAAGACGGGAAGAAGAAGAGAAGAATGGAAAAAAAGATGCAATCCTCCGACAGACACAAGCCATGACCAGATTATGCGCAATGCTTTTTCGAAGCCTTTTGTGTTTAGGAACCCGGGAAAATCAACAAGGAACTCGGAGCTAAGAGGGGGTCGATTGATTATTCATTTTACAAATTCTCGTCTACGGTCTATCATGTCATACCTTAAGCGAAATCCTATGTATGGAAGTCTGTTGCATCGTTCTAGCTTCGAAGCCGGCATGAAAATTTCATACTTTTTGGGTTAGTTTGGATTACTACTCAAGACCTGGGATAGACCAGGTAAAGGTGGATCGATCAGGTCAGTCTTGTTTTATTATTCTTTTTAATTGTTTTTTTTTTTTTTTTTTTTTTTTTTTTTTTTTTTTTTTTTTTTTTTTTTTTTTTTTTTTTTTTTGTTTTTCTTCTCTTTTCTTTTATTACTCATGCGTCATCAGGGTCCTTGGAAGTCATGACGACGCCAGGTGAATGGATACCTACAGCTGTAAAGGTCGGGGATTGTGGATAATAAGGCGAATACACACCTCCACTCACCTTTCTAGAACAGCCTTGGAAGTTTATACCCAGGTCTACGTGTAATGAAAGGCCCCAAGGAATAAAGATAAAGAAACAAACATGGCCAACACGGCCTGCATAGGTTGTCGGCAGCCCTACCTTGACAGCTGAGATACGGTGCCGTATTTAGGTTCAACACCCTCTATACGATCAGGAATATCTGCATGGGACCTGCAGTGGCACGTAACTAACAAAGAAGAAAGTCTCGCATAGAGGATTTATTCGTCGACACGTCCGTGTCTGTAATCTATAATCTATACTCGGAGCGAGACTTGCAGCCCCCCGACACGAAGAACATTCACCTAGCCGCGCCTCATCCTGCTCATCGTAAACTACCTACCTAGTAGTACCTACCTATTCTTCTGTTCTTCTATTCTGTATGTACGTCTGACACTAAACCGGCTAACCCCCAAGTTAAGTGCGCACATGCTCGGAGCAAGGCGAGACAAAGACGGGGAGAGGGTACATACATATCCATACATCCATACATACCTATCTGCATACATATCAGCTGTCTATCTATCTTAATCATACATATCATACATATCGTACATATCGAGCGTAGTGCAATGGCGGCGGTTGAAGATCGCAGCCGGTGGTCGTGGCGGAGCCTGTCGATCAGAGCGTTAGTGAAGGGTATCTGCAGCTCCAATTGGCATCTCTCTTCATTCGGATCATATGAAGTCTTCTGTACGCTCTCTGAACAAGGACACTATCTAGTACTACGTGGCAGGTCATGCGAGGCAACCCTCACACGATTCTGGTGTCGTATACCATCTGTAAGAATTTCGTCAATCGGAATACACGTAGGTATAAGCTGGTGACACGCGAGGGAAGATTGGGTGCAACCGTCATTAGAGGAAGAGGAAAAAAAGAGAACAGAAGAATAATAGGTCTTCTTAGAGGTCGCCTGTGATACTACACCGATAGCCTTGGGATCTAGATAATCCAGTAGCCATCAATTGCCAAGTCTCCAAGAGCGCTATTGAGTCGCCGCTTAACCGTCTTCATATCTTCCCTCGGGATCGACCATATGACAACGTAGAAAATGTGGAGGAGAGGACGGGAAGCAAACACACGAAAATTTGTCATCGAGAAGGATGAGCTGGATGCCTAAGAGATTCCCGCAACTACGTCAGACTTTCTGCCTTTCTGTGATGGTCAGGATGGTCAGGATGGTGAACACTTGGTTCAAATTCGGATCCTTCAGGTCGAAATTGGGTTGTGGCGGCTGCAAAAAGGGTCCTTTGGGTCGTTTAAACGGCCACATGGACCCTCTGGTAGGGCTCTCAAATGAACGGTGTGTCTTGCAGATAGAAATTGAGATCCAGGTATAGTTAGTTTGCATATGCCAGACTGTAAGAACCATGAGGATTCGTCTGGGGCGGCTTCCTATTCGCGATGTGGGAGAACCGGAGAACTCGTTGAATAGGTAATAAAGGGTCCTCTTCTATATTATCGGCGCTTATAGACGCTGTACATACATATTTAGGCCTGAAGACCTTGTATCACGTAGCTATCACATCGCTAAGCCACAAGTGTTAACACCGACCGTTGAGACCTAAGGTGTGGCGTCCACTCCACTATAATCTTTACACTCAGTGGAACCTGGAGCTTACCGTACCGGAACTTCATTACATAGTATATTCCACTTACAAGCCGTCCAGCCTCATAAACACCACTCGATTCTAACCTCGCTCACCCGTTTCTCTAATAATAGTAAAAATAAAAGACTCACTAGCCAATATGGACGCCGACCACATCGACAAGCTCCTCGAGCGGTATCTTCACTTACTGCACGAGTACACAGCCCTGAGAGACCAGCTCAGCAGTCTGCAAACAGGCATGTACCAAACCATCGCGCGCGCAAACTTCGCCGCCGAGCGCGGTTTGCGCTTCGGCCAAGACCACTACGACGAGCGCATGCAAGCCAGCAGGAGAGTCATGATTTCCAAAGACGATGACCAGGAGTCTTCGGTTCCTGTATTCACCGTTACTGCGGAACCCAAGGAGCCAGAAAAAGAAGTTGTTACTGATGATAAAGCCGGTGACGTTGTTGGGGAAGAAGAGGAAGAGGAAAAGAAGGAGGTGGCCGTGCCTGAGGAGAAGATACGCCGGAAGGACCCGCTGAGATGGTTTGGACTGCTGACCCCCATGGCCCTACGGCAAGCCCAGGCGCAGAGCATCGAGGCGGTCGAGCAGGTCATCCCGAGACTGGTCTCCGTCAACGCCGAGATGGCACAGGTTGAGATAGAGGTCCGCCGGGCTCGCAAGAAGCGTGCTAAGGCTGAGGCTGCTGCTGCTAAGAAGGAGCAGGAGGTTGGTCTTGGTGCGGAGGTTGCGGTATGATCTTAGTTTATACTTAATACGTACTTACTCACCTTTTGCACTATCATGCAATAATGGCTATAATCTATATCTATAGAATAGCTGCTTAATACGACTAATCATGATAGGATGTGCGAATCTACGTAGTACGTCCAATAGTTCAATTGAATATTTGAACTGGTCCGTCTAGCCCGTCCTATAAAATTTCAATTGCGTTATTATCCTCTTTGTAGTTTAGCTTAGTAAATTAGTCGACCGCTTTGTAAGTTGGTTAATAGTTAGTTCAAAATGAGGCTGTCTAGACCTGTCTGTATATGGCCGTATCTAGTGTAGCCTGTATGTTTTCACCACTGGAGCTGTAAGGGATAGGGGTGACCTAAGTGGCGTCGAAGACTCAGAAGATGATCTTACAATTATTAATCATGATCATCAGTTCGAGTTCGGAAAATATCAGTTAATCTGGAATCGTCGGATGCCTCAATTGGATTGTTGGGTGCACCGAGTCCACGTGTTCAAGTGGGAAATATTTGAATCAAGTTTCCAATGAGTATTCCTTTTATTCAATATTGGTACAACGGTATCCCTAGAGGTATCCAAGCTAAACTAGAAAAACGACAATTTCTACACGGGTATCATCTTACAGGTACGTAAACGCTCAAGCATAAGCAGCCCAACCTAAGATTCCATTAGCACATGTACCGAAAACGGATTGGTCTAATTAAACGGGAAGACACTTACCAGAATACAAAAATGCGAGATTTCTCTCGTCAGTCGCTTGGTTGATCAAGTCGTTGACCGTAGCCGTTACGCTCAACGTCTTGCTAAGCTTCTTGCGCACGACCTCGAGCGCACGGTCGGCCTCGCTAGGCTCGTTCACCATACCAACAGCTCCAGAGGTCTTTTTCTTTACGTCCGCGTCGGCCGTGCCCTCTCCCTCATCTCGTCGGGGGTCCTGTAGCTTAGCCATGCGAACGGGACTGATGGACCATGAATACAGAGGATCGTATCGTAAAACGTCGAGGATCGTCATAATAGAGTAGGTGTCCTCACGCAGCGCGTCGAGGGTGAACTCGCAGCACCGTCTGAATACCCCTTCCGTTTTTGTGATACCCATGCCATCGACTATGTCCCGTGTGAGTCGGAATGGTACAAGCTCGGGGACTGGTAGTACACGGCCCATCTCAAAAGCTACGCCCAGATCAATGTGAACGGCCTCTCCACTCTTGGTGTCGAGGAGGATGTTATGACCGTGGCGATCGCCGAGGCCTAGGACATGGCCTAGTATGGAAATTGCGGCTGTAGTTCGTGTATATGCTGTGCGCTTAGCGAACCACTCGTCTGGATCAACGAAATGTTCCATGAAAAAGTAGCGCATCACAGGCTGGAATTTATCCGTGACTTTTTTATAAGTTGCTACGCGAACTTCGGATGATTTATTTTGAACCTGGGAGATCTCCTTTCGGCACTGCGACCCCTTGAGGTCTCTCGGATGATACTTCTCATGGGCTGGCATGAGATATTCGTGGAGTGGTATAGTATTCGAGACGAATTCGATCAGACCAGAAGCTGAAGTCAGAGGTAAGACTTTGTATGTTCTGATTCCGAGGTTGCGTTGCTGAGTAGATCGATGAAGCTTCAATACGGATGACACGGCTGCGAAGACCTGTTCCATGATTGCGTCTTGACGTAAGTCATCGTTCCCTCCTTTGACCAGCTGTTTGAATCGTTCCCCATTAGTCCCCACCACGGTTATGATTTTTGGTGCGCTCACGCCGGATGCGATGGACATATTTGGTTCGATCTTGGCAATATACGGAATGTGACTATAGTCCCGACTAGCTTGTAGTTCGATTTGCATCGTAGGGGGTGGTATATGGTACTTGGCCATAGTGCTTGAAAGGGCAGAACCAGCAGTAGAATCCTTGACCGCAACTTTTTGTCCTGCCTTGTAGCGAGAAGGGTCCAATTCTGTCGCCAGCTTATGGTAGGCCTTGTTGGTCTTATCAATCGCCGTCCATATCGATGCTACCGAATCTGTTTCAGCAAGCCTCTTACCAACTGTCACCGTGGCTTTCTGGCGGAGAACGGCCACATCATCGTTCTTATTCGTGCGTGACCACCAACCCGACCAGATCTGGTACATCCCATGATAAGGATGATCAACACAGATATGATACACAAGGTCAAGGAGAAGCTTCTGGAAGAGGCCACTCTGATTGACTAGACGCGAAGAAAGTTGGTTCATCAACGGGGCAAATTTCCGGGTTGCAACTTTGTCGATGTATCTCCTCACAGCCTCATTGGTGATATCTTCATCAGACCTTTCTAGCCACAAGGCCGTGAATCTCAAAGCGTCGTTGTTATGATCGTCGCATGATATCAACGAGAGGAGATAGTTCTCCAAACTTAACCTCACAAATTCGGTCCGACTTTGCTCAACACGACGTAGTTCTTGTTCGTCTAATTCAAGCCATTGTCTTGCTTTCGCAAGATGATTCTGGTACCTTTGCTTTTTCGTCGTGTCTTTCTCCGAGGACACAAGCACCTTAAGTTGCGAAACTTCATCGCTTTTCCCCTTCTTCAGATGTTGCAAGCGAGCCAAATCCTCGAGTCCGTCTGGATTCTGCAATTGTTCATCACAGAACATAGCAAACCGATGGTACACCTTACCGGCCTCCTGGCCATCTGTCTTCCCCCTTAGCTCCTTTAGCGCAGGCTGTAAGTAGTCTTTCTGGATAGTATCTGGCTTTTCCAGCTTTGCTACAGATATTTGATATCCAGTCTTTGCAAGTAGATCCGGCCGACTAATAGGAATGGTTTGTTTCTTGAGATTTGGGTCTTCGTCGATACATTGAAGCATATGAATAGATGATGTCATTTCTCCATGATCCCATAGTGAGTTGGCGGCCTCGAATTTCGCAATTGAGTCAAGATGCAAACCAAGGTCTGTACTGGGTAGCACTAGATCTGTTAGGGATGTTGCGATGTTTAGTGACTCTTGAGTAGCTTGGTGGTGTCTATATACGCCGGATGACAACAGCATCGACTTTATCTGTGCTAATGTAGCTTCCGGTGGGTTGACCTTTGTCATACCGCGGCGTTGAGAAGTTTGAGCTAGCATACTCAATGTTGTTTCTCTGCAGGATAGGATCTGGCTAACATCCTCATACCTAAATTCCGTTAATAGTTGCATAGCGAAGGGCATTTTATTGTACATACCGTCCACTCTTCATCCATTTAGATCGATCTGTGAATGTTGCCAAGATTTTGTCAAGTTCTGAAGAATCAGCCATCTCTATAACATCATTGAGTTCTGCCAGGACAGCTAACGTGCCAAGGTGACGTCGGAGGTGAACCGGGCTAAGGTCATTCTTGACTATACTTCGCATAGTTTCGGTGAAACCATCATGAGTAGCTCTTCTTGCGAGACTCAGCTCAGTAGCTTGGTGCCAAGTCTGATATGCTTTATAGAGGGTGACAGAAGGATTGTCGGTAGATGCTGGTGCTGGCAGATTCCATATTTCTAACCGCCTAGCCGTACTGAAGGTACTTTCCACAGTAGTTGATGAATTGTCTAGGCTGTGCTGTGTTTGAAGAAGTGAATGCGACAACCCCGATAACCCAAGGTTACCAAGCGTTCCTACTAACGATTGTGTATCGATATTGGCGGCTGGGTCTCTCCTCCGAATATGACTGTCATACTGTGCGCCACGGAATGCTAGGCTCATACTGCCATTCTTTTCGTATTCGAGTCGCGCTAACACATTACTTAAGCTTGAGGTATGGCTGAGACCATAGTAAGCATCGGGATCATCAATATTCTCGAAAATCTCCATCACAACATCTGTAGATTCCTGAGTCCGGGCGGCAGATGAACGGCGAGATGTTCGTGACCCGTCAGCAGACGCCATCTCAACCAATAGCAATGCGGTCTTGAACATGCCACATTTTGTAGCTGCTGCAGCGACCGAAAGAAGATCGAGATCTAGCCATTGAGCCCGGTCAGCAATGGAATTTTCTTTAGGCAGTTCTTGTGTCCTCAGATATAGAATAGCATTTATTATGAGGCCTATATTTTCTTTGGCTGCTGGTGAGTCAAGCTTGAGCCAATTCTTGAGTGCACTCGATAGGTTGCGCTTGGCAGATTGTTGCTTCTCTCGTTCAAATAAGAGGACCAGATGTATAATGTAAGGGAATGCTTGTTGAGCGAAGCCCTTGACGTTTGTGAGTATCGGGGGTAAAGCATTGAGAATAGCATGATCGGGATAAGACTGTGCTAAATACACAGTAACACCCTGTGCCCACTTTACGTCCTCAAATGCCTCATTAGAGAGCGCCTGATCTTCATGAGCGGGGTTGACGGGCGGGTTGTCCGATGGTGGCGTTCGATATGGCGCCCAATCTGACGTGGCAAGAAGTTGATCGGATAAGACCTTTTGGCAAGCCATGAGAAGATCGTCATCGCCCTGAGCTGCAGCATCCGAGACAATTGTTCTTAATGCTGATTCCGAGAGTCCCGCTTTATAGCCATCACTATCGGATGTCAAAGATTGCAGGAGACCTAGCAGACCGTGTTCTGATCTTGATGAGTCTGTCGACAAATTGTAGTATCGTGATAATTCGGATTCTCGAAGTAGGTCTTGGTCGACGCGACCGGATGCGGCAAATCCTCTACCAACGACTCGACCTGCCCAAGCAAGATACTCGTTGCTTAAACCTTGGGCCTGGCAACTTTTCCAAACAACAGAAATCCAGGACAATGCTTCTTCATCAGAACCGACCACATCCACACTGTGAGATATCGGGATCGTGAAGTGGCTACAAAGCATTTCTAACGCCAGTTTGCGAGAGGGTTCGTTTAATAACTGATACCCGTGCGTTCCATCTTGAAGGATTTCTAATAAAAGTCTACTCTCGTAAGAGCCTCGCTCCGCATTTCCCGAAGATCGAACGTGGGCTGCAGACCCTATTATGGTGTTGAATGCCTCGCGTTGCTCGGTGTCTCGAAAGGAAGGAGACTCATAATCCTCCAGGTATTTTGTAAACCACGAATGGAATTTCTGTGCTTTGCTCATAGTGGCCTTGAACTGGCTTTCTTGGGTTGTGCTAGATTGACTGGTTTCTAGGAAAACGCGAAGTGAAGACAACACAGATAGGGCATAACCAGCTAGGAATGAAGGCGATTTTGATAATGATTTTGATCCCTTTTCTAGGAGGTATTGACTGATACCAAGTGCATCATCTGCACATTCTGTGTCGACAATTAGAGGACGTATGGCTTGCAGGAGCATCTCTAAGGGATATGATTCCCATGCATGTTGGCCTGCTAGACAAATGAGGACCCGTACCTTTCGAAGGACAGAACATGTATGCAAAGGTCCTAATGCAGCATGAACGCCATCGAAAAGTTTTCTAGAAATGCTGACCACGAGTGCTGGCGTCCACAAAGCAGGCATTTCGTATTCTGTTCGGCTACATAGCAGTGCTATCTCTCTCGTCAAGTACTTTGCCCGGAACATTGGCTGTTGGTTCGGAGATAAGCCAATTTCGGAGTGACCACACTTCTTAATCTCTGTCATTGATTCAGCGGCGTACTCAAAGTTAGGATCTCTGGCCCACGATTCCTCGATTGGATTTTCTTGATCGATGAGACTGAAGAATAACCCGATGATATCGGCGAAGTTGATATATATACCCTCGAGGAATGCTTCTCGGCCAAGGATCTTACGCAATCGACTTTCGCCGCTTCGTTGCTGCTCTGATTTGGGCATACTGATATCATGCGCCATACTATACGCTATAATCCTTGAGAAATTGCGCTGAATGAGTTGTGCAAAACTATCACCGAGAGTTGTCGCTAAATTTTCTGCTGCTTCGTCTTGTCCTCGCATAATCATTAGAGCTACGACTTCGGATTGGGCGCGTTGTAGTAATTCCTTGAGAGTTGAGAACCCGAATATCGTAAATGGGATATCATCAATACTCTTGATTTCAAGCCAGGTATAAAGCAGCTGAGGCGCAAACAAATCAAATAGTTTGTGTGCACTCTCAAGCCTCAAAGAGGCAGATATCTTGTTGAGGCAACGTTCAGCATGTCTCATTGAACTTGGAATTTCTCCAGGGATCTCAAATATATGATATATGCCGCGTCGGAGTAGAGTAGGCCACTGGCGTGCTAATTCAGCGAGTACGAATAGCCGCAAAGCTATACCCTCAGGGAAATCGCTTTTGCTTGGGAGAACACCAAGGACGTCAACTAGAACTTCGTCATGAGATTTCAGCACATATCGGCCAAACAGACTTGGCAAGCGGCATCCAATATAGTGTTTGACAGGTATTTCTCCGTCTTCTAATAGACTGAATAGTGAAGTGCTCGGAGGGGCCATTTTAATCGACTCCGGGTATCTTTCGTTGATTTGGATCAATCGGAGAAGTAATCGAGCTAGCGACATCTGCACGCTTGGTGAGAGTATATTATTCTTTAGCCCGGAATTGAGGAAGTAGTAGTACAAATCGCCTGCGTGAGATGCTATTTCGCCATTACTGTCGGACCATATTGGCATGAGACCTTCCATCACGTCGAGACATATGTTTAAAGTAACTTCGCAACTTGAGAAAGCCGTACTGCCGAGTAACTCGCCGATTCGGCCAATCACCCTGTCGGCATCATCAGGATTAACTATGAGATCAGAATCAAATAGTTCCCGTATTAAGCAGCGACACGAGAGGAGTTCTTCGTCAGGTAGCTCCAGAAATTCGTCGAGAAATAACGCCGGTACGAGCCCAATTTGACCATTGTCTTCATACATAATATTAAGGAGACATAGCCTTTGGATGGTGTCAGAATAAAAGGTTGTTGCTTGTAGGTTGATGGAGGCCTCATGGCGGGATATTTCAAGTGATTTAGATGATGTGTTGGACCGGCGTTCTTTAGTCTCAAATCCATCATCAATATCCATGAAATCATCGTCGTGGTCAGGGGTTTGCTTCCCAGATCTTTTGCTAAAGGCGCCATGCAATTCGAAGAGGAGTTGATGAAGATACTTCCACTCTTTGCTTAACTTGCTCAACTCGGTACTTGATAATGCTGGCATATAAGAACGAATTGATGAAAGAAGGCAGTCATATAGAGCCTGGTTATCGGATATATTCGAGACACCAGTCAAGGCAATTTGAAGAGTTTGAAATAACGAATGCTGAATTTCTTGTGATTGTGATGAATTCGCCTCCAGTATCTCAGGGAGGATAATGGCGCCGACAATCAAAGACGAGAATACACTTTGGAGTTTCTCTGGAGTGATCTGAACTGATTTATCTTTTTGTTTGTCCCATGACTCACACAATGTTTTGATTTCCTCAAGTTTCGGATAGAAGAGTTCAGCTATGAGTTTTTTCGTACTGTGGGCATTCGAGCTATCGCCGAGTTGTATAGATGTAGTCGTAGGATGTTGCTGTTCGGGTCCTGTGGAAAATTGAGGTGTTTCGGGATCTAATAAAAGCAAGTATTTAACCAAGCTTTCGCGGCTCTTGAGCAGACATAGAGTCTCCCCAATTTGCCCAGAGATCGTTTGAGATGATTGAGACAACATCATTCTCTGATCGCCGTAGGCTGCGTGCATCAGATTGACGATATCTACGGGTATGGCATGGATAGAATACGATGATATGAATCCTGCATCGGCTACAATTTCGCAACAATTAGATTTAAGACTAATGCAAACATTGTGTATTGGGTCTCACTTACCAGGATCCCATCTGAAAAACATCCAGCGGACTACGTGGTTGCAGGTCGCGTAACTTGCACTCGGGACTTGGATATTTCGAAGATTAAGAAGGGCCGTCATAAGAATGAGAGATGAATCTACCGCAACAGCTGGTCCATTCACATCAGAACTCATGACCATACTATTAATATCGTCGGCAATATCACGGTATGGCACTAGATCATGATTTATGATATAATGAAGTAGAACACTCGAGGCACGACAGCTTGCAGTCATACTAACAGCCCGAACCGCAAGTTGCCATACCTGCTTCCAAAGCATACATAGGCTGTTATCAGTGGCGCTGATTTGGGGAGTTAGGCTAATGAGAGGTCAGCATACAGCATTGGAACAGAGTAGATAAATACAGACCTGGCGCAAGCAATCATAGCCCATGTAGATACCTTGCTTTTCTTGCTGGTGATTTGACTCATTAAAAATGCCAGTAGTTCTGACATCTCGTCAATATCAACTTTAAGATCCGAAACGAAAAAAGGAATGATTTGAAGAGCAGTATACTGAACAGACTGGTCGATGGAACGTAGTTTTTGGCGAAGTCGACTAAAGCCCGCAGTAGTTCGTTGCTTCTTCCGTGGTTGTTCATCATCAGCTAAAGTAGTGTGCGATTGTTGGGAACCTTTCCACATCAAACGCTCGAGAAGAGCTAGAATATGCACAATCGCCCAATTCTTCTCGCCGTCAACATTGAATGGGCGCAAAGAAAATGCTTTTACTTGAAATATCGGGTTGTCGCAAGGTGTAGATGAATATGTCAAATCATCTTGTTGAAGCTGCGCGCGTTCCTCCCGTCTGGAATATTCGCCCCAAAATAGCTCCGCTAGATTTTCAATGTCCCCGAGGAGTGAGCGTTTGTTGTCTTGCTTGATTAGAAACTCGAGCTGAAGGTGAATGTTGAATAGAAATTTCAACATTTCGATACGAACGCCATTGAGAAGCGCATCATGTGCTGATGCCGCTTTCGTTTGCCACCATTGACTTACCAACGGCAGGCAGTCCAAAGTCAGAGAGTTCGCATGCTCGGAATCATCGGTCTGCGACACCACGAAGAGCTTATTAACCAAAGCGAAGGCCACTTGATGTAGCTGGCTTATTCCGAGAGAACGGAGCTGGAGGATTTGGATGACAACAGACGAGATCTCCCTCGAACGCTGCAGAAGAGGGGCGTTTGGAGTAGATGCGAGGTGAAGAAGGCATTGTAGAAGATCTGGTATATGACTACGCGAAACCCGGGTGGCTCGTTGCGATACGGACGTAGATCTGGGAGTTGACAAACTTGAAGATGCTGTCTGGGCCATCCCGGGCGCCGGTGAAGCTCGCGAAGGGGCAGGATCTTTATCGGTAGCTGCTAGGTATAAGGTCAAGATATCAACGGCGAAGTCAACGCACGTGAACCAACCCTCGCCACCCCCTGTAGCAAGGAGCTCGACATTGGCAGCATAATTTAGCAGAGCAGCGAGTGCTTTGATGTAATCCTGAACAAGCGGTGGGACTAGATCATCCTCGGAATGCGGTAGAGTTTGAGTAATGTGATCAATGATAGCGAGAACGGTTTTCCGTTTTACCTTGCCTGCCCCCAACTCGATACCGAGGCGGAGTGCTTCTGCACATTTGGTGAGCCTACTAGCAGCGGTGCTCTTTTTGGCATAGTAAGCTTGCTTCTCAGCTAATGAGCACCGAAAGAGAGCCTCAAATGTTATATGATAGCTTTTATCGTCTAGATTTGAGCTACAATATGTTAATTCAAAGCTAGGTAAATTTCGTCGATGACGACTCACAAGTTTGAGGCTCTGGCTTGTTCTTTGAATATATGAATCAAATCTAAGTGAATTAATATATTGGTGTTATCATTTGAATACGGAAAGTGGTGGCGGCCTCACCATCTAAGCCCGATGAACGAGTTGTACTGTTACTACTTTCGATAGCGACTGTCTCACTTTTAGCACCATCCGGCTATAGCCTTAGATCATGCAACTTACTCCGGGCGCCATCCATAGTAATTTGTCGTGCTCTTAGTCGAGGTGCCATCTTGCCACTTTTGCTTCATCCCATTCCAAGAATTGTCTGGCATGTAGATAATAAATTGTCTGTTTCCTTGACAGACAGGAAATGAGATGGTAGGTACCTATGCGGCTACTTAGACCAGAAATAAGCCAGTCTCGGGCTTATAAACTACTGGAGGGGTCTAATTTGATAGGTAATATGCCATCAACTTCATTGAAAGACCAAAAGTGGCTGTAGTCTCATCTTGTTCGACTGGTATATAGTTGACTTTGATGGTTCAGACTGTAAGTATGAACCCCATCTAAGTCATCAACATGCTTTTATAGGTAAATTTGGTAGACCTTGCTAATTCGCAGTCCCAAATTGCTGTAGACATTGTGAGTTTGAAGAGTTGAGACAGTAAGTTGAAATTGTCAGAACATACTAGATGAACCGGAGTTTTGCTTTTTCTTGTCGAGTGATCGATAACAGGTGATTGGGCGTATTATATAAGAGGTGACCACGGAGCTGCTAAGTTTCTAGGTTACGGCAGGTACGGCAGGCAGGCAGAACAGGCTACAGCTCCAACTCCAACTTTGTTTATTGGCAGTAGCCCAGGAGACCGTCTACCTGTAAAGTCCTAGCCCATACTTTATTCTGCCGGTAATAATCGACCGCCTTCTCTATTGGGAAGAATGCACTTAGCTATTGAGTATACGCTAAACCCTTTTAGGTAACGGTAAAAACGTAAAGGTGGATACCTATCCATTTTACAAGGTACCTTACCTTAGCAACTGCTTAGCTCGACACGTCCAGCATCATTTTCTTATTGAATTGAATATCTGAAGATTGCATTCACGCCCCTCCGCAACTTCGTAAAAACAACATTCCCATCAGTGCAACAACTGCCACAAGTGCACCTACAGCAAATAAACCGACCTAAGTAACCGAGAAGTGGTGCATATCCGTTGCATCACAATCTTCTTTTCCCCAACGAACCACGCGACAATGCGATAGAATTCAAGAGTACGAATCATGGAGGACGATGGTGATCTTAATGCCCTCCAGGCTTTACATAAGAATCTGAGCAACACAACTGAGGCGCTCAGAGCCGATCGCGAATTTGAGGTCCGGAACGGGTTGCTCTTGCGCTTTTTAGAAACTTCAGGCGCTCTCTTGGATGACCTGAGCCCAAAGTTTAGGGCGTTACTAGAAAAACCTGGAAGAAGAAAAGAAAGTCGAGATGCCGTGTTGTCAGGTTCGTTATTTTTTATTCTACTCTACTTGACCTGACTCGCTTTTTCTAACAGCAAATCCAATATAGGGAAAGCCGTCTTGTCCGGCGAGGAATATACTTTGAATAAGGACTTCCAAGAGCTTACCTTACAAATTGCCGACAGTTTAGAATTGGACGAGATCGATGCAGCCAAATTGGCCCTCGCTACCCAACATGACGATATCGCATTGGGGCGTTCTTGGAAGGAATGCGCCATAATACGGTTCCATCAGCAGAGGAGCTTCTTGCTCAACTGCATGCTACTGCTTTTGGAACTTGCTAAGGAAGAGGATGAACTTGTCGCTGAAGATGTCGGTGAGAACATTGGATCCCTCGGAAGCCTTAGTCGATACGTCAGCGAGAATATCCTTCGAGAAAACCTTCCTGGCATTACCAATTCGCCATCACAACCGAGATTTGTGCCTGCATGCGTGTCTACGATGGGCGATATCAGAATGTGGCTTCAAAAGCTTGCCGAACAGGTCGCGAGCGCTTCTGTGCTAGGTGTTGCCAGCGAGGCCCAGTTTCAGGAGACCGTGGAACTCACATATGTCAGCCTGGTTCAGCAGCATGAACTCCTTTCTGTCATTCTCTGTTACGCAATCGAGAAACATGTGGCAATTGAGAATGACTTCATTGATTTTCTTCGGATACTGAAGCAGGCTACTAGATACGACTCTTGCACTGGTGAGTTTGTTATTCATGCTTTATCTATCATTGATGAGATGGCTTCAATATGTCAATTGATTTTGTTTTTGAAACTAACTTCTTCAGTACATCTCGTACCTGTGCTCGGCACTTACATCTCGATTTTCGGCTCTACGGAGGGCAGCGGAAGTGTGGAACAAGCGAGAAAGTTGAATCGTATCGTTTGCCAACAATCGGAAGATGAAGCGCGGAGTATGCCTTTCCTTAATGCGGCAGTGAGAGCTTGGTGGATTGCCGAATACAGTGGCTGGTATATGGATGACGCTGCCGGCTCAGGTCTTTCCGGTATTGATATTGACGAAGGTAATAATCCCATGGATCTAACATTTATTGACATGACTAACAATTAGAAAAGAGGACAAGCAAAGGTCGAGATTGTTTGCCGAAGCATTAAGAGATGGCGCTTTTGACTTCATGTTGGCAGTTATCGCTGATGTTAAAGCGTCTGAGTGGGAAGACGCCGCTCGAAAATCATTACGACAATGGCTTCGAAAGCGAACCCCACCCCTATCTACTGATACTCTTCCATTTTCAGAACCTTTTCAGGCACGTCTTGCAGCAAAACTTGAGACGTTTGTAGATGCCTTCATATCAAACATGCCCGACGTTCTCCGAAGGCTGAAAATCGAGGAGGATGAACAGCGTCAGACTAGCCAAGGCCAGGAACAAGACTACGACTTAGAGAGGTTTCTTCTTATTATCGCCTACTCTTTCGAAGGCCGACCGGAGGCTGCGGATGGGTTTTGGGGTGACCCCGAGAATAATCTAGCGGGGTTTCTTCAATGGGCGTCTCGAAGAGCGACAACCCCAGTGCAGGCCGCATTCTGTGAGATGCTCCAGTCCTTATCTGAGGACGAGCCTTCTGCCAAATCCGCGCACGAATTTCTCCTGGACGAAGGCCATCAAATTCGAAAGCCATTGACTATTACATGGGCCCACATCATCCACGAGCTGGAATACTTTGCTAATAAAATCAGAGAGAAACCCGCCGCAACCCAGGTCAGCATGAACAGAGCTGGAAAAGTCAACCCGGAACAAGCCGAAACCGAACCAGAATTTGCGGCGATGCTGGAATCCTACCTGAGACTTATGGCTAAACTGACTAGTCAAAGCGAGGCAGCACGTAAATACCTGTTCGAGCAACCACACCTACTGAGTATACTCTTTCAAGTGGTGAGCAGCTTGGTTACACCTCGGATCAGAGCATGTACGTTTAGGGCGCTATCCTCTCTTCTTAGTCGAAAGACCGTTGAACAAAACGATATTTTGTGGGAGTATTTAGAAGCATGCCTCTCTGGGCGCTTCTTTTTGTCTACAAATAGGGCCGGGTCTTCCTCAAGCGCCCAGCCCCCATCTTTCTACATGGAAGGTCTCTTTCAAGAGATGAGTCCGCACGCCGACGATGCTATTGCTTTCATTCAGTTCCTAGCTACGTTGACATCCCTTCCACAGGAATCCAGTTCTCTTAGGGATGTGCTGCCGTATCCAAAGGATCTTGGTGCATCGACTCGGATGCGCTCGGGCATCGAGCCGTACATAGACTTCGCCCTAGGGCACATGTTCTCCATTCGAGCTCAGGATGTTCCAGAATCCGTGCAGCAGAGAATGCTACGACTATGTTGCTTAGATCTTGCATTAACATGTGTTTCTAACTTCAACGAGGACTTAATTATATTTAGCAACGAAACTAACGTCAATGTTGATGCTGCAATAAAATGCGACAGCCTCGAAAATTACGTCACATTGCACCCATTCGCTAGAGTCATGGAGTGGATGTATGATGCCAAGTTCATGAAGGGCATCCTCGAAACGATACACCAAAACCCGGCGGATATTGGAAAGGCGGCACCAGATTCACCTCTCATCCTTAGTGTTCTCCGCGCGATTGAGCTTGTCTCGAAGGCTTTGGATCTTCAAGCTACTTATATTAATCTTGTCAGGCCGATTGTAAAACCACAGTCTCGGACACAAGGTCGTTCGGCATATATACCCGTGTCAAATGGGGCGTTCGGTTCTATAGAAGACGGCCTTATGGTTAGTATGGCGCTGATGTCTGATCTCGGCAGTTACTGTGGCATTGGCCATCCAGAGTTAACTTTGGCAAGTCTGAAGCTCTTGGAGAAGATATCGGCGTCGCCTAGGGTCATTTCTGTTTGGCAATCGGGCTCTTCGAACTTAACTCATCGAAACAAAGCTATTATGGCTTTGGAGGAACATGACGACGCGGCCACCATTGCTGGATCTTTTATTACCGAGTTTCATACCCCCCTAGACCTTTTCAAGGAAAGCGAGTCACCGGAATATCAAATCAAACTCTACATCCTCGATTTCATCCATTCTTGCATGCAAGCGAGCCCAGACCGACCTACGATTGCTCATTTGCTTCTTGGATTTCGTTGCGGGGCCAACACAGTTGAGATCGAGCCTGGTAGCCCATTTGACGAGGGGAAGTCTCTATTCCATGCACTATTGCCAGTGATTATTGACGTTAAGGCGACAAATGAAGAAGGATCCATGATTACGTGGCTCGTGAATTTTAGGTATAAGGTTATGCGAATTCTCAAACTACTTTGGAGTTCTCCGCTATCCTCTAGGACCGTCCTCGAAGAACTTCGAGCGAATGAATTCCTCTTCCATATTCTTGTCCAAGGTTTGGTGGTCCAGCAAAATCTTCTATGGGATGGGGTTGAGGCCAGCGGACCAGACTTCCTTACCTACCCCGCTGCTGGAGGCTATGTTGATTTTCTCTCAATGAGGGCCATGGCACTTGAGTATGTTACTCGCGAGCTCTGCAGCGTCTCCCTTGGCCACACGCCCGCTCTGAAGCGACGGATCTTCGACGCCCTCGGAGGCCAAATTAAAGTCGATAGTCAGGGTGTTATATCAGTACCCTCGGCATTCGAGTTTCAGGATTCTCTATCTCAAGAATCTCAGTTCGAAACTGCTCCGCCCGATTTCAAAATTGTTGGAGAATTAGATCTTAGTTCCTGTCTTGAGGAGGACGACGACCAAAATCGAATATACAATTTGAACAAGGTACAGGAAATTTTGCTTTTACGATTTAATGAGACTGGCAGGCCTGGCCAACTTATCCTGCAGGAGGACCTTGAACTTATGGAAACTGAAAAGGACATGCTGCTACAATACCTACGGTACCTGAACCGATTTACGCAAATAAGAGCGTACAGCCACAAGGTTCTAGCAGCGTGGACGAGATTGTTGATGGTTATGACCAATTGCAACGAGTTCAAGGGCACAAACAAAGTCTCTTTCATACTACAAACGCTGCAGGCGATGCTGCCTAGCCTCGAAATGTACGGTTCGGATAACCCTAGCGCTGCTCTAGAGCTCGCAAAGCTTGCTAAGGTGTTATTATTCGAATTGGATTTCGAGACGATGACCTCGACCGATAAACAAAGTCGAGCGGTGGAGAATTTAATCAGTGACAAGCTTTTCCAACTTCTCCAGGTCTGCCTGAGCGCGATTGCAAAATGGGCCGGTAATCAAGAACTGCGAGCAGTCTATTACAGTATTTGCTATCGGCACTTGACGGGGCTCGTCGACCACGGACACGGAGTTTCGTCGAGCCTACGAAAGACAACTAAGACGATACAGGCATTCGGTGAGAAGTTGTTAAATGTCGTGTGCGACGATGCATTTGGCGGGGACGCGGCATGTCAATCGGCAGCTCTAATCCTCCTAGGAACCCTAGTCCAGCTTGGCAAGCAGGAGAATGATAACTTTGTAGTGGAAACGCTCAACCGACTGAACTTCATCGGCATACTCGTCGATTCTCTGCGCGACGTATTGGCGGAATGGGAAGTCGTTAGCCGGACAGGTAAGTCCTACTTACTACTTCTGCTGCCAGGAGCTGATGATCTGACTTATATTTCTAGGCGATTCGGACCAGCAGAACTACATCGATGCCAAGCTCGCTCTCCTACTACAACTGTGTCAGACGCGGGAAGGCGCCAAGAATGTTCTGCATGCGAATCTCTTCAGGGCCATCGAGCAGTCAGGACTGTTTTCGGTGGATCCCGAATTACAGGTTGATTCGGCAGATAGTAGGGCGTTGGAGAGGCACTACGATCTTCTAGTCAAAGTGGCGCGCATCATCGGTGCAGCGATTGTCAGTAGAGGGTCACATAACGTGCTGCAAGGCAGGCGCTTCTTGACCGAACACCGCATGCTGGTGATGCACGTGCTGAAGCGTTCAGCTGGAATTGGGGCGGGAGCTGGTAAGACAGATACGCTACTGTCTGAACGCGTTAGCGACTTGGCTGAGGCATTCATGGTCGTGATCACTGCAACCGGGTTTCTTGAGGTAAGCTTGGGTCACTCTTGGCATAATACCTGCAGCGAGAAGATTTTGCTAATACTCTACGTTATCTACAGTTCGAGGGCGGAAATTTGCAGGAGGACAAAAGACCGGCACCGATGTTGTTCCACTAAAAGTAATAGGGACGGCTCCGTGAGATCTATGGCACGGCCTACATAGATAGGCCAGGTATCTATGTAGAATAGATGACGCGGTCGAGCAAAAATTCGTTGGTAGTGTGTGCGACAAGGACTTGTACTCGTAGGTGATAGTAGTAACGCCACAGGAACGCGTGAGATCAGGTCTTGGCTGTTGGTGTATGATACGATATAATGATGGCTAGCCTACCCGCAGGAAATGAAATGCAAGATACCGCCGCAAGGCAGAAAACCGTGAATACCTCCCATTAGTAACGAGTCATTGTCATGTGATTGATATGCCATGAAGAAGGGTGATATCCAAGGGGTCGCTAAGAGGAGGCCTAATCCTGCTTCGGTTGGTTTGCGCACTGGAATCAATCTAGAAGGTCTTGGCTGGTCTTGGCTGGTCTTTGGCGGATTTGCTTGCTTGATCGCCACTGAAGCTAGAGGATGATATCTTGGTCAACGATGATTGGTTAGGACGGGCTGTGATATGTTATGAGATTTGCTCCAATTAACTGGGCTAGCGGATGCTGAGCCGTTGGTGTCGGCCTCTTAAGGCTTGGCCACCTCGTAGCCCCCTCGTAGCCCCCTTGGCCTAGGTAATAAGAAGCCTGGCCTATCAAGTTTTCCAATGCACATTCTATGTACCATAGTACGCCATCTGCCCCAGACCTTTGCCCGATCTAGAAGCTCGCGATGTTCCCCTCTAACCCCTACAACCTTGACTTCCCCATCCGTGTAACTCACTATCTAGAGTCCGTGCAGACTAGACCGTTGCTGGCACTCGGTCTCCATCGACTATCGCAAAACAATACCACTACGCACTAACGCCGTCTTGGGAGAGAAGATGGTTGGTTGAGAGATTCTGGTGGACCTGGCCCTTGCAAGATGACGATAACCGTCGAGTCTGGGGAATCAGAAGTGCCAATTCGACTATTACACATCAGAGACGACGCAGACGATGCGGTTGATTCTCCATCGCCTTTATGAATGAAACATCACATCGTGGTAGCCAGGTCAATCACATACCACATTCTCCTGAATCTACGACATTATCGCGACTGTCACTCACGCATCCGTTAGGTGGCTTCGATGAAGTCGCCGAGGAAAGTCCAGATTGACCAGTACCTGCACTATAGTTCAGGGCACGCGACATGTTACCAACCTTCCAGCCGTCTTACCGGCTTTGCTTACCTACTCGAGTATGTAGCACATTGACTCGCGATACTAGGTGCTACCTTGTAGGTAAGCAAGATTAACCAGGGGTCCAAGGGTCTTCCAGGCAGCCCCAGGTACCGTGATAGCACTGGTTCTACGGCGTAGTACAATTCCTAGTGCATCTCATTAAGAAGAAGCCAGTCCGGGCAATAAGGCCAAGAGCCTCTAAGCTAGGGTGGAAGGCGCCCACTGTTGATTGCAGTCGTTCCTTCGGTCAATGATATGCGTCCGCGCTCCTGCTGCCACTACGCTGTATTGGTGGTAAGTACGCTGTACGTAGTATGTACGTACACGAGCTGACGGAAGGAAAAGAGAGACAGTTGAGAGTTGGAGAGATAAGCAAAAAGCCCCATGTTCTTTTCAAGGTTCCCCCCATGCCCCGCTAGACCTACTAGAGATTTACGGGACTAAGCTGAGGTAGTGGACTATGCTACGTAGTACCAGGTATCTAAACTGTTCCAGTTCCAACAGTGGCCACTGGGCACTGGGACTGACCTGTTCAATGTTCCGTTCACCAACGGATGACCGATTGGGATTGGTTGGACGGGTAGCAAGACAGTCTCGTTACTCTGCATCCAGTCTCTGCAGCCGTTGGATCCAACCCGATTACATGGTATGTACTGGGCAGAGGGTATACTATAGTACATTGGATGCCATTTATTAGTTGAGGATCACCCAAGCCACCACCCTGCGCTTCCTGCCTTCGCCTCTTTTGTCTTTCCGACTCTTCAACAAACCTTAGGACTCGGACACATCACGTCCTGAATCGTGTTTTGTTCGTCGCCTGTGTCAACTATCTGTCGGAAGCGAAAAAACAATCCATATCTAGGAATATTCAACTGGGCTTGTGTTCATCATGTCCCATTCGAACCATTCCAGTTTGGTTCAGAGGTCGACGGCTTCGTCGCCCTCTGGGGACAAGGAGAAGATGACTTACACCGACGTCGACCTCGAGCGTTCGAACACGCACATCCGCGGTCTAGAGACTTCGGCCGAGACGTCGCTGCACCGTGGTCTTAAGGCTAGACATATTACTATGATTGCCATCGGTGGTGCTATAGGAACAGGTCTTATCATCGGAACCGGAAAGGCTCTCGCGCAAGCCGGACCCGGATCTATCTTCATCTCCTACTCGATCGTCGGTTTCATCGTCTACCTGGTTATGGCTGCTCTTGGTGAGATGGCCGCGTGGCTCCCTATGTCTGCTGGTTTCACCGGTTACGCTTCTCGGTTCTGCGACCCGTCGCTTGGTTTTGCACTTGGTTGGACGTAAGTTGCACCTGTTTTCTCCCACGACTCGATTTTTATATACGAGAGATTCATAATGTTGCATTGATATAATAAAACTAACTTTTAATCCCCGATGATATAGTTACTGGTTAAAATATATCATCGTCACGCCTAATCAGCTGACCGCCGCTGCTTTGGTCATCCAATTTTGGCTACCTCGAGATCGAGTCAATCCAGGTGTTTGGATTACGATATTCCTCGTCGCAATTCTCTGCATCAACTACTTCGGTATCCGATTCTTTGGTGAATTCGAATTCTGGCTGTCCAGTTTCAAGGTTGTCGTCATCGTCGGCGTCATCATCCTGGCCCTCGTTATCGCAGCTGGTGGCGCTGATGGAGACCCGAAGGGATTCCGATACTGGCAATCGCCTGGGTATGTTTACTTATTTCCTTATTGATATTTTCTCCTGCAGGCTGTGTTCTCTGCAGCCCTACGATCTCGGGATTTAACCAGATGAACATGTCATTTTTTATGGCACGCAAGGCTGACTCAGAACCAAACAGTGCATTTGCGCCGTACATCTCTACCGGGTCGTGGGGCGAGTTCCTCGGCTTCTGGTCTACCATGGTGACGGCCACCTTCGCCTATTTGGGTACCGAGCTTGTCGGTGTGACGGTCGGCGAGGCTCAGAACCCGCGAAAGACTATTCCCCGCGCTATCAGACTCACCTTCTACCGTATCGTCTTCTTCTACTGCATCAGTATCTTGTTGATCGGCATGTGCGTGCCCTACGACTCCAAGGAGCTCGCGTTCGCCAATGGCAACACCGGTACCGCCAACGCATCCCCCTTCGTCGTCGCCATCAAGCTTGCGCATATCCCCGTCCTGGACCACATCCTCAACGCCTGTATCTTGCTGTTCGTGTTCTCGGCCGCTAACTCCGATTTGTACATCGCCAGCCGTACTCTCTACGGTCTATCGTCCGACGGCGCTGCACCCTCTATCTTCCGTAAGACCAATGCTAACGGCGTGCCGCTATACTCGCTCATTACGTCGGCTGCCTTCGCTCTTCTCGCGTACTTGAACGTGTCGGACGACTCCAAGGCTGTGTTCACGTACTTTGTCAACCTAACCACCATCTTCGGTCTACTAACCTGGATCTCGATCCTCGTAACGCACATCTCGTTCGTGCGCGCACGCCGCGCCCAGGGCCTCACCAACGACATGATGCCGTTTATTGCGCCGCTAGGTCTATGGGGCTCGTACGGTGCGCTCGTCATGTGCATCATCATCGCGCTAACAAAGAACTACGACGTCTTTGTCGGCGACTGGAACAAGAAGTACCCTACCTTCATCACCGGTTACCTAGGCATCCCTATCTACCTCGCCCTCATCGGTGGCCACAAGGCGTGGACCAAGAGCAAGGGTGTCCGACCCCACGAGTGCGACTTCTACACTGGAAAGGACATCATCGACAGGGAAGAGGAAGAGTTCCTAGCTGCCAAGGCGGCGGCTAAAGCAGCGAGACCCGAGGGCGAGGAAAAGAACATCGCTTGGTTCTACAGGAGGTTCGTCTCTTGGCTGTTCTAAGTCACAGGCGCTTTCTACGCAACGACGAGCAACGGAAACGGGATCGGGAATTTTTTGGACCGGGGCATGGGGGTATGGGAGGAGCGTATATCATCATTTATTGCTGCTACTTATCATACCGGCATTGGAAGATACCTATTACTTTTTTTGTCGCTCTGTTTTGTATATATACTCTATCATCGATCTACAGATGGCTCAAACGCTGCAGATGATCTACCTGAGCGTCTTGGGCGTAATGAAGGGGAACAAATATTTTATTAATTTTGGTATATAAGTACATAGACATACATATGTATATATTTTACCTGCACGTTTGGTTTGTTTTTTGTGCAGATGGTTAATATATGTAGGTGCATGGTGGTGATTAGTGGAGTGTTTGCTAGGTACCTAGGTGCTAGGCCAGTAGAGACGTCGTTAATTGCGATTGCAGTTACGCTTACACAATCGAAACCGTCTCCCATACTCTTGGGTGCGGTATGTAATTATGTCACGGAAACCACTGAATCGACCCGGGAATGCGTGCGCTGGTAAGACACCCATCCATGCGGCAAACATTCCCGTCCCCGGGTCCTCCCCTCCCCCTCCCTACCCATCCATCCCTTTGCGGCTCAGGGAAATCGGGAAGGTGAACTATACCTGGCACTAGGTACCTACCTATCCATGGGTGGTGGTGGTATGTCAGCCCGTAACGAGGGACAGGGCCTCGGCAGGGTGGCACCGCAGGGCAAACTGACAGGTGAAGACACGAGACTCCCTGCCGGACTGGGAGCGGGGGGGGTTATTTGCCCGAGTTGCGTGCGTGCGATGCTACGCTCTGCTCAGCCCCTAAATTGCCCGTCTGGCCTATTAGATGCCCTGAACGGACTGCTGCTGATGTCGGCGCTCGCGAGTTGGTCGCTGTCAGCCACTCGATCGGTTGGGTGGATGTAGATACGCGGGTTTGAGAGGGGAGGGGGTTGTGTTACGCTGCTGGGAGGGGAGGGGAGGGAGGTAGGTGTTGTTGTTGTTATTTTACGCACTCGCCCAATTGTGATGGGTGGTTTCATCTTCTTTCCTGATTTTCATTTAGGTATAATACAACGCCTATTTTTAGCTTGGTTTTGAACCTCTTTCCCTTTTCCTGCGAACTCGGGGTTTTTCTTCGCTTGTGTAGGGATTTACATACAGGGGCGTTTTACATACATACCTACATACGGGTGCAGTTCGATCGGGTTCTTCCTCGAAGGATTCGATCAGCGTCAGCATTGTGTGTCCTTTTCCGTCTCTGTCCGCTCTTTGCACTTTAGGGCGCCCGGGTTCTTAGGTAGGCTGGCTCTGCTCTTACTGGACTAGCAGGTGGTCAGAAGTCTAATTACCGATGCACGTCGAATCTAGCCCCCATCCATCCATCGTCGTCGCCCGCTACCACTGCTAGCTTCAGCTTGCCTCTAGCTGGACCCTTAGCCGCGTCGTCGTCGCATTAACGGATCCGCTGCATCTAGTTATGATTGCCGTGTCCTTAGCCCACTAGGAACTATTGCGGTAATTGCTCGTGTGCACTGTTAATTAGGTCTAGAGACCAATGAGGCGCGTTTTGCCGATGCTTTGGAAATCGATTGGGTGCTTACCTGTGAAAGCTACCTAATTATTAGCGAGTCTGTTTAATCCGCTAGAAATGGTCCCCTATTTTAATACTACGATACTTATGCCGACCCCGTAGCCCTCGAGAGCTAGGGTATAGGCATAATGATAGGGGGCTTGGTTAAGGCTGATGCACCCTTGTCAATGATCTCGTATTTAACTCTGAATAGCGACAAGTTTGTGATCATATACTTACCTAGTAGGTATAGTGTTGCTTTGAAAGAAAGCATAAAGTTGCCTGTAGGGACTTTTCGCAAGACTAACCCCTTTGCTATAATGCAACCTTCAGGGCGTGGGGGTTAACTTTTAGAACTAGTTAACCCCATATATGCGGTAAAGATCACTGAAACAGCCCCGTAACTTCACATATAGAACGTCAAATAGGACCGAGTTACCTTTTTGGCTAGAAAAGGTAAAGAAGAAGCTTAAGTTGGTAGGTCTAAAATTTGCTAATTTCCAAGGTTACCAGATCTACCTAGGTATTTAAATATATAATAGGTATGTACCTATCAGTCATATGGTGTTACAATGTCTAATTAATTGTCGGACCAGTTGCCCTTCCCCTATGACATACACTGATTGCTTCGGTATTTGCATATAGAAGGTCAATTTAACCTACGACTTTGTTATAGAATTCTGAGCCTCCTATATGGTATTGTTCTACCGTTTGGGGTCCAATTTAATCATTTAATAATGATGAGAGCTTTTATCAAGAGTTTGGCAATTGATTTTTATTCATACCTATAGGTATACACGCCTACTTTAGAATATATCCAAATTGGCTAGGCGTCCAAGGTAGATAAGACATCTTCTAGCTGCTTTGCAGTATCACTGCTCTCCTCTGCCCTACTTCTTAACTGCTCCGCAATCCCTCGTACAGCTCTAGCTGAGTGTAGATACCGCTTCCTCAAACCCGGGTTCGAGTTTTCTAGTAACGTTGTGGCAAGCTGCAACACATCTGCTTGAAACTCGAGAAGCGTGGAATCATTAGCATTCTCGGGGCTGGGAACATTGTATGCTGCTACTGCTGTCACAATGTTCATATAATCCTCGGGTGTGGTGCCTTCGCTCTCAGCAACAGTATTTAGGACGAGAGCTATGTGAGTACCACGAATGAAATCTAATCTTCGCAGTACACTAGGAGTCGAGCTTTCCTCTAGAATCTTGAGCAAGTCGGGCGACAGGATTGTCCAGCCGTTATGCAAGTTAAATGCATCGATTCCTTTCGACGTTCGAAGCACGCCTTCGAGTGCTGCTAGAATCGGAAGTCTGTAATCCAACCCTTTGGGTTGAGATGATGCCGAACCGCTACTCTGGTATAACTCGATAAACATGTCCATCAATCCCGAACACTCCTCCCTTGGAATATCATCATCGTCCTCCCGAACCCAGAGCGCGATCGCTCGGATAGCAGATAAAATGAATGCATCCGTGGCTGCGCTCTCGTCCTTAGCATCCCATGCTAGTGTCTTGTGGGATCCGGAGTTGGTATGTGCCTTGCCGGTACGAGCTTCCGGGTGTAGCCCCTGGGCGCCGGCTATCGACGCGTCCCAGCGATCTCGCAAGTACTCCATCGTGGCGGATAAGGTCTCGGCAATGGAACGGCTTAACTTGATGACAAGGTCAGGGGATATCTTGAGCCAGATACCCACCGAGTCTGCGACAGGCTTGGGATCGTCTAGTTCCTCCATCCAGGCGACGAGCTGACCGATGAAAGCTGTTAAGATATCAAGGGCTGATGTGAGGCGTTGTGAGATATGAGGGTATTCTGGATCGTTAAGTTTTTCTAGGAGCGAAGGTAAGGTTGCGCGGAGGTCTACTAGAATGAGGCTGATGAAGAGATAAGAGAAGGGTTTTGACGAGTCCTTCTCATCGAGGAACAACGACCGGATTGTCGATTCAGGATAGATGAGAAGTAAGGCGCCAGCACAGTTTATGTAAGCCGACCGGCTGGCTGCGTTTGGTCGATTAGTAGCCAAATTACATATAAGCTTGGTAACTGAACCAATCCATTTGGGGTTTTGTGGTATGAGCTTAAGACTTGTTAGCGAAATAACTTCGGCTTTAGAGGTACAAGCGAACTCACACTCTCGTCAAGATTCCGTAAGATATGGGATATGAATTCTAAGAGGCTTGTTGCGTCGGTGCCGATGAAAGAAGATACAAACGACTGGACGCCACCGTCGATCTTATCTCTCATCAAGTCCTTTGCTTTTTGATCTTCGAGACCAGCAGTACCCTTTTCCCAGGCCCAGATGAAAATCGACAATACATGAGAATGTTCAGGCGCGATTTCAATTAGAGATGCCCAATCATCAACTTCGAGGTTGGCAAAGATTTTAGCACCGTCAGGTATAGTGATGAGAGTTAGCAATGTCTCTATGATGACCTTTGTGGTCTCCTTAGAGCTATCCTCGAGTTAGTATATAAATACTACAAGGGAAATATTAGTACCTACCTGTGGAGGGCAGCTTTGGTTAATCGTGGTATTCGATTTAGGAGCTTCGAATCTTGCCTTGCGTCTTCAGGTAGCAAAATCGCGAAGGTGTGAACGACGGCAACAGCTAAGTCAAGCATGTCCTTGGAATTCTTTGATTCCGAACCAGCCTGAGAGCCGGTACGTAACAGGCGGTCTAAAAATCTGGGCGAGATAGAGTCCCATAATGAAACAATGACTTCCTTATTACCTTGAAGATCGGGGGAGTTGTCCAAGACTGATTTCAGGAGAGCTAATCCAACAAATCTAGAAGTATCATCTTTGGTCTTCAAAAGTTGTTGGATGTTTTCTATCGACGGAACTTTGGTCTGATTTGATCCGCCTGCGTCGCCACCACCATCGTCATCTTGAACCTGTAACTTTGAGACATCCGGTACATCCATTTTTGATCTGATTTATATGAGATTCGACTGTTGGGTAGGGTTCATTTTCTATATCATATCCGTTCGACTCTCGATCTCGATACTGGATATGGGCGTGAGTTGCTCACGATAGCTTTACTAGCTTGAGTTAAAATATTTCCGATTTGTGATTGAGGTCAGATTCTTAAGTCTTCTGATTTTCTGGTTATTCGATTGCGAAGTTCTTTTGAATTCTATCTTCAATTTGGCAGCCAATAATAAATAATGACGACACTAATAAAACTTACTGGGTCACAGTAACACAGATCGGTAACACAAATGGACCTTGTAACACTCTAGGCAACAATTGTGCATAGACGCACAGAACTCTTATCGTTATCTCGTACCCAGTACCTAACTAATAATAGGTTCCCGGCGGTCGGGACCCCTAACAGGCTCTCGCTGATCGCAAAGTCGCAACACGGGCTACGATTTACATTGACGGCTACGAAACTTGCTCAAACCTCGAATTAATCCCCGGATACTCAAATCTTGCTACAGTACGAAATAGGAGGCACTGCGATATGGCAAATCGCATACCCGGGCCTTCGAGATGGCAAGCAGCAGTAGGAATTTCATGAACACCCACGACGAAGAAGGTTCGTCATCTTCATCGAGATCGCCGAACGGGCTGCATCCCCAAACCCACAATGACGAAAGAGACGAGCTCGACAACTTATTTGATGGCGACGACGATGGCCTTCTTAGCGATGACCCCATGAGCGAGGAGTTGGCCGAGCCTATGAGCTTCAAGAGGAAACAGAAACAATCCATTTTCTCTAAACCGAGCAGGTTGTTGTCTACCTTGACAGGCAATCGCCTGGGATCAGTGTCGCCGCGCTCACCCCATTCTGCCCACTCCGGCACGGCGACACCTACGAGATTACAACTACAGAGTGCTCCCGAGACACCGAATATCCCGAAAGAAGGAACTCCGCTCGATTGGTACGTCGAGGGGCCGGGGAGGAGAGTAGGTTACGAGGATTTGACCGCGATCGATTGGATCTTCGAATACACGAAAGAGCGACAACGTCTACGAGTACTATATTCGAGTGCGACGGGTATAATAGGATACATACAACAGTTACTAGATTCTAGCCAGATATGGGTCATCCTCGTTCTGACGGGCATTGCTGTCGGTGCGCTAGCCGCTGCGATAGATGTTGCCTCGGATTGGCTAGGAGATATAAAGACGGGATATTGCGCCTCAGGGCCTGAAGGGGGAGCATTCTATCTAAACAAGCAGTTCTGCTGTTTCGGCTACGACCAAGGCGCCAAATGCTTAGGATGGAAACCATGGGCCGCCGCTCTAGGGATAGGCTCTGTAGGGGGGAAGTGGTTTATAGAGTATTTCTTCTTTCTATTGCTTTCCGTGAGTTTTGTCGTCCACGCTCTTGAGAAAGGGTTTCTGATCTGTGAATAGGTCGCATTTGCGTTCTGTGCCGGATTCCTGGTCAAGGAATATGCTATTTACGCCAAGCATAGCGGTATACCCGAGATAAAAACGGTGCTGGGTGGCTTCGTCATTCGGCGTTTCTTAGGGGCATGGACATTGGTCACGAAGTCTTTAGGACTGGTATATTTCATCCCAATAAATTTTGCGACGGGTGGATACTAACTGGGAATAGTGTCTTGCTGTCGCATCCGGCATGTGGCTTGGAAAGGAAGGCCCCTTGGTGCACGTTGCATGCTGTTGCGCCAATCTGTTTATCAAATTATTCCCAAATATTAATACCAATGAAGGTGAGTATCGTAGACATCGAGAGTGTAAGACAGACGTTAACTTGGAACAGCACGAAAACGAGAGGTTCTATCTGCAGCTGCAGCGTCGGGAATCTCGGTTGCATTCGGATCTCCTATAGGGGGTGTGCTGTTCAGCCTTGAACAACTATCTTACTACTTTCCCGACAAAACCATGTGGCAGAGTTTCGTATGTGCCATGACAGCTGCTGTTGTGCTGCAAGCCTTTGACCCCTTCCGGTCTGGGAAGCTTGTGCTGTACCAGGTCAAATTCAGTACAGGTTGGCACGGGTTCGAAGTGATACCATTTGCTTTTCTCGGAATCCTAGGCGGATTATATGGCGGACTCTTCATCAAAGCTAACATGCGTGTGGCGCAATGGAAGAAATCTGCGACATGGCTTCCGGGTCCCCTAATACAAGTAACTGTCGTAGCCCTCTTAACAGCCCTTATTAATTATCCCAACTTCTATATGCGAGCACAATCTTCGGAGCTCGTATCTTCGCTCTTCTCAGACTGCGCCCTGGTCCTCGACGACCCATTTAGTCTCTGTAAGACAGGCGCTGCAACAGCCGGTACCATCATCCTACTCCTATTCGCCGCCGTCCTCGGCTTCTTCCTTGCGTCTATTACCTTCGGCCTGCAGATCCCCGCAGGTATCATTCTACCATCCATGGCCATCGGCGCGCTCTCCGGCCGCGCCGTCGGCATCATCATGGAGATATGGCAGCGCAACCACCCTGACTTCTTCGCCTTCAGTACCTGCGACGTGGGTAGACCATGCGTGACTCCAGGCGTGTACGCGATGATCGGGGCGGCGGCGGCACTCGCCGGTGTTACACGCATGACGGTTTCCATCGTCGTCATTATGTTCGAGCTGACAGGCGCCTTAACCTACGTCCTACCTATCATGGTTGCCGTCATGTTATCCAAGTGGGTCGGCGACGCCTTTTCGCGCCGCGACATCTACGAGAGCTGGATCCACTTCAACGAATACCCCTTCCTCGACTCCGGCGACGAGGGCGGCGGCGCCCAACACGTCCCCGACATCCCAGCCTCGCAAATCATGACGCGCATCGAGGACCTCGTCGTCCTCACTGCCACAGGCCACACCATAGCGAGCCTACGAGGCGTCCTCGAAACCTGCGACTACCGCGGCTTCCCCGTCGTCAGCGACCCGCGCGACGCCATTCTGCTCGGCTACATCAGCCGCGCCGAGCTCGCCTTCAACATCGCAGCGAGCAGGCTCCCCCCCGAAGCCGAAGCCTTCTTCTCCCACCAACCCCTCGCCGACCCCCGCGCCACCCTCGACCTCCGCCCATGGATGGACCAGACACCCCTCACGCTGCCCGGGCGCTCCAGTCTCACCCTCGCGGTCTCGTATTTCCAGAAGCTCGGGCTCAGGTACGTGCTTTTCAGCGATAGAGGCGTGCTGCAGGGTCTTCTTACTAAGAAGGATTGCTGGTATGTGTTACATGGCGCTGAGGAGGCGCGGCGCGGGAATGGGAGGGGCGGGTTTGCGGGACAGACGATGCGGGATGAGGGGGTTGGGGGAGGTGCGCAGGAGGAGGGTGTTATGGCTGTGGATGAGCGCGGGGGGTTGTTGAGTGCGGATGGGGATGCGAGTCCGGCGGATGATGATGGGGCGAGTGGGATATTGTAATATTGTATGTATGGGTGGGTTTGGTTGGGATAGATTTAGAAATATGGAATTTGAATGTTTCGATTGACTTGATTTTTACCAGTGTGAGTATGTTTGTTTGTTAAGTGCCTGGTAGATATGTAGGTAGAGTAACTTGGTCCGTGACGAGGGACTAGTGACTCATGCCCGCCAAACACACTGTACGAGGGCCGATAGTAAGGTTATATATCTAAAGAAGGAACAGCACCATAACAATTCCTCAAGGACTTAAAAATTACCTGGCTCAGTTGGATAGCCGTGTTTGTTGACCGCAGCAAGTGGTTGAAGCATCTACTCCCCTGAAGCGTTTGGTTCAAGCCGGGTTCTTGGGACTTGTTTCTTTTCTTTTTTTCTTTTTTTTTTCCTAAATCCTTTCTGCTTCCAAAAATTTCGTTGCAAATTTTTTCTTGCTATGCATACTTTGTATATGAAGTACCTGTAAATATATCCATGGATTATTCGCATCTTCTTTTCCATACCTAGCCGAGCAACACGGCGTATTCGTTGGCGTATATCCAGTGCACATATGGCCACCACACATTCTATATCACTACTATTCGTAGGTAGCTTTTAATAGGGGCCCTTCACTCGTAGGTTCTGTACACAAAGTAGAGTAGCACAGAGCTTCGGAGTAAAACATTTACAACGTTTCTCGAATATATAATACGCATCTGACTGGGCACTCAAACTATTCCATTATTATATGACCCTCAGAAGATGTACGGGACATCTCTACTTCTCTCCAGGTGTTGGAAAAGTAATTGCCTTGTAAACAAACCTCGACCAACTCACAATCACGTAGAGGATGCATATAAAACACTGGGAAAGCTCGGAAAATTATTGTTTTGTATGTTTAGATAGTGTGCCTGTTGTTATCTTCCTATAACAACCACACCATTCCCCGCGAGATAGCGAAGGAATATGTAAAAAGCAACAAAGGCACCTCTTAACCCGATGTGAGGTGAAAATACAGTGGGGTATCACTCCGTGGATGTTATGAACGAACTCCCCTTCCCATGCAAAAACCTCGCATATTGCCTGGTATCAATCGAATATTGTAATGCCTGCCCATGATTGCCAATGCCTTTTCTTCCCTGGGTTGAACAAAAAGTACTCCATTAAAGAAGTCCAACTCTATTGTCATGTGCTCTCCTATTCTATCCGCCTCGGCCAAGGTGTTGCGGTATGCCGTCAAGCGGTAGAGCATTCTTTAGTTTGTCGTAAGTCGTCGTCGACATCGTTTCTGAACTGCGTCTTCACCACGTCAGTTACAGCATGGCAGTGCCTCTGCCGCGATTAAGACGAGCCAGCAGGCTGCTTTCCCTTCTTGTTCGCGGTCATGATCTTCAGCTCGAGATGATAATACGACTTCTGGTTTTTGCCCTTCTTTTCCTTCGGATCGACCTTCGTTCGGCAGACAGGGCAAGTCTTCTTCATGTTGTCGATGTGAAGAGCCGAGTGCAAGCACTCGGAGCAGAATAGATGACCTAGCGAAACTATCAGTTAACTAACCGCCAGAGTTGAAATTTGGGCAATAATTCAGTCTTCAACATACCACAGTGCGTGACAGTCAGGTGGGAAGCATCATCCATGCAAATGACGCACTGAAATTTGCCAATCTTCATCCGATTATCACATTTGTCGGCTAACAGATCATCTGGGACGTCGGCGGCATTCGATAAGTCTATCGTCTCATGAACGTCCTCGCCCGCAGGGAAATTGGGAAGATCGTCGTCAATAAACGGAGATACATCGCTGATTCGCTTCGGTTTTGTTCTATTCACTCGACTGGAGGCGGGAGAAGACGCAGAAGATCGTCGGCGCTTGGGGGCGGCTGTGCGCGCGTCGTTTGGGTGAGAACGTTTTCTAGCGGGCGGCATGGTCGGTGTTGTGGGGTCGATCCCAGAGGTAGAATCTGGCTCCTCCTTTGTCAAATCGACTAAGCGTCTTTTGCTGACTATTTGGTCGCGAGGCTGAATTGGCATTGCCTCGCCAATCTCCAGAGGCTTCGGCAGGTTCGAGGACTGTGGACGAGTAGGCATACGCGGGCTACTATTAATGGGTGGTAGTGAGGGCGAGGAAAACTCGCCGTTGGCTAGGGTGAATAGATAATAATCGTCAGCGGCTGGCTCTGGGACAAGTCTGTTCGGCTGAGGCAGATGGGTGTGGGTATTCTGAGCGGCGGTTGATGACGATCGGGATTGTTCGTGTCTTGGCGGGGCGACGGAATAATGTTGACTGTAGTTAACGGGAGTTGGTCGCCGAGAAGCCGGATCCAATCCAGAGAATGCCGAATCCGGTCTCACTGGCACCCAACCAAATCTGTCGTGATCACGATAGGCGTTGTCGCCGTGTGTTGACGGGTTGAAGTATTCAGAGATTGAGGGAAGTTGTTGTTGATGCTGGTAGACTGGATCGGGAGAGCCGAGCTGTCCAGGGTGCAGGCCCGGCAAAGAAGGCAACTGAGGATTATGATAATGTTGTGGGTTGAGGTCTAGTTGGTTGAAATTAAGAGGATCGAATGGTGGCCCCCAAGCATCGGCAAAAGATGGTCGGTTAGGGGCGCTGGCGTTAATGAAGTCAAAAAAGGACTCGGCGTCGCTAGTAAGTGCGTTCTGACCTGAGTCCAGATCTGCTTGGGATGACGATACTACTAGGTTGCACACAACCGGATTTTAGCGTTTAATAGTCTCCATTTAGTTTCTCATGTTGATCCAACTGTGCGTGCGTGCGTGAGGTACTAGGTATGACTAAGGAAAGAGAGTGTCCACGGTATGGTGGCAAAGACTTGTGTAGATGATTTAGGAATAAAGAAGAAAAAAACCGTAAACGTAAACATAACCATAAAATGAAAACCTTAGAAAGGTAAAATGCACGAAATGTACGAAATGCAGTAACATAGAAGAAATGAAGAAATGGGTAGAATACCTCTGTAGGCCATCGTTTCTTTCTGGGGCTGAGAAATGTAAGTTGCTGGTAAAAAAACAGAGCCCGGTAAGCCGAGTGTTTGAAAAGGTCAAGAGTGACCTAGTTGAGTTCTTTCCACGCGTGATTGTCGGATCTCTGGCTCCCTGGCGCCGGCACTGGTGCTTTTCGTTAATCGCTGATACCGATTAAGTTCGTTCACATCCGGTTTTCCCTATTCATGGAGTGGAGGAGATAACCGCTTCCCGTTCTGCTCTTTCTAGGTAGTTTTTTTTCTCTTTCTGCCCGTGCGATATGTCTAAGGTGTACGATGCGATGCGCGTATGGTTTCTGATTGATTCCAAGCTGTCCAGGCTGTCCAAGGTTGTTGCTTTATTGCTATCGCAATAGCAATCAATATTTCGGCTGACCGGTCAAGCACAAGAATCTTACTGTCTTTTGATCGAAATATTCCCACATCTCGTTGTTGAGTCAAAATTTATTCGGTCGTCAATAGATACCTTGAGGACATCAAGGAAATAGAACTTCTGGATTCCCTTGATCAGGGTTGAGGCTGGATGTAAGTTGTTAAATAGGTCAACTGGTGTCGCAAATGTAATAAGTCAGGAGTCCCGCACTAGTAATAAGTACTGTGCTGTACGGTACGAGGGGTCCAAGGATGGGGCGGAGGTGAAGATTTGTGTAAGTGGCAAGTCGTCAGATATTTATTTGCACATGTGGTTTGATATTTCTTGAGTGTGCACAAATACATCCATGGATCTAGACTTGCGTGGTGCCTACCCTTAGATGGCGATGACTACCATACTCCGCGTACTATATAGGTAACTACATAAACTACATACTAATAAGTATGTACCTACTAGGTAGGCAGGAAACATTGAAAATTCAAATCGTCAATTGGAACCACCTAGGAATCTACCTCCACCTGATCCTTCCAACAACCTTGGAAACCACCAAGGCGACCTGTAGCTGCCATTCCATATGATGCACCTAGCATAAGTAGTATTGATCTCCTGATGGTCAGGTTTGTACGAGGTACAGTACCTACAGCTCAGGGCCTAGGGACTGTAAATGCTAAACCCCCAACGTGAAGCTACCCCTGTCGAGCCTTTGTTCTTCTTTCTCCCTCATTTTTGTTTTTTAGAGTTCCAAGGTTTTTTTATATGACCCCACATACGCACTGTGTATATATACTTACCAACCTAGTACTTGCACTTCGTATGGGGACAATATTCAATGTTTACTACGAATTTTCAGCATCAAATACTTATCTTAATTGAACCGATTCTAATATTAATAAAAATAAAATGTAGGTAAGCATTTATGTACATACATACATACTCATGGATGTACGTAGGTACATTTAGTACCTAATAAGTACCTGGGTACGTACTTAGATATTGAATAATACTTGGAGTTACACAAGATTACCTTACAGGTAAACTTTCTTCGCCTCTTCGGAGAAAACTTCAGTCTTATTTCCTTCCATTTACATGTCTTCGGATTTATCACTTCAAACTTGTCAGTACTCAATACTCAGCAAACATGACTTGCGTTATTCGGACGCCTCTCCATGTAGTACCGTGGGCATAGGTAAGTACTACCTATAGCCATGGATGCATCCAAGATCCCAAGGTTGCCACTGGACATGTCCCGTGCAGTCTTATTACATCCGGACCGAGTCAAAAAGGCTTGAAAAATCCTAGAAGCAATGCTGACTGCTGAGAATAGCCGTGATACATTCCTAAGATAGCCTGCTTCTGCGCGTTGATCACGCCCGTACCCGCAGACCCGTCCACTCCAACCGTCCCGTACCGCAGGAGCCCGTAGCAAATAGCAGGTGTTCCCGAGACAACGGGCATCGGCTTTTACCAACCATACTGCCATACACAACCATACACATGAATTATACTGGGGCAAGAAAGTTCGTGATCATTCGGATGTATTCTTTGGTATTCTTCGTGTTTTCTTGATCATAGAAGATACATACACTACTTGGTACCCAGTTACTTGGACCGATAATCCATGTTATCTCAGTACCCAGTACCTAGGTATCTACATATGTGCCAATTATATTGCTTGGAATATAAGCTATGTAATTCGGCTATTGGAAGGCAACTATCCGAGATTCATTTCCGTTGGTCGAAGTGTCGTCAGAAACCCCTCGTCCGTTGAATTAATAATCAGCGAATTTTGTCAAAAGAACGGAAGTTAGACGACTCTGAAAGTGTTTCAGGCGACATAGCTTCGATTCCACCAACAGACAGTAGCGTTGGGGCTATTGCTCAGCTTTTGTCCAGCCCTCCGCGTCGTCTCGAGAACCTCCAATTAAACACCAAGCACAGGGCAAGACCAACTATGCCTAATCCGATAGCAACACTGCAACAATCAGAATCAGCAAACGAGATTTGAAATTCTCAGTTTGTCGGTTAGAAAATGCAGGTTTCCAAGGGGGGGATGGAAGAAAAATTACTCGACTTTACTCACTACCAAGCTCCCCTATATCCTTTCAAAATATCTTCCCGCGTTTTCCCACCATTGTTCACGTGAAGTTCGACCGTTCCAGCGACGCCCATGGCAAGCGCGCCACTGTAATTCACCACGGTAGTAACAAGACTAGCCGCAATGCCCTGATGTTCGCAAGACACCAAGTCCGAAAGCATAAGCGTTGCTGCCGGAAAGCTCAGGTCCATTCCCCAAGTGATGATTAAATTGCAAAGGAATGTCTGTGTCCAATACGTCTGGTCGATGGGAGCAGTTGCAATCAGTGTAGTGCCGATGGTAAAAGCTAATAACGCGAGAGACATCACTACCGCAGGACCGACGCGATGAATGATCACACCCGTAGTAATAGCTGCTGCAATACCACTAACCAAGATTGGGCTGTGCATTGCTGTAGCTAACAGCGGCGATGCCCCTCTTAATACTTCGTAGAACTCCCAAACGTAATAGATATAGATTCCAAAGCAGCCCCAACCGCAGAAGACCGCTGCAAGGACGAACGTCACCCCTGAGTTGATGGCCTGAAGCGGTATCAAGGGCTTTCTAGCATGTTTTTCAATGAAGATGAAGCACACGCATAACAAAGTCCCAATGATTAGGAGTGTGGGAACGTATGGGTCCCGCCAGCTGTTGATAGAAGCTTGATTCCATGAAACGCAGATAAGGACGAGGCCACTAACACCAGTCAAGGCTCCAGGGACGTCCATCTCGGCACATAAAGTCCTAAGGTCGCCTTGGGGAATTCTCCCTCTCTCAGGAGTCAGTCCACCGGGTATCACCAACATACCAGCAAGCGTAATAAAGACGAGAAAAAGAGACAATGCAAAGAAGGCATATTGCCATCGTGCAAGAGCTAGTAGGCTCGTGAAGGCTGGTGAGATAATGGCAGAAGCAGGGGCCATGGCTCCGAAAATGGCGAAGAGCATAGCTTTTCGTGGCCCAGGCACATATGTAACACCTAATAATGCTACGGCGCTTGGTACTAACAAGGCTGGGCCGATGCCTTGCATGATGCGTGCGAAGAGGAAAGTAGCATATGGCCGAGGCGTATAAATGGACAGTCCAGCGATGAGCGAGAACAAGGCGAACCAAGCATTACCGAGGAGGAAGATGAGCTTATGTCCATACACATCACCGAGACGGCCCGCCAACAGGATTAACGTCCCAGATAAACCGTAGCCCGCGATGATCCATATGAGTTGCCCTGAACTCGTGACCCCCAGGTCAGCCCCTATTATATGGAGGATACAGAGCGCTTGATGGAACCCAGACTCTGTCGATTTTTAGTTAACTGAACCACGGATGATATTGAATGATAGGTCACTCGGAAAATTGACGTACGTGGAGTGAAGTTGGCCGTCGATACAATGGCAAAAAAAGCTATCTCGTGTATGACTGTCATAGGTCTACCGAGAAATATATGTACCCTTGGATCTTCTCCACCCCCTTTCTTCTCTAAGTCGCTACTGAGGCTTGACGGCTGATTTTGACCGTCGTCTATCCCTTGCCTCGGCGAGAGAGTATTGCCGTCTGGATCGTGGCTCGGTAGTTCTGGTGCACTGTAACTCCATACTGTCTCGTCAAAACCGTCCTTCCGATGACACAACGATGCGTGCCTACCAACGTTTCGGCTAAGCACTTCCGGCAACGAGTTCGGATCCATGAAGCCTCTTTATCTTGGGGAGTCAATGGGACGAGAGCGACTGGTGGCAGGATTCGTTCGTATAACTATCGCATGCTAGGCCAGCAAGGACATCAAGCCCAAGGAGTTCACATTTATATACACAGTCCATGGAAGACCTACGCCTGACCTAAAATAGACATCCATACGGTGAAACGTGAGCGGAATTATCGAGTTGGCTCATCGAGTAGCGTCGTGTGGTGACTCTCCACCCATTAAATCTCGACAGATGGTTTCGGAAAGGGCTGAGACTTATTTGGAAGCATGGTTAAGAGATCTCTGTAGCACGCGACTACCCAGCTCTCTCAACTGCCGACACTACACAATCTCCCTTTTTTGCCTCTTACTCCTTTGTACTAGGCCATACAGCGGGAACAGTGCAATCTTCTCCTTCACCCTCTTCTCCTTTCTCGAGTCTACTCCACAACTTTGTGCCACCACTTCGCGCTGGTATCACGAGCTGGAGAGCACCTGAAATGTACGGAAGGGTACGCTGGCGGTCCCTCACCCGGTTCCTTGGGATCCCGCTTGTCCCGAAAAGTCGAGTCTTTAGAGATATATTTAGGTCTTATTCATAAACACCACACCTTTCGCATCCTTACACACAGCAAACGATTATATTTTACGGGTCATATTCTGTGCCCACGCACTTACCCTTATCTAGTTTAAACTCGACGGCGAACTGGGGGGCATAGAGACATAGACAAAGAGAATGACTCGGGAATTGGACCTCGACGGACGAAGTTTGCTATCGTATTTTCGTCTACCCCCCTTACCCCCTTTCCACGAAGTAAAGTTTCGGAAACGGGAGATAAGCAATTAGATATGTCTCTACTCAAGACCCGAGAAGCACGGTCGTCATCGGCCGGCGACCAGATTGGCCCGAGACTTCTCGGTAAACCGGTTGCAGGCAAACTACCTAACCCAGGTGTAGCCAAATGCATGGTGTACGCGAACTCGTGGCATTTGTCTTATCATGATGCGCTTCCGACGCACGTTGTATGTCGTTATTTCATCGGCGGTACTAGTGACGATCTGACGTGCTCTAACGACAACGATGGCTACGAGCGTGGAATCTGTCGTCATGCGAGACCAGACTCGTAATCGATGTCTCGAGCTTAGGCACCGAATTGTTGGATGCCTGCCCTTCCACGGCCGACCTAGGCTGCTGCCGTACGCACCCCCGGCTACTAAGCATCTTAGAACGAGGTATCGATTGATCGGTCGTGGTCCACAGAGGAGATCTAGACTATTACCAGGGAGAGGGTCGCATCTGATACGAACTGCGGTTCTTCCCGAGAAGATACAATGTCTGTCTTGTTTATAGAGGCTACACGGCTACCACGTAGGAGAATCGCGGATGCCTCCCCGAAACACTAGCGTCTCAAGATAGAAGAGAGATGCGTCGACTCCTCGATGGTATGGTATATCTGCTGAGATCCCCTTCCACCATGAATCAAGAAATATGCGGCAGTTCCTAGGATGCTCACAGGCAAATATCGTGGATGCTGAGGTTGAGATGATAGTGCGTACCTACCATTTTATACCTACGGCAAAATTCGAGGCTGACACCTAGAGAAAGCTTCTTATACTCGAGAGGCAAGATTCATATTTCTTTCCTCAACCTAGGCGTTTATATTATAATACCATTGAGTGGTAAAAAGACCATGTAGTTGAAGATGGACGTTCACTCATGGAAAGAAGAAATCAAACGACGCATGGATATACTTAGGTACATAGATACTTCTAGTTACGAACCTTGAAGTTACAAGGTAACACAAGAAGGCGGGGTGGTACACGCGCTTTACTTCAATAGGAATTAGGTTCTATCCACTAAAATGGATCCCTTATCAAAATTTCAAAGCTACAATCAGAATTATCTTCGTCATAATTCGCAACTAGAAAACGTAGAGAGTTAAAACCCTACAAGACCGAAATGACCTCGAAAGAACGACGGTGATGCTTCATCCCGCAAAAGCTCGCATGAGAGGCGCATCGACTGCGAGCTTCGTGCGTTTTGCCATGCACCAGGCGCTATGTCATCGTCCTCGACAGCCGTCATTGTCGCACTTATCGCATCTAAGACGGCAGACCACAGCCGCAGTCGCGCAATCTTCCAACGAACCTCTGAATGAACCTCTCAATGAACATCCCAATGAATCTACACCTGTGCGCTCGGGTAGCCTTGCCAGTTAGTCAAATACTCTTGCAAAACCTTGTGAAATAGTCTTCTAAGAATAAACCATAGTCACCTCCGGTGCTCGATTCAACGAAATAAAGGTACAACAAGTCAGTCATCACATATATAAACAAATTTTCCCGTCAGGTGACAAGAAACCACCACCACCACAAGAACTCGTGGATTTGTCGAAAGACCACCTCACTCGTCATAATCTCATTGGAAAGAATGCCGATAATAATGCGCCAATTGCGTTTGACGTGCCTCCGCTTCAGGGCGAGACCAAGACCTTGGACGAGCATTTCTATAAATTAGGAATTGACAGCGCCGAGCCGTTCCTGTCAAAAGCGAAAGAATTTGCGAGACAGAACGTCCCGCCGCGACCGAAGGAATGGGTGAGACAAAGCGGTTGGACAAAATATACTCCCAACGGGCCGCCGGAACGTGTCGAGTATCCTGATGCCGATATGCTATGTTTCGACGTCGAGGTTATGTGGAAAGAGAGTTCCTTTGCAGTTATGGCGTGTGCTATGAGCCCGACGACTTGGTACGCATGGCTATCGCCTTGGCTACTTGGTGAATCCGAATCGGATAGGCATCTAATCCCCTTGGGCGACCCAACCAAGGACCGCATTATCGTCGGTCATAATATCGGGTACGACCGAGCGAGGATCCTTGAAGAATATGACTTAAAACAGACAAGGAACTCATTCCTTGATACCATGTCGCTGCATGTTGCGGTCAATGGTATGTGTTCGCAACAGCGACCAACGTGGATGAAGCACAAGAAAAGTAGGGAACTTCGAGACAAGATTGCCAAAGAAACGGACAATATCGAATTAGCAAACCTGTTGGCGAGCAGCCGAGAAGACGAAGAAGAACTTTGGGTCGAACGCAGTTCGGTCAATTCTCTTCGCGACGTCGCCAAGTTCCATCTTAACGTCACTATCGACAAAGCGGCTCGAGACCACTTTGGGGAGTTGGATAGGGACGGCATCTGCAGCAAGCTAGACGAGCTACTCGATTACTGTGCGGCAGATGTGGCGGTTACTCACAGAGTCTTCGGGATTGTATTCCCTAATTTCCTTGGGGTCTGCCCTCACCCTGTCAGCTTTGCTGCCTTGCGACATCTATCTTCCGTAATTCTTCCTGTCAACAAGTCCTGGGATGAGTATGTCGCCAATGCAGAAGCCACTTACCATAGACTCTCCAATGATGTGCAGCAACGCCTAATTTCGCTCGCAGAGAAGGCATTGGAGATCAAGGACGATGCTAACAAATGGGGTAACGATCCCTGGCTGAAACAGTTGGATTGGTCCGGTCAAGAGATTAGGATGGTCAAAGGAAAGAAAAAGAACGATCCTCCTAGGCCCGCCGCTCGCCAGAAGAAACCAGGGATGCCTAAATGGTATAAGGACTTGTTTCCGAAGAGTGATGCGCCCATCAACCTCACAGTCAGAACTCGAATTGCACCAATTCTTCTTCGGCTCACGTGGGATGGTTATCCCTTGGTCTGGTCTGATAAATATGGCTGGACTTTTAGGATACCACTTGCGGACATGGCAAAATATAGTTCGACGCAACTTGTACGATGTGACCTCTCAGACGAATCTATAGAGGCTTTGAAGAACGACGTGACCGGGCTCTATTTCAAGTTACCCCATAAAGATGGTCCGACGACGAGATGCGGGAGCCCGTTAGCGAAGAGTTATCTTGTATACTTTGACAAGGGAACATTATCATCCGAATATCCACTAGCGAAAGAAGCTCTTGATATGAATGCATCATGTTCTTATTGGATTAGTGCTCGGGACAGAATCCATTCTCAAATGGTTGTTTACGAAAAGGAGAAATCTAAAGATGGACAGGAACCAAATGAAAACAGCGACAGCAATAATGGCTATATTTTACCTCAGGTCATTCCTATGGGTACTGTCACCCGAAGGGCGGTCGAAAATACTTGGCTGACCGCTAGCAATGCAAAGAAGAACCGGGTTGGATCTGAGTTAAAAGCAATGGTCAAAGCGCCACCAGGTTATTGCTTTGTGGGCGCTGATGTTGATTCGGAAGAATTATGGATTGCTAGCGTTGTTGGGGACGCCACATTCAAACTCCATGGCGGTAATGCTATTGGTTTTATGACACTCGAAGGCACAAAAGCCGCAGGAACCGATCTGCATTCCCGCACCGCTTCCATCTTGGGCATCACACGTAATGACGCCAAGGTTTTCAATTACGGTCGCATTTACGGAGCTGGGCTCAAGTTTGCCGCCACCTTGCTCAGGCAGTTTAACCCTAACCTCTCAGAGCAAGAAACAACAGACATCGCTGGAAAATTATATACCGCGACGAAGGGCGCGAAGACAAATAGGAAGGCACTCTATAAACGACCTTTTTGGAGAGGTGGCACAGAGTCGTTTGTCTTCAACAAGCTCGAAGAGTTTGCGGAACAAGAACGCCCGCGGACGCCCGTTCTCGCCGCCGGTATCACCGAGGCGCTGATGGGAAGATATATCAGTAAGGGAGGCTACCTGACCTCTCGCATTAACTGGGCAATTCAATCATCGGGTGTGGATTATCTCCACCTTCTAATTGTCTCGATGGATTACTTAACTCGACGTTTCAACATTGACGCACGCCTCGCTATCAGCGTTCACGACGAAATTCGCTACCTCGTCAAGAACGAAGATAAATACAGAGCTGCTATGGCTCTTCAGGTTTCTAACCTCTGGACACGCGCAATGTTCTCCCAACAAGTGGGCATCGATGATCTACCGCAATCATGTGCCTACTTCTCCGCAATTGACATCGATCATGTTCTGCGCAAGGAGGTGGACATGGATTGCGTGACGCCCAGCCACAGCATTCCCATTCCACCCGGCGAGAGCATCGACATAACCCAACTGCTCGAAAAAGGAAACGAAGCATACCTCGACCCCAACATCGTCCCAGCAAAGCACGCCCCACGACTAGACCACATCCCATACACGCCTAGGACACCCGTCATGAAGGAGCTCAACGACTCGCAAGATCTCAAGGACCTCAGCTTCCTAAAGGCCCAGATCTCAAGCAGCGACGAAGAGCTCAAGGAAATTCTTAAAGGCCAGAAAAAGGCGTCCGGTGGTACCGGGGGATCGGCCACCGGGACGGTAAAGAAACCCAGGCAGAAGCTGGTCCCGTATGCCTCGCAGGCTCAGCTCATGCCGCATATGTACCAGCCCTTCGAGGCGAAGTTCACGTCTAGGAAGGACTTCCCCAAGGAAGAGTCTTGGACTTTCGAGGGCATGCCGCCGCGGGTTATGAGGGGTAGTGGGCCGAGATTGTGATGTTGGTGTGTTGGACTGGGGGTTTGGCACTGCTGTTGACACAGCGTTATTTTTCTTCTTCTTCTTTTCGCGGATTGTCGTCTTCGCTATGTATTATCAGGTACCCGGGGATGCGGCATGTGTTATGTGTGGCATGACTTCAAGGTACGGTGGGGGCGGCGGTATATTAAAAATGGTATCAAAAGCGGCGTTTGGGAGGTGGTCTTTCGTGGGGGATGTGTACTAGGTACTAGGTAGGTAATGATGGGAACTGTGACATCATGCATGCATGTATTTAGCTATGTATTTTTTGAATATGAGAGTTGTTGTTACGGCCTCCCGGGGCGTTTTTATGGTTGGGGGGAAATGTGAGGTGTGGGCTTTCTGGAAACTTGAAATAAGGGGTTATCGTGCAATGCGACTTGTTATGTGTTGTAAAGGAGAGAGGATTGGGGGAGTGATATCTCAAAGATACCTACCTAATTATAATCCCAGAAGAAAGTCAATTTCAAATTTAACAGTCATGGTATCCATTCCAATGTTCTTACGAGTTGCTATAATTGAGAAATCGAAACTGGTTACATGTTGTGAAATCTAACCGTAGCCCCCTTTCTGAATGTGAACCCCCTTTGAATCCCTCCCGTACCTAGGTAGTATACAAATGAATGTTAGGATGCCTATTTCAGCGTGATGCGTCCCACTTATTGATATCCCAATCATCCCACCAAGTCTTCTTTCCGTCTGTTAAAGAACCAATGGCCTCAGAGTTCGATTCATGAAATTGACACTCCAAGAGGCCAGTTCTTCGATACTTACCATCCACCGCAGCCAATATAAGGAGCCAATACAATAATCGTGTACCGTTATGATCCGTTTTACATACTGGGATGCAAGTACCCTCGACATATTCTTCCGGTTTCTCTGCCTGATCTAATACATCGAAGAATACGACTTGGTCATTGTCTGGCGTAAAGCTGCCACGTAGCTGTGTCTTAGTTCCGTCGGTATATACTTCGAGAGACTTTTGATGCTTTATCCATCGGAAATATGAGAGGTGGCATTCGATGTCAAGTTCAGCGGATCGAAGGAGGCCAGTGGTGTCTCCACCAGGAGGTTCTGTCACAATTCTCTCATCAACCAGCCTCATCAGCGGTACTGCGCGCGTACCCCATTTGGGAATACATAATCGGACACAAGTGCCAGGAACTTCGGACGTCACCGAAGCCCAACTCCAGGATGGGCCACAGGATTCAATGCGTTAGCATCGAATAGGCCAGACATAATATTGGTCTCGCAATTGGCGCATTGCAAGCATTCCCAATATATCTGGTTTCGTGTAAAGTGAATGATACGATTAGTTAGGAACCTCTCTTGCACCACCCAGCCTCGAGTATGAAGGGGTGCGCTCTCGATTTCGTCGGCCCATATGGAGGCGTTCCAAGCGACCCAAGGTCCGTTTTCCCATGAAGGTCCCAGGTCCATTTTAATTATAAATGGATATAAAGACTTAACGTCGTCCATTCTGTCGTGAAATAGACCCCTATCTAATGATGGGTCAAACGATGGGGAGATCGCCGAAATGTTGCAAAATGAGTGACGATAAATATTGGCCATGCTACCGGCTTCTCGCTGCCAATCGCTATGTGAATCTTGGTAAATACATAGTGAGTCGATCCAGAGGTATCTATAACCTTGGTTGCGGACAAGAATAGCCGCGTCCCGAAAAGTAGGCGATAGTCTGCTCAAAGGGATGCCACTCCGAAGTTCATTTTCTGTTTCTTTGCAGAGCTTTTTGATTCTACCTGGGTCTCCCCAGCGATGGGAGAGTGTCCAATATTCATCATAACGTGTTTTATTGAAGGGAAGCCCTTTTAGAGCGTAACCAAATCCACATCTGGCGTCTATCCCATCCCTTAAGATGACCCAGTCTTCATGACCCGAATGCTTTCGTGTCAGATACAGGATTCGACTCGGAAAATAGTAATCGGCGTTTAGGATGGTTTCGAAGGCGTTGAAGGTAGCTTGAGAGGCGTCTAAAGTAGCTTGGGGTGTGCCGAGGTCAGTTTTAAAGGCGTCCAAAGTGGCTTTGCAGCTCTTGAAGGTATCTATGAACTCTGCTGTCTCAAACTTTCCCGACCTACAGCCCTCTAAGAAGCGTCCAAAGGAAAATAACATCTCTGTAGGGGTGTTTAAAGTATCCTTGTAGGCATTTAAGGTAACTTTAAGAGCATCTAGGGCGTTTCGGACGTTTCGGGCAGCATCCTCGGGGTCGCGATGTACCTTGCAGGAGTCGTGACTTTCTTGACAGGTTGATATCCAGCGGCCGACAGTTGCACAAAGCTTGTAAGGCTCCATGTAATAGCTGAGCTTGGGCAGGGGCTGAGTCGCAATAGGCCTTTGTGCGATGGAGTTTCCTTGGCCTTTGCTATCGGAAGACGGGGCATTCAGGGAACGCTGGGAACGCAGGCAGACTAGATCTCTAAGTATACACATTCGAAGAAAGTTATCGGCATAGGGAATAAGTTTAGCAATGCGTACCTGAAATTTGATAACTGGCGACTAATGAACTCTCAATTTGAAAAGTTACAAGGTTGAGGCCTGTTCTTGAAAATGCGATTGTAAACCGTTCTCCGAAGCTCTCTGCACTGGTCTCTCCAATCTGCCGGCGCGGGTTCCTCGACCAGATCCAGGTGCAGATCATACAGCCTAGGTTTTTACTCGTCACCAAGTTGTCGTAGCTTTGATGATGCTTCGCTTGCTTTTTATCTGTCTTGAGCACTGATATGCAAGTGTCGCATAATACTCCTTGGGTGTAGTCCATAATAGCGTGTGTATAGGAGTATGGCCTATATACGCCAGGAATGTGAAGGGTGTCGAGGTTTAGACTAGACGGGAAGCTCTGATATAGAGGGGAGGCTGTATAAAGGTGTCTCGAGTAATCAAGTTGGGTCACAAGCTTGTAATTTTCTAGAAGAGGTAGCGAGCCTTCATATATGCTATGTAATGGGGCTTTGTGCTAGGTGCATTATCCGCCCTATCATGCGACCTGCCGTTTTTCGGACAGTACCTATCATCGCGATTGTACGACAACGTTCGCCTCATTTCTACCTAGTACCTAGGTACTAGGTAGGTATTAATTCGTTTCGATTGGTGGGGCTTGTATGTTTCTATACTTGCGCTCCACCACCTACAACTATATTGCTGCTATGCTAAGCATTCTCTACGGCCTTCATAGCCAATATGGAAGCCCAATATAAAGCCCAATATAAAGCCTAATCACGCATAGCCCCTTAATAGTTATGTAGGTAGGCAGACTTGGGTATCTTAGGTACAAACTACTGCATCGGCTTGGTCCGATAACGATGTACCTAAGTGGTATATAGGTTTTATAGTTTTTTTTGGTAGGTATTTTATATATCTAATCTACCGCTATGCTAATTTCCATTGGGTATCCTCCATGATTTATAACAGGAAGAAAAGATGTTTTATATGATAGACCATTGCATGAGAAACATAATACATCGCCATAGTAGTTGAGAGTTCAACATAACAACATAAATTCGCAGGGCATGAAAATCATGGCCCGTATCCTCCATATAGCCCTTAAGATTGCCCTGGCCCTAGCATACCGAGGCCGAGTGGTGGACTGGCGTTCTAGGTGAACGCGGGGAAGGGGGTCGGAGGCCGCGTTGACAGGCCCGATGGAGTTGATACACTCGGGAGTGACTGATTAGAGCGGTTTCCAGAGGCGGAAGCTTCACGGGCAAGCATATATTCAATGCCAAGGTCCTCAAAGGACCCGAGCGGCGGCAAGGTGGGCTCGGGAAACCGGGGCAATTCCGGCTGCCAGACGGATCTGGCGTTGTCCCCTTTTCTGAGTTAGTAGGTTCATTGGTAATGATAGAAGGGAATAACGATAGCTGGGATTTGAACAACCGAGCAGCTTCGATTAAGCAGAGTTGGAGAAGACAGATACTTACTCGCAGGAAACTCTTCGCCCGGGTTAAGGAAGCGGTCAATGTCCCTCAACTCAAGCGCTTCTTCGGCGTCGAAGACGGAACCAGAAGATGCGCCGGACCGACTACGTCGACAATGAATAGTCGCAACCATGGTCGTCGCAACCAATGCCACGGCCGCGAATGAAAGGCAAACGATAATGGCCGTCGACATCTTGAAGGTACTTTAAAGTATAAGTATTCAGTTAAATGAACTTGATAATATTGTAGTCGGCAAGTAAGTGAGTGTGGTCAACTTAGTAGATGGTAGAGGAGTAGTGAGAGGTTTCGTAGATGTGTGAGAAGAGGAAGAGTTGTAGAGACAATTAAGAGAGAAACTCAAGAGCTTTTATGGAAAGAGATAGATGTGAGAGGGGAAAGAGAATGGGGTGTGCCTATGGGAAATGGACTACGTACTAGAGATACCTTCATGGTAAGTTGGGACGGAACATTGTCCCTCGTGGTCTCGATTGTATTCGATCAATGCTTCTATGATCATCTACGCTTAAACAGGAAATTACAGCTGAGCACACCATAGTTGAGTAACCATGAAGAGAGTTTGCAAACAGAAAGGCATTTATCGGATAATGTATCGAAGAACGGAGCGAAAAGGCTTGGGTTTGACACTCCCAGGTCACCACTCGAGATGTATGAGTAGAGAATACCTAAGCAGGTGCCTAGGCAATAGATAGGTTTGCGTCTAGGAGGAAAGGTTTGATAGACCTTGTGAAATCTGGTAGTATTAGGCTTCAGAGACCTTGTTGAATACCTACCTTGTACTTGGGCTTCACGTACGAATGGTCCATGATGCGAGATCTCTTGGAAGAAATTTACCTTGTGTTGATTCCATTGAAGACTTCAGTGGGGAATTCAATCATATAGACTAGTCAATCTAGTGGGTAAGGAAGAATAGGTACCTACGAGCACGTTTCTCGGTATTTCCATGGGCCAGTTCAGTACCTAATCTTCCCAATTTTAGAAGGAAGATGATACCAATAGGGTAAACCTCGCGAGCTAGAATGTGTTCTAGTGATTCTCTCTACCCCTACTTCTAGGCTAAACCCCCCAATAACTAAACCCATAATTAATGTGTTATTATCATAGATAATAATAATAATAGTTCATAATATTTTCGAGCTAGTCCCCGCGGGGCAAGAGCAATGGGAGTATTACCGACTATACTTCATCCAAAGTCTTGAACGAGTACCCAGTTTGATAAGCCCAACAGATTTCGGTGAACCTGTACTACAAGATAAGTTCGTTTGCCGAGATTGCCACCTCAAGATACCTCACATGCAGCGTAGTGGTTTGGTACAGCATGAGAAGGGATGAGCGAAGAGTTGTAGTCACTTAGTTAACATCGTCCGTCCTACGTCCATATCTCTGAGTCCCTTGGGAGCCTCTCATGCCCCACGGGGTACAGCAGGCATTCATGCAGCTACAATGTTTCCAAAGTTCGCAAGTTGGCCCAAGCAGGTCGAGGAAGAGGCAATCACCTTGACTTGGCGGTTGAGTTACATCATTTGAGGCAAGTGCTATTCAAACCAAGGCTGGCTTATGATGTCGTCGATGACTCAATGAGTGTTCGTAAGTCCATGGTGTCATGTTACAGGGAGAATTAATTGCCCTGGCAGGCACTGTGCAATATCAGATGAAGATTCGTTAGCAAATTCAGGTGCTAAACAATATGTGCTTACGTACTTCAGTTGTGTTCTGGTAGAGATTCTGTGTTGTATCATGCTCTCGTGGCTATGGAGTAGAGGTTATTGCCCCCCAAGAAAGAAATACTGCCATAATGAAAGATTATTCTAAGAAAATAGAGGATACTGAATTTTATCTAAATCAGTCAGAGATCTTTATCATGAAGCTTCGGAGGGGCAATAGCAAGAAATGTATAATATGAACGAATTAACTTAAATGAATCCACATACCTAGAAATGACAATATATTTCGAGTTCATTCGATATTGGCAATGATGAAATTAATGGGAAGATATCTATAGGGGATGTTGTCTAGTTGTTACCGTTGCTTTGCCCACCATTAATGGATGTCATTGTTATGTACAAGTGCTGGAAACAGGCTTGAAACTGACAGGATATCGTTCATAGCTTAATTAATTGAATAAAGATATGATTTTGAAAGATATATAATATAAAAAGTTACTCAATATCACCTATGTGCTTATTCTGATGATATCTAAGAGAATCACGACTTAACCAGGTGCCATAATTTTGCTCTTGGAATAATATGGTAACACTACTATCTTTCAGTCTATCTATTCTCAAATAGTGTGAACTGTACAGTCTTAAAAGATGCCAAAGGTGGTCAAGAAAAAAACACACGATGTCGTCCCCACGTCCCCCTGAGCCGCAATAGGGGTCGCCCGTCGTCAAAACAAAAACCGGTTAAAAACCGTGTATAATCCGGCTAAAATTCGGATTTACCGCTAGTTATAGCCATCTAGGAGTCTATTCAGACCCATAGATGCCAAAGGGGATCCAATGGAGTGCCCTTGAGGTTGCTGGCGACTATAATAGGCCTCGGCGCAGGTCCCGGATCAGATTTCCTATTTTCCCCACAACAAAGCCAGTTTCAATGGATTGATTGATAAAACACATAGAAACTGATCTATATCAAGAGCTTTATGCCTATTATAAGTTTCATTGAGAAAGAAATTGTCCTGGTAGAGATATTAGCAGAACCCACGAAACGGAAATATCACACAGTATTCGCACGGTATAAACACTGTACATACACTGTGCTACACGACGAAAGGGGCTTCAGGATGTTAATGAATATCAAGCAATACATTTTCAATTAAATTATCCAATACATCTAAGCTACCTACTGTAAATAATACCCCAACCCCAACCCCAGCCCCTCGCACTGCCTCCCCTCCACAAACGCGCCCTGGAACCCCGGCCACTGCAGCGTGCGCATAGTCATTCCCCCTTCGAACGTCGAAGCCTCCCACCTCCCCACACGCTCGATCTCCGCTAACGTGGTCTTGTACCCCCGGGCAGCGAGGAATTCAGGATCCGGGTTCGGGTCGAAGGTTCGTGCGAAAGCGGAGAATGTATCCACGACGAATTGCGCGAACGGCAGGTCGGAGGCGTCGCGCAGCGGTAGGCTTTGCCGGGCTAGGTTGCCGAAGACGAAGTACAGCTCGCCGGAGTGGCATTTGAGGTACTCCGCGCCGGGGTCGCCGTGGGGGTGGGTCGCGGTTTTCGGCGGCTCGCAGACGTCGAGGTTGGGCCAGCCGCGGGTTTGGTAGGTCCGGTTGAATTCGTAGTAGTAGATTGGCGGGAATCGCTTGTTTCTCAGCCCGGCGAATACGGTCGCTTGGTCGATGCAGCGGAAGATACCGTCTGTGGCGAGACGCGTGGCCATTTCGAATAACGCGAGGGTTTGGTTGGTGATGTTCGGGATGGGGAAGAGTGCTGTGGGAGGGACGGGAAGACCTTGCGAGGCGAGGTAGGCGGATTGGTTGGTGGTGGTGGGATAGCTGATGAATGGCGCGCCGTCGTCGCGGGTGGTGCCCATCATTATGTGGACGGGGAGGGTAGGTCCGTCGAGTTTGAGTTCGTTGGATGTGAGATATGTCCCATCGACGACCGGGTATCTCGCGATGGTGTTTAGATTCGCGAGTTCGTATGGCGATATAGCCCGCAAGCAGTCTACTTGAGATATCGCATTTGTGCAACCAGTTTCTTGCAGAATGGCATTTCCCACGACTTCCATTTCCTCGTCAATTGTGTAGTACTTGGAATACGTAGTGCCGTAGTTGATACCCCCGAGATTGCTCAGGGGTATGGCACCGGCAAACTTTCCAATGGACTTAGGGGAAGCTATCAAGGCACGAACGCTGCCCGCTCCGGCGGATTGTCCGAAGATAGTGATCCTATCCGGGTCACCGCCAAAGTCCTTTATATGATTTCTTACCCAGTCGAGGGCGTTAATTTGGTCGGCGAGCCCGAAGTTTCCATTGGTGACATTATCTTCCAATGCTAGGAACCCGAGAGTGCTAAGTCGATAATTGATGCTGACCACGACAACATCGCCCCTTGACGCTAGATTGCCTCCATCGAAGGTAGGATCGTTTCCTGTCCCTCCTGTAAAGGCGCCTCCGTGTATCCAAAACTTAGTAAATAGTCAATCATGTACCTATCCGAGAATGCGCTTCAAAATTAATGAGGACGACTTACCATGACTGGCTTCAGAGTCTCTGCAGTAGAATTGGGACCTGGGATATAGGCAGTCCAAATATTTAAGAAAAGACAATCCTCATCACCAACATTCCCGGCTTGAACACATTGAGACCCGTAATCAAGCGCGGAGGCCTCATTACCACTTCCAACGTATGGCTCAGAGTAAGTAAATCGTTCGGGTTGGGGTGCATATCGAATTCCTAGAAAGCGGAAACTGAAGCGATCACGAAATCTAGACAACCGTCAACATGTGCCTTTTGATATGGTAATTGTGGGTAGTTTCTACCCCGTCAATATTTCATTATTAGATTCCAGTGTAATTCGCCATCTCTCACTCGTATCCTGGAGCGTGGCGTTGGAGAACGGCGCTGATTGTGTACACACGACTGGTAACCTTGCATCTAACCTCGTCTGGAATACACGGCCGTCTTTGTCTATGGCTAGAGTAGATCCATTTTTAGATGCAATCCAGAATTGTGAAAAACCTGTTTTAAAGCTTGAATAATTCAAATAATTCAACATATTTTGAACGTTGCTGGTGTCCAACTCCGGCGACCAGAGCTTCTCCCCCGCAGTTTCACAGGCTTCACTGGCATCATTCAATGAAAACGCTTCTAGTAACAGAACCCCTGAATTGGAGGCTGATCCAGCAGCACCTAATTGGCATGTTAAATATATATATCTAGTATTATCTTAAATATTTCATAGAAAACGTCATACCTTGAAGATCATTATCAATTAACAACGTAATGCTAGAATTGAGTGTTTGTGGAGAAGGAATTGCGAAAACTCCAGCAACCAAAGCTGTAATAGACCATCGTAATAACATCGCGAACATAATTGAGGCCTTTCCAAGACCGTGATAGAGCGATTAAAGCGACAATTGTAGGGAGAGGACGTGGAACTGCCACCCAGCCATTTCCGCGCGGTTTAATAGTAAACATCATGACCTCACTCCCACCGGAATCCGGCTAGTCACGCACTTCCAGGCTTTGCTTCGTGCCTCTTTGCAGACAGGTCACATTTCGCCTGCATATTGATCTTGTTATAGTTGCGCTATAGGTGCATTGAAGCGTTGATTGGGTTCGCTAAGGCAAGGTGAAAGTGGAGGTAGGTATATACCTAGTATGCTGCGTAGGAATGAACCATAACCCCAATCACCTAAACGAGCTTAGAATCGATTTCCTAAGTCACGTTCATTTAGCCTGAATTGAAAGCGGACTTTGATCCAGTGACCGCGAAATGATATACCGAGCCGCAAATTTATGTAGGGCTAGGATTAGGGTAGGAACATAATCCATTGATCCTTCAACCCGGATACCGACAATTGGCCCTTGATAAATTGCCGCAATAGGACTTGAGCATCGTCAACGAGTTATGCGTGATATTTACTCGATTCAAAGACGTGATGAAGGAAGTTCCTAGCCACGGCAATCTATGCGTCAGTCATGAGTCGTCGCTGATAAAGCGGTGGACGAATTCGAGTTTACGGCCGCTAGAAGACGTGATAAATAGACCAAGTAATTCCGTGACTCGAGAGTTGCGGTGAGACCTTAAAGTGAGATAAAATCAAAAGTTTTCATTCGCTAATTGGGGTATATACGTGTTAGCCATAATGTGAACAAGTAAATTCCAAAACAAGTACATCAATATACATTCGCCTCATACATCCACGCTCCTTTGGGACCTGTCTTCTCTCGTTGTGTGAGAATGCCATTCGGAGACACCCAACAGGTCATACTCGTCGTCGTGACTCGCGTTCAACGTCGTATCAGCGTAGCTCGTCATATGGTTGCCCCGGCCAGCCGGGTTGCCATGTCCTCCGATGGTATTATTTGCTCGTGCCCAATGCCCGCCCGACTTCTTAGTGTCGCCGGAAGACTGGGTATAGTCAGGTTTCCGTACGAAAGACGGCCAGGTCATGACTTTCGTACTCTGATGACTGCTCCAACCCGTCCAGTCCCTGACGTGCGAGCACGCCAACTTCCAAAGGGGTGCTAGGGTTGCGACGCAAGCGCAGATGAGTCCCGTTTGAACTTCGAAAATCGACAAGGTGAAACTGATACCGGCCCACCATGGTCTGTCGGTGGTTCCAACCACTGTAAGTACTGAGTTAGCTATCTCTATTCGCAAAGGTTATATGGGTGGTTGCTACATACAATTAAATGTCGCAATTCCCCAACGAGCAACAGCTATCGCCCAGGAACTGTAATCACTAATGTCAGTAATAGCGCACCAAGGGATAGTTCATAGACGTACATAAAGCCGCAACTCAGAACCAAGCTCAACCCGATCTTCTGTCGCGTAGTCGCCACTTGCAATTTCCATATCATCGTAAGCGGTAAGATGGCGATGATTAGATCACTAGCCATGCTGCAAGCTCCGTAGAAAGTAGCCGCGATAGTGCTATTGATGCAAACTCCCGGGATTTCCGGGTGCCACTTCTTGCTGATCGGATGGCAACCAAGAAACTCGGTCATCATATTGCAGAATAGATAGCCCACGCAGAAGAACAGAGTACCGTAACATGTCCATCTAAACCTCTTGTATACGCCGAATAGTTGGATATACATGATGAGTAGCGCGGACTTGAAGCCGCACAGGCCGAGTGCATAAAACTCGGATGTGATCCCGATCCACAGATAATAACGCGAATTGAGTTCCGTGTTGTATTGCCATATATGTAAGCCCATTCCGTTATATGTCGCGATGGCCATGAGGACGGAGTGGGCGATGCTAACGAGCATCGTCAGAGCCACAATATCTATCGTAAATCAGCATCGCCATGGTGTGGACGCGCGCGAGGGACATACAATCATCAATCGTGTACTTCTTAGCCTTCAGTATGTAAATTCGGGTGTAGAAGCGCAACATGACGAAGAAGAATGTGACGAACGGCATGGCGACCGCCGTGCGCCAAACGTATAACCCATTTTCGGCAGGTAAGTGGTCCGGTGGCGTTCCGTTAAAAACTCCTGTGGGTGATGCGCGCTCGATAAGTGCCGGTATGTAAGTCATATCGAGGTGGCATATGAGTCTCAGCCCTACCCATTGGGAAATGACGCCAGCACCATAGATATCTGTTAATAGACACAAGAAGCGAAGGAGTTGATGACAATGACAATGGTGATGATGATGATGATGATGATGAAGCAGAAGAGAATTGGGTAAAGTTCTTACGCCCGGTAGACTGATAAATCCAGACGGCTAAGGTGTGGGATATCGGGATCCTGCTGACTCATTGCGATCCTGCTCGGACAGAGTGGATGTTCATGAATCCTGCGTTTCCCTCCCATGCTCCATTTATCAAAAAGCCACGCGATGAGGTTTGTGATGTAGGTAGTGCCTAGTGCTTACGTGCCTCGTTAGGGCTGAGACGCTGAGCAGGGCCCTTCGACCTATCAAAAGGCTTAGTGATGTATTACGCATCTATGCTGGACAGGACGTAAAAATTTATCCATAAGGGAAATTAACCCAGCAAGAAGAGACTTCGACACCGAGATCGAAAGGTCGAGAAAACACAATTGCGTAGCATCGTGCTAAATCCATTTGGTAGGGAATGGACTTTTTGCAATCGCATTTCTTCATCAGACGTCGTGTTGAGGACATTAATAGATGGCTATAAATAGAGCCTAACTAGGTACCTGGACACTGGGTACTTAGCGGCCTGGCAACCTGGCAGCCTGGTAGCCTAGTAGGCTTGTAGGGTTGGAATATGCCGTTGGTGACTAAAGCTTTGCTTCTGAGGTTGCATCCAGGGGTATTAATGCATGGGATCGTAATATGTGGTGGCAAGGCAAGGGAATTGACAAATTGTAGATCGACCCTATCGAATTACTTGAGATGTAATAAGATGATGTAAATGATCGAGATCACTCAAGCTTTTATCAATGATATTATATATTGACTATTGTCGAGATTTATGATAAGATATTTTGACGTCAAGTTATATCTATGTATTTCTTAGAGGAAGGAAATAGGAAACAGGAAATACGGAAAGACGTTTGGGGAAATGTAACGTTCAACTGCCTTCACCGGCTGTTGAAGAGAATTAGACTCTGAATGTCTTAGCCACATTCACTAGTCGCGGTGAAACTGTCTTAGTGCCGACGGGAAGATGCGTGTGGCTATGTCTAATATTCGTAGATGTGCCAGGTTTGGTAAGTGCGTCATTAGCGGCTTGGAAGGAAAGAAGTACTTCGTATGAAGCAGGCAAGCGGCGTCGACACAATACCTAGTAAATCCAAAATCCAAAATCAAGTCTTGTTTTGACTTCAACTTCAACCATTTCATCGTTCATGCATAACGACAGGCTTGCTGTGTTAGCTCAAAGACTCCTTTCGAATCACCCTTCACGTCGAAGCCGCTTTGCAAATATGTGACCACCACTTGCTGGTACTTCTCTCTCCTATCTTTACAGCCCTTGGTTTTTCGACGTGTCGCACAACATGTCGCCTGTGGATCGCGCACATTTGTGAACCCGCACTTCTCGAGTCCGGTCGCTTGCAGCTGAAGACCTTGTTGAAAACTATATGAGTGTAGGGAAAAGCAAAAGAAAGAAAAGAAAGAAGGGGGGTTGGAGAGGGGGCGAGTGGGGGACGATAACCTACCAATCTCGAGCAGGACTTCGCGCAGCGAGTAGTTATCGCGTACTTTGTTAGACAATTGCGTCGGTCGCCCCTTTCAGTCTAGATGACGGCAGATGTCGCGCGTAGGGTATATGTCCGACTATCCCTATGAGAAATAGGCCTCTGGTCGACTAAACTGATAGCCCACGACCCATGGCTCAGACCTTTCGACGTAGGTACAGATTCTTCCTTTTCATATATCTTCGGAGGAAAAAACAAAATATATTTGCTTTGGAATCTCTTATGCGCCCAATTTACGAGCTGCAGGTATGGTTTGCATCGATAGTTGCAGCGCGAGGGCGAACCTCTGCTTTAGCGAGGGGTTGCGAACCCGATCCAAAAATGTGATAGAGGCTTTTGGGCTGTTCCTCAAAGCCTTCTGGGACAGGAAACATGGACGCCACTCGATTGAATTGCACCTGCCACGCCCGACCCTAGCATGGCCGAGTCCTAAATACGCCCTCTTTTAACTGATATAGAAGCTTGGCTAAGTACTTAGCTTGTCGTCGAGATCATGCGTTCGCGAATCTATATCCACCGATACGGGAGGTTTGGGAGCCTAAGAGTAGTGGGTATTTCATTAGGATAGGCTTGGAACCCTATTTCAAGATTTCAAAAATTTGCTCGACCAGGACAATAGAATACAGTGCGTAGTACGCTTCTTCGTTACGTTCAAGTTCGAGTATTCTCAGCAGAGCTGTTCTATGATCGTCACCAGTGGTAGCCTAGCATCGACTTCGAACCCTAACGTCCGCGAATTCATATCCTATCCTAGATGTCTCAAGCGCTGGAGGACTAAGCCACGATGCACCACAGTTTGATGTTATCGTGGATTCGCTTATTGACTCGCTAAATCCACGCACAAGCACGATTGCCTCAATGCGCTTCCTATATGCGATATCGCTTGGCTGGGAGATCATATCTCGCCATCTAACAAGTCCGTCTATACGTGGACGTGACTTGGTCCATCGCAGGCATTGTGGTAGGAAGACTCGATATTTTGGTCTTCTTCCGACAAATATGACACCTGCTGTCGACTGAGAAGCCGATGCGCTTAATCAATTTTGCCAATAACTTTCTAGAATATCTAAATGTGGTTATGTACTTTTGGGTTGAATTACTCGAAAGAGTCCATCCCTAGTCAAAATCAAAAATTAGAGACGACTTCCGCCGTCTTCTCACTGATTTTCTAAAGCTGATCAACGGCTTCTAGAGCCAATACCACGAAAGTAAGATCGATAACCTCATGATTAATGATATTTCTTTTAAAAAAAATTTTTAAGGCAAAAAAAAGTCCCCAGAACCGAACCATAGCTTAGGCCATCCTTTGCGAAACTTTGTTTCATAGACGCTAATTCCCAGCTATGCAGTTTTACCACTTGACCATTAGTCAAGTAAAACTTTTTGACCAATGTCGGAATTCACCTTTATTTTAATATATATGGTTTGGGGAATCAAGGTTTGAAATCAAAGGCTTCGTATAGCCTCTTTTCGCACCCCTTTTTAGTATAGAACAACTCACATGCTACTAGCTTCTCAGCCTTAATAAACAATAAACCAATTTTAAATTACAATATACCTACCATTTTGAGCCATGGTTTTGAAAATGCAAAGTAGATTGTTCGAAAGGGCTTCTCGAAAGCTTCTATTTGCCTAAGCAAGAGAGCGTACAGCCCTGAGATGGTGCATTTTAAAGCTTTTGCCATGGCTGTCTGCCGCCAAGCCTGCCTCTAGCTTTAAGAGTAGCTGGCTGGCGGGTGCCAAATCTGGTGTATGATAACCCCTTTTGAATACATTTAAGGCAACAAGATGAACAATAAGGGAAAATACCTACCTAATGGAATCAATAAGATTCAACCCCGTTAATAAAAAATAACACTAGGTACCTAGGTATGTGTGCTTAATTACAGGTATCGTGTCTAGACGGGTCAACAACCCGCAACAACTCGAGCTCTTATGATAGGCACTGTGCGTTTAGTAGGCTACTAGACTCTAAACTCTTCATTTAACACTATCTTCAGGAGCAAAATTGGATACCGTATATACTTTCCAAGCCAACGTTTCCATCATGTCCTTAGGTCTGTTCCTTAGGCCTGCTTCTTAGGAGTCTACCTGCTTAGTATACTATCGTCAGGCACGCCTCACCCCGTTTGTTGCAATCACACTTCACATCTATACAATAAAAGACAGTCATAAGACATAACAACATACATATTGTATGCTAGGATAATATCATTAGCTAATAATAATCAAAATCTATCTTTCAACTCGTGGCTCGTAAAACTATAATGTACCGTCGACGCATTCCTCCAGACACTCCCATCTGCCCTCCGCCAATTATATCCCGGGTAATCCGACAAACGCTCTTAAAGCAGGTATCCACCGCGGAAGGATGTAGATGGGGTAGATACCCATAGCAGCTACTAACAGACCAGTGAACTGTCGAAAAGATCAGTAAGAAGTCAAGTACAACAATAATAACAACGCGAAGAAGAAAAAGAAGGGAAAACGGCGAGGCCAAACCAACCTTTTCGAACCAGGTATGGAAGTAGATAGCAGTCATAAGCAGCATCCACAAGCACAACCCCACAACCACCACGACAAACCTCCCGCCAAACCCCAACGCCCTCTCCTCCCGGGCACCACTCCTCTCCGCCTCAACACCCGCGCCCTTGACCGCGCCATCAGGCATAACCACACACCTCTCCTCAACGCCCCCCGCCCTTCCCGCGCGGTAAACCACCCACCCAACCTCCTGAACCAAAAAGCAGCTCCCGAGCACCAGCAGAAAAACATGGCCACTAATATCATGACCCCCGCTCCACCTGCCTCCCGCAGCCTTACACGCCACCGCCGTAAACAACTCCCCCGCATCCGCGTTTCCCTCGCCGACCGCCTCAACCGCACCATCGCACTTCCCGCCGGTGAACCTAAACCCGCGATCGATGATCGGGGGGCCAAAGCACCACTGCGTGACGAGCACCCACCACGCCGTAACCAGGCCCCATCTCACCGCCGCCTTAACCCTACGTATCGTGCCCCTCTCCGACCCCTCATTCCCCCAAGCGCCGAACACAGGGTGCGAGGCGGCAAACGCGAGGAAAGAAGCAGAGATCCAGGCCCAGCCTTGCTTGACGAAGAGGACGTTGAGCACGTTGTCCTTGCGCGCGAAGTAGCTCGGCGCCGAGGCCGCGACGTGCGATTGCCGGATGGGGTCGTACGCCGCGTTGCGGGTCTGCGGGCTGAGGACGGAGAAGAGCGCCCCGAAGACGAGGATTGTTGGGTAGGCTAGCAGGACCGCGGTTTCGAGGGGGGTCGGGAGGTACGGTGAGTTGCGTTTTGTGGTCGGGGATGAGGCGGGAGTATTGGATGAAGAAGAAGAGGAGGAGGAGGAGTAGGGCGACGGCTCGCTGTTTGTCGCGCCCATCTTGGTTTTTCCTTGTTGTCGTGATCTAAGTGAGGCGTTGGTGGCGCTACTATCGTCGGTCATGGTAGATGGAGAGGTGGCATTAAGAACTTTGAAATACTGTGTACCGGCTAACTTCTACTATGAACGGGTCCCGCGGAAGAATATCGGGTTAAGTTTGAAGGCGTCTGAAATAAAGTACGAGAAAATAAACAAAGAACCGCGCAACTTGAACCGTTTCTCAATTTGTTATTGTTAGAACATGTGGATGATTCGAAGAAATTCCTGATTTTTTGAGAATCGAGGCAAAAGCTATCGCTATCGATGACGTTTAATCTAGGTACGCACATGCAAATATCCGAATATGTACTAGCGCCATACGTTCTCCACTGTAACCTGTGGCTGGACAACTGAAGCACTTACTAGAACCGCCCAGGCAGGGGCTATGAAGTATTACAGGGCAATATGTTCATATTCATTCACATGGTCAATATATTTTCAAATATCGAAATCAATGTCATTTTTTACTGATGTAGGATTTAGGTACGGAATAGCTTTAGGTCTTATAGACCACCACCTCCCCTTCCTAAGATCTGGTTGATCTTCTCCGCATCAAACTGGTATCTCAAATCCTGTCATGGTACCTGAACTCCAAACGATCCCTATGTTCCGGTACACTGAAATAATTTTGACGCCTCCATATAGGACGGCGGAAATGCCTCTAGGGCCGGGGAAGAAAGAAGAAGATAAAAAATCAATCGCATATGGATCCCTATTTCCCATTATTTCAAGGGTTCTTTACATGCGGCGTTTTGGACCCGCAGCTGCCTGGTGTGACAGTCGTCGTTTTTGTCGCAGTGCTTGTTGAGTGAGTAAGGGTCCGGGAATGGGTCCCAGTAGCCACACTTCATGGACTTTGGGAGCAAGTTCCCACTGCCGTCACCGTCTGGGTGATTGTGACCGTGACATCATCGGAATCACCACCATTACCGGCACCGCTAGCACTGCCAGAACTGCCAGCGCCGCCAGAACCGCCGTTGGAAGTTTCGGAAGGGATAGGAATGGTAGTTACGGATGCTCCCACGGATCCTGCTACAGATCCCGTCGCCGATGTGCCGGCAGTCGACCCTCCACCAGGTTGACTATAGCTACCTGCCGGTGTGGAAGCCGGAGTAGCCGTGGCCTGAGTGTCAGTAACAATGTTGGGGGAGCCGCTAGCTGAAGAACCTGAACCGGAACCCGAGCCGGAGCCGGAGCCGGAATTGGCGCCAGAGCTGGGGGTAGCAGTTACGGCAGTTCCAGAGAGTGTTGTCTCCGAGACCGAAGTCGAAGCCGAAATTGTAGTTGAAGGAGTAGATGAACCCGTTCCAGCGCTGCTTGACGCTGGTGACTTGGAGCCAACGTCTACCTCGAACTTAGCGATGGCGGCGCAGAAGTTGTTTCTGTTGTCTTTGTCAAGAACGGCGGACTGGCCATCGACGCTGATCATGTTCACCGAGGACTTGGTGCTGACTCCATAGAGGTGTACTCCAGTAGATCCCTCGATGGAGATCATGTTGTCCTGGCAATTGTTCTCCGCCACACATTTTTGGCCATAGTTGTTAAAGAAGCTGTATAGACCAGTGCCGTAGACATACACCGAAGACGAATTCGTGATACGAAGACCCCAGGTGCGTGCGCAGGTGTCGGACGAACCGTCGCAAGACTTGTCAAAATCAGGGTCGATGAAGCCTTCAAGAACTGTGGCGCCTACGGGAGCAGGAGGATTGCCCTGGAAGTAGGCGGTCTCTGACTGAGCGATACCAAGGAAAACATTTTGGGCGTTAGAAACCTGGTAGTTGTACAAGATGCTATGCTCAGACGCAGTTCCCCACAACCATACGGGCTTCTGGGACTCGATGAGGACGCCACGGCCGCTAAAGATGTTGATTTGGTTGTGATCGTTCAGGTCAAGCTCATGGTCGGCAACCCAGAACCAGCAGTTTTCAATGTACGTTGAGGCTGTCTGTGTGATGTGAAGCATCATGAAGACACCCATACACTCGGGGGTGGCAGTGGTGGTGACATTCTCGTTCTTGGTGCACTTATCGGACTGTAGCTCAGTACCAGCAGTCCCACCGATACGGAAATGTACATCCCACATTCCAGCAGCGCCGTTTGTAGATCCCGCAAGGTTCCATTGCATGAGAATTGCTCCAGGAAGCGGGCCTTGGGTCTCGATGATTAAATCCGACATCTCAACGTCGCCCACATCACCAGCCTCGCCGACCTGGAAGACAGGAACAGGCTTGGTCTGATCGGAGAACTTCTTACCGGTAGCCATGAGAAGGGGCCACATCTCACCGGTGATCTTGATGTTCTTGGGGATTTTGACCGTGTCAGAGATGAGATAGGCGCCGTGGTCGAAGTAGATGATGTCACCCTCCTTAGCATTGTCGAAGATTTTCTGAATCGCCGCAGTATCGTCGGTTTTGCCATCACCTTTGGCACCGGCCGTTTTCACGCTAACGAAACTACTAGATGGACTGGATTCGTATTGAGGCTTGATGCGCGAGAAGACTTTGCCATCGTCGCCCAACAGAACATTGGGCTTGCGGACATTGTCTTTGGCGATTTGGATCGCTTTGCCTTCGCTACCATCGTACTGTCGGCCCTGAGTAAACCCTGTGACCTTCTGGTTTCCTTGGAGAATGACAGACTTGTCCTTCGCATACTGGATAGCAGTGGGGACACCCTCCGACATGTCCACATTATCTACGATGAGGGTGTTGTTGGTGTCGGAATTCTCGGGCTTGTACAGAGTATTGATTCCAACCGGGACATTTGAAATTTTGCTATCGAGAAGGAGCAACGAACCAACCTTGATCTCATCCATGGAATCACTTGCCATGTCAATGCCAATCTTTCCGCCGTTGATAGTAATGTCCTGCATCAACCAAAGCCAGTTCCAAATCAGGTGGATGGCTGTGTTGCAGTTGTTGAAGGTCATGTTGCGAGAAGTGTATTGCTGGCTGCCGATGTAGGCTCCCATACCTCCACCGTTAAACGTAAGATCAGCCATGAAGCCACCAGATCCATTCTCAATGTACAAGCCTTTCTGGGTGTTCGCATCGCTGGTGTCTGGGTTCATCTCGAAGACGATGTTTTGCAGACTAGTTGCCTGAGCGACTTGCCAATGGATACAGGCACCCTTGCTGATAGGAACGTCCTTGATGTCGATAATGAAGTTACGAACCTGACGGAAGAAGTTGTTCTGGTTGATGTACCAGTTCTGAGCCGGCTGTTGGGTGTAATCGTAAGGGTTCGCGTCAATGACCGCCATACCATCAAAGTTGGGTAGTGCCTTGATGGTCGGGATATCGTTCGCATCACCGATGAATTGGGTGTAGTAGGTCTGGTTGATTGGGTTGCTGACCATGTAGGTGCCGGGAGGGAAATAGACAATGGCGGGGGTACTGGTTCGAGAGTCGCAGTGATCGATGCAGCGGTTAGAGCCATCTTGAACGGCTCGGTTAATCGCCTGGGTATCATCAGTGGTGCCGTCTCCCTTGGCGCCATAGTCCTTGACATTGCGGAAGACCTGATAGCCGGAATCGGCATAGACAGCAACACCTTGACGTTTGATGTCGGCAACCCAATAGTCGGAACCGGTACTCTGGCGCTGCTGCACAGCTGTCGACTGGCTAGCTTCAACAGAGCCAGAGAAGAGGCGTAAAGCCAGAAGAGAGGCCGCGAGGACCTTAGAAAGACCCATCTTGAGTGTAGAGCCTGCTATGTCGAGATGGTCTTGAAATGCGATCCACCGAAAAGAGTGTTAAAAGAACTAGTGCTATGAATGCAAAATCAGCTCTGTTTCTCCTCCAGGGAGGTTGATATGGTAAAATAATGACTAGAAACACGGCTATGGTATGGACAGTAAAATATGCAATATGTGCTGCTTAAAAAATGTACTCGGCAATAGGATAATGGTAAAAGTAGAAAATAAAAATAAAAAAAGGTTGGAAGGGAAAGGAAGCTGAAGAAGATTAAAAACAAGAGGAAGCAGGCTAGTATTGGGAATTTTGATATGCCTGTGAATACTGCAAGTCGAGAGTTCGTGAACAATATTGATTGTTCATGAACAGAATGGAAGAGAACAAGGACACTAGCATGATACAGTAGGCTTTGTGTGTAGTGACTCGAGGAGAGATGAATTAAGGAGTGAATTAGGGAAGATATGTTTGTGTGCTGAACAAAAGGAGGACAATAGAAACGAGATCGAATCAAAGACTTACCAGTCACGACAAATCTCGGTGTTGTCTATGGTGAGACCCTTGTGTCCAATCGGCGAAGTCAATGGCCTGACCAAATCCAGGGTCGGGTCAGTGGTGGTCTTGGAATCGTCGAATAACGAATGACTGAATGAGTGACGATGTCTTAAGGTGTCGTAGGACGAGAGAATGGACGGTCAAACTAGTGACCAAGAATAGAAAAAAAAGAATGTTGGGTGTCGACAAGATAAAAGGAAAATAGGAAATGTGGTGTTGAAGAGAACGTTTTGTTTTTACGCGGAGGAAAATCGACGATGGTAGGTATTGTAGGGTGGATGGTGAGATGGGTCACCCAAATCGGGAAATAAACGGTAGACCGCCTCGCGTGATATTTATAACGTCAGGGTAGTAGGTACCTAGAGACGCTAATAGAAGGCACGTCTAGCTAGAATATAGCGCAACTTCACTTTATATTGACCTATTATTGTAGATAATTGTGGAGGTACGTATCTAGGTGCCTAAGATACATAGTACATGAAAACACCCCTACCCCTTACCTTACTAAGTACTCTCCAGCTACGACTTCTTTGAAAGACCCAACTACCACATGGTTTATAACACAGTGTGTAACTCTTCAATCCGATCCAATGAGAACTACGCCTCTTTGCCGAAAGAAGTAACCACTGGCTAGTACCTGCCGTACGCTGTAATATGCACCAATTTTCGTATGTTTGTGGGCATTTACTTGAATTATCACCATATCATATGTAGATTTCCATCTCAAAGACCAATACGATGTTTTAACCGAGGACACCATGTGGGTAATAAACCATAAATGTTGTTTTTGTTTTGATGTGTACTGTGCCTCAACCACTCATATCGCCAAGATGCATTTTGTTAGACTAAACAGTCAGGAACCGACAGGGCTCGATGAGGCAGCGATGGAATAGATCCCCCTAATGGTTATCCACTGGCCTACAATTACATGATCTTCGTTTCCCCTGTAATTGGTTGGTTCGTGGATAGTCAGATCGAGAATACACATGTACATATCTAGGTATGTCAGTGATATGGAAAAATCGATAGGAGTTTAGTGACCCGACGACTTGGAGTGCAACATTTCGAGCTGCCAATATCACATTCAGTGGCAGTCGCATCACCAACATTTCGTCATTAGCAGCTAGTGCTCCATGTTCCTGCAGGAAATTTACAGGGATTATGGCGATCCTCAGCGATCCGCATTTCTTTGTGGCCTATCATTACGCGGCATACAGAAATCTAGCTCCCAATTGGGTGCGTTTCTTTGTACTATAGTTTCGAAATTTTAGGTACATGCGGGTAAATAGGTACATGTACATCAATACGGTAGGCCCCTAGGTAAGGCTAGAAATTTCTACATAGTACAGTACGTCCACTAGAAACCCCTCAAAAATGGGGAGGTAATGCCATAAGAACAACTAATTTTTCGGAGATAGTGGCAGATAATGTTAGAATTGAGGCTCTGAAAAGGGTTTAAAATTTTAGTTACGAAACGAAAAAACGTGTAGGGACCATCCATCCCATATTTTAGATGATCGGTTTGGGGGCGGGTATAATTATCGATAATATCTGGGGGCTATTAGCCGTTGGCTTACACGGCTCTGCACGGCCTGACCGTTCCTCGATAATTCTCAACTACCCGCTCCCCTGTCCCTGCTCCGGTATTGATAATAGCACAACAGCGATTTACAGAAGCACGTCTGTTGGACAACTCGTTTCTCGAGCTCAAACTAAGCTTCGTACCAGCGGAAACTTGCATCTGTCCGTATCACTACATATTATTCCTTGACTTGATATGGGTTAACTACCTAGTTATATGTGCGAAAGAACGCGTTTTTTAATCATCATGTTAACTAAAAAACAACGATATGTGAAATGGTACCACGCTATTCTGTGGTGCGATTCTGGGCATGTCAAGATCAGGATTATACTGCATACTATGTAATATGCTTGACACACGGTGCTGCCACACCTAGTTGAACTAACTCCGTAAAGAGATCCTTGGACAATCTCGGCTCCGATCTAAAATACCTCCTCTTGTGTCTATGAATAAATACTTAGTTTCTACCAGTGCTTTGTGGAGTTAATCAATAAATTTTACCACAGTCTAGGTACGGATCGTATTAGCTGTCAACCCAATCAAACTCTCCACAAGATTATCTAATTCCGGATCAAGGCTTCTTCACTGACTAGAAGCGATATTTGCACAAGTTAAAAAAGCAAGAAATATTTTCTAGGTCAGTCCAAATTAACAGATCCGATCACACCGTCTCCGAATAGATACATATCTTAGTAATTACCCAGTATGCCCTAATGATTAAAAGCAATCAGCCAACCAACGTGGTCTGGCTAGGACGGCATGAAACGACGCCATAGCACAATCAAAATTACGGATCTCGTTCAATCAACTTAATTCATTCGCCCTTACTCACCAATCCTAACTTTTATACTTCTCCACAGGCGGTATCTCCATCTACAATTCGCAGCCAATTAGAAGAGAGTATGTGTCAGGTGTAGTATGATGTAGCATGATATTTTGGATATTTCGACCTGCCAATTTGTGTTTCGAAACATCTTTTTAGTGCGCTTTCCCCTGAAATTGGTAAATGATCAAGGGTCCGTGTTTCATCGGCGCTAGGAAGTCGGATCGCGCGGGGGCTACAGCAACCAAGGGACAGCCCTAAGGGGTTCCACCTGCTATTTTGGACCGTGCCTACCTGGTAACGAGACCCGTTCGGGCGGCTACGTAGATCGGCTCTATCCGTGGAGAAATTCTGGACCTACACTAGAAACTCGGAAACTTTTCTCTAATTCCCACTTAGTATTTTATTCCTGAAGGTTTCAGTTTGTTCTCTCGGTCAGTTCACTGTGGAAAGAAGCAAATACCACTAGAAGCAAACAATTCGAAATTCAAGAATATTTTCGAATCTCTTTGCAGACTGTTAGGGTCTGTGATTTCCACCGAGCGTCGAACTACTGCTATTTTAAAATGAGAGGCCACCTGAACACTACGCCGTGTAACGGAAATTACCACTCTTCATAAAAGAATGCGAGAGAATCACAAGCCACATTATCTGAGAGCGGCAAATTCTATGGCAGCACGGATGAGAATAGTCACTATCAAATCAAGCAAGTACCTACTTCTCAACCTACCTGATAGGTACCTACCTACTCATCCGGGAGTCACATAGTAACATCTAAACCTACACCTCACCTCTTTCAAGTCAAGGGATCTTCTCATCCGGATGAAATATTGACAACTAGGAGAGAATTAATGTAATAAAATTACCAGCAACGTAACCTACTAGTATTTGACTCGTCATCACCAACCTAAACTACTCATAAATCACATATCATCCCTTTCTCCCTTACACCCTTACACCCTCCCCTGCCTACTCTTCATCAACGGCTGAATCTCCCTCCCAAACGCCTCCACGCCCCCAAGAAAATCATCAAACGTAAGCATAATCCCCTTCGTCCCCTCCACGCCCGCCACCTCATCCAGCATGCGCGCCACATTCTCGTAACTCCCCATCAGCGTCCCCATATTCAAATTCACCGCGCCCTCCGGCAGCTCCAGGCTCTTCGCAGTAGAATGCGCATCGGCCTTAACGTCCTTCGACGACTGCGCGCGCATCCAAGCCATAGCCTCCGCATCCGCACCCTCGTTGTAAACCCTCCACTTCTCAAGGGCCTTCTCGTCCGTCTCATCCGCAATAACCATAAACAGGACATACGACCCAACATCCCTCCCCGTCTTCTTCGTCGCCTCGACCAAGCGCGCCGTAGCCTGCGCGTACGCCGTCGGCGTATTAATCCCCGCGCCCAGCGCGAAATTGTAATCCGCAAGCTGCGACGCAAACTCGATGCCCCTCCCAGACTGCCCCGCCGCCACAATCTTCACGCCGTCCTTCGGTCTTGGCGAGAGTTTACAGTCGTCCATAGTGAAATGCGTGCCCTTGAAGTCCGAGGCCCCCCGCTCCCACAGCTCGCGCATCACCTGCACGTACTCGGTCGCGTAGTCGTACCGGTACCCGAAGTACGCGTCGCCGGGCCACAGGCCCATCTGCGCGTACTCCGCCGACTGCCACCCCGTGACGATGTTCACGCCGAAGCGGCCCGGCGCCACCGAGTCGATGGTCGTGGCCATGCGCGCGACGATCGCCGGGGGCAAGGTGAGGATCGCGGCTGATGCGAATAGCTTGATTTTCGAGGTCACGGCCGCGAGCGCGGACATCAGCGTGAAGGACTCCAGGTTGTGGTCCCAGAACTCGCTCTTGCCGCCGAAGCCGCGCAGCTTGATCATCGAGAGCGCGAAGTCGAAGTTGTACGACTCGGCTTTCTGCACGATTTGCTTGTTTAGCTCGAAGCTCGGCATGTACTGCGGTGCTGTTGTTGATATGAGCCACCCGTTGTTGCCGATGGGGATGAAGACGCCGATGTCTACTGTCGACATGTTTTCCGTATACCTGTTTCAGTTGCTAGAGTGATCTTTGAATTTTGCGTGATCTGATGAGTATCTTGCGAATGTTACCAGGTCCCTCATTGTCTCTGCAAGTACCCCTACAATAGGGAACACAGTCGCGCACTCTTGCGATCTTCGGCATACTCCCTTGCTAACCCCGCGCATCAAGTCCAATGTGATAGATAAGAGCTCTTAGCTTGTCTGGTTGATGTGGTTACATTCACATTCGCATGCGCTATACCTACCGTAGATACATGAGATATGTACGTAAGACGATCAGCAGTGATCGATTATCTACCCGATTCCGCACTGATAATGGTAGATGGGTGTAGGCGAAATGAGATATTGCATCGTGAACCTCTGGCTTAGGGGTTATGTTGCGAACGGAAGCTTGATTACTGAGGGAAGTTTGGAGATTATAGTGAGTGCTTACAGCTGACACCAGCTGGCGAGGCCCTAGAATCTCAGGTGCGGAACTCCGATTGTCTTGCATGTGGTGATGATGTAACAACCCAGCTTCAATACGACCCTCTTTTCGACCACGACAGTTGCTACAATGGCAGAAATGGGACGCCCAGTCGCGCCGCCAAATCTCCCAGCTCTCGTTAAAGCAGCTTTCGATAAAGCACGAGTCAGTGGTGACATAACGTATTACCCGACACAAGTCGCTGTCTTGACACCCGGATCTATCGCCGTGGGTTCATCTATTCCTCACCAAGCTCCTAGCCCCTACAATAGCAAGTACTAATTCTCTGTCTGTATAGTTCCAACTTCGCTACGCACCCTCTCTCGCCCTCAAGCCCAAAGCACCAAAACCCAAAGAGCCCAATGGCAAACCATTCAATCCCTTCGAGAATCCATCTCCAGCCATGCTCGTTGCCGAGCTACCGCCATCCCACAGACTAGTCCTGAACAAATTCGCCATCGTGCCAGAACATTTTATCCTAGTCACCAGAGAATTCAAGCCACAGACACACGTTCTGGAGAAAGACGACATAGACGCGACGTTTGCCTGCATCCAGGCCTACCGTGGGGTCGGACAGGATCTCTTCGCGTTCTTCAATTCGGGACCCCATTCCGGAGCTAGCCAGCCCCACCGACATCTGCAGCTACTACCTGTCGCGAGCATGAGGACGGGTTTGGAAGACGTGGATCGTGGCAGCCAATGGAACGTGCTGGCAGATACGCTCACCGGATCGAGCAAAACGTTACCTTTCAACGTCTTTACAAGAAGTATTCGTCCCGATATGAGCGCCGAAGAGAGGCATAGCGCGTACCTAGAGCTATACCGACATGCTGTGAAGGCCGTCTATCCAGATATAGAAGCTCACGACGAGGGCGAGGCGCAGATCAGCTATAACTTCGCAATGACGGGCAGCACGATGGCTTTGTGTCCGCGAACGGCGGAGGGAGTGATGCTGAAGAACAAGTCCGGGGAAGATATCGGCCAAGTATCGCTCAACGGAACGGTTCTAGCCGGCACCGCACTTGTCAAGAACCAGGCTGAATGGGATGCGTTGAGAGAAGATCCGGACGTATTACTCCATGTCCTCGGCGGAATCAGCGTGTCTCCCTAGAATTCGGCAGTCAGAATACTAGCTGTGCGAAGTGTGAATAGTTACCAAAGCCCAACCATCGGGCCGAAGCAAAATCGATGAATTCTCTAAGCTGTCTAAGATATCTAAGTTTCGAAGTCGTATTGTAGTAAGTAAGTACACACTGATCCCTTGTTTTTTTACATTAGTTATATCCACGGATCCCTGGATCCCAATCCCAATCCCAATCCTAATACACACGTTTTTGTAGGTCCCTACCTATCATACAAACCCTCCGCCAAAACGCACACTTTTATCTCATCTATCTCGTCCACGATGACCTCACTTCAGTCCCGCCATGCCCGCCTCCACCAACTCCTTCCACTTCTTATGGCACGTAGCGCTGCCGAACTGGTACGAGCCCCCGTGCTTCACGATGTAATCCGAGATCTGGCCCCACGGCGCTTTCACCGGCATGCTATCCTCGCCTAGCCACAGCTTGCGGACAGCTTTCTTCAACAAGCGGATCTGTGCCGTCGCGTTAGTAAACCCCGAAAAAAGTGCCCGCGCGCGCGTGTGTTTGTGGTCTGCAGCTTTGGAAAACTCACATCAGTGTCCTTCCACTCGGGCTTCCTGACCCGCGCCTCCTTGTCCTTCGTCAATGTCCGGAACCGTCCCCGCAACGTCGACTCGGCCTCCGTGAAGTTCCCCTGCTTGCGGATCTCGCGATACGTCAGACCCTCTCTCTTCGATCGAACCAGGAACTCGTCCTTTGCCGAGCGAGAATCTTCGGGAAGTCGTTTATCGCCGTTTCCTTGAAAAGACGGGACAGGAGAGTCTTCGATTTCGTAGGGTGAGCTTCGCAGCGGCTCTTGTATCTCCTGGGTGAATTTAGGTCTGGGAGGTGGCTGCAGCTGGATCGGGGGTGCTGGTGGAGCAGCTCGTTTCTTGTCCTTCAGTTTCGATGCGAAGGTCGACGATGGTAGCGAGCGCTGCTTCATTGGCCTGCTGGGGAGTTCTTTGCGCGGCTTTTGGAGCGGGCGCTGGTGAGGAAATGGGCTGCGAGGATGGTTATCGAAGGCAGAGATGCCAACATCGGGATCGCAGCTGGCTAGGGTATTGATATGCATTGACTCCGACGACGAAGTATGAGTCGGTGATGGGTTAAGGCGCAGCATCTTGGGAGAAATTGTAGGAGGATAACCCGATGCCCAGCTGTTTCCAGAAGTATCCGAGCTAGGTACAGAGTTATTTGCACGCGAAGTTCCGATTGTGTTGCTATGCGCTGTCATGGAATCAAGGGACATCGCAGCCATAGCTTCGGATGTTGCCGAGGAAGGGATTGACGACGAGAAGCTACTGGGGCTCACATGAGGGCCCCCTAGTGGTTCGCCGAAGACAGACATATTATGTTGCCATTGGTTATCGGGTAGACCGTCAGGAGAGTCGAGGTAGTTGGTGGGTTGGTTGGCTCCTGTGGTATTGTACGCCTGCCAAGCATACTGGCGGGCGTCATAATTGGCCCCGAAGCCTCGAGCATACCCGTTTGCTATGCGCAGGTTTGGCAAAAACATTTGCTCGTTTCCCGCTGGTCTGTTCTGTTGAGCGGGACTCGGATCAAAATCCCTTCCGATATTGACAGCTGAGACACCAACGGCGTTTGCTTGGCCCCTACCATATGGCGTACTCGTCTCAGTAACCGGGAAGCAGTCGCTGAGAAGGTCCTCGGTCTACGAATACAAGTATAAGTAATATATTTCGATAGCATCTCGAAGAGACCGAGTTATCATATCTTACCGCATAAGTTTCATCTCCACTATCCGCAGCCATGTGTTGGAACCAGTGTTGGTCATCCATTGTCCGCTGCGATCGCTGCTGAGACACGTCGCCGGCCCAAAACTCGCCAAGTTGGAGAGGACAGTTGCTGAATCCTTGACAGCAAAAGACAAAGAATCCTATCTCAGGATTGCTGCGAAAGTGAGACTCAGACGCAAAGATGTTGTCACTCGGTAGAGGATCAACCCAGGCAGCCTGGGGCAACATCGGGTTAAGAGTCATCTTGAATATGTGCCCGACGTCGATATAGCTTTCTCAGTCTTGCCTCCTTTTCGCCTCCTACACGGCCACGGGCGGCCCCCTTTCTCCCCTTTCTCACCGCCGCTCTATCAAACTTCTGCGCGAGCCTTTGGCTAGAGAATGCCTTCGATACCCCGCCTGCAACTTCTGATAAACTAGCGTTAGGTATTCTTGCAGCTGAGCCTAGCGGTCAGGAACCGGCGTTCTTGGTAGCGATGCAGGTCTTGTGCGGCCTCCCGAAGATTTGTCAGAAACCGTTCCCCCGGTTGTCGTTCTAGCTAGGACACACGAAGTTTTATAAGGGTATATATGAGTATAGGAAAATAAGTGGCCGATACTGTGGTGATAGGGATGATAAGTCATGGGTAGAAATGAATAGCTGCGTGGTTGAGGCAAATATAAGTTGCAGGTTACAGGATAGTGAAGTGTCTATGCGGTGGCAAGTTCTCAGTCTACTATCCGCCTACATGGGATTGTATATTCGTCTACCGTATGTATTTCTATGCGAAGAAGAGATGATAATCGAGGATACCAGCCTCCAAATTCTATCTGGGAATATGTAGGGACTAATACCCCCAATACCACCCATAAGAACCACCCATCTTTCTCAAATATCCCCCATTGTATTCACAATATGGCCTACAACCTAGGCGAGGACTCCTTGGGGCTTTCTGGACATCAATAGAAGGGAGAGTGGGGAACAAGGGACCGAAGTGGAGGAGCGGGAAGCAAGTCACTCAAAAGGGTCACTCGATAGGGATGTTCGATTCCGTCTATCATATAACCAACCCGGCTCTCCCGCCACAGACTAATAACAGCGAGTCTGGGAGATGTTTATGAATGTTGTCAGATTTATGCAAGGGTTACCCTTGCGCTGCAGATAAATCTTGCTGAGGCTCTCACTGCAACAATATGCATGAAAGTATCTATACCAAGTAGGTATTCTGTGTCGACCGGTAAAAGCTGATTATAGGCCATCACATCCACGATGTTGCTTTTAGTGGTAGCTAAAGTAGGTACCAGCAATTTCAGCATGTAATACTGCATACATCTGCAATGACCTGCATATCTAGGCTTGCGTTAGCGCTCAGCACCTATACTTGCCTATGATAATTCGTCACCCCTGCATCAACCACAGACACTCCACCCCCAATGACATATTTTTCCCCAGCTTTATTTTCAAGCTTGGTTTCTCTCTTTGGTTCCCAACCTTATGTGGGATCCTGACAGCTGCGAGCGAGAACGCGGGACCCTGCTTGGGTTGGTCCTGTGCGTTCTACACTTATCAATCTCGGGCTCGAATGTAATATATATCGAATGTTGGATATACAAGTTATTCGCTACCCGTATTAGTTTACCAGATCGACTCGTCCAGGCTCGAGGCGGGGAATATAATGATGAGCGACCCAAATACTATGGACAAAGTATCCGAGGGGGTCTCCATGTCTTTGAGCTGCACCAGCATCAATTGAGCTATCAAAATATTAGCCATTTTTGAGATCGTCATAAACAAATCCGATATACCACCAAGATCTAAGATCCTTGACCCCGGGTGACCGGCAATACCCCCGAGAGGTAGGGCTGTACCTACTTCGCAGAGAGGTACCTACATATATCATATGCATTACCTAGCATAGAACGGATTTACTCTGCATCGTCCCTAGGAATTGCAGAACTTAAGCATTAAGCTGTAGTCAGAGCGGAGACCGCGGAGATTTTGCAACTTCATCTAAAGCGGGGATGACCTATCATCGTCGCGGGATATATTACCTGCGTAGATAGTAGGTACTCAGGACCAGGTAGTGTCGACAGAACTGAGATCTCATCCTGTAAATATTACGTACGGCGCTAGACGGTTAGGTAGACATCAAACCAAGGTCATCGGATAGTCCCGAGATGAAATGGCCGAGCAACACTCCCAACTGATGTACTGACCCCCACGAGACATACCTCAGTCCTGGTAGATGAACGTTTGCCAAGTGTGCTGAGTGGCGAGGCTTCCATCTACCAGTCTGCTGGTACCTGGGCCGCTATCATTTATTCCACTTCTCGGCCTGAAAATACCAGATTCTTCTCGCATTAAGTGATGAGGTCCAATTTCTCGCATATCGTTCGTCGCCTGTCTACATGCAGAATGCATGCAGTGCAGCCTAAGGTCCAACGTATTGCCACGAACCTGTATAGATGCTCTAGAAAGCTTCCTGTTGTAGTTAACCAGCAACGCAACATTTGTTTAAGACATTTCCGCCAACGTTGACAGTCGACAAGAATCTGTGGCTCTGTGAAACCAACCCCCCCTTTACACATTAGATTTTCGTCTCGATTTTCGTCTCGATCGAGCCTGACGCATGTCAAGCTCGCAGACTTTGGCCTCGTCAGATATGATAATATTAGGAGCCGTCGTAATACCGCCCGTGCCGTTAGCCTGGTTGTCTAATTGGTTAAGTCCTAACAAGATCATATCTTCTGTTTGACGATGACGCAAAAAAATAAGAGCGGGCTTGCTGAGCTCCTATGCGATCTCTTAGCTTGATAGCTCACTTCCTAATCTGGTAATTTATCATTTCGGAACCCTGATCAAGATGTGGACTGTATTTTCGCCATTCGAATCGCACATGTTCCTAGTTACCTCTCAATTCAACTTCCCCCTATCGAACTAGTTAGTACGTAATATTTTTAGGCGCATATACCGCTGAAGGTGTATGCTAGAATATTATAACCCTTTAAGATAGGATAGGAATTTCGTTAGTTGAGATCATACAGGTATCCAGTAGTGAAATAAGGAGGTTAATCTATGAAAGAAGGTAGGTAGCTGATGAAACTACAAGATAGCCATCGTTTGAAAGCCAACGAAATGAGTACCTATTTTGTACCCGTTGATGCGTACGTGCCTAGTTTTTATTTTTTCGGGAAATTTTCGATGACGAAACCGGGAAAATGTGAAGATGTAGAGAGAATATTGGCGCTGCATGTGAGAAAAGAAAGTAAAGTTAGGTACGTTACGTTACGTTTCGCTACGTTTCGCTACGTTACGCAATCACAGAAGTACGTACGTGCTTGCCGAACGCACCTTCTCATCAACACGATCGAAACGAAACTAAGTTCTACGTCTACGTTTCGGAAGGCACATACTGACATTCTCACCCGTACGTGGCTGTCAGGGATCGATTCACCTACTTAGGTTTAGCTTCCAAACGACCATCCGGCAACTAAGAGAATAGCGCCAGGGCGGCTAAAGCTTGCCCCAGGATCTCCGGTCCTCAATGCGCTCCAAGCTCCCTGCCGGTCGACCAATCGGCTTTCGACAAAGACCCATCAATTACCACAAATGGACGAGGGTGGCGCAAGCTAGCTCCGTCGCGGAAACCTCAGCTCATACCAATGCCGATGCCGATTGCCCAGTGCCAACTTCTCGTGGCTTTGCTCTCATTAATACCGTACGTACAAATAATCTTGGAACTTGTCCTTACCATACATCCACACACATACACACACACACACACCCATTGAAAAATCCAGACGTCTTCAACGACAACCTAACGCTCAAACCGGCATAACGTCTTCAACAGACATGCCTACGTCGAGTAATAATTGGATGATTTCGCCTTCCCTATCCCCATCCCCATCCCCATCCCTCCTACTTCCACACACGCCCGCCCTTCCCGCATACAGCTAGCGCGCCACACGCGTGATGTCCTCTGCGTGGACCGGCACCTCGCCACCACAGCAGCATCAACAACGACCGATCCGGATCGCCATCCTGCTAAACTCGTACCGGTCGCGGCTTCTTCCCGCGATCCGGGCGTCCTACGAGCGCACCATCGGGGCCGTCGCGCCAGACGCGCGGCTAGCCTTCTACGAGCCCGCGAACAAGAGCGGCGAGTTCCCCGACCCGGCACATTTCGACCTGATCGTCCTCGGCGGATCCAACGTCGATCCGCGGAAGTCGCACCAGTGGATCCTCGACGTCCACGCCTTCGTCCGCCGCCTCGTCGCCGACTTCCCGGACAAGAAGGTCCTGGGGATCTGCTGGGGCCACCAGACCATATCGCGCGTCTTCGGTGGTAAGGTCGTTGATGCTGCGCATCCAGAAGTCAGTCTGTCCCGGTTTCTTACCTCGCCCCACTCATCTCGCGTAGAAAAAACTGGTGATGGAGCTTGGCCGCTAACGTACGTCCTTAGATGGGCGTAGCGACTATCAACTTGACGGAGGCGGGAAGACGGTTCTTCCCCGAAGCAGCCGCCGTCGGCTCCTTCAAGCTGCAGCAGCACCACAGGCGGGAGGTCGCCGTGCCGCCGACGGCATTTACACAGCTAGCGCACGGGAACCAGTGCCTGTTGAACAGGACGAACACGGTCCTAACATTCCAAGGACACCCGGAAAAGGACGCCGAGACGGCGCGGCTGCGGCTGCACGACTCGATGCGGTGGTTTGGATTCGACGCCGCTATAGACGAGAAGGCTTGGGCCCGGCTACAGGAGTTGATCTTCATGGAGCACGACGGCCCTGCTGTCTGGAAGCGTATTTTGGAATGGGTTTGGGAGCCACCGGTTTTGGCGCTAGGGTCTGGGATTGTAGATAAACCGAGCAAAATGTAAGATTATTTCATTGTTTGTGGCTTTGATGAGCCTGAAGTGAGATTAGAGGTCAATATATAGGTATGTATCAATATATATAATCTTTAGAGGTCATATAAACTGGGTTATTGCGTCGGCTCAACGCAGCCAAACTTGGGTATTTTAATCAGGCGCTGTACACCTATTATTGATTCCAAACTACCATAATATAATAGTTTTGTACTGGAGGGAAAAGCGTGGACTGTAATTTGATAATCAAGATTTTCCAAGCGTCTTAATATATCGCACATTTACAAAATTGGTCGGGCCTGGATGAAGGACGGCAAGTAGGACATCGTACTTTTAAGCCATCCGCCTATTCTCATTGCTCTGACAACTCTCGAACACGGCCGACAACCGTTCGGAGCTCATTCAAGCTTGAAGTTAATCTAGTTCTCGCACGATAATTACCTCCCGTAACACGGATGTTATTCCCTTTATAACAAGACATTACCTCTACAATGGATGACTTATTAGTCTAACCATTCGATAAACCGTAGCCATCACTAAGGCTATATGCCAACAATAACCCACTAAGAACATAGAAGTTAACGCTTTTCTCTTCGGTTCTCTACGAGGTGGGCATACTGATAAACTTATTAATAGATTAGACGTTCAAATTAATATCCAGCACCCGAAACATGATTAATTGGTTAAATTTTTTCTCATTATGTACTCAGGAGAACCGTAATGCATCTGAGATCTATATGCGGCACACCAAGCGTGCGATCGGGGGGTAGAAACAGCCGCTAGAAATAATATGGGATAGAAAAATAAATAAATAATCTTAATGCCTCTGATGCCAAAATAGCAAGCAGCAAGTCCGAACTCCAGATCTAAGTCTTCCTTTCTTTTTCTTTTCCATGCCTCGAATGTGTAGGATCTAGTCCGGTTCAAATGATTTTTAAAAAAATGTGCAAGGTTACGATCGTCCAGTCTCTCCGCTATCCCGTGAGGGTGTTAAGACGCCAGGCTATGCTTCGCGATGCACAAAATAAAAGTGTAGAAGTGAATCTCTCCTCGCTTCGTCCGTGTTCCGTACCACAAAAGGAGAACCCGCCAAAACTCCACCGATCTAGGGGAAATTCGTCATTGAAAGGAAATTCGTGAGAAAAATTCGTCGCCGATCAACTATCAAAATTGCACGACGCAATTTATAGCAGAGCGATGCGTCAAGCATTTGGTCGTAATTACATATTACCTCCACCAAGCCTTACTTAGTCTCATCTTCTCATATGAAACTGGCGTACCCGGCGTTGCGGATTTCACATCCAACTTCAGGCTTACGAGCGCTCTCGAGCATCCTGATATCTGGAACATCAGCACCAAAGTCCATAATAAGGATCTTCGCATCCTGTCCAGTACTGACGATCCTCCTGTAGTCGCACTTAGCGCTAAGTACCCAACTAGCATGCCAACCGGGGAAGTCGAGGTGTTGTTGACCAGTCTCCATATCAAAAACTTTGATATCTGTGTCATAACTACCGCTAACAAGTCGGCCACTGGCGCTGTCAATGTGCAAACTGCGAACTAGGCTCTCATGTGCCTGTATCTCTCGGAGGCATTCGCCCGTGTTGGCATCCCAGATGCGAATGACCTTGTCGCTTCCGGCGGAGGCAACGTATCGGCCATCTTCTGAGAATTGGCTGCAGGCAAGACCTTTGGTGTGTCCCGCAAGTTCGCGGATCACTCTACCGCTATCGATATTCCAAAGCTTCACGGTAAAATCTCCAGAGCAGGACACAAGGGTATTTCCGCGTAGTTGTACCGCATTCACTGGTCCGGTATGGCCATTCAGCTGCTTGATTAAGGCACCCGTGGCGCGATCCCACACGCAAATACTGCAGTCCTTGGAGCATGTCACAATATGCTTGTCGTCGAATGCCAAATCGAGAACAGCGGCGGTGTGAAACTGAAGGCGTCGAACGGGTCGGTAGCCAGCGCGTACGTTGTATATGATGCAGGTGGAATCCGAAGAGCCGGTCACCAAAATATCGTCATCGTATTGGAGGCAGAGAATAGATGCGCTATGGTGGATCGGAAATGAGACTGTGACAGGCACTGACGCATTTATTTGTTGGTTATCGGGACATAAGGCGTAGTGCGTAGGATGGCCATTTTCGTCGAATAGAATCGAAGTATCATTGACAGCTCGGGGCGGTCCAATGATGAGACGACACTGCAGAGTATGCATATCCCAAATTCGAATAGTCTTGTCTCGAGAACCAGTGATAATCTTGTTCCTATTCACATGTTAGTAAAACGAATTAGACAAAATTTCATGTAAGAAAATAAGGATCCGTACTCATCGAATTGTTGGCAATAAACACTGTCCGTGTGCCCATAAAGGAAGATTGCGCGAGCCTGTTTCCCCAACTTCCATCTCTTGTCCAGCTCCTGTCGCGCCTTGTAGATCTTTTGCCAATCATTTCCGGGACGAATGGAAGGCACACCAGAACCAGTTCCAGGCTGGATAGGCTGGCTGGTAGCATAGGTGCTCGTCTTTTCCCTGAGGAAAGACAGACGCCAGATATGTTGATCCTGAATAATGCTATGCCAAAATTTAGATACTCTACTTGCCGTCGCTAGCTGAGTGGCATCCAAGTAAGAGAGAATCTGCACAGCAAGCTCGCAAGGCAGTTCGACTACAAAATCTTTTCTGATTATAGGCGCACCCTCTTCCACAGATTCGTTGACATGAGATGTGGACATGGTAAATGTGATTCCAATTCCACTCTCGCGATCATTCTGGGATTCGGCAAGAGATACCAATTCATGATAGTGGCGTGCATGGCTTAGCGATTCGTTCTGCAAGACGGCAGCAGCTTTGGCAGCAGCACCCGTGTGCCAGGGGATGATGGGAGGCTCGAGACCATTGCCGGGCACAGGAAGGCTATGGAATTCGGCTTGTAGGGGGGAGTAGATGGTCTCCAAGGTACCGTGACCACCATATGAGGTTCGCGAGTGTCGGAAGCTAGCGGCTTGTCGTAGCTTGTGCCAGGTGGAATGTGCGGTGGTAGGGCGCAATTCGTTATTGTTGTTGCTGTCGGTAGCGGGTTCTGATCCTCGGCGTTCACGGAGAACGATGCCTTTCAGAGAAAGCGATGCACGCCTGATCCTACCCTTAATTGAGTCGCCGGAGGTGCTCCCATGACGAGATCTTCGGAACGGATTTGTGGCTGACAATCTAGCAGAATCATGTTGATCACCGGGTTCCATACCGGTGTCATGTGAGTACGAACTCGCGTTCGATGATGTTGAAGGCCCGTAGAACATGGTGGGTAGAGGTTCAGTTGGAAGAGGACTATCGGAGGTGGACGTGACCATGGCAATGGCCAAAGAGATTTCGAGGTCCGAAGGAAAGATGTGCGTGCGTATGATCAACTGGTTTAAATACGTTTTGTCTCGTTCTTCTTTTTTGGATAGTGTCGGTTCAGGTATTTACGTGATCGGCTGGAAGTAAACGATGAATGCGGAGGGAAATAACAAAATAAAGAATAAAATAATAATCAAAGTAGGAAGTAAAGGAGAAGCAAATAATAATAATATAGAATTAACGTCGGAGGGAAAATGAATGAGGGAAGTTCAATGAACGGACAGAGTATGTGAAGTAAACAATGCGCCGGTAAGGCGAAAGGCGAAAGAATGTAAGCTGTATAGTTCCTAACGTCCAAGGTTGCAATAGTAAACTATTGTTAAGTTGATAATGTTTTTGTGGCTGGTCGGCGAAATGTTCAAATGCCAGCACCCGCTGTTTAATTGGTGTGGAAGTTACCTTAAATGTCAACGTACCTGCTACCCGGGATTCTACACCATAAAGCAAGGATACACAATGTAATTTTTTTTTCTTCCAGCAAACCCCACACACACCTTATGTACCGTATGTATAGGCAGGTAAGTAATGCGTATGGTAGTACATTTGTACATACAGTGCTATGGACGCTTTTATGAGTCCCTTTCTCCTTTATTTGCCTCTCCTGAGTCAGACATTTGAACGTGCCTATTGTATGTGAACGGACGCAAATGGAAAGGGGGAACTAAAGCCTAGGCGCACCGGACACATGCATAGCGCTTCTTGTCTAGTTTCTACTAGGTACTAGGCCGTCTATGTACAGTCTCTAGTCAAAGAATTGAATGGCATTAGTTCTTCACAGACGTGGGAGGAATAGAAGAACTTTCGATACTTTATCCTACAGCGTACTTCGTACCTGACTTAGTACACCGTCTTTAAGAATTTCCCACTTTTCAATCTTTTCTATCTGCTTACTTCTTTCCTTTTGCAGTGTCTATCATCCTACATTAAGTTAGGATCGACTCGCGTCTGCTTGTCTAGAAGGCGGTGGGGTGGTCGATAAGCCAGATTAGAAAAAAATAAGTTTTTTTTTTTTTTTCCTTTCTCCAAATCTCTTCCTTGTTCCCAAAAGACGGGCTGATGCAGCTACGGCGGAGCGAAAGTCGGGGATCCCGGTTGATGGTCCTGTACGGCACCAATTCATCTGACTTGCAGCACGAAAGCCACCTATGACGAAGCCCGAGTGTTTCTTCCAAAAAATAATGGGACATCTCATGAGATCACGTACTTCAAATGAAGCATCGCTGATAGGGCAATAAAGAACCGGGCATACCAGGCATAAAATGTGCTAAATCGTCAGAGGTGAATACAATAAATGATTAGTACATTGCATGCATCTTACTTCATAATATGTATGTACCTAGTACCCTTTAATCATTAATATTATTCAGTTCTTAGGTACCCGGTACGTATTTTAGACTATTGTTTCAGGGCAAAACCGTGTTTCTACATAGTGCACGTGGAAGGACCCTTCTTTTAAGGTTGTGTCCCTTGTTTCAATGATTCGGCATTGGATATAAGAATGAGGGGATCGATAATATCTAATATCTTGGGCACTATCTATTTTGAGATATCTTACCAGATTCAATCTAAGAAGATGCGGGTGAGAGATATTATTCTTACCACATAAGCAGCCACATCGGACAACCGGTATGAGGAATGGGAAAATCTATTCCCGTGATGTTCGACCAATGCAAACATATTCCTACAGCATAGGTATATTTGCTACTAAGATTCCCACCGAATTTCGAGTCTCGTTCGTGTTGGTATTGGTGTTGCATAGCACAGCGGCTACGGCCTCGACAGATCATACAAACTATAGCCGTTGGGACATTCTATATCCGTTAGATCGGTCACAGCGAAACGCCTGCAGACAAGCCAATTAGATAAGTACATTATTCGGATTCATTGTTAGTTCCAACTTCTCCTTTAATTAGAACTGCCCTTTTGTCGTTCATATCACCGATTTAGGGTTGTGTAAGGAGTCGCTCTCGTCCATGAGCAAAGGGATTGCAAGCCACATAGCAGGAGTAGGAACGCTTCTCATCCATTCATACTGCCATATCCCAAACATAAAACATAAAAATCCAATCCGCCAAGGCTGACAGCGTACCATTTATCGCCCTACGGCATCCTTACATGCAAGTAAGCCTAGCCTACAGGTCTAGGTGCTCCGACCATATACCTAATTAATTATTCTTTCTGCCTTCATCTCATTACGAATAACAGAGCTCCGTCTCGCCTCAAGAATTCGACCCATCTTTTCCAAGTGACCTCGATGGTCCCTGCGTGCTTCCCGAGTCTCTTGCATATCAACTCTACACCACGGGTTGGTGTGACGGGTGAACTGCCCCCAGCCCTCCTTCTCCTTCGTTATCTTTACTTCCTCGCCACGGAGCACAATGAAGAATCTGCGTACCGCAGGTGCCTGTCGGTGCTTCCGGAAAATTCCCTTCTTACGCTCAGGAAAGAGTTCTGTCATCTGAAATTCGCCTTCCTCTAGTACTACAATCCGCCATTCACGACGGCGGAATGGCGTTCCGTTCGTCGCCTTGATTTTATCTTCCACAAGAAGCTGAATTTTGTCATATACCTCCGCTTTCAAACCAGAGACTCGGTTCGCCAGATCTTGAGCGTATGGTTTTCTATTCTTCGGGCCTCTGGCTTCATATTCTTGAATAGCGTCCCGGTGTAAATCGGCGAGCTCTTTCTGGCCATAACCATTTTGGGGATTGAGCTCGGTAAATCCATTACCCAAAGACTCCCACTTGACGCCAATTTTGATCCCACAAATTGTCCGAGAAGCTCCAACCATGGCGTCTTCACCTTTGACGACCTCCCATGCCTCGTAAACTATCTTTGATGGTTCGTTGCTAGGGACGAGGCTATTCAAAATCAGATATGATTTGATAGTGATAAGTACATATCTACCTAGTATTCATTCATACTTACAGATCTTTTCGCCCGAGGGAGTCTGGATAAGACATCCTGGACAAGATGGATACATTATCATTGTCCATCTCTTCTGTCTCCCCAGCCACAGTTTCGGCATCACCGTCCTCGGTCAATGACAACCGACTCGAAGCTGCAGGTATCTTGTCCTCAGGGCATACAGCCTCTTCAAATTCCCATGGTACAGGCATCGCTCGTATCGTGGTGATATGCGAATGTTTATTTAGAAGACGAACAAGATGGAAAGTGAAGGATTAGACCAAGACCGACGGATTACAGTATGCAGGGAAGAGTCGAGTAAGTCCCTTAAAGGGACACAGCAGATCTTTATACTTGCTACTGGACCATCCATTCGCGTCTTATGTTGGGGGCCATTCTGCCCCGGGGGGTATGCGTTGCATCGAATAAACAGCCGGGTCCTTGATTGGAAGCCTTATACTGCAGAGTACCGTTCTCGCAAACCCAGGTACGATTCCGCCCCCAAATATAAGAGCACCGCCATTCTACGTGCTTCGACATAGTGTCACTTTTGGAGCGGGTTTTGAAAGACCTGTTGCACAACCCCCAACCAAAATAAGGGTGAGTATGACTATTCTGCAAAAGATTTGCGACTGTCTTATACAAAAACGTTGCGGGTTTGCTTCTAGGTCTCGTAATACGACAATCACGGAAATATAGAAGAGTAATTACAACATTACTGCTCTTGTGGGAGATAAATAATGGCGATGCTGATATGACATTTATCATACTACATACACCATAGACTATCTACCTATTTACGCCCCCTTCAAGCCCCAATTTTCAATAACAACGACTTTCACCTTTCCCAAGCTATTCACCGGTAATATACCTCACAGCCCAGGTAAGAATACCGAACTCCTTGAGTCAGCTTCCTTATCTAGGTATTTTTGATCGAAACTCCTGAATATGCTGCGTATTTCAGGCGCAATACCTAGCTGATCCAAAAGGTCTTGGACCGACGAGTTCTTGTTAGAGACGCAAGCTGAGATGTCCTCCATGAAACTTGTGAAGTCTTGCGCCGACATGTCAATACATCGACGCATGATAGAAGCAGTAACTTCGATCCAAGCGCTGACTAGGGCCGGGTTTAGCGAGCCTTGCATATGTCGGAATTCAATCGTATTTAACTGGCTACGTCGAACCTTTCCTGTAAAGTCCGAGTCTGCCGGTAGGAGTTCAGTGATGGCAACAGAGGCCCTGCGTGATTTATTGACTTCGCCTACTAGCATCACGAGGTCGTCGATTGTCCCTGCGCGCCATATCCATTGCACCTTCGGCTTATTCTCGTGAAGAGAATCTCGAACTCGAGCTGGGATGTTTTGCTCCATCTCGTCGCTCCAATCTCCCTTGCCAAGATTGTCGATCCAGCCTGGGAGGTTGGAAACTTTATCAGCTGCCATATTTGTCCCTTGTTGCAGCAACGCAGAATATTTCTTCGCATCCCTTCTCCAGGTCGCGTGTAGACCCATCAACGTATCTTCTGTTACCCACATGAGGGTAAGGATCCGCTTGACGGATAGCAGGCTATACTCCTTTCCACTGACTCCCCAGTGGACATGAACGCTACAGCGACTAGAGCCATGCATCGAGTCTTTGCCTGCGTTGATGCTGACAGAGTAATTTGCCCGCAATTCTTTGCAGACGGTCTCGAGCTGCAACTTCATGGAGTGTAGATCGCGGTATTGATATACCTTGCTGACAAACTCGAAGCCGAGCCAGAAGTGTCCCTTTTCGGTTTCAGGTCTCACGGCCATACGGTTCTTATTTGGGTCGGTCCATATCATTGTTTCCTCGGGCACGATAGTGCATTTTTTATAGGAGCTATAGCAGAACTCATCGAAACTTCCTAGTCTTGCGTCTTCTTGGTTCAGCTTAGGTGCGTCGTCAACTTTGGGGTGGCCTTTCTCTTTGTATGCTGTCGCAATTCCAGCCTCTGTCAACTTGGCTGCGATCTCGGCTCCGAAATGGTGTAGTCTCTTCACGTGGAGTTCATGATCGCCACCGCCGATGTTGAGAGAATCGTATGGCTCTTGGAGAGCCTGTTGGTCAGATGGAATGGCTTCTCTTGTTTTGGTGTTGGATTCGCTCAGATATACTAGGAACTCAAGCTCGAATCCGAATGTTCCCACATCAGAAAACTTGGCTCTGCTTGGGGGGTCCATGGTAACTATCATATATCAATGAGTCGCAGGATTTTCTTTCCTAGAGGTGTGAGCTTTACATTCCCCTACCCCTTGCCTTGCTCATCAAGGGGTATATATACTCACTGGGGGGGCCAAACTTCCTGGATTTGCTCTTCATCGCTGTCGCACCCATCACTAGTGAGCATATACAAGGCAACATATGACGATTTTCTCTTCATAGCAATTGGGAATAATATGACGCTAAAGCTATGACTGCCGCCAAGGTGTCAATGGACTCTCTAGCGCCAATGACGAAATCGGCGACGTTCAACGCGCAGAATATGGAATAGCAGCAACATGTTATTCGCAATTCAACTTCCTCTTAGGCAATGATACGGTCCCATGTATTGGGCATAATTTCTCGGCCTCACTATGCAAGCTTGTATGATGTCTTGTCTGCCGGTCAATAGGTGAGCCATCACAACTACCACCGCCGCCACCAACATCATCTCCATTTACCACTACGACGCAAGTTCCGGCTTGTCACATAGCATTGTCACTATCCACACTTCTATATCAATATTATGACATGTAACGTCGTCTTCTCTAATATTGTTAAAGGCAAAGGTCGCCGGTCTACTCATGGATTAGGCTCGAGGGACGTAATACGACAGGAGTCCCGACCTAGGCCTCGTATCAGCAATGCAATATAATATATTTTGTGATCAAATGACATTCCCACCCAACGGTTGAAGATACTTGCTTACCCAGCCATGCGGGCCGAGCTCCTCTCTCCGAGATCCGGTAGCCAACGAAATCGACGGCTAGGTACTGTGTATTACTCGGGCCGTAACTATCTCCAATCTGCACCGGTCTACGGAAGCTTTATGACCTGTCTCACAAAGCTGCTTGATCACGCCGCTCTTACGCACATATATGCGTCATTCCATAACCCATATAAAATCTAGAAAATGTCCGTACCCGATGCAGATTGGTTGGATTTACCGGATCATTATTGTGTGGCACCGGTCGTCCCCGGACGTATTCACGGCAATAGGACCGTACCACCCCCGATTCTAGGTTACACGGTGATGATGAGTATGAGTGCTAGTCCGTGAAAAGGAATTGTCCCCAAATTGATGCCTAAAAATTCCCAATTATCATCTCGTTGCCACATATCTAGAGTATGAAGAAATTACAAGTTCCAAACCCTAGATCTACGCCGGGAATAATCGAGATCCTAGGTTCATGCTGTGTCTTTTAGCCGTGACTATAGTGTCGTGTTACTCTGCTAATGTTGTACAACTAGACTATTCCGCCCGTTTTGGCTCCTTATAGACATGTATGGCATCACTTACAAGGAGGATAGTTTCCGAGGGGAATCACCGAGCGTATTCACACCGCCACCACCCTTGGAATGGTGCCAAGGCAGGTATGATCTTGGCATCTGACAGACCTTGAGGTGTATCGTAAATGCTAACTTCTCCTGATATTGCGTCAATGGACGTTGATAAATGAGTTGCCCGCCACACCACTTGCTGCACTACGCGTGCACTGCATATTTCTCGATGTAGCTGATTCGCTCAATAATTACAGCGTGCCTCTTTTGAAAAACAAGATGAACTTGATCCTTCGTTTTCACATGGCAACAACCCCCGACGTAATTATTCTGAATCTGCCTACTATGGGTCACCCTACGAACGAGTTGATAGATAGGAGGGATACCTCTGTACCTACCTAGGTACTTACTATGAACTCATTAGCAAGATATCCAAAGGATCAATACGTGAATACCTATGATGGCATCACTCATGTCGAGAAACCATACTCTCAAACAATTCCCTCTCCCCCCTTTCTCGAAAAGAACAACCCCGGTCAAATCCCATTAGGGATCACTAACAATATCATGAAACGTGATAATTTTCTCTATTGCGACAGCATCTCCCGGACTCCAGAACAGATGCATGATCTAACTATTCGACTATACCCAACCGACCTACTACCTACCTAGTATGTTACCCGAACACCCGCCTACCTGCCTACATACCTACATTTCTATTTTCCCTTCCCATCCCATCTTCCTCCCCCTACGCGCCAAAAACCTTATCATAATCCACCATAGTAAACCGATACTTAACATCCGTATTCCTCAGCCTCTGGACCGTCTTTCCCAAATTCTCCGCACTAAGCGGGACCGTCTCGACCCACGACTTAATGCCCTTATCCGCCGCCAGCTGCAACATCTCCAACATCTCCCGTCTACTCCCGAGATGCGAGGCTCCGATAAGACAGCCGTTTCCAAGCAGGTCCTGGGGTTTAATAACAAGGTCCGCCTCCTCGGGCAGCCCGACGCTGACCCAGCGGCCGTGGACGTCGAGGAGCGCGAGGTAGCCGCTGAGGTCGAAGCCCTCGCCGAAGTTGTTCGCCGTGCTGATGATCAGGTCGAAGGTGTACAGGTGGTCTTTGTTCCAGTCCGCGTCGGCCGTCGCGAGGAACCCGTCTGCGCCCATCGCTTTCGCGTCCGCTTCCTTGCTGTGCGATCGCGAGATCACCCATGTTTCGGCTCCCAGCGCTTTCGCGAAGAGTACCGCGAAGTGCCCGAGTCCTCCTAGCCCGACTACGGCGACTTTTTTGCCGGGCCCAGCGCCGTTTCGCACGAGCGGGCTGTAGCTGGTTATGCCTGCGCAGAGCATGGGCGCTGCGAGGTGGCTTGGGATGGCGTCTGGGATGGGGAAGACCCTTTGATTTTTGTCAGGAATGGCGATGTAAGTATATCAGATTATTTGAATGCATACCAATGCTCATGTGTCCTCACGTGCGAGGAATACCCGCCCTGGGTGACGATTCCGGTATCGGGCCAGACGGCGCCGTAGGTGTCGACCTGCTGGGTACAGTATGTCTCGTTATCGTGTTTGCACTGGCGGCACTCCAAGCACGACCACGACTGAGCACCAACGCCTACTCGTTCGCCCTCCTTGATCAGGGTGACTTTGGGACCGACTCTTATGGCCTTCCCGACGATCTCGTGGCCGACGGCGAGCGGGAACTTCTGGTCGCCCCAACCGCCGGTGATGGTGTGGATGTCGCTGGCGCACACGCCACAGCACTCGATCTTGACCTCGACGTCGTGGTCGCCGAAGGGCTTCGTGTCGAACTTGTTCTTCTTGAACGTCGTCCAGGTCGTGGGCGACTCGACCTGGAAGCCTTCGTACTGGTCGTATTTGGACATTTTGCGAGATATGTACAGAATAGATGTAGATGTTTTACTAAGGTCGTGACACTTGACAACCTCGGTATGTGAAAATGTATAAATTCTATTTCCAGGAGGGGTTATGTATGGAGGTATATGTATATAAGTACGACCGACCTTCGACTCCCCCACCTTCCAAGCTCTTTATTCCCCCCTAACCGACCCCTGTTTTCCCCCCTCCGCTTGTTCCCCGACCGAAGCTAAGGGGGTGATTCTCCAAAAAAAAAATTAGAATGAGAAAAAGGAAAATAGAAAAGTCGTTGAATCATCCTTTTATCCGCAATAGGACACATTCCCGTCCGCCTTACGTGCTGCGTCGGGGCAAGTCAATGATGTAGTAGCATGCCTCACCTCCGCGTCTCGCGAATGAGATCCCGAAACTAACGTGAGCTAATGCCGGAAGCCGCCCGCTTTCTGTCTTAGACGATTAATCCGATGCGCGTGCCGAATCTCCCACCACTCATGTCGTCGGGATAAGACGAGCCCCTCAGCCCGATATCGTCAGGACGGTATTTTATCCTACCGAGACATTGTTGACGGTGGGTTCGAAGTTTGTTGTTTTCTCATTAGCTGTTGAAAATTAACAAAACTGGGGGCGTAGCTTAGGTGGCTTGGTGGCGGCATCGGGAATTCAATGTCGTTCATGGTGAGTGTAACGGTGTAGTGTATGTAGGTAGGTACAGCTTCGTGATCTCAATAATAAATTGTCCTCAAACCAATCCAAGATCAAACTCATCAAGCTGCCTTCTTGCCCTTACCCTCTCCCGGGGCCCCTAACCCAACCCCAGCCAAAAACGCCATCCGCATCGTCGCGCCCAAATAGACAAACGGCACATTGCCATAATCGATAGCATTCCACCTCCTCGCATCCCAGAACATCCACGCGCCATGAGCGCTGACCGAGTACAAATGTCCGAAGTCCGCGACCAATAACACAAACAACACCGTTCTCCAGACCCTTAAATCGCCCGTGGACCGCAAGACCAAGGCCTCGTTGAGCGCGAATAGGAGGTACAGGTTCGCGAGCTGCGACATGACGACAGAGGTGCCGAACGACATGGGCGGCGACGCGTGCGACGTCATGGCCAGGTACTCCCGCTGCCGGAAGTGCGCGTAGAAGGCCCCGACGAGCGCGGACACCGGCTCGATTATTAGGAAGAAGGCCCGGTACGCGAGCGGCAGGACGGTCTGCCGCGGCGCCATGGTGTTCGGTTTTAGTAGGCACCTAGTGTAATGATTAATGAAGGTTTGATAGTTTTTTTATTTTTATTTTTCTGTTTTAACTTTGTTTTAGTTTCGTTATGTTCGTGGTTGACCGCTTTGATACACGATGGGGTAAAAATTCAACATTGGAAAGGAGAGGATCTTCGATTGGCCAATTGAAATTCCTGGAATGGTCCAAAAACTGCGGTTTGGAATAACCTTCTTCCCTTGACGTCTTTCGCATCCTTCCTTAAAGTGTCTTTCAATGTTGTCTATGGTTCTATTATTCTTATCATTTTACTACAATAATCTATTCTACTGTCTTATTGTTATGGTTCGTACTTCCGAATGCTTCTCATTAATAGCGTCGGGTAATAAGCGATGAGTTCTCGGACATCTCTGGCAGATTTCTTTCCAAGCTATTTCCCATGAAAATGCAGAAAAAAAGGATGCAATATGGCATCGACAAGTTACACCATGCGTAGGTACTTGTTAATGGTTCAATCAGGGAGTTCAATACTCCTAACAATAATAAGACTGTAAACTCAGGCGCTTCGAGCTAAATTCCATCCAATAGCCTACCACTTCATCGCCAACGCTCACCGAACAGTTACTTATTATGTCTTGTACAACCATGAGCGCTAATTTTATAGCGACTATCTCTAAGTGACCGTTCATCACGCAATGCGTGGACGTTGGTGTCACCAACAGCTTCTCTGGAGGTCCCGGGTTTACCCCAATGTCTAACCGGGATCTGTATCGTAACATCGCCCTCTCACGTTTTGCCTCTCATAACAAGGCGTATCGCCAAAGCATATGAAGCCAACTTGGAATCCGATATAGAAAATTCAATTTTGATTGTACCTATTAACTAGGTAACATGTGTACGTACGGATATACACCTATTTCCGAGGTTCATGGAGGATACGTTGGTTTCTGAGATGGCTCGGTAATCACCCATGCATTCGTGTATACTCCGATTAAAACAGCACTTTTCCTGCGGCTGAATAATTACATATGTCGTTTCTGCTCACCTCGCTTATGTATGTACTACTCCACAATCCGGCGGCAGAGATAGGCAAGAGGAACGATCCAGGTAATCCTACCCTGCCATCTCCAGATACCTTCGCCGTAGAAGTGCAGATGGCTTTTCTAGTGGACTCCGATGTAAGATAGTAGACAATATCCATAGGGCTACTGACATAAGCTCTAAACATTGCCACCAGAAGCCAGCCCAATGAAGAGTAAGGCTCAGCTGAAGATCCGAACATCCTTCGGGCTAAGCATCTGATAGTGGGCTCCTGTCAGAAAATAACCTGATAACAACATCCTACCTAGATATCAGGCTTCGTTCAACGCACGTGGACATTGTGTTACCAACGTTGAGCAAGCAATCTTATATGATTGTCAAGATAGGCTTTTGCGCCTAGAAACCTAGTATGTAGTCGCCTGTACGAGGGCCATGGTTCTACAAATGTATATACACTAATTTTAGAACGTCAAATTGGTAATCCCTAACTCCCAACTCCGGTCTACTCTGCCCGGGTACATGATTCGATAAACCGTTTTTGAAATTCCAATGCTCAGCCGAGAGCTCATCGTTGTACATTCGCTGGTGAGGAGGGGAGCTCCGCTATCACCGGGCGTTCCGTGTCTCGGCCCTCGAGCTCTGTGGCTGGCGCTAGTAATGGGGCGTATGAGTGGTGTTTCTGGTCCGGTGCCACAGAGTTCCATCCGCTTAATTCGGAAGTATTGGAAATATGCCTGTTATCCCCATGCCAGGAATCTGATAGTGCTGGTGAAAGTTGCGGGTGGCGATACTGGCTATGGCTAGGGGAATAGGGCGCGAATCCGGAATTTGGGAATCCAGGGCTTGGCTCCCCTGATCGATGTCCATCCTGGAACGGCGACATATGGGGAGAGTATGCTGTTTCTTGGTTAGTCCGATATAGAAAGACGTTATGGACAGTAAAAGTAAACTTACGTCCTGAACCATACTGACTGGCCACTCCGTCGCCTTCTTTCCCTTGTTTCCTCCGCTTTGCCAACCAACCGCATCTATACGCCATGACGGCAAGAACGATTGCGACGAGCGCTGCGCATCCGAGAGCGATTCCAAGTATCGCACCGAGAGAAAGGGAATAACCAGAAGAAGAACTTGGGGAAGGGGTAGATGTGGTAAGAAAAACTTGTGCATTGCCGTTGTTATCGCTCAGGGTTGCTGGCAGTAAATTTGCCGTTGGGCACCCATTGTTCTGACATGCGTTGATGCTACAACATCCAAGGAACGGCGGTTGATCACTCTTGCAAGTAAACCACCGAGTAGAATTGCTAGGAGCAGCACAGCTCTGCGGAGATATACTATCGTAGTGATCTGATGAGAAGCTCGCTCCTGACAGAGAACTCTGAGGGCAACTTCCGCTGCCATCTGCACACGGGTCGACAGTGCAACAGCCAATGAAACGAATCTTTGCCTGGTCGCAAACGTAGAACTGACCCCCGGATGGGCACGATAGCCCTAGATCGGCGCGAGTAATTGTCATTGCGAGGATGGATTAGGGATTAGTTTAGTAGATTAAGAATTAGATGTACAATATTTGACCGCTGATAGAAAAAAGTTAATAAGGGAGTGAGAGAAGCATCCCTCGCGGGGTCGTTGCAGCAGCAACCAACAGTCTTAAGGTCCGAAGAGGTATTTCATCACTTTTGGGCTTGGCTAGGAGATACGTAGATCCAATCCATTGCTGGCAAAGCAAGATTGACGAAGGATTGGTGTAGCCTTCGGAACCCATGTGGACATGGAGCGATCAGACCGTACAAAGTACACGGGACCGACATATCTGCATGTTGAGCCTCCACTAGCTACCGTGGCAGTGATTCCGATCAGAATAAGCAAACGTTGGGTTGGTTTGTTCTATCGACTGATGCATCGACATCCCAAATTAGAACTATCACCGGCGCCTGATTGGTCAGAAGCCCGCCAGCTGCGGAGGCGCAGTCTCTGTTAGATGGAGATAATTGGGTTAACCCAGAAGGCTGGGTCTAGTCCTGGACTACTAGACACTACTCAGACTACTTACTCCAGCTCTTTATACTACACAGTAGGTCTCCGCATAAGTAAGACCTTCTTGAAGCTAGGTCTGCACTCCCTTGCCGGTTGTTACTACCGGGATGGACTAAATCGTTCGAAGGTGATGTGATATAAAGCCTCGTAAAGCCATCGCCGATTACTTCAAATTTCCCAGGTCTGCAAGGAAAATAAGCACGAACGGAATACGAGTGAAGAGCGCGACGAAGACGGCACGGCGGCTTGAGATGGACGGCTCAAAATTGAGACACGGAATCTTGACGAGGCTCTGGCTTAAGCGAGGTCGGTACCTATCGGTATTGTACTTGGCCCCCATCAGCTCATCCGGTCTGCGTGGAACGTTTCCACGAACGCACCCATAAATGCAGATCCCTATTACACGAGAAGCAGCTGAGGCGGTGGGAGAATTGCAAGGCTGGCAACCTTTCAAATATCAAGTTCTGAAGCATAACTTGATATATAGAGTATAGAGGTTTCTGTTGGCGAGAGAATCATTTGAAGATGACATCATCTATGAAGATAACATAGATACCTAGAACAAGAGGTGGCCTAATGAAAATTGAATGTTGTGTTATCTCAAGCATGATTAAATTCCGTTGAAGACATATGTATCTACATGCAAGACGATGTAAGGGAGCTAAGTAAATGAGAATGATTTATCATGTTAGGAGGTGTGAATAAAGAGAGTTGGAGTTGGAGCTAGAGTTGGGAAGAGTTTAGAGTTGAGGGCTGCCTGGGCTGTCAACCAGCTGACAAACTTAGAACATGTGGAAATTAGGTACATAGGTACCTAATAAGTAAGATTTCTGTTAGCCACACTGCTCTCAGTCAAGCCACAGTAATCCCCACCTATTTTAAGAGATCGCTTGTTCTGAGCCCTTGGTGGCCCAAGCGCCAATTGCCCACAACTAAATCGATTTCCTACAATTTCCTAAATTCCATTTCTTACTTGTGAATTTTCGCGACTTCAATTTCAACCAACCTTAACCCACCATCTCCGTCACCCACTCCTCTGCGACTTTTCCCCTTTGTTCCGACAACAAAAGCCGCAATAATGAGTGCCTCATTGAACAAGATCGCGCCTAACAGCTCCTCGCGCCAGAACCCTTCTGAGCTGGAGACCAGCATCGCTGGTGCTCTCTACGACCTCGAGACGAACACTGCTGACCTCAAGGCTGCTCTTCGACCCCTTCAGTTCGTCTCTGCCCGAGAGGTATGAAACAATGAATAGATTCCTTCCCGACTATACCTAGGACCGCTTTCAACCTAGCCCTATTCCTCGATCGCGATCGTGCAATTCTTTGCTACAAACGACTCGTCTACGGTTATCGCAAACCGTAAATGAGTTCGATATAAATGGCATAGGAATATTAATAGCAATATCAATATCAGTGGAATAGGACGGGAAGCGGTCCAAGGAACACTTTGATTAAAAATTGATTAAAATGTGTCCTGGAGCTCGCCGGCTAACTTTTGGGTCTTGATTAGATCGAAGTTGGCCACGGCAAGAAGGCAATTGTCATCTTTGTCCCCGTTCCTTCTCTACAGGGCTTCCACCGAGTCCAGCAGCGGTAAGTCATATATCCCATTATTAATTCCTAGTATTAGATCATCTATAAATAATATGAATAATTACTAACATTATATTATTTGGATAGACTCACCCGTGAGCTTGAGAAGAAGTTCTCCGACCGCCATGTCCTGATCCTGGCCTCTCGCCGCATCCTTCCGCGACCCAAGCGTTCTGCCCGCTCGCGCAACACCCTCAAGCAGAAGCGCCCTCGTTCGCGAACTCTGACTGCTGTCCACGATGCTATCCTCGGTGACCTAGTCTACCCCGTCGAGATCGTCGGCAAGCGTCTACGAACCAAGGAGGACAACAGCAAGCTCCTCAAGGTCATCCTGGACGAGAAGGAGCGTGGTGGCGTCGACTACCGTCTGGACACCTACTCCGAGGTCTACCGCCGCCTCACAGGCCGAACCGTCACCTTCGAGTTCCCTCAGTCTGGTGCTGCCGAGTACTAGGGTTAAACGGTCGTTCGTCTGGACTGGTCTGGGACTAGGGGGTTTGGCATTGGCACCGCGTTTCGTGGCGTTATGACTGCATGGCGGCAATACGGTGGGCCAAAAAAGTGACTGGCACGGCGTCTAGATAGCTTGTGAAATAATTGACAAGCCGGTTTTCTGATGACAATTACGAACTAATTAAATGCTTTGATTATCTTCATGTGCCTCTTTTTTCTCATAATGTCTGCATTTCGGGGTATCGTAGATTCTCTAATTATTCCTGGCTGATCCGACCAATGCCAATGGCGCACCAGTACGCCAGTTCCCTCTTTTCCCTCGTATCCTTCTCCTTTCCGGCCGTGCTGCCCATGCCCACTTGATCCTGAGACACATCGCCCTCCCACTCCAACCGTACAAACATAGGTATCTCCAACACGTCTTCATCCTCCTTCAGCGGACTCAGATCCGGTTCCGAATCGCTCTCGTTTCTAAGTAGCGAAGGCTCTCCTATCTTCAGGGACGCGGGAATCACTTCAACCACGATACTAACCCAGTTGCGTCCCCGCTCCCATATCTTGCCCGCTTCCGCCTGATGCGTCCCTTCGTCCCCACGCCGGCGTCGGCTCTCCTTCTCCCCGTCCTTCAACACGTCATCGAGATACATATCTGTGTCCGTGTTCGCATCGATCGTGAACTGCGGACACAAAACCGTGACCTTGGACGCGAAACGTCCCGGCGTCATGGCCGGCGTCGCGAGCGTTACTTTGATCTCGTCGAAGATCGGGTTCTTGAACGTCAGCAGGAACTGCGCCGGCTGCAGCGGCTTCAGCAGACCGCCTGGCCCCGCGACGAACCCGCTACCCCCGGGGGACGTGGAAAGCGGCTTGATGGATACGCTCGGGATGTTGTTGTTGGCGACGAGCCGGATCCGCCACCGCGTGTTGCTCACCTTCGACTCCGGCTTGCTGATTATGTGCCGGCACACCGGACACCGCTTCGACCGCTTCGTGCGCAGTAGATACGGGATCGGCCATAGGTCTCCGGAGAACCGCGCTCCTTCTTCTACTTGCGACCGCGATTCTTCGCCTGTTACGGTGCCGCTCCAGCCGTCGCGTCGGAGTTGGGAGAGGAGGGCGCTTTCGTCGAGGGAGGCGGCGCGGAACCCTTCGTTTGCGCTGCTGGCTTCTCGCATTATGCTGGCTTTGGCTTTCGGCTTCAAGGTGCTGTTGTTGCTGCTGCTGCCGCCGGGGCCGGCGTTGCCGGAGTACAGGTTCATGATTCGCGAGAGCGCCCCGGGCGAGTTGAACCCGTAGTCGGCTATGCCGGCTAGCGCGCCGCCTGCTGTTGAGGAGTTGAGGTTGCTTTGTGCGGCGTAGAAGGACTTTAGGGCGGCGAAGCGGGCTTTTGTTGAGTCGTCTATTTTCTTCGGAGTTGTGTCTCCCCCTGTCGTCACCGCTGCTGCCGTCGTGCTGGCGGTCGAGATTGCGGAGTGTTTGCTGTGATCGTCACCGTGGCGCAGCTTCGATATCTGCGAGAAGATGCCCTGCGGCTTGTCGAACTTCACCCCGATCTCGGCCGAGTTCCAGTTGCAGTACGAGCAGGCGAGGATCCATGGTCCGGAGGGTGGTACCGGACCCTGGCCTTCGGCGGTTAGGAGGGAGGGCTCGGGTGCGGATTCGAGGGATTGCACGGCGAGGGGGCCGATGCAGATGGGGCATTGGAAACAGCTACGTGTGCATCTGTGTAGAGGTGTTGTTAGTGAGTTAAGTTTAATGTTGGGGTATAGAGACGTACCTATTCCCTTCGGTTTTCAAACTACTACTTCCAACCTCGAAGAGGCAGTTCGGACAGTAGATAGTAGCGAGCTCCTCGGAGACACAGCGAGGACAGCGGATCTGAGAGCATACATCGCAATATAGCAAGTACTCTATAGGGTACAAGCTGTAGTTGGAACGGGGCGCACGGGGATCGAAGGTCTTGTCGTCGTCGTCGTCCGGCTCGTCCTGGGAAGTGGGAGAGGGCGCCTCGTCAACGGGACGAGACCGGCTTGTCGAATCGTAGCAGGGACATTGGATATACGTGTAGGGAGAGAACGAAGCCATTGAGACTTCTCAAGGCGGCATATTTCAGCCGTGGAATATACACGTAAAGCTTCGCGAACCAAAATTGAGGAAATCAAAAGCTGAAGTTGCTGAACAAAGTCGGTATCTCACACTGCAGCGCGTCAAACGGGAATTATTTCTTAGAAAATGGTTCCCTTCTTTGTTCTATCTAAAGAATGTTATGTAACAAAAAGGTCATTTTATGCTAATATTGGTTTCCGATGTCTAACCGTTGTTTTGGAGCTCTATCGATAATAAGCTGTACTCCGCAATTATGCACTTACTCAGAATATGCTAACATTATAAGCTAGTATTAGTGGAATGCTTAACATCTGAACCACAAGAGTTAAGATCACCCAAGGCACTTTGGCGGAGTGGTTAACGCGATGCCCTGCTATAGGCTAAGTAATTAGCAATAGTCCAGGCATTCCCTTCGGGGGCGTGTGTTCGAATCACACAGGTGTCGACTCAACTTTTTGCTCTTTCTATCATTTTTTGAAAGTGTAATGCAATACTTTCTTCATCAATCCGCAGTTTAGTTTTGATGTTCTTTTTGCGTTGATTCTTTTCTCACCATCGCCTACATGCAGGCAAATGTTAAAGTAAGCCAATTAAGAGAGCTTTTCGTTCAATATCCCTCTCTAATTATTTAATTTCACATTAGGTCTATCTCTTGTTCATCGAATAAGCTCTTCAATTCCTACTTTGATATTCCTATGATCTACCTTGCTATCGATCTGTGCCGCCATTATGAGAGGAGTGAGAAAAAGTAACATTTGATAGTCCGCAACTGCAGCCACTCGACAATAGTCTCATGCAGTGGTCTCAAACGTGCATCGGGTAGATCTGCTGCGAGAAACCAACCCCCTACCGCCACGGTTTATTCCAGTAAACCTACCTTACGTGGTATGAGATACATGGCTGAACTCATGATTCATCTTCATCTTATAATCGATCAGCAGAGCAAGTGCTAAATTCTTAAGCAAAGTTCCCTTCGGTCGCTTTAAAAGTTGCGTCTTTAATAAAAAGTGTAGAGAAGGTTGAGGAACAAATTGAAGGTGCCGAGGACCGCATACATCAGCTAAAGGTTGTGATACAGAGCCCAATCTTCTTTATAGTCCCCAGCCTTCGCACCCAAGATTCGCCCGTTCGCCGAGCTTTAAAACCTCCGCGCATCCGTGGAAGCAGAATAGTTAGTCTGCCTATCTACTAGGTAGGTAGAATTAAATACCAAGAGCAACTATATACGCACCCAGATTACCGGTAATATTTTGTTCTGAATGACGATTTCATTATTATCAACATCTACCTATTATAACCAGAAAATGGCCCCTAAGCCCAAGCCGTCCTAGATTGTACCCGACTGCTTGGTACGGGACGGTGGCTTACAACAGCTTTTCAATGGATTACGCCTCTCGCGGCGATAGCGCGTTCCGCGCAACATCATGGTTTGCGCTAGCTCAACTTGCAGCCATTTTAGGTCCCGAAATAAGCAAGATAGGGAAAAGGGGGTTGGAATACTCGAGCTTGCGTGGAAATCGCAAATATATACCCAAAACTGCTCTTCGATCTTAACAAAGTTTGCGGTCTTCGAAATGCCTGACGCTCCTATACATACACTTCATTGTGTTCACTTTAATTCAAGTATTCGACGTCATGACGAAACCCCAAGGTTGCTAGAAAGCAGCCCAAGCCTAGATCTATCAGGATCCTTGGGAGGACCTTGGGGCGTTAGAAGTTTCTTTTTCGATGACTTAGACTAGGTATCGTGGTCGAGCATATGAGATAGATATATGGATCTCTCACGATGACAGATACAAACAGTCACCCCCGTCCCACCTCCATGCGCCCATCGCACCGAACAGATGGACATCTCACGCGGGAGTTATCCCTATATAACGGTGTATCAAATCGATCTCGAGGTTGGAAGACTAAGAAATCTGACAAGAATACCGAAATACGACCGGCTCGCAAGTGGAGTATTAGGAGATGGGACGGCGCTTCGATGTCTAGTAACGTTTGGGACAATTTAAAAAGGGTACATTCTCATACCATCTCTCATAGAGATACATTGTAACCCACACAGCTAACACGATATAGGATCCCGAGTTATGGTATCGGGATGGGAATTGCTATATTCATCTCTACGGCCAAGGGCAGAGTCGTAGAGGCCCAGCCTTCAAAGTCCCTTTCTCTGGACTACTAGAAGCGAAATGCGAGCCATTTATTGATCGATTCATGGCTCGAAATATCATCAGGTCAAACAGCCGAACCCAATACGACAAAAGTGACCCAGCAAGACGAAGTCGCATCGAACTCTTCATCCCGTCGCCCCCTCGGTCGGACAAGCAAGCTTCATATAAATACCATTTAGCAACTCGTAATTTCATTGCTTATGTCTTTCGAAGATCAGTGGTTGGGGAGAATCTGGGAGCCGCCTTGGTTACCCTCATGCATAGCATGTTCCAGTTTCGAACCGGGGCTGTCGATAACGTACAGGACTTGATGGATTACCTGGACGAGGAAGGCTATCTCAATTTCAAGAATAACCCAACACACTCCCTGGCTACACTCCATTTGGCGGAAACTTTTCAGCTAAGAGACCTGTATATCAGCTCATTCGCACATTGTTGTGGTATGAGCGGCCAGTTACCTGTCTCTCCTGAATATCAAGTTTGTACCCCTAAACTACATCGTATATGAACATGAATAAACTCACATTGCTAATATGAAATTAGCTCGTGTCTCCCGGAACTCGAAAGCTCATTCGGTGTGCTCGTGTTGAGATGAATCTCAGGTTAGGTCAGAGCGCAAACATGGTTGGAACTTTTCTTGAGTACGAATTATCGGAAGCACATCTTGGCTTGTATGCTGGCGCTAGAGCGCATCTCGAACGCTTCCGAACCCTATTACACAATTTCTACGTCGCCAAGTTTGGGTCTTATCCGCCACCATCTATTGATTCTCGGACGACAATGTTCGAGATAGGGATCCTCCAAGAAATGAGGGTTGATTTTGAAGCTCTTTACCAATACTTGGTTGATGATACGTTCGACACTACCCATATAAGTCCGTTCTTAGCTGAGGGAGGCATTTGTACATGGCAGTGTATTCAGGCATTCGATAGGAGACATGAGTTCAAAACTCTACTTCACCCCCTTCCACGCCTTCCAAAGATATCCCGGGAAAATACTAAAAGGACGTCGTGGCTAGGTAAACCAATGAAGGCAGATCGAAAATGGCGCGAAAACACTCACGCTGCTTTGCTGAAGGCTACAAATACAAGCGAAGAGCTCATGAAAAATGGACTAGTGAGGATATATCGCCAATTCGAAGAAGGAATCGCCTACTGGCCGACAAAAGCAGACAAGATAGAAAACTTGGGGCCTATGGACAGTCGTAAGGTGCGTTGGATCTTGATCTACGCAACCTACCAGGCCCTCCGGCAAGCAACAGACATCCCGCCCGAAGTCCGCGACACCGCTGGCGCTCCGTACCATCTTTGCATATCCACAGCCGACCTGCCTCCGTGGGATGAAGATCGACCCGTACATAAACTTGTGCGAAGACAGACGCATCATCTCACCCACGACGCCTTAACACCACCAAGCCAAGAGCCCATCACCAGGGAACCATCTCTCCGCGAGAAAATCTTCGAGATCAAACCCGACATCGACTACTTCGCGCTCACGCACCGCGACACCAGCAACAACGACAATGAAACCAAAAACGACAGCACATCACGACTTCGCAGAGCAGGAAGCTGGACAGGAAGTCTAACAAGTATCTCGCGAAGCCTAACAACGCGGCGGTCCTCCGCGAAACTAACCAAGCCGCCGCCCGAGAGGACGCCCACACCGAGCAACAACGCATCGTACCAGGAGATCGTAGTCCAGGGCTACGGCAACGGCACATCGGACATCAAAGCCTGCCTCATCGACATCCCAGCGCCAAAACGCAAATCCACAATCGCAGAGGAACCATCGCCCACGGCATCAACATCGACCTCGTCGTCGCGGTACTCCAGCAACTCCGACCTGCGTAAGTCCTCGCACGACAGCAGCGCAGGAAAGACGCCCGACACGTCCATCTGCGAAAGCGCCACGACGGCCGAAACACGAAGCCAAGGCCCGACTCGCCTGCGCAAGGTCCGGCGCGACGCGGAGACGCGGAACGGAGCGTCGCGAACGCCGACGTGCACGGGCTTCGTCTTCCGCCGCAAACCGCACGACGAGCGCGCGCGTGGGATCGACGTGAGCTGTGGGTTTGGACTGATGCGCCGGCGGGAGCGGGGTGTGAATAAAAACACGCAATCAAACCCCGACTCGCACACGCATACGGAGTCGTACACTGCCTCCAGCGCCCTCCCGCCTACCATCCCGCTTCTCAACTTCGACGTAACCACCACCTTAGAGCCCGACCCCTCTCCCGCTCCCGCTCCCGCTATCGAAAAGGCAAGCAGCGCAACAGCAGCAGCAACGACCACACCCTCCCTCGAGATGCCGGCCCCGCAGGCGCCGACGTCGTGGGATTACGTTAAGGCGGTTATGGAGGTGAAGGCGACGAGTTGGATGACGGGGGGTGAGGAAGGGAATGCGAATGGGAACGGAAATGGAAATGGGAATGTGGGCGCGGATGATGTGCATCCGGAGTGGGAGCAGTATAATGACCTGGGCGGACTGACGGAGGTGCATGGGAGTCCGGCGCCGGTGCGGGTTGAGGGGCGGAGGTTGGTTAAGGCGCCGCCGGGGGGACGGGGGTATTTTTAGGGGGGTTGTAAGGGGTTATGAGGGGTGGATGATACCTGTTACCTAGTGCGAGGAGGGCGTTCGGGGTTGGGTTGATGAGTAAGGATTTATGAGGGTGACGTGTATGTAGCGATGAAGGGGGGGGAAAGGGTGTTGAGCATAGTCTAATTAGCTGGAGGATATGAAGATAGCATAATACGGCTTGTTCATGGGTATTGGATATATTCATTCAATCTTACAGCCTGGGCTTGGACTCGTAAACACGTTATCACGACCGTAATCGTGACATTTCTTCATCCCCTCGTAATCGGCATATACGCCTGCCTTGGCTCACTTTGACCTGTTTCCCACGTAAAAACGCGATTGACCTACTCAGACTTGATCGCCACACTAGACGACGCGTTCGACAATCCTTCTACGATCTCGCCGCCCATGACGTAGATTATGTATGTCGGGAAGATAAGCCATAGGCCGCTATCCCACAGTCAGCCAATTCGATATTTTCAACAAGAGAAGGGGAGACCTACTTCGGGATGATCCACAGGAGAATCAGATCTTGGCGGCTGTTATGGCCGATGTTGTCGAAGCCCGAGAAGTACTCATTAAGCCCTTTCAAACAACCCCATGTTAGCAACCACGATATATCATCACAAAACAGAACATTGGGCACTCACAATACAACACCGTCTTACTCAAAGTCATAACCGCCGCACTAAACGCCACCAAAACCGCCACCCCAGCCTGTCTTCCCAGCAAAACCTTCTTCCCCTCTCCCACCCCCTTCTCCCTCCCCTTCCCCTTCACCTCAACCCTAACCCCCTTCCCAAGATACCAGCCCACATAGAAAAGATACATAACCGTCTCAACGACATTCAGCGTCCCCTGCGCGGCCGTGAACCCGCTGTGCGCGTCGAACGCCTTCCACCCGTACACGTGGTCCACCTCGCCGTACAGCTTGTACGGCGTGTACAGCGGCCAGTGTAGTGATCCGCCCTCCATTGTTAACGGGCGCAGGAGCACGTATCCTGTGTCCCAGATCACGAGGGGCAGGGACAGCCCGAACCAGAAGAGGGTTAGACGCGTGGGCGCGTGTGTCCAGGATGTGCGGGAGACAGTGGTGCTGTTGTTGCTGCTGCTGGGGCTGGGGCTGCTGGGAGAGGGGTGGCGAGGCGCGACGGAGGCGGCGCGGCTGGCGGAGCGGGTTGTTACCATTTTGATGGTATTTTTTCGGTTTGTGCGGTCTGCGTGGGATGTTGGTGGGGTGGTGGGATGTGGGGATTGGTGATGGTATCGCGGGTGTTATGTCGGAGGTAGGTAGATATTCGGATACGTTTAAACGAGTTGCGTGTGATTTCTACAAAATCACATTTCGCGCGTCGGGAGAGGCGAGCTAAAGTTGTTGGGTAATGAGAAGTGTGTAGGGAGCTTACTTAGATGTGATAGGTAAGGTCAGAATGGCAAGGTCAAGAAAGGTCGGGCTTCCACCTTAGTAAAATGGATGCGGGGAACATAATGCGACGCTGCGCTGTTGTTGCAACTGCCAGTCAGTAAACATTACAGGCATGGTCAGACTTGACACTCGGTCGTTCCACCACCCGTAGCTCGCCGCCCAATTGGGATGATCGGGACCCATTTTGGAAGGTGCTGAGCCATCCATTATTCCGTCTGGGTTTGAAGGTACAAAGTACTTGTATTACTACCTGTGTATGTATGTAGGTAGGTAGGTGGTTAAAGGGTCGTCGAATTCATCGTTTGTCATATTGTACTGTAGATATTTTATGAAGTTGAAAGAGTTGGCAAATACGATTGTAGAAGTAAAGTCAGGGGGAAACACTACACAATTGTTGGACGGGGGCTTCACCTTTATAGCTATAGGTAGGTAGGTACCTGTAAGGGCTGCGGTCGGAAGTTTGTGTAACCAACGGCAACTATAACTTGAAAGAAACATCAATGGATCCTCTGCCATGTGAAAGGATATATATCATCATAAGCCGATAAGATTGTGGATTGATATGGGCTATTGGGTCCAGCAGAGATCAAAGAAGATAATGGCGACACAAAGTCATAAAATGAAACCAGGGCATCGAGAATCATTGAATTTAAAGCTCTAGATACTGGCATAAGAACTTCTGTTCTTGAGATCTAGATGCAACAAGTACATCCATAATATTCTTGTCATGCCTCATCAACGTGCACCACCCCTAGGTGACCTCCACGAAACCAAACTCCTCGCGCGAATAGAAGACGAGCTCTAAAGAGGGTATAAATCGACACCTCTACCTATCTAGACGTCCGGACCTTACTAACTCCTCACATTTCCAACACCACTCGACGTCAACATGCGGACATACCACCGGTGCAGGAACTCGATCTTCGGCGGGATAGGATGTCCAGCATCCTTGGCGAAAGTCCCAGCGCTATTGAACAAGGCCGACTTCAACTTGAATTCCGCCTGCGCAGCATCGCGATCGATCTTCGCGCTGAAAAAGATTAGGCCGTCCGAATTCCTCAGTCCGGGCTGCAGCGGGGATCCGCCGCACCGGACGACGATCTCGTTGCCGTCGTTGCTCACCACCTCGAAGTGGTTGGTGAATTTCAGTCCCTTCTCGAAACTGGCGACTTTGAGCTCGTTGGTCTGCCACAGCTGGTTTTCCGTTCCGGGTGGCTTGTCGTAGAACTCTTGGTATTTGGTCTGAGGCCAGAAGTCTGGGCGGAGTGTTAGTCGGCTAGTTCAGTGAGGGGAAGTCTGGGATGCAATCGTACTGAAACCGCCCCATACGCCGCGGCAAAACTCGAGAGTGAGTGCCTTTTCGTCGTTGCGAAGTTCGGGTTTGACGGCTGCTAGAGGTATCCGCTTGATAACGACATCTTGAAGTGCCGGGTTGTCCTTCGGGTTATATTTTTTATACGTTTTGGTCTTGAACATGGGATCGTTCTTAGTGAGGTCGACGATGGTAGTGGTGGAAGCTAGATAGGACATATACGTCCCTAGGGTGATACCACCGGCCGGAATTGCTAGCAAAGTCGTTCTAATTATGCCCATTTTGCTCCGATTTCGTGACGTATTTGGAGTTTAGTTTAGTAGAGAAGTTGTTCATGTAGATAACATCGCGTGATCGCGGGTTACGTACGATACGCTCTATGTGTGAATCTTCAATCCTGGTTAAATAAATTGGGGCACTAGCAATCGGAATTAACCCGGCATTTCACTATAATAGGTACAAAGTGATAGGGTATTTATAGGCGGAAAATATATGGCTGCAGCTACATGATAGTTTTTCATCGATGATGCTTGAATACTGCTATAGTTTTAGAAGTTAGACTTTGATGGCCGTATTATTGTTTATAAGTCATGTTAATTTGATTCGTCAAATATGTCTCTTTCTGTCGTGAGACTGTTACATAAGACGCTGATCAAGACAGCTATCTCCAATTCTAAGGTATGTGCCTACTAACTAGGTAGGTAGATCAAGACAAGAAAATGAGAGTCGATATATTTGTGTGCTACCAAAATGTGATATAACGCAAGGGTTGATACCACAGAAAGATAAATTGGCAACAATCACAAGTCGCTCTAGCACGCAAATATGACCGATAGCAAGTGGGCGAATGGGAAATCGGTTGATTAATCGTGCAATAAAAGTGTGAAGAGAGAAGAAAAAAGAGGAACGAAAACCAAGAATTCGGACGTGTACAAAAGATGGATTGTAGGTCACGTGTTAAATAGGCTAGGATCCACTAATGAAATCCCTTCAAATTTGTAAACCGACTAAATTTTCTTTCCAATATTCACTTCATTCAACAACCATCTCGACTATCTCAACTTCAACGAAGATGTCCCACAGCAGTCACATCATTAAATTTCTTTGAAGTATAAGGTATAGTAAATACTACTATCATAGAATCCACCTCGGAAGGCGTTCTATCTATGCGTAGTATTATTCCCGTCCCACCTCTCTTCTCTTTTTTCTCATCTTGACAACGACCCAATTGTCGAAACCCACAAATTGCCTACCTCCTGCGACTCTCAATGCGCAAGAGCGTCAACTTCTTTATTATCGTTCGTGTGGGAGAATGAACCAAGGCCTAGACAGCCGGTCCAATCCACCCTGCTACCGTAGACCGAGTGCGGCAGCAGGACTAATGAGGACAAACACACCATATTGACTGATTTCATGAATTTGTATTTGTTTATTTACGTATTTACAAGAATATATCATCTGTAACCCTATCTTCCTAGCCAATCCAGTCCGTCTACGGTGTCCCGGGAGACCCGTCATCTACACCGGTATCAAAGCCCGAGACGAAATCTCCCTTTGCCTTGTCGAGGTTGGACTGGAAGGTTGCGTCCTTGAACGCAATCGTAGCGCTGCCGAAATCATACGCAAATAACTTGTCGCGAAGAGCCGTGCTTGGGAATCCATTGTACGAGATCAGCGCGCCGTAAAACCACTTTCCTGTGTCGTTCTCGATGCTATCATCACCCGCATTCGCGAATCGGAAGTCGTGAGTGCCAAGTCCGTCCTTGTTGTAAACCGCCTTAGGATGCGTACCATCCCACCGGACTTCGCTGGCGGCCTTGGTCTGGTACTTGCCATGCTGCGACACGGCGACGGCGACGGCTTCGTTGTTCTTGGTAAACACGACAATGTGCTCCCAGTCGTTACGGTGCCCTGGGTCTATGGCGATATTGGGAATCGCAACGTCCTTCTCGAAGTAGTAGTCATACAAATAGGCGCAGAATCCGTTGTTACACCGCGCCCTGGAGTACACGTTGTTGTTCTGCAGATCCGACAGGTCATGACAGTCCTTTGACAGGCCGGTGTTTTCGTGATCGAGACCGGGACATATGTCACCGTTCGCTCCGATAGCAGGGACGTTATAACACCCATCAGTATCGAAATCCATCGCCGGTTGCCATCTATATATATGTAAGTGTTCATAGTCACGTCGAGTCGCGAAAAGTGACCAACTCACTTCTTGTCATTGGCCGTCGCTTTTTCTGGGAGTGCCGTCGGTGGATCCCGGGTCGTGAGAAGCTTTAGCATATGCTCAATAGGGTTGCCATTCACGACCGGAGTAGCAGTGGCTACCAGTAAGGCCAACCCTGTGGTGGCGAAGCTAGGCATATTGATGGGTGGCTTTTCGACTTAGATGAGGTGGCTGCAGGACGGCTGATCTCGCTCTTTCGACACCACCTTCACGGTCTTCCATCATTTTTATATCCTTCCCGCCATGCTACTGTATTGGGTAGTTTCTCCATTCCCCCACAACATGGTCACGATAGATTTGGAGTAGATAATCGACGGCAAGCTTGGACCTGAACCAGGATCTTCTTCAGGGGCTAACACGGCCCGCCTTCCTTCTTAGGAATCGCATGAACGCTGGCGTTACCTTATACCGCGCTCACTTAAGAAGACCACCCCATTTCCTATCATTTCCCCAACGTGCTCGTTACTTAGTTAAGCCTAGCCGTTAGCCTCCTAGCCTCCTCCCAGGTGGTTTCCTTCTAGCTTCACAGCGAATCTATGGTATTAAAAGGGGTGGCTTATGGGTATCTGTCGATCGTGATTGAGGCTGAGGTTAAGCCCCGAGCATATGACCGATCTCCAGAGGATTTCCAATCCGATCAAAAGCCTGGCTATTTTTAAAAACCTGAAGGAGCCAGACTCGCATCATCACTCTGCCGACCTCCTTCCAATTCCGTTCGATGCTGGACTTTGTACTGTGTCGCCGATTGTTATCGGAATCCATATCAATGCCGTTTTCTTCTAATTCCATCGTCTGTCTCACTATGTGGTATCGCGACATATCAATTATCTAACCTAGGTGTTTACACTAGTAGCAACATCGATGAGTTATACCCGTTTCCTCATCGGCTGTTTCACTATACGTCCAGGGTCCAATTGTAGCCCGGCGTGATAACCCTATTGAATGGGGCCTGTCTTCGGTGGACTAATTGGCATCTCTAGGCACGTTACTCGTCTGTTATTGGGTGAATCCCCACACGTGTGCGGACCTGGCGATCTCGACACTACCGAGGTAGGTAAGAGTAGCTGCGATTTTGGGGTACGGACACCGAAGGCGACGCTGCAAGTGACGATGGGTGGCTGCAGTTGATCTAGTCAACAGCCAATGGAAAGGTAAGCATTAGACCTGTGGCTTAAAGCTATCGAATTCATGGTAAATTTGTCCGGAACCCTATTCCACTGCGCGCAGGTTTAGAATCATAAAAATCAACCGGGAAATAAGACATGTGATATTCATGTTCTAAATGACCGACACCACCCCAATCCGATTGTATGTATCCCGAGTTAAGAAAAATACTCAAACATGATAGTTATAATATAGCCGCCAATGATACAGAAATTGTAATACATCGAAGATAGGCTCTAATGCAAATACCCAACATGGTATGATAGGATCTACTCTATCGTCTTGATGGCACCCCATAAACCCTATTCGTGTATACATAATATAGCTGTAGGTAAAACCGTTCCCAACATGAACTCGTCCCGGGGGTATTCAAACACATAGACTCCCAACCCGTCCCCGTCGTATATCATACACATCTAAGATGATATATATAGGTATATAGAATACATTTCATATCCCGAAATGGCCTAGATGGTAGGTAATAGTAAAAATAAATCAGGTTTAGTATTGTCCGTCAAACAGGTATCTCTCGTCGGTAAACGACAGCAGGAATCTTGCCACGAGGCGGCCCGTGTAGTTCAGCGACACGTCGCGGGGGAATGGGTGACCCTCCTGGTTAGGTAGGATGGGGTCTGCGACGAGGAAGTCAAGCTCGTGCCCTATTGGACGATATTAGTTTCCTGTCACGTTATAATATTAAGAGGGAGAGGCTCACAACTATCACCCTGCAATAACTCCTTCAAACTCCTTACCATCTCCGCCGACGCATCGTCCAGCTCTGCGATCTGCGACAAGTTCCCATCGACGAGGGGGTTAAACGCCTTAGCTCCAGTGTCGCGCGTGTGCGTCTGGTATATCTGATGGAACTGGTACGCGAACTGCTTGAATGGCATGTTATCGATCTCGCGGCACAGCGAAAGCGCGAAGTCGCGCTTGTACTCTGGCTTGCTGCGGTTGCGGATCGCGATCTCGTTCTGCGAGATGACAAACGTGTCCGCCGCCGTCTCCACCGTCTCCATGAACAGACACAGGACCAGGAACGCGGCTAGGCAGGGGCCCCACTCGCGCCGCAGCTTCGGCTTGAGCGATTTGGAGAAACCGTCGAAGAGGAGCTGCATCTCGCGTAGGAGCATCTCGTCTAGTACGGCCTTGATCTGTCGGTTGAGCACGCGCGCCGTGAGGAACATGTTGTTATGAGGTACCATGTTGGTACCCTTGAGGCTCTCGAGAGTAGGCTGCGTGAGACAGAGTTGCCGCGTGAGCACGTAGTGCATGACGTAGATAGATAACGCACGTTTGACCATGGACGATTGGGTGGACTCGGAGCGTTGTGCGTAACGTTGAATGATCGTCAAGACCTTCTTTGGTAACTGGGTACACCGGATTGCATCTGTGACCTGCTCGGCGTACATAGGATCCGAGCTGAGATTATGGACATACTCCCGGGCCCTCCTCTTAAGCTCTTCCCTCTGAGCCGAATTCTCGGGGTCGATACCTATGGGAGCAGCGCCACGAGACTGTAGGTCCATCTGGTTCATGCCCATATTCATGTGCCAATGCTGGAGGATCTCTGCGGACTTGGGCGTGAAGAAGCTGGCGGGAATGGTCAATGTGGACCCGAACCGCGCACCTGAGAATAGCTCGACCGTGCACGTGAGCTCCGAGCCGTTGGGCTTGAAGTTTTCAACATGGTCGCTTATAAAGCTAGTCATCTGGTCCTTCTTGAAGTGGTTCCGGATGAAGTCAGGAAACAACACCGGCAAGAAATCGCCGAATTGCCAACACATGATCTGGGGTACTTGGGTAGAGAGCTTCTTGCAGTTCTTACACGGCCGCTCCTTATCACACTTAACTTTGCGACTATGTAAGAGTAAGTTGTCCGTTTACCGATACAAGATAGAAAGGGTAAAGGGGAATACACACCTGTGGCAGCAGAAACATGCCCCCAGTCTCCGGACTTGTAGAGCACTCTCCTTGGTATCATGTGCTAATGGCCCTTTCCTTCCTCTCTGTGTAGTTCTCATCGTGTCGAAACACTCGAATAAATTGGGTTTCCCTGACTGTTGGTTGATGAGGTTTGGAGTCATGATGACAAACTTGCTTGACGATTCCGACTTCTTCTTCTCGACCTTGTAACCATTTCTAACCTTCCGTATAGGACTCGCGCCCTTACCGGTTTCCGACTTCACGTACGGTGATCTCGGGCTCGAGTGGTGAGAGCTATGTGTTGGTGAGACCTGTCTAGGAGACTGGGATGTGAAGCTGTTCGTTTCGTCTATTACTCCTGAAGCAAAGTCTTCGTTTTTCAAGTTCATCGGCGCCCATGGCGGGACATTATTGTCGTTTCGGAATTGTTGCGGGATGCCAAGGTCGACTGGCTGAGGAACTACGTCGAACCCTTCTAATCCTGACATGTCGGCAGCGGTCATACTGCCCTGAAATGTAGAGTAATATTGCGTCATATCCATGTCTGCAACTCATTAAACCGGCACTTCAATTATGATAAGTCAGGTTAAGATGCGACAACTTACCAGTCAACTGCTCGTTGAATATCATCTCTTGGCCGGCAATGAATTGATGTTCGTCGAAGGCCGGCATTAATTGGCCGTCCATTCCTGCGGAAGCCATCATGGAGGTTCCTGCCGCGCTATCTGGATATGAAGTAGGGGGCACCGCGCGAGCCTGATCGTGGTCCAACTGTAAGGGAGACATGGCAACGGGTGAGGCTTGCATCTGATTAGGGTACCCAACTATTCCCCAGCTATGCATACTTGAGCTCGCTGGACTAGGCATGAAACCGACTGATGCCGGGTTCGACTCTACATATTGCCAGGAGTCGGAGTCGTCGCCGGATTCCATAGGAAAGCTGTGCCTTGAAGATGGGGAAGCAGATGCGACAGAGGCCATGATGACGATATTCTATCGTGAAGAATTTTCTATCAAGATGCGTAAGAACCCAAAAATCATAGCATTTATTAATAGAATTCGCAGTTCCCGACCCCTCCGCGATCGTACTTTGAAATTATCTTCAAGATCACAATAAATGCCGAAAGGCTGTTTGTCGTGGGTTCGTGCTACCGACTAATTGCTAGCCGAGCAAACAGAAGCGAGATTTTATGAGAGAAACGGGTGTCGCCGGTGCAGTTCTGGGTTGCTTGTTCTCTCAGGATTTCCCAACGAAGCCGCTCGGTAACGGATTGGCCGACGCAGATGGACTTTAGAACCCCAGAAATTCCATTATCAGGAACACCCAAGACGGCCGCGAGCTGAGGGGCCTTGCCTGCTTAAAGGTGTCCCAGAGATGACGGCTCCGCCACTGAGAAACTAGGCTCGATTGGATGACCGACAGCAGATGGACTGTTACGATAATAATAGCGCACTAGTCCCATTTTGTAATTCGGTGTCGATCCTATGGCTGTGTAGATCATAGCCAATCGCAGCGCGCGAAGGCGTATGGCACTTTTAACTGAAGATATGACAATGGTGAGACGGAAGTTTGCGGATTCTCGAATTGGATTCTAGATTAGGTAAAGACTAGATAATTCCCTAGATGTTTATCCGGCGCCGACGAGTAACTATAAGGCGATTTCAAGTAATAATCAAGCATTGTCGAGCTTATAAGATCGAACCGTCATCGCCATCTCTACCAGCAGCCTCGAATCCCTGCGAAATATAGGTAGGCTGGTAAGGTTGTCAATTGTCACCTGCGGGGGGCTAGGGGGGTGATTGCGCCCGAGCTGCGTTGTGCTCACACACACCTGCGCATCTTGAACGGTTGGGCGAAAGATGGCGCAGAGAATGTGCATTTCTTCAACCCAAGTTCCTCGTGCTTTATGCCCAACAGTGCCACTTGTCCAATCCCGCCAAGGCAATCCTGACCTGGCCGCCCAAAACCACCATCCGAAAGCATCGGAAAACGTAGATCTCCCGATCGAAAAACCCCAGAAAACCCATCTACAAAGTAGCATGGTTACGTCGTTAGGAGATTTGAAAATAATAACAATACATCATCATGCTTGCTCGCTCGCTCGCTCGAAAATGAGACAAGTCTATCCCATCCTCGTCAATTTCAGAACTCGACCGCTCCGAACCCGTACCAGACATTACCGTATCGCGCCTCAAAATACGAACGATGCCTCTTCCTCCGCCTACGCTGTCGAAAGGAGACGGTAAAGAGAAGGAAAATCGTGATTCATTCTTCCCGCATAAAAGCGGCTTCATACATTGTTAACATATTATTCGGGGGCGATCCAGGCGCTGCCCAATGCCCTCGGGGCGAGTCTCGGTGGCCCATCAAAAAAGCCTCGAGAGGAAAAACGTTGATATCATCATCGACCAAGATGCCGATGGTATTTGTTCAGCGGAACCGTGCCGATGCTGCAGCACTTCGTTCCTGAATCTGTTGTTCGGTTGAAACGTATAGTCTGTCCAGGTAGTCCATGGCGGCTGCGTCCTTGAGGATCTTCGCAACCTGGATACCGGCGCTGATCAGTTGCAGGATGTTACGGTCATCCTTTAACGGGCGCGACTGATGCTTTGCGGCATGTCGCATTTCCAAAGAATTTTCCAGGATGGTCACGAATTGCTTGATCTGTCCGTTATAGAGGACCCGGGCGGGTATCCGCCTCTTCGTTGCGAGACGCTTCAGTAAGTAAACCCATTCGGTCCATTCTCTATCCTGGGGCCTCTCGACGGGCCTCATATCCTGGGTCAACGGGATCGGAAACTGGTATTTGGCAACAAAGTCGAACGCGCACTGCGAGAGTCGATCGTTGACTTGCGTCAGGACACTATCCTGCTCTTGCACCAGAAGGTTCGTTGGGAGATGCGGCAGCTCTCTCTCCTGCATAGCAACATAATCCGGCGGAGGTCTCGCTAGAAACTGGTGTGGTCCGTCGAACTCATCTCTGTTAGATGGTCGTCTCTGGGGACGGCTCTTGCCACTGTTCTTAGATTTTCCTACTGACGAGGCACCTCCGCCACCGTTATCCAGGGTGTAATCCGATAGACCGGGAGATGTGATGATATCATCAACGGAGTCCGTCGGAGAGTATCTGTCTGGGGCATCCCAGCCCTGAGAGCTCGTGCTAGTATACGAACCGTACGCCGCCCCGGAAGAATTTCCATATTGCCCGGACTGCGCTCTCGAGATGTAAACCGGCGATGAAGTGTAGGCGGACTGGTGCCGCGCGACTGGACCACTAGTCCCCACTACCGACACGCTGGCCGGTGAACTATACGATGGACCGGATCCGGACGAGTAAATCACACTTCGGAAGCCAGTGTTATTCCCATGGTTTACGAAACGAGGGGGGACTTCTCATTCACCCTTACCTTGAACTTGGGTATCCGTTCTCACGGGCGCTACCTGAATATGAGCCGTCATCGTAGATGACGCTTTAAGGATGTCAGCTTGACCGCAACAGCATAGACCGGAAAACGTGGTTTAATAATCGCACCTGCGCGAGGAATTCCAGGATCCGTGAGACATGGCAGAAGTTCTGTAGATCATTTCTTGCTGGGCCATGTCTTTACAACTTCTTTGGAGAACAAAGAAAAATACGGCCGGCAGGACGGAGAGGATGTGGGATGAAATAAGAACCGCACTGGTTCCCGTAGAAGGTAATAGTCCGGCGATGTACACCTGGCTTTCCAGAGTAGGGACCCCGGAAAGCACTCCTTTTGTTCTAAACACGGATTCTAAAGTTTGGTTCTCTTGGGTCCACGGACGATGTCCTCTGCAGGATAGACTGGCTCGATTTGGGAGCGGTGGATCGCGATTGCGCGCTGCTGACCGGGAAAAGAAAGGGAAATCAAGTGGCTCGGCGGATTTGGTAGTAACCTTGGGAGGACAACATAAGCCCGGATGCGAAGGAAATATTGCATGCTCCAGTATAGATGGAACCTTTGAAGGCGGCAGGTATGGGATATCTTCACCTTGATCCAGAGAAGGCAAGCCCTTGGAATGAATCGTGCTTTCGAGATTTTCGAACCGAGATGGGAGCACTTTATTGTATGATAAACTCAGTAAGGAATTTGCCACCGTAGTGACTTCGAGATGACGAGCCGCGCCGGAGCAAGGCACTCCCCAGATCCAACGTCAAGGGGCTCGCCCCAGCTCTAACTCAAACTCCAGACTGGGGCTGTAACGTAGGTCCAAGGCGGACCTCACGCGTTGCGGATTTAGTTAGGGATGGGGTTATAGATGCCTTCTCGGGCGCCTGGCACCGATTCGAGACGGGGCTGGACGAGTCGCCAAACTCAAATCAGTCAAGATCGACCAGCGAAGAGGTTCGATCAGAGGCGTAAGACAGATGGCAGTTCGAAAAGAGTTACTGCAGATGTCCAGGAACACCCTGCCTATGGTGCATGATGTTGAACCGAGACGACCCTCTCCAACCCATGGTGATAATAATTATCCACTGAAAGTAGCGGGATAGAAGCAAAGCCGTAATTGGATGTTGCAGCCCAATCACGGTAGGGCACCATTGGGCAGCTTAAGAACTAAGAGTTAAGAGGCCTTTTTGTTCCTGCTTGTCGTCTTGTTGCCCAAAGATTGCAGCCTCTTGCAGCGTCCGAGGGGGGGTAATAGTGTAGATTATTGCAGGGAAAGACCTGGTGGACGAATAGCGGTGACCCATCAGGGCGGACTATCTGACTAGATTGGGCAGAAAAGCGTTGCACGAGGAACGAAGCCCAACCCTATGTGCAGGTACGGTACGTTGCTGCCCGGAGCATTCTCGTCCAGTGTCTATCGATGTACTGTAGTTCGTCGAAAGATTGAAGGACCGGGAGCGCGAGAAAAAGGAAAAGAGATAATAAACCACCAACCGAAAAGCAAGATAGTGGGAATGTCGACGTGTGCGAGACGACCTCACTATGAGAGCATGTGCGGGATGGTTCGCCGACCACTTACCACGTATTCGGAATCCGTTTCCACACCTTGGATGCCATCATGATATTAGGCCTCTTCAGTTACTAGGTATGCCCTAGCCATTGCTAGGCCCTACGGTCTTAATGGCGTCAATGTAATAGGATCTGGGACGATGTCGATTAGTAAACTACGCATTTTTGAAAGTTGTTGATTTTAGAACGATCTAAATCGATTCCAAGGTTCATATTGTGAAGAAAAACTTATAAGCTTAAAGCTTAGACCACTGTATCGCACTTGCTCCAGGGCTGTTGTAATTCAAAGTTCAGAGACCCGCTTAGCGTGGATTGAGTGAATATTGGAAGTGGCTGGAACTATTTGCCAATTGTGCAGTTGGCAGTTGCACTGTAAAGCCCTAGAGTTTCCGGGTTTTTACTTCCAGTTGTAAAGCCGTCATACCTTTCTGTTAGTACTTTATTCTAACAACTTCGCGTATCGGCAAAAGCCATCGACTATAAGCGTAACTACCTACCTACATAATCATGGGGATATTTCTTTGGATAAAGTTAAGTATGGGGTGTATGATTGTGTATAGTATAGAAGTATTGGGTGGATATCTCCTATCCAAAGTCCTACATGTACGGCGCAACATCTCAGTATCTTCTTGCCATTTGTCTGGTAGGTAGCGAAGCAATATTATGAACTGCAGAATTGCAAAAGGACATCCATAGATGTGGATGCTGTAAGCATGAGGGCACATTCAAGGAAGCGCCGGTTACCTTGATTGCCGCGTTGGGGTACACTCGGCCAAAATATAGATTAAAACAGGTATATACTGCTTGAATTGAGGCAGGCTTGTGGCGTAGAAGTTAAGGAACGTGAGATTATAGAATGTGATAAGCAGCGTGACCATTTCGACGCCAATAGTATCTTTGAAGTGTGTATGTTTAATAGGGGCTATGTCAGCTTAATGGGAGGTCTAGACAGATAAATGAAATATTGGAATTGGCCGGCCGTTTGTTGAGAAATTGGCGTTGATTGTCGAGAATTGACTGGCGTCGCCTTGTTAGAAAGGCTATCGATCTGCCACCATACACAAACCTCAACCGATCCATATTAAGAGGCTCTCGAACCTCTACACGAATACCCCTGACAATGAATAAAGTAGAGTAACATCGATTCTAAAAGTGAGTGAGATGAAGCGCGTAATCATGACGGACAGTCGGATATTTTCGAATGGTTGGTTCATAGTATGGTAGCAACGATGCAGAAACATGCCTGCTCACACGTGGTAATATCTTGACTTGGGACGAACAATAACATGATAAGTCTTCTAATCCATGAATTGGACGATACACCATTGGCGAGATGGCCTGAATGCCCTTTCAATGGCAGGACAATTGCGGAAAACCGTAGTTCAACCCTAGTGACAATGTGATGTAAGATCTTTTTGACTTGGTTACGACCTCGTCGACGCTTCATACGGCGTATAGAAAACAGGGGGAGAGTCGAAGACCAGGTATGTACCCCTAGATATGCATAAGGTTCTTAGCCATAAGGCGAAGTTGGATGTCTAGACTTCTGACATAAAAGATGAGCAGATCTGTGATATGTCCTTTTTCTAAACTTCTATGGACCAGTGGGGATTCTATGCCATGGATTGTTATGCCAACTTAATCATAAAATGTAACAGTGCTACGGATAGGGTTACGCGTATTCCATATCGACTTTTCAGCTCGTGCTACTCTTTCTATCTTCAGGATCGCAGTGTCTCATGCTAGCCCTATTATGGAACCTCAACTTTGCATCAATTAAAGGGTCCGCCAGTCCGCCAATCGAGATATGGAACGCTTGTTTAGTCCCACAAAATATGAAAATGTGGAAAGTGTCTGCCTTATGCCTCCTCCCGACGGAACGGGGAGGCACTATTAGCACAGATCTTTAATTCTATTAATATCTCTCGGAAACCTGTGGATGATATTGGTTGGACATTCATCTATCGTAGTGACCGCTTTATATTCGTATTGAGAGGGACCTGCGAAAAGATTGAGTGTGCGGTGCGGTGCGGTGTGTTGTGGAAGTAATTATTCGTTATGCACATGGCGCACTGCTATCGTCCAGCCATCCAGCCGGTGAGCTGAGAGTTTATCACAATCTGACAGGCATGTGTCGGGATAATCAAGGATCCAGCCGTTGAAGCCGGAAGTGTTTATTAAGCTTGGTAACCCCGGTCGAATCGGTTCGCTTGAGTCGACGCTGGATGATGACGGTGGGGCTTTCAAGCATACAATGCCACAGAAGGGTAGGATTCGACCAAGAATGGCTCAATGAAATCATCGCGTGGTGACCAGGGGTAGGAAATTCGTCTGCCTGACGAGTTCATTGATAATATAATGAGATGTGAAGATGTCAGAAGATTACGGTTTCGAATGCCGTATATGTTCTTTTCTATTGTGGTACGGCTTTAAAATCGAAATAGAGCGCTGCTTACGAATCTCGAGTATCAGATGCATCTGTTACATACGATGGCTGAATCAGCCCCAGCAACCCAGCGTCAGCGACAACGCAAATTTCATCGAAGGTCGAGGAATGGCTGTTCCACGTGCAAGGCTAAGCACATCCGGTGCGACGAGCGAAGACCTCTTTGGTAAGTCGCCGAAATGTGACTCCGTGAGCCGATGCGGGTTGCGTCTGAGTGAGTGTATACGAAGCACGCCGCCGAATTTTTCGCATTTGCACAGGCGATTGGTGCCCGACGCAAACCAAACTTGTGTTACATACGTTACCTCCTTGAGCCCTTGTTCCGCAGATGAAGCAATCTGCGCCTATCTACATTAGTCCATCTCTTGCTTGCCCTCCCTGCGTCCCATTGACCGGAGGGTTCTCTCAAAACCGCGTTTCGGTGAGGCTGACTATGCCGTAGTACATATTGTCTTCGACATGGTGGAGAATGTGGCTATCCGGACGGAGATGCTGAGTCCAATACTACGGAGGCCGAGTGCAGATCCGGATCTAGGGAGCCTCACGACTCTACCGAGCCAAGTCTACACCTGGTAGACGCTACCCCGAAAGACCCATTCCTAGGGACTTCGTACGACGTACCCCACAGGTCACGATCGTTATTCCAACTCTGTGAGTGATGCCGGTTACGTTGGGCAACGGCACAACATGTGACCGGATACTAACGAGTATTGATGTCCAAGTCACAAATACGAAGGTATTATACACCACTCGTGTCGAAAGAGATGCCAATTCGTTTATGTGAGTAGATGATCGCAATCGTGGCTGTGGGGCAGCTTTAATTCCTTAATTCCTCAAGAGACTGGACCTAACTTGCAGAAACCTAGCGTCCACAAAGCCTTGTCACATCCGGGATTCCTCCACGCTGCGTTGTTAATGACAGCCCTGCACTGGGCTTGGTCCACCGGCGATGTCGAGCATTTCCGAGTCCCTTACCTCTATCACAAGCTGCAGGCAATACGATTTGTAACCGATCAGCTAAGGCATCCGGACGCGGCTGTTCACGATGGCACGATTGCTGCCGTTTCGACCCTCGCTTTGGTCGAGGTACGCGTCACCAAGACCCAGAAAATGCCCTTCAGTCCGCCTACTAACCGCTGCTAGAATTCCTTGGGGTCCGTTGACGCCGTCTCATCTCATTTACGGGGACTTGCGAAAATAAAGGAGCTGCAAGGCGAAGATAGACGGCCCAGGAAGATGGGCCTACTCCAACGAATGATCT